TTTGTAATCTTTATGCAGTGAAGTTGTGAAAACCAACACTCTTGGTTTGATGTTATGCTGCCGAGAGGTAGTGGATAGACGTATAAGGAGGTTAATTCAGCTTATCTTAGGCTATTATCTGTTGGATTGACTAACATGTGTTCATGGTTCATAGGCAATGAATATGATGTTGACCCAATCTCGAGGTGGTCATATCTTCAATATTGATGGAGCTGGTTCGGATGGGAGACCAACACCCAGGTTTTTTTATATCCATTGAAGTTTCTTAAGGAGTGTGCTTTAGAAGATCTGGTTTAGGCTCTCTTTTAAGTAATGTCTAATAAATTTTTGACTAAAACGTTTGACAGGTTTGCTGCATATGGTGCAACTAAACGGAGTGTTGTTCACCTGACAAAGTCATTACAGGTAATGCGGACGTAATATCTGTTGAACTTGTCTTCAATTTCCCTTGTCGTTGTATAACTTCTCTAGTTGTTTCTGTCTCTCATAGGCCGAGTTGCAGATGCAAGATGTCAAAAATGTGGTGGTGCACAATCTATCGGTATATATTATTTTCATTTGTTTTGGCTGTTTTCCTTTCCCATGAAGGTCTCGGAACAAAGATACAGTAACCGAGCCTTTTTTTCATAAGCACCAAATTCTATGGCACGAACATAAGCGCATAGAGATCAATAGAATAAATCTACTATTGTTGGTTGAACAATTAGAAAGAATTCAAGATGTAAACATGATCATAATTCTAATGGGTTACTGGAGAGTTGAGACCAAAAAAGTAAAGAAAAATTCTAATGTGTTTCTCTGTGTTACTGTTGCAGCCTGGAATGGTCACAACTGATCTACTCATGTCCGGAGCGACAACAAAACAAGTACGATGACTTTACACAAAACGAAATTTAGATTCCTTTTCAAGAGATTCCTCTAATATCTTCTCTGTTGCAGGCCAAGTTCTTCATTAATGTTTTGGCAGAGCCAGCCGAAGTAGTAAGAAACCAAAGTCTCTCCTTTTTTTTTCCTTCCATCATAAACCATAACACCGGTTAAAACATAGTTTCTAAATCTCTAGTCTCATGATTCATGATTTGGAATTACACATGCTTCAGGTGGCTGAGTATCTTGTCCCGAACATCAGAGCAATACCAGCTAGCGGATCTATGAAGCCGACTTACATCCGTTTTCTAACCGGAATCAAAGCCTACACCAAAATATTCTCAGTTAAGACGATAATAGTTGCATAGAAATAGATATATATCTAAGGCATGTGAACGATTTCTACAAATACAGTACTTACCATTTTGTTTTTTCTTGTCAATTTTGGGGATTTGTTTCAGAGAGTTGCATTGGGAGCAAGGAAGAACAGGTATGTGACTGAAGAGTAGATATCTTTATCTTTCCTTCCTTACACTTATTATGTATCAAACTATATTAATGATAAGAAGTGTATTGGTTTCTTTATTTGTTCAATGGTAAATAAATTCCTCCATACTTTGTTACTCACACTCCAAAACATGCAAACTGTTGTAGAATATGGATTTAGCTCATTTGCAAAATTGGTAAAGATTTCTGAATATTTTATTTACCGCAAAAAAAAAAGGAGAAATTCAATTGCTGACCAATCAAGAACAAGGCAAATTCATTAGGATTCCACAAAATCGAACAGGTGCAGAAAGTCATCCATCCAAGAGATCATCGGAAACAAAAATAAGTTAAAGAAAAAAAACTAAAGAGGAGTCTCGTCGCCAATGTTGGCTGAGAGTGGTTTCTAGATTGTTGAGTGGGTGGGGACATGAACTGGGAACTCATGAATTTCATCCATCCATGGGTTCTTCTCTTTTTTAGGGTTTACCGACCTTACGGCTCTCCAAACCGAGCTGTTGCACTTAAACCCTGAACCAAAAGCAATCTGCCAAATTCTATCACCTTTCTTGATCCTTCCTTTGGCCTCACTGTACGCCAATTCATACCACAAAGAGCTACTTGATGTGTTACCAAAACGGTAGAGTGTCATCCTCGAGGGCTCCATGTGCCAGTCTGAGAGTTTCAAGTTCTTCTCCAACTCATCAAGAACAGCTCTTCCTCCCGCGTGGATGCAGAAATGCTCAAATGCTAGTTTGAAGTCTGGGATGTATGGCTTGATCTTCATCTTGAAGAGTCTCCGTCCCACTAACGTTGCAAAGAACAGAAGCTGTTCAGATGTTGGCAGAACCAGTGGTCCTAACGTCGTGATGTTTGTCTTTAGAGCATCACCCGCAACAGCCATTAGATCTTTGGACAGGGTTACACCGACCTTACTCGCGGAATCCTCTTCTTGAGTTATGCAGCCAAAGCATTTATCGTCAGCTCCCTTGTGAGTCCTAACCGTATCAACAAGCTCGTATTTCGATCTTCTTCTGTCCCATCGTTTGTTTGAGAGAAGAATCGCTGCACCTCCCATTCTAAAAAGACAATTGGAGACGAGCTTTGACCGGTCATTCCCGAAATACCAGTTCAATGTGATGTTCTCCATGCTGATCACCATAGCGTAAGTGTTGGGAATGGTGTGTAGAAGATGTTTGGCAAGATCGATTGAAATCAAACCTGCACTGCAACCCATTCCTCCCAAGTTGTAGCTGAGTATGTTGCCACGGAGCTTATAGTGATTAACAACCATGGCAGATAAGGAAGGCGTCGGGTTAAACAAGCTGCAGTTAACAATCAAGATGCCAATATCCTTGGGGTTGACATTTGTCTTGGCAAGAAGCTCATCGATGGCTCCAAACATCACAATCTCTGCCTCCTTTCGAGCTTCTTCCATGCACGGGTTTGGAGGAACATTGAGGACAGCCTCAGGTAAGTAAGTTGATTCCCCGAGCCCTGAACGTTGAAGAATCTTGCGCTGGAACTCAAGGTTATCCTCTGTGAAAGAACCGGTGAGTTTAGAACGGTCCATGAAAGTCTTTTTGGTGCATTTACGGGCATCTTCAGGTTTATAGCAGGAGAAGTTGACCAAGTAGACAGGACGTGGCCGAGTCATGAAGTAAATGGTCATTAGAAAAACAAGAAGCGTGGAACAGAGAACCACAGAGATGAGATTGTACTGGAGATGCTCCCAGAGGTTGGCAAGATCCTTGAGGGAGAAAGTGGAAACCTGAGCAGCGATCACAAGGACGAGAGGGGAGAGGAAGAGGTACATGCCATGTGTGATGAGGTAATGGTAACCAAGCTTCACATACTTGAGCTTCACAGATTTCTTGAAATCAGGAAGATTCCGATCAGATTCTCCCATCAATGGCGTCTTCTCCTCAACCATCGCTTCCCTCCTGCTTCCACAAATTCAAAACCCCATCAAAAAAATATGACATAGATCCATTCACTCACAATCTACTGCCACTATAACTCAAATCAACTACTAGATTTGTAGTCAAGATCGGAATTTTTTTTTTAATCATAATGCATTTTACAAGACCTAAATTCGATTCCATTGTAAAGTAGCGTAAAAGGGAAAACAACCGATCACCTTGTTTCGAACATTACATTATTGAGGAAAAGTAACAGAAAAACAGAGTCTAACCTGAAAATTCAGAACTCTAGCCGCTTACGGAGAAACCGAGAAGAAGATTGTTTTTTTTTTTTTAAAGAAAAGCTAATTACGTACCACAATAATTCAAAGGACACTATTTTGAAAGTCAGACCTGATTGGTCGGAACTACAATACAAAAAACCTATCTGGTCTGGTTTACAATCCAGAAGCAGTCGGAGGGTAACAAAGATACCTACCATTTGGAACAGGCAAACCGGGGTAAATTTCGAAGAACCGCCTAATCCGATTTAATTGTTTACAAAAACCGGAGTCGATACGAAAGTGATCAAACCCTTTACGGTTCAACTTAGTCAAACCGGTTAAACCGATTAGTGCGCAACTTTCTGTTGCTTCTTTCTTTATACGGTCGTGATTGAGAAGAGGAAGGACAGAGTCGGAGAGGAAGATCGGAGGATGAGTGCTGAAGATTTACAGAAGAAGCTTTCCATCAGTGATTCTCTCACCGGCGAATTAGAAATCGAATGTGCGTTTCCCGAGGCGGATCTACTAGCATATGTAAGGGGTGACATGATTATATATGTCTTTACTTTTAGCATATGTAAGTAAATTCCATAGCAAATAAAACAAGTTCTACTTTCAGTAATTGCTTGTGGAGAAGTAAAATCCTTTCAATAAGTGAAACATCACAGCAATCTGTAACTGTAGAAGTGTTGGTATCTCAAACTCAGCATATGAAGCTTGGTATCGAAAGGGTTTCTGGTTGACTCGCTATCACAAAAATAGTACTAATTCAAAATCTGAGCCCACGACCACTAAATAGTCACGAAAATGAAGTAACTGAACTTGTACCTTTGCAATATCAGGTTGCAGGACAGAATCTTTGCAACCAAATACATACACATAGATTGTTTCGCATCACACTCCTAAAGTCCTTGTTCTCACTTTGCTTTGCAATGGAGATTGGATAGTTGAACTCAAGACCCATATCAAATCTTGTTCGATTTCACGGCCGGAAGAAGAACATACGAAAAGCTTCAACCCAAGAAAAAAAAAAAAAAAAAAAAGGAAATAATACAAAACGACAACCGATAACAAGCAAAACGCATATAACATCAATTGATGTTAATAATGTAGAGCTAGGAGCATTGCTTCCATTTTCACAAATTTAAGACCAAAACGATAATCCAGTAACAAATAAAACGCATCGGAAGAAAAAATAATAATTCCCTAAAATAATAGCTCACTCGCGAAAAATTTGCGCAATACCGTGTTTTGGCAAAATACGAACAAAATTGAAAGGGGACCTTTCGATTTTGGCCTAACGCGCGCAACGCGCACCAGGTGCGAGTGCGAGTGGAATAAGCAAACCGGGTAACATTCGAAGAACCGCCTAACCCAATTTAATTGTTTTCAAAAACCGGAGTCGATATGATTAAACCGTTACGATTCAACTTAGTCAAATCGGTTAAACCGATTAGTTCGCAACTTTCTCTTGCAACTTTCTTTCGTGTTTGAGAAGAGGAAAGAGTCGAAGAGAAAGATCGGAGGATGAGTGCCGAAGATTTCCAGAAGAAGGTTTCCATCAGAGATTCTCTCGCCGGCGAAATAGAAATCGAATGTGGCGGGTCTACTAGTTCCACGGTGGGTTCCGGCGTCGCCTCCCGAACCGTGGTTTTGCTTCGGAGACTGCTTGAGATTCAGGAGCGTCGAGCCCAGGCTTATGCCAAACTCAAAAGGTTCGCTCGATTATTGGAAACTTCTCGGAGATTTATGCTATTAGTTCGGTTTTGTTTATCCTAAACCTGGGCGATCAAACTTGTTTCTTTTCGGTTTAGTAACTTATTTGGTTACTGTTCTTAGGAATTTAGAGAGAGATGTCTCACCAATTCTTGATTTTTTCTTGCGTATTCGTCTATTTGCATGTTTTGTTACTTCATCTGTAAAACCGATTAGGATCTTGACTGTGTTTTCGAATTCAATTATCAGAGGATTCTCAGAGTATGTGGAGTCTAGTGCTGAAGCAATCTATCAGAAGCTGTGCAGCGAGATTACAGCAGAGTTTAACGAATGTTCCAAACAAGTATGGATTCCATCTGAGTTTTGTTAACATTCGGTGTTAAAGATTGTGCCTTTGGTGAAAATGACAATGCTATGCAGGTTCGCGAAATGGAATCTCTGTTTCTGAATCCAGAACTCGGAAGAGCTGATCTTGCTCAATTGCTTGGCGACATTCAAACTCAAGAGAAGCAGAAACTGCATCTGGTTTCATTCCCATTTACTCAAATCTCGATATCTGAATGGTTGAACAAAAGATTTCTTACATAAAGTTTTTTATTTTTGGCAGACCGTCACGATACAGGTACTGAAGAAGGCAGGGAGACCGTCAGAACGGATGCTGACACATGAAAATTGCAAGTTCAAGAAACCGATGCAGCACGAGTGTGTGCATCTTCACGAGATTACAGAAGCTGCAGGAACAGAGGAAGCAGAAGCGGATGCAGAGTATGATAACGCTTTAAAGGAAGCCATTAGAGGAGTGCAAGACGCTGTGACTTGCATCAATGAGTATTTGGAAGACATTAGGTACGAGATTGCAGCCCTTGAAGCTGATTAGTTCCCAATCCCTTCACTTCTTTACCCTTTCCACTGTCAACTTGCTGTGTTCAAAGCTGTCGCTAATTAGCACCCTAAGATATAAGATATTTAGAAATTGTGAAGGATCTGCAGATGGAATTTGTTGTTCTCAAAGTTCTCAAATCCTATTAATATTTTTATTTGAAAAACAATATTTGAAGAGACATTTTGTTACAAACTCAAACCGGTAATACATTCACACCTAAAGATTCCCACAAACCAAAATTATATTCAACTTTGCCCACCAAAAAATACATAAGTTATTGGCGATTTTGGGTGTCATACGGCCAACAAACTAGTCGCTTTGACCCATTCACCGTAGGTCCCGAAGTCCTTAACTCTGCCAAATGAACACAAGCACAAAGGTTTATAATGGTTTCTCAAAGAGCAAACATATCATCATAGGTGCTATTTGACTTACAAATGGAGGTTGGTCGGATCGATCTCGGGAAACAGGTTGAAATAGAATCGAAGCCCGTCTGGGCTCATGTCTCTACACAGCAAACCTGATCAAAACAAATGGGAGCGTGAGAACCGCATAAATCTGAGAGATTCATGTTTCTACGAGCTGGATTCTATTACCTTTGGTCTCTGCAGTTAGTAGATGTTCCTTGGCCATGGCTGGAGCAATTTTCAGTGTCAAAGCTGCATCACTAGCAGTGACTCCAGTTCTTAGAGTTTCGGTTTTAGTCACAAGCATTCTGATTCTACTCATAACCTGAACGGCCAGAAAAGTAATTCATCAGGTGGATGGAAACAAAAGTGAAAAGCAAAGCGAGAGGGTTATGGGTCATCCGCAGCAAGAAAAGTGAGAACAGGATCTAAAGCAGTAATAAATGGGAAAGAAAAACTTAAGAATATGAGATTAAGAGTACCTCCTCGTCACTATGGGACTTGTTTTGGATGACCATCACACCGCTATCAAACTTCCGCAGCATTACTGGACTACCAATCATAACACATGACAGAGTCAATATTACTACATCTTGGCTTCTTTAAATGGTCAGGTGTATACATTAGAACTTGAAAAAAGAATCGAGGGGGAAAGGTTAGAAACAATACATACACATCAACTTTCTCCCAGAGGGTACAAGCTTTCCACAAATCGTCTGGAGAAATCAACTCTGATGCAAAGAAAGGTTTCAGATTTACGAGCTAAAGACAAAAACAGAGTAAAGAACTTGGAATCAAAACATTATAGTATACAAAAGCTCCAACCTGTCCCACGAGCACGATTGAAGTGGTAATACATATCGGTAAGGCTGATCATCCCCCCAGCTTGTTCTAATCGGATTCTGACAAAATCTGCCAACTGCAGGTTTGCAAAGAAGGATTTCAACCTCAAATTCATGTAATTTGGGAGACTTGAAGAACAAGAATACTGCGGATTCCAACACATTTTGTAGGGGGACAAAATTACAAGCTTAGCAGTTGAGGGTTCTCTACTCGGACAATCATTGACTATTTGAAACATCGAACAACAAAAGTAATGCCCTTCATTTCACTATCCTACCAGCTGCTCAATGGAAAGCAACTCTCTCAACGTATAACAATGAACATAAGCTAACGATAGTGACACAAATATCTCTGTAGCATAATAATAGGAAAAGGACCTGGCGGGACAATTCTTGATGGTACAAGGCGCCAGCAGATTCTTTTGTAACCGGGGAGATAATACCAACACTCAACATCCATTGTTGCATTTCTTCTTTGGACCCCATTTCTTCATCATCAGTTGATCCGTTCTGACTACTAGGAGCAGACAAGAGCTTTTGCCGCATTTTTTCTGCCAGACTCACCATCTCTTTAGCCTTGCTCTGTAGAGTAAACCCAATAAGAGTACTAGAATTTAGACACAATTTGGCTTGTATACGAAACTAATAATCCTAAAACAGCTGCATCACAAGGAACCTATTAACCACGGGAAAGTTGAGCATTTGAACGAAATGGTCCAGACCGATCTTCTATCCATCAAAACTTCTCTACTTGGTATCAGAATTCTCTCTTTGAGATCCACGAAGGAATATATAACAGTGATTTATATTGGCAAAGAAGAGCAAAATACCATAAGAGCATTCAAATCCTGAAAAGCATCCTGCAAGCTCTTGTCTGTGCTCTCCCACTGTTCTTGCTCCTTCCTCAGTATCCCAGCCAATCCCACCATCCTCACCGTTCCATCGTTTCCGTATAATCCTTGTGCAACCGTTCCAGCTCCGGACCGGGAAGTCTCGCTCTCGCTCTTCTCCTCCTCTTCCCATGCCCTGCCTCTCCAACATTCCCAGAATTTCGTCAAGAAACCATCGAAATCCCCTTTCCCCCTGAAGACAATGGTCACGAATACCGAACCCGGGTCCGCTTGGAACCGGATCCGGGGCGAATGGAACATAGACTTGATGGATTTCTTATGGGAAAAGATGTGGGTAATTGCGGAAAGAGGAATGAAAAAAGGAACGGCTTCGTTTGACTGAGAAGGGATCCATATGAGACGATGAGTGGTGAGGATAAGATTTCCGGACTTCAAGGCGGTGAATCGCGGCGGATCATCTTCGGAATCCAAATCGACGGAGGAGAGGAGGAAACACTCGACCTCATTGCGGCGAAGCACGGGTCTGCCACTCGTAGTCACCTCCGCGTTCTCAAATAAACCACCGACTCCGATGCTGCTTCCACTGGCCATGGAGAACTAATTAGAAAGCAGATCATACAGCTTATAGCTGCAATTCCTCTCCAGTCCAATTCAATAGATCGGTCGACCAGTTTCAATCAAAGCTTGATCATACAGCTTCCCGGCGACGATGGAGGTGCGACGACGTTGAGAAAAGCGAAACCAGATGCCTGCGGTCAGAGAGATTCAACGGAAGAGAAGAAGCGAAAGACGATCATTTTAAGAATCGACCTTAGTTTCTTAAAAATGCATGTCAGTCCTTGTTATTAAAACATATTACTAAGCTTTACCTTAAAATTTTCAATTTTTACTTTTGAGTCCAATCTGTTCAGAAGACAAACATGAATGTATTTTGTTTTATCTCTGTTTAAATCAGGACAGATTCGTTAGCTATCCCTCAGTATGTATCAGGTCTGCTCTTGTTGTGATGCCCTCAAATTCAACTTGTAGCTAGGTTTACTAACATGAATTGTGCTATCTACTTATAATCGTTTTCCAAATTCTGTTTTCACCTTTGAACTTTTTGTGGCAAGGCTTTAATAGGCTTGAGATACTGTATATAGTGATTGGGTGTTGTTGATTTACTCATTTCATTCATAGTGTAAAGAAAGAAATATATTCGTAGCTAATGTTTGTCCTGATACACATAATCAGACCCCATTTTTTAGCACGTATATGGTACACGTATCTATTTACTAATCAGGGAAAAAAAATCATTTTCAATTGGTAAAAGACTCGTTTCTTTATTTATCAAAAAGAAAAGGACCGCGTTTCTTTCCTCTTTGTAGCGCAAAGTCATAAACTCACTCGACCTAGCCAGAGCCGTGCTTAGCTTAGCTTGTTAGGAAAAAGGCATTTGCCTCAAATTCCTGATTTTTTTTTATAAATATAGGGCCCCCAAAACCTAAACTTTCAACAATATATTGATTAAAATATCATTTAAAATTTAATGAGTGTAAGATTTTTTTTCCTAAATAATAATTGGTAAGAGATATTTTATATTCCCACTATTTCAAATAAATAGATAATTAAGAAAAAAAATGTTTCAAATCAATAGATTTTTAAGTTTTTTTATCTATTTTTATTGTTTAATGGTGATAAATTGTAAACTTAAAAAAAATAGTTTATTGAATTACTATTTGTTTAGAATTATATATAAATGCTAATCATAAAAAGATGCATTTATGATCAAATTATAAGATATATTTTTAATATTTTTGAAAAGTTTAAAAAATTTATTACTTAAACACCAATAGAATAATAATAGTTTTGGTGTTTTAATTTTTTTTTTTTTGCTAGATCGAATTTCTAATAATCGTCTTACGCTCGGTAAGCTCCGGTCTAACTACTTTGTTCTTGCTCCCCTCTGAGCACGGCACTGCACCTAGCTCAAGTAGCTTATCCTCCAAACAAGATTTACAGATGGATCTTGGGAAATGTGTATGAGATTTCGATGGAGCTTCTGGAGACGTTTTCAGTGAAAGAGAGTGGAAAAGAAAGAACGGTGGATAAATTTTGAAAATAAAAAAAAAAGTTTATTTTGAAACTAAATTTTAAAGTGGAATTTTATGGTATTCTGTACAGAGTCGTGCCTGAGAATTCTCAGGCCCCAAGCAAAAAAAATTAATTTAGCCTCCTCAATCGTTTTTTAAAAAATGTTATAACAAAAAAAACCAGTTGAATATCAATGCATTTTATATAAAATATGACTATTCTTGCATTTTTAGTAATAAGGTGAATTCTTATTTATAGTGTAGTTCTTTTTCTAAATTATTTAGTTTTATCGATGTGAGACAACCATAAGACTGGTTTTTTAAAAAAAGAAAGAAAGAAATGACGCATTGTGGATTCAAACCTGCGTATTAGAAGAAGAAAACACGCATTCAATATCAGCTGCGCTAACTCAGTTTTAAAAATTTTGGCCCCAAAATTTTATTTATTCTCTTTGTTCCTGAAGCACATGCTTCAGTAGCCTGTGCTCAGGCACATGCTTCAGTAGCCTGTGCTCAGGCACATGCTTCAGTAGCCTGTGCTCAGGCACATGCTTCAGTAGCCTGTGCTCAGGCACAGCTTATGTATTAGTTTTCGAAAATACTAATAGAATAAAATCTTATAAAAAATATCACTGCTCTTCGGTATGAACCTTACTTGCAAAGTCTACCATCAAATTACTTGAATTCCTATTCATATTCTTATTCACCGTTTACATAATCGAAGAAAGTCTACCACTTTTTGGTACTTTAAGAAGAATAAAAAACAAATGATTGTCCATCATAAATTTATCCAAAGAAATTGAGAAATTATACAAGTTTATCGGTACATACTTCATTTTCACCAATTCGCAATAATCTGTCATGAAAGCTAGTGATATCTCGTTTCAAAAATAAAATAAAAACTAAAAAAAACGATATCTTAAACTTTAACCAATTTTTAATACTGATACTAGTGCCTCACTTTCTGCTAATTTTATGACGTGTTGATGTTTTTTGAAAGTCTTATTTTGTGGTACTATATAAAGATTTTATGTGCTTACTAATAGTATTTAAACAAACTTGCAAGAAAGCGATGCCGGAAGGTGAATTAATAATGTACATAGACTATTGCTTAATCTGATCATCATGCATACAACTTGGTTCCAGTCATGTTAGTATGTTACGGCGATATGTACAGTATTAATTAAATACTTAAACCGATATTCGGTCGTTAATGATGAATTGATGACCAATTTGCAATTATTTCAAATATTTTGAATTGTAAGAGGATAAATAGCTTTAAAGTTTGAATAACTCTTAAGATTTACATTTGCTAATTAATAGTAACACAATCAATAAAAAATTTATATAAAAATAGATAAAATAAGGGCGTGCATGGAAATCGTTTTCGTAGAATTACTTAAATCGGTCTGGGTGGCCATGTGATGTGAGCCTCTTGAGTCTTGACTTGTTTGTCGTTGTCTTTTTCTTTGTTTATTAATTACAATTTACAACTAATCCGAGTAATAAAATATTGGTTTGACGACGTGGCTAAAAGCCTAAACTAGTTTTGATATGTATAGATTTCTGTATATTACTTAAACGTGTTCATGTTGTTTTAAGTTAATTGTACGTATTATTTTGAATATGACTAGGTAATTTTACCATTTGATTACGACTTCTCCGTAGCAGTTTTAGATTATTGTGTCATTCAAAACAACAATTGTACATCGTATATACTTACACTATGCGTGCAAGTTTATAAAAATGTATGATCTGGACCATTTTATACCCTGTTCAATCATTAATTCATGCCAGGCATCAAACCATTTCTTATGCAAAAAATTATTTTCTGCTTGATCCATTAATGTAATCATTTTTCTGCTTTTATGTACATACGAGACTACGAGTTACCTAATTTAACATCTTTGGTATCTTTGAATCTTATTGATCTTAATATGTAAAATTTACAAGCATCACTTTTATACGTATTGATAGTGGTAAGGTTATTATTACATTAATGGATATATAGGTGTAAATTACCACTATCAGTACGCATAAAAGTTTGATGCTTGTAAATTTTACATATTAAGATCAATAAGATCCAAAGATATTAATTTTAGCGAAACTATTTTTGGAAATACTTAAGCAAAAGAAAAAACATTTTTGGATAAAAAGAAGAAAAGTAAATAGTTCTAGAAGCCTAAGAAATGTTTCGAGTGCTTCTCTGGACCAACACGACATGACTTTTCCTCACTTTCTCTTCGTATCTGTGTGTTTTTATTTGTGCCCAAAATGAAATCTAAATAAATTTATAGAAAAAAGGAAAATTCAACAAAAGATTCGTTTACGTCGCCAGCCATTGGCGACTTCTCCTTCTTCTTCTTCCGACCCTCTCCTGTTCTTTGTCTCCAGATCTCTCTTCTCTCTCTCTCACAAGTCGTCGTTTACATTCGTCTCCTTCTCGTTCTTCGTCTTCGTTTCCTCTCGCAGACGAGATACGAAACTCCATTTATTAGCCTTTATAATTCTCTCTCTTTCTCTCTTCTCCTTTAATTCCCTTTTTTTTTCTCTGCTTCTTCGTATTGACGTATTCGCTTGCGTCACCTTTCCATCTCTCTTCATCTCTTTCTCCTCCTCATTCCATTTCTCGCGTAGATTTATTTTAGCGCGCAAAAGTGAAATTCTTCAAGATCCGGATCTGCCCATTGGGAATAGCTAGGTCAATTTTTTGCCTGGATCAATTCCATTTTCGTGTCAAAAAGGGCTGCTTTTTATCCGATTAAGGATCTTCTGGATCTGCCCATTTGCTATAGGTTGGTCATTTTGCCTCCGATTCAGGATTCTGTGTATGATTTTCAAGCTGATTCGAGCTCTCTGGGGTTTCTGGGTATTCTTTCTAAAGCTCGAATCATCTTCTTCGAGAGATTTGTTTCAATGAATTTTCCATTTAATCCGTAAATTTGGTAAAGCTTCCTGCTTTCATTGTCCATCAATTCGGCGAGTGGTCCCCGAAGTCCTGGACCCGTAAATCCCATCGATGGATTCCAGGAAATCGATTGATACACACGATTCCATTTTGGGTGTATCTTCGAGATGGAGCGTTTCTTCCAAAGACAATTCCGTCAGAGAAGTCACTTTCGGTGATTTGGGATCAAAGCGTATCCGCCATGGATCAGCTGGAGCTGATTCAGAGATGTTAAGCATGTCCCAGAAGGAGATCAAAGACGAGGATGCTCGTTTGGTTTATATAAACGACCCAGAGAGAACAAACGAGAGGTTTGAGTTCACAGGGAATTCCATCAAGACAGCCAAGTATTCTGTCTTCACCTTCTTGCCCAGGAACTTGTTTGAACAGTTCCATAGAGTTGCTTACATATACTTCCTTGTAATAGCAGTGCTCAATCAGCTTCCACAGCTTGCAGTCTTTGGCAGAGGCGCATCCATCATGCCCCTTGCCTTTGTCTTGTTGGTCTCTGCTATCAAAGACGCTTACGAGGATTTCCGGAGACATAGATCAGATAGAGTTGAGAACAATAGGTTGGCTTTAGTGTTTGAGGATAATCAGTTTCAGGAAAAGAAATGGAAACATATTCGGGTTGGGGAAGTCATCAAAGTCGAATCGAACCAGACTCTTCCTTGCGACATGGTGCTCTTGGCTACAAGTGACCCTACAGGGGTTGTCTATGTGCAGACAACTAATTTGGATGGAGAGTCGAATTTGAAGACGAGGTATGCCAAGCAGGAGACTCTGCAGAAAGCTGCTGATTTGGAGTCGTTTAATGGGTTCATCAAGTGTGAGAAACCGAATAGGAACATATATGGGTTTCAAGCCAACATGGAAATTGATGGAAGAAGGCTCTCCCTTGGACCTTCTAATATTATTCTTAGAGGATGTGAGCTCAAGAACACTGCTTGGGCACTAGGGGTTGTTGTTTATGCTGGTAGTGAGACGAAAGCTATGCTGAACAACTCTGGAGCACCGTCAAAGAGGAGTAGACTGGAGACTCGGATGAATTTAGAGATCATTCTGCTATCTTTGTTTCTGATTGCCTTGTGTACAACTGCAGCCGCGACCGCTGCTGTGTGGTTGAGACGGCACAGGGATGACTTGGACACGATCCTCTTTTATAGGAGAAAGGACTACGCCGAGAGGCCAGGAGGGAAGAATCATAATTACTATGGTTGGGGTTGGGAGATATTCTTCACTTTCTTTATGGCAGTCATCGTGTACCAGATCATGATACCCATTTCTCTCTACATATCGATGGAGCTTGTTCGTATTGGTCAAGCATACTTCATGACCCGAGATGATCAGATGTACGACGAGACTTCAAATTCAAGTTTCCAATGCAGGGCTTTGAACATAAATGAAGATTTAGGGCAGATTAAGTATCTATTCTCTGATAAGACGGGTACTCTCACAGACAACAAGATGGAGTTTCAGTGTGCCTGCATAGGAGGTGTAGATTACTCTGACAGGGAATCTGCTGAGAGCGAGCATGCTGGATACTCCATTGAAGGTAAAGAACTACACTTTCTCAATAATTTTTATACTGTTAAGAGTAGTATGTTTATCTGTTAACTGACTGACACTTTTGATGATGCCTTAATTTATTATGATACAGTTGATGGAAATATTTTGAAGCCAAAGATGAGGGTGAGAGTTGATCCTGTGCTTCTTCAGTTAACGAGAAATGGCAAGGCAACAGAAGAAGCAAAACGTGCGAATGAGTTTTTCCTCTCACTGGCAGCTTGCAATACAATTGTGCCAATTGTTACCAACACATCTGATCCCAATGTAAAGCTGGTTGATTATCAAGGGGAGTCCCCTGATGAACAAGCATTGGTCTATGCAGCAGCTGCTTATGGTTTCTTGCTCATAGAGAGAACCTCTGGTCATATCGTTATTAACGTGCGCGGAGAAATGCAAAGGTAATTTAGACATGTGACGATTAATTTCTTTGCCATGTCATTGCATATCATAGTAGTTGCCCTAGAGAATTTATTCCTGTTCTCTTTGCCCAGTGCAGGTTTAATGTTTTGGGATTGCATGAGTTCGATAGTGACCGAAAAAGAATGTCTGTGATACTGGGATGCCCCGACATGTCAGTAAAACTCTTTGTAAAAGGTGCAGACTCATCCATGTTTAGTGTCATGGATGAATCCCACAGTGACGTCATAGAAGCGACCAAGAAACAACTTCATGCTTACTCGTCTGATGGTTTGAGAACTCTTGTTGTTGGGATGAGAAAGCTGAACGATTCAGAGTTTGAGCAATGGCATTCTTCCTTTGAGGCGGCTAGCACTGCCTTGATTGGTAGGGCTGGATTGCTAAGAAAGGTTGCTGGAAACATCGAGACTAGCCTTAGGATAGTAGGAGCCACTGCAATTGAAGACAAACTGCAGCGTGGTGTCCCGGAAGCAATAGAATCTCTCAGAATTGCAGGGATTAAAGTATGGGTCTTGACTGGTGACAAGCAAGAAACTGCCATATCCATTGGCTTCTCATCGAGGCTTCTGACAAGAAACATGAGGCAAGTTGTTGTAAATAGCAACTCATCGGATTCATGTCGGAGGAGCTTAGAAGAAGCAAATGCCAGTATTGCTAGTAATGACGAAAGTGTGGCCTTGATTATTGACGGTACCAGTCTCATATATGTACTCGACACTGATCTTGAAGATGTGGTAAGTGAAATTTTGATGAAGATACCTTGCGTACTCTTTTTATGGCTGTCTTTCATGGTGATGTAATTTCTCGGTTTTTGGCAAATACAGCTCTTCCAAGTGGCATGTAAATGCTCTGCGATACTCTGCTGCCGTGTTGCTCCTTTCCAGAAAGCTGGAATCGTTGCGCTTGTAAAGAACCGGACTTCCGACATGACTCTTGCCATTGGTGATGGTAATGACTCAAATCAGTCTGACTGATCTTGTCTAGACAGCAACCCGGTTCGTATTTTATTTTCTCATCTTCTCATTTGCTTCGGGTTTTGACAGGTGCCAATGATGTCTCCATGATCCAAATGGCTGATGTTGGGGTAGGGATCAGCGGCCAAGAAGGTCGCCAAGCTGTGATGGCATCTGACTTCGCTATGGGGCAGTTCAGATTTTTAGTTCCGCTATTGCTCGTCCATGGACACTGGAATTACCAAAGGATGGGCTACATGATACTATACAATTTCTATAGAAATGCAGTTTTCGTTCTAATTTTATTTTGGTGAGTACCTTCAATAGTGCCTTTCTATTCTAATTCGTCTTAAAACAATCACCACGGACTAACCCTCGCAATTTTCACGCAGGTACGTTTTGTTCACTTGCTACACCTTGACAACCGCCATTACTGAATGGAGCAGTGTGTTGTACTCAGTCATATACACATCGTTCCCTACTATAATTATCGGTATTCTTGACAAAGACCTTGGAAGGAGGACTCTTCTCAATCATCCTCAGCTCTACGGTGTTGGCCAGAGGGCAGAGGGATATTCCACTACGCTCTTCTGGTATACAATGTTCGACACAATCTGGCAAAGTGCAGCGATCTTCTTCATTCCTCTCTTTGCTTATTGGGGCAGTACCATTGACACGTCGAGCCTAGGAGACCTATGGACCATTGCTGCAGTTGTGGTAGTTAATCTTCACTTGGCCATGGATGTAATAAGGTGGAACTGGATCACACACGCCGCCATATGGGGATCCATTGTTGCAGCTTGTATATGTGTCATTGTGATCGATGTTATACCCACTCTTCCTGGCTATTGGTAAAGTTCTTTCTCCCTACAATTTATTCTGTTAAAGCAAATTCAAGACTCTTCTGGAGATAGAAGAAAGTCACAACTTTCGCTGCTTTTTTCCGACTTTTTTATTTAATGGCTGTGACAGGGCAATTTTCCAAGTGGCTAAGACATGGATGTTCTGGTTCTGCTTGCTTGCCATTGTTGTGACAGCATTGCTTCCTAGATTCGCCATCAAGTTTCTCGGTGAGTATTACAGACCTTCCGATGTTCGGATTGCTAGGGAGGCTGAAAAGCTTGGAACTTTCAGAGAATCCCAAACTCTGGGGATTGAAATGAACCAGATTCGAGATCCTCCAAGGAGATAATATGATCAAAGACACATTTTCTCAAATCAAAATTCTTTATACCCTTCAGCGGAAGTAAATATTAATATAAAATATATAAAATATATATATTATATATATTCCATTTTTCCCCTTGGTTGCTTACTATCTCAAGAATAGAATTTGTTGGGTTGTAGTGTAACAAGATTACATAATCTCGGCTGTAATTTTCATTTTGTTGTAACATACGCACCAGTTTTCCTTTGTAAAGAGAAGAACGTCGAAATCTGATTTTATTTCCTGGTTAGTCAATTCCCAGTTAAGTGCCTATTCAAGTTGATTTTGTCTACATAGTTTAACTTTTCATTTTGATAAAAAATAAAACCGATAAAACTGACTTGTACCCTTTATCATATAATCATCAAAAGATTCAAAACAAGGTACAAGTTTCCAGCGTTTTGTCAATAAAAACGATCTAAACACTAATAAGATTACATATCCAACAGGAGAGAAACATGAGAACACATATTCTACAATCCGAGAAATAGATAAGCTTTCCATGAAGCAGTAAAAATCCTTCACAGCTTGCGTCTTATGCTGTTGAAGAGAATATCAAAAAGAGGCTTAACACTTCTTTAGTTGCCACCAAAAGCAGTCATCCACTGATCCCTGCCAGATAAACGAAATCCAGAGACTCCACATGTTAATCAAATTCACAAATTTATATAGATTCAGTAACAAATAGGAAAGAGATACTGACCTTTTCCTTCCAAAATCATCCGACTCCAGTTGTTCACCAGAGGTCGCTTTTCTCGCCATTATCAACCAAATGAACCACGGCAATACTCTGATCCGCACAAGCACTTTTTCTTGCCATAAAAAGGATTGCCATTTTCAATTCCGCTTGGTCGAGAAACTCCATAGTCGTATGTTAACTCAGTCATTGGAGGGATGTGAGATATGGCAAAGAAGGCCACATGCAAGAAGAGTTGACTGTTATTTTCATAAGTAACCGGCTGCCAGAAAACGTTAGGGGAGCAACTGTGATTCATGAAACGGGCAACATTCCCAACATTCTTAGCACTGATTATAAGAGGCAGCGGGATTTCAGGTTCTTCAGACATCTCCTCAGAAGCAATTTCGTCTGCTAAGCCAGGCTCATAGTTCCATTTGAAAGGGGTATAGACACGGGTTGTATCAAATGTATGATCATCATTAGCCATAGTTTGTTGCACCTTCGACTTGTCTTTGGCCTCACCTGCATATATGCATATAAACGACCCAGCACGAATAGGATCCCATGAGCGCAAGCCCCATCCTCTATTCTCTGTCTTGAAAACTTCCAGCTTCACTTTTACTCCCATTTGAGTCACCTTGTTTTTGCAAGCCGAGCACGGGCAGGATGGGCTGCATTCATATATCATAGGCTTGCGGCTAACTAGAACTCCATTGCCCGAGTATGGGAAATCACCTCCATTTTTCCTAATGCAGTGACAGTCCAAGTTCCCTGGTTTGCATGAGTTACTGCAACCGCATCCAAAAGAAGGCTGTGGCAGCTTAAACGAATCGGAGTATTTTACCGTAGTGGAGTATGTGAAATAAGCAGGCCCACTCTCGGCATCAACATCATTCACAAGTGAAACGGCTGTGCTTTCAACTCCAGAAGTGAGATCGGTAAGAATAAGTCCTTCCCTGGAAGGCAAACCAGTCTTCCACTTCTGGATCGCAGTCCATGTAGCAAATGCAGGAGGTTGACCAGGAGCTCGCACTAGTTTATACTTGAAGGTGTTGTGTCCAGATTTTCCTTTCTCTACCCATGACTCTTTGATCTCGTAGAGTCCATCATAAATATAGATCTTAGCACTCTGAGAAGCCTCTTTCAAGCCCCTTATTACCCTAACCGCACTATTCCTACGCAAGCTCTTCTCCAACGCAAGATTACCCCTCTCGAGCTTTTGGTCAGATGTTTGCTTATCTTTATCAGCATTACCACCACCCTGACCAGTATAAACCAAGACATCGGGATTACCTTCGTCATTATCATAATATCCAGATGACACAATGCTAGTGGCGATAGGCTCTTCTTCTGCTTCTCCCTTGACAATCAGATAGTCAATGCCAGCCATCGATGGAGAATGTAACCCCACCAAACACATCTCAAACCTGAAGAAGAAGATGTCCCCAATCTCAACACCAGGAATGATACCAGGTCTTTTCTTGGTGTTTGTACGGACACCTCTGCTCATACAAGTAGATCCTGATTTCAAATCAGCGCGTTTGATGATTCCACTAACTGCTTCCTTTGCATCCTCCAGTTGTGAAAACCTTCTTCTTAGCGCATCAAAACGCATAAGAATACTCGTCACCAGCTTCCTATTGCCATTCTCTCTTTCAGCCACTGTAATCCCACTCTCGAAATTCACATTCTCAGGCCGAACAATTGGACGCTTCTTAGTGATCTTTCTTTTCACAGTTGAACCCTCAGGCTCCATGTCGCCATTAGACGCATCAGGAGATCTGAATGACCTCAGAGGAGTAACCAACGAAGGTTCAGATACGATTTGCGTTTGATGTTGCGGTGGATTCTGTGGCTGGTGTTGCGGTGGGTTCTGAGGCTGATGTTGCGGTGTATACTGAGGCTGATATTGCGGTGTATATTGAGGCTGATATTGCGGTGGATTCTGGGCTTGATTGAGATCAGGTGTGTGTTGATTCGCTTGAGAAGACGAGCTAAATGGATAGAATGGTGAGAATCCAGGAGGAAAAGGTCCAAAAGGAGGTGCGCACACAAAAGGTGGAGCTTGATTTCCGCTGGGGAAAACAGGTCTTAGAGAACGCAATGGCTTGATATCAAACACTCTCGTCTTATCGGTGTAGCTTCCAGAATTCCCTTCCATTGGTTGAAATTTACCAGAATCAGATTTTCACTTGAAATGGAAAATGAAATCCCCTAAAAGCTATCGAAGATCTGGGAAAGCAACTTCTTCTTCACCTTTTGCCACAAAACAGAGCTTCTTAGTATAAGCCTATATCAAAAGATCAGAGATTCACAAAGCCGAATTAAACGCATGCACAGAGAAACCATCATCGCATATTCAGAGATTCAATAACAGCAACGGGTGTTTCACAAAACAAAACCCAACAAGCTCGAAACTTGAAAATGAAACCTGAAATTGGCACTTGGGAATCGCGCACTCGTCAAGCTCGGTCGTCAGATTAGGGTTTCCGAAAAGAGAGAGACAGAGAAAGAAGAATGAGAGGGAAACAAATAGAGAAATAATTTCCAGCTTGGGAAAATTTTGTTTTTTAACATTTTTAGCGTTTATTATTAACGTCTGAGATCTCTTACCATCTGTGACTTTCACTGACATCTGTAACTGTTAGAGAAGAAGCTTAGATTAGCCGTTGGATCAAAATCATTTGTTTTTTAACCGTACAAAGATCTAATATGACTGGTTACCTGCGTAAGAGGTTGTCGTTTCCGTTTCATTCTCGTTCTATGAAGTGCATTCGTCACTTCGTGATATAATGACTTTTAGGAACTTTTGTCGGTTACCGGTTTTCACACGTGTGTAAGAGTTTGTCGTTTCCCTTTGCTCAATCTTTTTCCTCTCTCAAAATTTGGTCCAATCTGGAAAAACCGATCCGATTTAATTCAACCAAATCAGAATAGTCGGTCCGATACCAAATCATATTTGATATCGTCTAAATTGGTTTTTTTTATATATTCAAAAAATAAATAAAAAATCAACCAAAACAAACCGGAAAAAAAAAATCCAAAATTAAAATTGTAAAAGACTTATATGGGTAGCGCATGAATTGGTGTCTGACTGTCTGGTGAGCAATGCACAACAAGCTGTTCAAGAAGTGAGTTGATTTTGACTATGTATTTAAAAATTTCATTGCGATTTGTTTGTCTATAATAAAAGAGTGATTTACACTAAAAGGCACTTTTACAACTTCTTCTTACAAAAAAAAACACTTTCAGCTATTAGGATACTTTTTCTGTACTTTAAACACTGTTTACACCAAAATAATCCGAAATTGCCCATGTGTTAACGAGAACGGTGGATGCAACTCGTGGATACCGAATTAAACCCCAAATTTTAAAAACATTAATTATTTTCCCCTTCAGTTTTGTGCTGTATTTTTCTGTAGTGTAAAATATATAAAACAATTTTTTTTGTTAGATTGAATTCTAATTTTATTTTGTCATTGTTTTAAGACCCATTATGTTATACTTTCTTTATCAAACAAAATTTTTTTCAAATAACCTTTATAAAAAAAAATTAAAACAACAGAAATCTACTTAGATATCCATTCACAAAATACAATGTGGATGATGCATGATGGACATATAACATGGATACGATTGCGTGGATATATTTTCAATCGTATATTTGACGTGTATATACATTTTATATTGTCCACATTATGGACATGATCGTGTGGATATGTTTTTTATTGATAGATTCGATATGGATATACATATTATATTATCAATAACCTATCCACATGATCATGTTCAAATTATAGACAATATAAAATGTATATCCACGTCGAATAAATGAATGAAAACCTATCTACATAATTGTGTCCAAGTTATATGTCCATCACGCATTATCCACATCGTATTTGTGAATGGATATCTAAGTAGATTTCTGATTTTTTTAAAAATTTTATAAAGGTTATTTGAAAAGTTTCTTGTTTGATAAATAAAGTATAGCATAATGGATTTTAAAACAATGACAAAATAAAATTAGAGTTTATTTTAACAAAAAAAAATATTTTAAATATTTCATAATACAGAAAAATACAAAACAAAACAAAAGGGGGAAAATAATTACTATTTTTAAAATCTGGATTTAATTCGGTATCCACAAGTTCATATCCACCATTATCGTGAACACAAGGACAATTTCGGAATGAAAAATAGAAAAATCACCTAATAGCTAGAAGTGCCAGTGTAATATGAGTTTGGGCCTTTTACTGTAATTATTTCATAATAAAACCGATAAGCTGTTAAACTGACTTGTAACGTTAATCATAGTCATCTAATCTTTTTAACCAAACAGAGGCTAAGTATTTCTAGAGATTCGCCCTAAAAAAAATCTGAAAGCAAATAAGATTACATAACGAGTTTCTAGAGATACGTTTTTCAAATTATCATCAACCAAATGAACCACGGCAATACTCTGATCCGCAGAAGCACCTCTTTCTGCCATATAAAGGATTGCCATTTTCAGTTCCGCTTGGTCGAGAAACTCCATAGTCGTATGTTAACTCAGTCATTGGAGGGATGTGAGAAATGGCAAAGAAGGCCACATGCAAGAAGAGTTGACTGTTATTTTCATAAGAAACCGGCTGCCAGAAAACGTTAGGGGAGCAACTGTGATTCATGAAACGGGCAACGTTTCCAACATTCTTAGCACTGATTATCAGAGGAAGCGGGATTTCAGGTTCTTCAGACATCTCCTCAGAAGCAACTTCGTCTGCTAAGCCAGGCTCATAGTTCCATTTAAAAGGGGTGTAGATACGGGTTGTATCAAAAGTATAATCATCATTAGCCATAGTGTGCTGCACCTTCGACTTGTCTTTGGCCTCACCTGCATAAATACATATAAACGTCCCAGCACGAATAGGATCCCACGAGCGCAGGCCCCATCCTCTATTCACTGTCTTGAAAACTTCCAGCCTCACTTTAAGTCCCATCCGAGTAACCTTGTTTTTGCAAGCCAGGCACGGGCAAGATGGGCTGCATTCATATATCATAGGCTTGCGGCTAACTAGAACTCCATTACTGGTGTAGGGGAAATCGCCTCCATTTTTCCTTATGCAGTGACAGTTCAAGTTCCCCGGTTTGCATGAGTTGCCACAATCGCATCCAAAAGAAGGCTGAGTCAGCCTAAACGACTCTGAATATTTCACCGTAGTGGAGTAGGTGAAATAAGAAGGCCCGTTCTCGGTATCAACTTGGTTCACAAGTGAAACAGCCATGCTTTCAACCCCGGAAGTGATATCAGGAAGAATGAGTCCTTCCCTTGAAGGCACATCCGCTTTCCACTTCTGGATCGCAGTCCATGTAGCAAATGCAGGAGGTTGACCAGGAGCTCTCACTAGTTTATACTTGAAGGTGTTGTGTCCAGATTTTCCTTTCTCTACCCATGACTCCTTGATCTCATAGAGCCCATCATAGATATAGATCTTAACACTATGAGAAACCTCTTTGAAGCCTCTTATTACCCTAACTGCACTATTCCTACGCAAGCTCTTCTCCAGCGCAAGATTACCCCTTTCGAGCTTTTGGTCAGATGCTTCCTTGTCTTTATCGGCGTTACCACCCTGACCAGTGTAAATTAAAACATCAGGATTAGCTTTGTCGTTATCATGATATCCCGAAGAGACAATGCTAGTGGCGATAGGCTCTTCTTCTGTTTCTCCGTTGACAACCAAATAGTCAATACCAGCCATCGATGGAGAATGTAACCCCACCAAACACATCTCAAACCTGAAGAAGAAAATATCCCCAATCTCAACACCAGGAACAACACAGGTTCTTTTCTTGGTGTTTGTACGGACACCTCTGCTCATACAAATAGATCCTGCTTTCAAATCAGGGCGTTTGATGATCCCGCTACTTGCTTCCTTTGCATCCTCCAGCTGTGAAAACCTTCTTCTTAGCGCATCAAACCGCATAAGAACATTCATCACCAACTCCCTATTGCCATTCTCCCTCTCAGCCACGGTGATCCCACTCTCAAAATTCCCACCTTTAGGCAGTGCAATTCGAGTTCGCCTTCTAGGAATCTTTCTTTTCACAGTTGACCCCTCAAGTTCCATGTCACCATTAGACGTATCAGGAGATCTGAATGACCTCTCCGGAGTAACCAACGAAGAAGGTTCAGATGGATTTTGAGACTGGTGTTGCGTTGGGTTCTGAGGCTGATGTTTAGGTGGGTTCTGAGGCTGACGTAGAGGTGGGTTCTGGGCTTGACTGAGATCTTGTGTGTGTTGATTCGCTTGAGACGACGAGGTAAACGGATAGAATGGTGAGAATCCAGGAGGGAAAGGCCCGAAAGGAGGTGCGCACACAAAAGGTGGAGCTTGATTTCCGCTGGGGAAGACAGGTTTTAGAGTACGCAATGGTTTGATATTCAACACTCTCGTCCGATCAGTGTAGTGTCCATAATTGCCTTCCATAGTTGGAAATCAAATTTCCTCGACTCGGATTTTGTTTTCAAACGGAGAATGAAATTCTCCAAACCAAAATCCCAGCTACAGAAGATCCAGGAAAAATCCCAAATCCACCTTCTTCTTCTTTTAACCTAGCTACGACCAGCTTCTAACACAAGCCGCATCAAAGATCAGAGATACTCAAACCCAAATCAAACGCATTGCACAGAGAAACCATCATTGCAGATACTCTTGTTACCCTTTTTGTTCCCTCTTATTTTCTCCGTATACAGATTCAAACAGGAAGAGAGACTAACAACAAGAACCGATTTTGACAAACAAAACCTATAAAGCTTAAAACTTCAAAAAGAAAACCTGAAAAAAAAAATCGCACTTTTGGGATCACGCACTCTTCTAGATCCCTCGTCAGATTAGGGTTTTCGAAGAGTGATGCGGAGAATTAGAGGGAAACTCAGTGAGGAAAAAGAATTGTCAAACAAGAACAGTCTAGGGGTTTATTTGACATTTGTGATTTGTGACTTCAGTTATAGAAGCTTAGTTTAGCCGTTGGATCAAAATCATTTGATCTTTAACCGCACAATGATCTCTAATATTATTCGTTTTACCCGTCGCTCAATTTGGAAAATTTTAATTTTCTCTCACCCTCCACCCCCCCCCCCAAACTATTACTTTCTCATAATTTTGGGCCAAACATATATGTTATGATACATTAGGTCCTAAAACTAAAGAAATAATCTATATCCAAATATAATTTGGTTTATTTGGTTGGTGTCTTCAAATTTATTTTTAATTGCTGATTTCAGTCATAATTTCTTCCTTTCCACCATTAACGTCAATCATAAATAAAGTCAAAACGATAATATTAATAAATGGATGTGGATTCTCAATATATATTAAAAAAGAAAAAACAAATGTTTTTTATTCTAATCTTTATTGATAATAAAAGGAACAAACAAAGGGTTCTGTATCTTCACGGTTCAAATAGAAGATCAAAGAACTCAAAATTCACAAACTTATAGTACTTAATAAACATAGCCACACACGTTACGAAACACACACGACATGAAATCAACAGAGCAAGTAATATAGGACAAAAACATTAACACATAATCTTAAGAAAAAGAGATGTGTTAGTAGTTTAATTACTTGCGTAATTACTCGATGGCACTAAACTCCTCGATCATCTTCTTTTTCTTGCAACGGTTGTTCATAATCGCATGGACCTTAGAGCAGTTACAAGGCATGAACATGCAGCCACGAGTACCATTAACCCCTGTTATGGTAGAACCACCGAGCTTGCGTGCGATCACAACCGAGTTAACCACGTCATCGGTAGGATGATAGATGGTCAAGAGCTGAAAGCCATTGAGATCGGAAGTGTCAACAATTGGGTATAAGAAAGCTCTAAGAGCATGAGCGCTCCTTAGCATGAGGACAGCTCCAGGTGCCATGTGTTTCTCCAAGTGCTCAATAGCTTTGACCTTTGCCTCTTTGTCCATCCCAACAAGAGCCGCCAAGAAAACGACGTCGTATTGGTCTAGCCCTTCCGTAGCGTTTAGCACGTCGGTTGTGTGGAAGATCATGCGTTTTGAGAGGTCCGGGTCACGAGAGACGAGGCTTGACGCGAGAGTATTTGCGTGTGAGTCGATGTCGAAGTTGTGGAACGTCGTGTTCGGGAGGTGAAACTTGGCCAAGACGATGGATGTGAGAGGCATCGGACCGGAACCCACAAAGGCAATCTTGGTTGGGACATGGCTCGAGTGTTGACTCAAGAGATCGAACTCTAGCTTGCCTAGCTTGAGGTAGTTGTTGTAGTAAGGAAAGATGTGTAAATGGTCCAGTGGGTTTTGGTCTTCTTGTAAAGATCCCAAGATTGTGGAGAAATGTTGCTCTAAATAACCTTCGGCTTCACCACATAGCTTGATGAGGCTTGATCTCATGTCTTTGACTTCTTCAGACATATTTGTGACATCGATGTTTGTGTCTGTGGGTAAGCACGTGGACACGAGTTGTCCGAACAAAGTGTCGACATTTTTTGAAGGTTTTAAGCTCTCGAGCTTTGAGATTTGGTCGTATAAGTCGATGATTTGCTTCACAACGAGATTGTTTTGGCAAGCCATGTCGACACTATGAGGTTATTTTTAGGAGAGATGATAAGTATTGGATTTCTTAAATAATTTTTCTAAGACTTTGAAAATCTTTGTGTTGTGGCTTTAATCCTCACAAAGGGTCGTTATTTATTGGCAGTTGTAGCTGTGGGGTCCATTCTTCGCTGAAATTGTTTTATCTATCGAATGATTCTATTCATATACGTTATTTATAATTGGCATCTAGAATTATACAATTTTAAACATAATAATACTTAAAATTTAATACTTGTTTAGACGTATAAGACAGAGTCACAGACATGTAAATGAATTTGTTTTTCTTTACCAGTTAAAAAACATTCATATCTACATTAGATAGAACTTATCTAAACAACTAATTAATCATTTAATAAACTGGATAATTTTTTTCTTTATCTTGAAGGATCTATTTTCATAATCCATCATTTTATACACAAGCATTATATATTCCATAAATCCATATATATTCCCTTTTTGTAACAATATGTATTCCCATTTTCATACTATTTTGCAAAAAGAAAAAGTGCGGCATTAACCATTCCAAACTAGAAGGCTTTACCCACATGGCATGACCCACAACCTGGACTACCATATGCATACTTCTTTGTTCCAATCATATCGTTCATTATTATAGGATCACAATATGTAAGATTATAACTATATATAATTGAGCTTCTTGGGATAAGGTGTCGTACGATACACACAATTTTTTTTAAAACTGTATGATGCACACAATGTTTATAAAATGTGTAAGTTATGGGTAACTTATGGATAAGCCTTCCTGAACGGTGAACAGTCCCATATTGCGGCTGAGAAGGTGAGAAGGACCTCTAGGCAAAGGCTCCCAAAGAACCCAATCTCTCTCTCTCTCTCTCGTGTAGCTAGGTCAACATGGTGATGACTTTACCCCAATCTTTAGCTCACTTTGGTCACGGAACGTGAAAACCAAAAAAAAAAAAAAAACAAAATACAAAAAATATTGCTTCTAAATAAGTTAGGGAGAGGTGGATATGTTTTGGAAGTTTTTAAGTGCTTATGCTGAAAGTGATGTCTTCTTAATTATTTTGTTATTCTTACGAAAAATTATATATATACATGTAATGTATTCAATTGACACGTATCACACTGTTTGGAAAGTGATTTGCGTTTTTACTCGACTTTGGTACGATTTATACTGATTTCGACACCCTAAAAGAATTATTGATTTGTCAAACTCTTACACTAGAGTGTAAAATTTGCATAAAGTATGTGTGCAGTTTCATTGTTATACGTATGAATGGAATAAAAATAGGAGATACATTGTCTTTATATAATCTCGCTCGTATATAATTGAATGTTTGATTTTTAATATTAGCGATTCATTCATATACACGAGACAACTTATTGTAAAGTTTGTAAGTGTAATTAATTAAGGCATGTCTCAGAGCATAATTTATAAGTCACCACGATAATCTATCATACTTAAATATTATTTTTAAGACATATGATCTAATTATTCGATATCATGCATATCGTTTAGCGTTCGATTACAAACACTCGTCATATAATAGATTCCATTCACTCGCATGCGTGGTTGGGATTAACTCTTAATTATTTTTTTGAGAAAGTGGTCTACTGGTCTAAGCGGGACAAAAATGGTTGGAATAGACAATTTCGTCGGATTCAGCTAAAACTTAAAAGCTGTCTCTTAAGTCTTAACCATTTTTATTGTTTACAATGAATATGTGAAGAAAATAGTATGTTCTCGAATCCAACGGCAACAAAGTAATTACTCTTTTGTAAGATGAAGAAAAAGGGGTGAGTTCCCTTTTTTTTAAAAAAAAAAAACTGAAAAGGGGTGAGTCTTACACTTTTATTTCTCTTATTGTTTTTATTCATCTCAATAGTTCCATTCAATTTTTTTTTTCAGCGCTATTCATTCCATATTGAGTCTTACTTCGTTAAACATGTGAGACGGACGACTAACCACAAGTTCTAGTTTTAGCGGCACTTTAAAGCTACAAAAATTACCTTATCTTGTAAAAGCATATAATGATTGAATATATATCGTAATTTTTTTTTTTAAGTTAGAAATAAACAAAATTACATGACCGTTTTACCGTTTCATCATTTTTATGGACTATTTTTCAGACCACACTAAACACAAATGAAAAAAGAAAATACTTAACATAATGACATGTTTTAACACTGCTTCGAATTAAATATAAATGATCATAATTAAAATAGGACAAATCTCTTTTGCTGTTGAAATAAACTTGACGTTACATAAACATTGATTTTATTATTTAGATTAGTGCCTTTTGCGTAAACGAATGGCCAATTTGACGTCCCTCTCAACGTACGTTGACAGATATGATCCTGAAAGACAAAATGCAATTTTGTATTCAGACTTCAAATCAAGCGTACTACAGTAAGCTTTGTAACTTCTTGTTGAACATGATCCTGATTGTTTCATGTGCTTTTGTTTTATGTTTTGATTACTACACAACAGAGAAATTAACAACTAAGTTAAAAAATCCATGATATTTGTAAATAATAAAACCATAAATTTGGAAAACATCTAAAATAAGTTTCAGTTTCTCTTTTTAGGTCAATTTTTAAAATTGGACAATTTAACCGTAATTCACTTATGTATGAAGAGAGGGTTGGTTGACTACCAAGACAACATCCATCATGTAGCTGTTTAAATTCATAATTAGACAACCATACATGCTTTGTCTATTTATAGCAATTTCAACTTTCAAGAGCCATAAATACAACAGAAATCCCAAAACTCAAATGTGTGATAGTGCTTTAGACATTTTAATATATGTGGTGACTAGAACAAAGATTTGCAGCCACTAATAGAAGTGTCTACCAACACGTCAATATCAAAGAAAAGTTCTATCGATGCCAAAAAGGGTGCTTTCCGCATATTATTAATGATATTTTGAGTTGTAAATCATTTTCTGTAAAGATGAGATTTTGTGCTAGCTAGTCGTTAAACGAATCCCGACGTAAATGAAGAATTAGTTCGGTGATCTTATATCCGTTTTTGACACATGCCAAAGAACGCATTTTCAAATATGAACAAATTTAAATCATGTGTGTTTATCTTAATTTCGAGGTACCTCTAAGGATTAAGGGTAATTTACTTGAACCGAATTCGGACTAGGACTAGACTGTCGTTTAGATGTGCCTGGCTTCTGTAAGCCGCATGGACATTTCTCAGCTAGTTTTTCCGGTACTGGAAAATGTGGTCACGATTCCTATCATTCGGGTAATTAATACAAGTAGATAAATAATCTTATTTATGTAGAAGTTTTGGACTTTTGTAAGATCATGCCCACACATCTCCAAACCCGGCCTAATAAATCATGAAAGAAACAAATATTTGCCGTTATGCAGTGATACTATTGGCATAAATTAGGTTATACGTATAAGTGATTTGCTTTATATAAGCTACACATTTACGCTAATTGATTCGTTTAAATCTTGGTGATAACCTGTTTTTCTGTTTTTTTTTTTTGCAACATTCCCTTAGAAATCTTAATGCGTGACTTAAACAACAATGGATTCTCTTGAAAAACCGATGCCGCTAGAGAGAATATCTCTTCCAGAAGTTTTGAAGTTTACGAGATTACAAATTAAAAAAAAAAAAAGACGTTTGGAGGCTGTGTATGGAAAACTCCCCTCCAATTATTTACAATGTGCACTTCACTATTTCATTAAAAATTTCATAAATCATTTATATATTGAGAGAAAAAAATATAAGTGGACATACATATATATATTTGATGGTATCCCACCTAGTGATGGGATACATACAATAATTTTGGTGAAGATCTCAACTAAATGTAATATTTTGATTGAAAAGAATATGTGTAAAATATAAAATAAAAGGAATCTTACAAACAACTATAAAATCAAATGTCATTTTCACTTATATATGCATATATAAACATCAAGATCGGTTATAATTTAAAAAAAAAAACATAGGAATAGAACCAGCAAGATTCTAGCATATACAGTATATATAAAAACATGAGAAGCACTCGCAATGTTTTCAGCTTAATAATGAAAAGTATCAAACAATTCATCTTAGTGCCTCGCACGCATATATGTATGTACCGCGTAAAACCAAATTCCTTAATAATTCCAAGCCATTTAAATACAGAAATCATCAGACTCTATATATCCTCAATGTAATTGAAAACGAATTACTCAAAACATTTGATAATACAAAACAACAATATCAATATCAGGAGGGACCCGATAGGAGGAAATTACCAAAATGTCCTCCTATGGCAAACTCGACGAGTATGAGCAAGCGAGACTCGAGGCAAGTCGAAAGACGAGAAAGAGAATCGCCATTATCGCTATATCTTCCATCGTTCTCGTCTGCATCGTGGTCGGAGCCGTCGTAGGAACCGCAGCAAACGGTAACGGCAAGAAACCGTCGTCGACGGAAGATAACGGAGACTCAATCTCCGTCTCCGTGAAAGCCGTCTGCGACGTTACATTGTACAAAGAGAAATGTTTTGAGACCGTTGGATCGGCTCCAAACGCGAGCAGATTAAACCCGGAGGAGCTATTCATATACGCCGTCCAAATCACAATCGCGGAGCTCTCAAAGGCTCTCAACGGATTCTCCAACAACGAGCACATGAATAACGCCACGTCAGCAGCAATGGGAGCTTGCGAGGAGCTTATCGGTCTAGCCGTTGACCAGCTCAACGACACGACGACTTCAATCAAAGAGAAAAAGACGACGCCCTTGAAGAGCGTGGACGATCTAAGGACGTGGCTTAGCTCCGTGGAAACGTATCAAGAAACGTGTATGGAAGCGTTGAACGAAGCTAACGAACCGAGCTTGACGACTTACGGAGAAAACCACTTGAAAAACTCGACGGAGATGACGAGCAATGCGTTAGCGATCATAACGTGGCTAGGGAAACTCGCAGACACGGTCAAGCTAAGACGTCGTCGTTTGATGGCAACTGGTCATGATGTCAGCACTTTTGACCTGGCGATGATGGAAGGACGGAGGCTTCTAGAGAGAGGTGGTGATTTGAGGAAGATAGCGACGATCGTGGTGGCAAAAGATGGCTCCGGGAAGTATACGACGATAAGTGAGGCTTTAGAGGAAGTGGAGGAGAAGAATGAGAAGCGGACGATCATATATGTGAAGAAAGGAGTGTATTTAGAGAATGTTAGGGTTGAGAAGAAGAAATGGAATGTTGTGATGGTTGGAGATGGACAGAGTAAGACTATTGTCTCTGCTGGGCTCAACTTCATCGATGGAACCCCAACGTTCCAAACCGCCACATTTGGTAACTATGCAAACATAATAATGTTTATTTTCATTAGTGTGTAATTTTCATACATGATCAAATTGTTTATTCCTTTCTTTGTAATGTATATGCAGCTGTGTTTGGAAAGGGGTTCATGGCTAGGGACATGGGTTTCCAAAACAGTGCTGGTCCAGCCAAGCATCAAGCCGTAGCTCTAATGGCGAGTGCTGACTTAGCCGTGTTCTACAGATGCACCATGGATGCTTTCCAAGACACGCTCTACGCTCATGCACAGCGTCAGTTTTACCGTGAGTGTGACATCTTTGGAACGGTTGATTTCATATTCGGAAACGCTGCGGTTGTGTTCCAAAATTGCAAGATCTTGCCTCGTCGTCCCATGAAAGGCCAGCAAAACACCATAACCGCTCAGGGAAAGAAAGATCCGAACCAAAACACCGGAATTTCTATTCACAATTGTTCCATCTTGCCTTTGGATGACCTAACCGATATCAAAACGTTCCTAGGCCGGCCTTGGAAAGATTTCTCTACAACGGTGATCATGAAGTCGTTCATGGACGGATTTATCGACCCGAAAGGTTGGTTACCTTGGGTGGGAGATACTGCACCAGACACGATCTTCTACGCCGAGCACTTAAATTCCGGGCCAGGAGCCTCGACAGAGAACCGAGTTAAGTGGAGAGGGTTAAAGACTTTTTTAACAAAGAAGGAAGCGAATAGGTTTACGGTTAAACCTTTCATTGACGGTCATATGTGGTTGCCGGCTACCAAAGTTCCATTCAAATCTGATTTTTGATTCTTTTTACTGGAAATGCCAAACGGAGAAATTGATGGCTAGTCCTTCTTTAACATACAATTTTCCCTTTCAAATTACATCACATATATTGTGTATCTCTCAAAGTTTCTGAATTTGTTTCTTACCATCATCAAATTTAATCATAAAACCAAAAAAAAAAAAATGTAATCATAAGATTCAATTGATTTCCTTTATGAAATTTTACACATGTTTTGAGTTGATTTTTAGATTAATACAATTATTTTTGTGGTAATTTCCTTCACGGATATCATAAAAATATATTTATGAGTCATCTGATACAAGAGTTCCTTTTGAAGTAAAAAGAAAAAGGTCTTTTCAAAAAAAAGTTTTTCTCTAAAAAAAGGAACTTGAATTTAAGAGCTGATATCCACAAAATAGTTTTAACATAAATTTACCCCCTACTACACAAACCGTTCAACCCTGTATTATAACAAGTAACTAACATCAAATTCAGATTTCGAATAACAAAAAGGATTATTTTTTTTTGTTTGTATTTATTAAATGAGGCCGGATCAATTTATCTATATAATATGGTAGTACATTTTCATTCGGTGTGAAGCAAACCGCCGTAGAAGGGAATATCGGTCTGGGGCAACCAAGTGTCTCCCAAAGTGAAATTATACACGGTGAAGTTCATGGCTTGTGCCAAGTTCAATAGGCTATATCCTGACCACTGGACCCTCTTGCTCGTGTTAGCACCTGGTCCAAAGTTGTCATATTCACCATAGGAGATTGTGTCTAAACCGGTTGTACCATTCCATTCTAGCCACCCTACCGGTTGGATTGCATCGCTGATGTAGGATTGTATGTATACCGTCCTTGAGTAAGGCTTCCATGGCCGCCCAAGAAATGTCATGGCCGGGTTGGGATCAGCTGCGAGGTCCGGTGCGGCTCCAATTGTACAATTAATGATGGAGATTCCGGTTTTTTGGTTTGGGTCGGTTCTTCCATGGGCTGTCACTGCATTCTTTTGTTTTGGCATCGGTTTTCGGGCATATATATTGCAGTTTTGAAAGATCGCAGCTGCATTTCCAAATATAAAATCTATGGTACCTGTAACAAAAAAATATTTAATAATTCAAAAAACATATGATGTATATTATTATGTCATATATATTTGTCGAGGAAAAAAAGATTATACCGTATATATCGCATTCACGATAAAATTGTCTCAAAGAATGGACGTAGAGAGTATCTTGATAGCCTTCGAAACTACACCGATAAAATGTCGATCCATCAGCATTGTTTCTCACAGCCACGGCTTGGTGCTTCTCTGGTCCAGCTGTGTTTCGGAATGTCACATCAACCGCAACAAATCGGTCTCCGACCACCGCTACAAACATGCACCAATGAAAGTGTTATTATTATTTTTAATTATATCATTCTAAGATATATAAACCAAAATGTAGAAAAGTACAAAAATACCTACCAAAGGTTGAAGAATTATAAGTAGTCCAACCATCGATAAAACTGTGGTTTCCTGTAATGATGGTTTTATTGATCCCATCTCCAATAAGCATTATGTTTCTTTTCTTATTCGAAATGACAATATATTCCTCGTAAAGACCTTCCCTTGCATAGATGACGAAATAGCCTTCCTCCGGTAATGTGTGGTTTGGTGCGGCAGCTACGGCCTCAGTTATGGTGGTGAAGTTGTCGTTTTCATAAGGACCAACGATCACTGCTTCCCTGACAAGAATTGAGCCACCGCTCGTTTCCCCTAGCTCACCTAAATTCCTGTCAGCTTTACGACAATCCTTGCTCTTGTCGCATGTTTTGCGTAGAACCTACAAATTACAGTTACTTTGTCGTTAGTTTTGTATGCGTATTAATTATAGTAGTTTATGCACATTTTCATGTTCATACTTGTAAAAGTGATGTACTAGAATACGGGAATACATGTGAGGGTATTGATTGGACCCGGAAAGATCATGTGGACCCATGTGATTTTGTTCGCATATCTTTCGCTGTGGTTCATATATATAGTTTTTAAAGTTGAAAGTCAAACCCAAACGCTTTTCGACCTGTTCACACAGTTGCGTGACTTCATATTCTACCTCATCTATCTGAAGAGACCAGCCATTAAATTTGTTTTCTCCCTTAAATTTTTAAAATTTAACTATATGCATATATTTTTTTGAACAAGGCTTAACTATGCATATTAATCCCTTAATATCTGGAATGTTAACATTAAAAATCAGAAAGTGCATATGAAATTCATTTTGTCTGATACATTACAGCTTACCATTTTATACCTTAAAATCTAAAAAACGAGTGAATTTCAGTCAACACATATAAATTTAATAATTATATTATATGTAAAAAGCTATTAAATTTTTAGAATATAATTTCTTACTCAGTGTTTTTTATTTTGAAATATTTCTGTACCACCGTAGCTGGATGCTTAAACCAAGTAAAATAACTATTCCCACATACGTATTCATTATTAGTGCTTTTAAAATTTTCTTTTTTAAAATACTACGTATTCATTATTAGTTATTTGGAACAAAAACAACATAATTAACGATCTTGAAGAATATTAAAGTCACCCTTCAACAAATAATACTTTATCTAACAATTTCTTTGTATATCTGAACATTCCGACATAATAGGGAATTCTACTGCCCCTTTTGTCCTATTCTAATTTAATAATCCCATAATACGAGTTTATGAAGAAACCTACGACGACGACAAAAAAATTAAGAAGAAGATTAAACTAAACGAAATTTACCTTAATCAAAGTCTCGAGCGGTTCGCGAACTGCTTTTTTACCACCACCAAAGATTTTCCCTTGTTGTCCTTTATACCTCTTCAGATTACGGTTAAGCGCGTGACCCACAAGTCCCAACGATACACTGTATAGGCGCGTGAGATTCCCCAACGGCGATCCAATCGCTGTCGCAAACGCGCTCTTCGCGTCTTCAAGACCGTCGAGGCACGTCTGCTGGTTCGTTACAACGCCGCCGAGAAGACTCGTCACACGATCAACGAGCGCCTCCGTCAGCAGCTCCGCCGTTTTCAGTTCCTCCCAAACCGTTTCGAGGTATTCAACGTTAAGCTTCGCCAGGTCGCCGCAATCAGCCACCGCACTTACCTCTTCCGCCGTAGACGCGCCGGGATCTTTCTCCACGCGCCGAGAAAAGCGATTGAGCACTTTGGAGAGGCGACGTGCTTGTTTGAGACATTGCTTGAGTGTGAACTTTCCGTCGGACGGTGAGTATTTCAAAGCGGAGAGGATCGTGCGGCAGAGCTTTGGGTAAGAAGTGGATTTACAAGCTATGTTTGCTTGCTGCGATGGAGGCTGAGATGGAGGCTGCGACGGAGGCTGAGATGGAGGCTGCGACGGAGGTTGAGATGGAGGCTGTGATGGAGGTTGCGACGGAGGCTGGGATGGAGGCTGCGTCGGTGAGATTAGCAAAGCCCATGACAAACACAGAAGAGTCAAGAACAAGAGACATGAAGAGAAGTGTTGTGTTTGCATTTTTTGTTTTGTGTTTTTGCAGTTACTTGAGTTTACTTCTCCCTTCTTGAATATCTACTAATTAGTAAGAGCTTGTCCTATTTAATGTATGCATGGTATAGATTTATATAGATATACGTTTATAATGCATGGTTAGAGAGAGAAGCTGATGAATAATGTAATGCATGTTGCCTTGTTTAGGAATTAGGAATTATTGGTCCGAGTGAAAATTGTACATAACTTTACGAAATTATATTATAGGCACGTATTATATCATTTCAAATAATGGTCCTTTTAGATTTTCTATAGATGCTCTTCTGAATATGTTACCGTAAGATCCAATGGAGTGCAACAGATTGTCGAGTCGTACATTGACCAAAATATATGGATATTAATAATTTATGATATGGTTTCAGATTTCGAAATTGGATGGTGGCTTATTATATGACTCTAGAGTCGAACCTACGTTCATGGCAACTTTAGAGAGAGTTTTTCGAAAATAGAGTTTTTAGGCTGTTTTTACAAAAAACAAAAAAAATCATATACGTACAAAATAAATATTTTTCGGCTATAATATATCTTTAATTTGTTTTATTACTATATAATTAAACATTTGCAAATGTGAGGTTAATTAAAAAAAAAATGTTTCTCTTTATCTTATCTTCGTACAACAATTTAACCAAATTTACGTGATTTAAAAATTTCAGTTATACTTTTGATAATTAGACCTCTAAATTTGTTTATTGAAAATAGATTACCATAATGTGTTGTGGCAAATCTTTTGCTATGAATTTATGTGTCTTTTAAATTTACGCCTAGAGAGGTAAATTTTGACAGATCATTTGGCAAACCAGGCTCTGCATCTGTATTCTAAAAACTCTGTTTGAGATCTAATATCAATCATTGGTACGTTTCAAAAAAAAAAGATGTATGTCGAGAAGCAAAATTTGAAAAATAAAAATTTCAAACTTCTCTTAAATATTATATTGCATAGAAATTAATGATAAAAATAAGTGAAAAGAAAAAATTATGAGATAGTCATGACATGTTTAATGATTAATTAGAATGAACTTAAAATGAATACATGTGAGGTGTTGCGGAGCTTTCGGGCGGAAGGAAAGACCCGTTTGTACGAGTTTTTGAAATCTTAATCATCACTTTGTTTGTTACATTTTACAAGTTAATTCCATTATTATACTTTTTCCAAATGTTGTTTACGATAGCTGATTCTATTTAAAAGAAAAAATAACGTGAAAAAGTCAAATTACAACACTAAAGGAGTTCTTAGCAAAAAAACAAAAACAAAAAACACATTGTTAATTTTAAGAGACCAATACTCAATATGTAGATAGAAAATACATTGGTCTATTCTATCTAAAGTTTTAAGCTGAAATTAAATTTCAAAAATACGGTTGTTTGATGTTTTGTGGATTTGTAATATATTATCTACGTCTTAAACTCAATCTTAAAACATTAGGCAAACGGTGGTAACTTCCGGAATACTTTGGGATACAGAATCACACAATCGTACTATGGATGTGCAATCATGCACATAACCTTAGTTGCTTTAATAAAAAAAAAATCAAACGTTAATATTGAGAAAACATTCATATTTATTTATATAATAGACAGAGAATGTTAAAGAAATAATTCATAAATTATCAAAATACAACATCTCTTAGTTGGCAAATTTGTCAATCAAAATATAAGCGTTTTTGTTTTGCTTGGCATTGTGGTACAAAACCGGAAGACTTGCCGATTTTGTTTGGTTTGGTCGGCCAATAGTATTATTTTTTAGTATGGAAAAAGGGTCTACATTTCTCCTGTAAAACAAATAATACTCTAGACGATTCCAAATGTTGCGTTAGTGGCAGTACTGTAATAAACGTAAGCAGTGTGGCTTAAATATCTACCAATATGTCTTTCAACAGTTGATATATATTATTATTGTCTCCTAGTTCCGGTTTTACCCTCGCAAACCTCAACGTTGACGACAAACACGGCGCAGACCGGCCGGTGATCGGAGAATCGCGACTCGCCGCGCACGTACGAGAGCTGCCGGATTCCATCCCCGTGCCAAAGAATCCGATCGCACCTAAACGAAAACCGGTTCAGCTTAAATCGAACCAAAACCAATCGAAATCAAAATATAGAATTCATCCGGTTAAATTATACCAGGCAGGAGTTCTTCTCTTGTTCTTTTTCTCTTTGGCAGTGTCTCCGGCATAAGCATCTGAGTTATAAGAGTACTTATAAGTTGGTGCGAAGAAGATTTTGCCTTCGTGCCATCCTTTGAACACTCGTCCTGCGTCTCTTTCAATCTTGAGCTGTAATTAGTTTCAGAACCAAGAAAACGGTTTAGCTTTTCTCGAGTAGTAGTAGTAATCAATCTAAAATTTTGGTTTTTTGGGTGTAAAGGAACCGTTAAATGAACCTGATCTTTGTTAAGAAGAGCGTCCCAAGCGTTTTTATCCAAGAGCGTCTTTGTTTCTGAGTAACTCAAAGCTATTCTGTAGTTCAAATCTCCGAGCCAGATTACCCGACTGATTGTAAAAATTTTTTAAAAATCACTTATTGTCAATTGACTTTGAGATGAAAATCAATGAAACTTAACAAGAGATAATATGTGGGATCTTAAATCTTACTCGTGCTTAGTGATTCGATTAGGGACACGGGTGAAAGACGTTCTGCAGATTCTGGGGAAAGTTGTGTTCTTGAGAATCTCAATTACATCTGAGTTTCTGCGACGTTCGTCTCCTTCTCTCTCGCCAGAAGCTAGATGACTGCAGATGAAGCAGAAGCTCGTCTTGTAGAGCTGCAGACTCACAGCTATGCATCCCTTTGATGATAAAGAAGAAGAAAGAGATCAGAAACAGAGCAGATTTTTCTTGTTTTGGTTTTAAAGTCTGAGAGTGGTAAAAGCACTGTACCTTGTTTCCTAAGCAACCCATGATTCCGCGGGTGACACAAGAGATTCTGAGATGAGTAACATGTTGAATAAGTTCTTTTCTCATCCACACAGTGAGGAATATTCCCACCATTTGCTTTGATGCCACTAGACCATACTTCATCATCATCTGGTTGCTTACAAGAGAAGCAACCTTTCCTCCTCCTTCCTCGTCTTCGTCTTCATCATCATCATCATCATCTTCGTCTTCCTCTTCTTCGTCATCAGAAAGTAAACCGGATTGGTTAAGAAGAGATTCTGGACATCTGAAACAAGATTCTCTCCCGTACTTTTTCGCAATCTCTTCAGAGAAGGAATTACAGTTACAGATCTTCAGCTTTCTCCTGCACTCTGTTCTGAAACTCTCACTGATCTTCTTCAAAGACGGTTTTGCAAAGAACATAGATCCAGCGCCAAAAGATGGAGTTTTGGGGCCAAGTCGTCCACCACTACCAGAGGATGATGTTGATTTGTTCAAGGATTGATTGATCATAGCTAGCCACTTCGCAGCAGGCTCGTTGTCTCCAAGCACAAGTACATTTCCAGCATTCAGTGGAACAATCTCCTGAAAACTATGAAAAAAAGAAAAAAACTATCGATAACCCCAAGACATAAATCTAAGCAATAGTCAGAGAAATCAAGAAAACAACTTACCCTAAAACGTATACATCGAATTCGCTGTGGACATGAAGCAAAGCATCAAGATCAAGACCAGAGTGAGGAGATTTTCCTCCTACGTTCCATGTTGCCACAAAGACTCTTCAAAATTGTAAGCAAAACCAAAACATTTAGAAATGAAAACAGAGCAGCTCTGTTTCGAGGGGTATAACAAAAAAGAGATTTTTATTGCAGAACAAATCAAGAAAATCATTTCAAAGAGAAAAACACTAACACAGATGTATATATACCTCAAGGATTGGAGTTGCTGAGTGGGCATTGAAGATCTGAGATTGCTCGAAGATAACAGAGATTCAACAACTATCTCGGATTGAGATTCTGCAAATAATAAAACGAAGTCCAAAAATATCTGCAAAATATGAGACAGAGACCAAAAAATTTCTAAAGCTAAACATAGACAGACACACAAAACACATTGATGTATATATACAGAGGGACATACTATTAAATATATAGAGTGGATCCGACATGTTTATTTTTCAAGGATTAAAGGTACTTTCTTTGGAGGGTTCTCAAGGTATGAGGGAGAATTCGAGGGCTTTCTTTTTTCAGGTTTGGTCTCCGAACACAAAAGAATTAGAAAGAAACTAGAGCAGAAGGAACAATTCAATCGCCAAGGGGGCTTTTCTTATCATTATTTATTTTGTTTATGCAAGGCTTCAGTTTTCAATCCGTTTTTCTTATATTTTTAATTTTTTTTTGTTTTAAAAAAGAAGAGGTCTTTATCAAGAAGCAAAGAAGCATAAAAATATCTGAAAGAATATATTCTGAAAAAGTCTGAAATCAAGAACACTGTTCCCTTTACTTGATACTTATATGCCCCTGTTTCTTTGCTTTTTCTATTATACAAATCTTGTTTTTTTTTTTTTGAACAAAAGGGTTATATAAATCTTCTTCTTCCTCTTCATCTCTCCTTTTTTTTTTTTGTCTATTATATGGTGTATAGACGTATATTTACATTATGAATGAATTCTTTGATGCGTCCTTTGACCGAACTTTTTGTGTATAACCAGTTTGACCGAACTGTTGAGAAAAAAAAAAACCAGTTTGACCGAACTTTTGATTACTTCAATTAGAAAGTAACGTTTTTAGTGCAAGATGAATATATATTGCATAGATCGAGAGAGAGCCTAGAGCTCTCCAATCGCTTTAGTTTGATTTTTTTTTCGAGTCAAGTAAACAATCTGGATTTAAGCTACTTTAGTATGCTATAATTTTGGTATTTTTTGCTATAATGTTAATTTTATTCGGCGGTTTTAACTTAAAATTAACTATCTGATTCGGCAATTTACTAATTGTCTTTTCGACTTTGGTTATCATTTTCCGAATGATTGATTAGTTAGTTGGCAGATTAGATGTACTTTAATTGAATGTGGCATTTAATCATAGGTGTATATTCTGCACGATCATAATCAAGTTGATGATATTCTTGTAAGAGGATGTTGACTATCAAATCGACACTGTAAGATAGGTAAGATGCGCTTTAGTGGATTAACAAAATCAATTGGTAAAGTGGGGTCTTATACGTTGCATCGACATACAGTAAAATCACACTTAAATAAAATACGGATAAACCAAACGAAAGCTAAAACAAAGCGTATTTGGTTAATGTTCATCTTCTGATCCAAATAAATCAAAATTTCAGACAAAACCAATCTAGAATCGGAATACAAACTCCTTCCGATGAGATGGCTAGTTTACCAACCTAATTACTTTTGGTTTTATTATTTCCGATTTTACAAATTTAATCAATTCTGAAACCAAATAAGCCAAAAGATAGCACAACAAAGACGAGTAAAAGTGTAAAACCAAACAATACTCTACCGGTCTTATCACACAGAATCTGATGCTTTCTTTTTCTTTCCAAAAAAAAAAAAACTGGCAACAAAAGAGATGTGGACAAATAAATGTTACAAAACAGACGAGATCTATCCAGTTCCAGGTGAATTGTCCTGATCAAGACCGGTTTCCACAACAGAGACTGGGTCTGCTGCACGCCCATGAACCCTGAACCGGTAGATGCAAGTGTGGGAGTCGCTTCCGTGGTTGGAGGTGAAATCTAGCCTGACAGTATCGACCACACCAGAGCGTGATGAATCTAAGATGTTGAATGTCTGTGCGTTCGACCTGTCTAGATCGTAACTGAACTCTGTCAGAAGTTGCATCTTCTCTGTCTCGACTGAAGATTCCTGTCCTTTTCTTTGCAGCCATCCTGATACACGACAATCTTTTGGAGCACTAGACCTGTCGTAAGCTACGTTCTGTCCATTTGACAATACACGAATCCGTCAGGCCAGTGTATATACTCTCCAAAACTAGAATGATCAGAGCTTGTCTTTTAAACAGTGAAAACAAAGTAATGAGCTTATCCAACTATCTTACTATTTTTCTTTCATTTCCCTCTGTTTCTGTCAAGGAAATAATCCCACACTAGAAATAGCATAGTCCCAGTAATTGCAAATAGAAACAGAAGATAACACAAATACATCAAAAAAAAGACCCATTTATGCATACTGTTGACCTCTTTGACAAAGATTTTAGATCCTTTGATAGTGTGGCACTGTGTAATGAATTCCGAAAAAAGAATTCAAGAAAAAACAGGCAGAAGGCCTTCAAGAAATTCCAGTGGCACACAGAGAACTGGAGAAGTATGATAAGACCAACTGGATAATGAGAAAAAAGAAGGAACCTCGAGACTAAGCAGCTACTGACCTTAACTAAACCCTGAGGCTAAACCAAACAATTCATAAACTTTGTACCTTGCCTCTACCGTGACAAAGAAAATTCCATCATTTTTACCAGGCATCCCAATATCAAACTATTTTCAACAGACAATCCGGTAATATATATTTTGGAAATGCAAGCACCAACGGTCTTGTGAGTACACAAGAAGAAAGCTGATACTAAGATATAAATCTTTTGCAGTGCAAGAAGGATTACCTTAGCTACATGCTCCAAGGTGAAAGCCTCTGGTACGATTGGTCCTCTCAGCCTGATTTGAACAAAGCCATTGCTACCTTTCAGAGGAAAACACTGTCCAGGCTCCCCGAAACTCGGAGATAACATCTTGACCGCATTGGTATGAGCACGCCTACTAGTTGTCGCAAACAAGTTACTCCCTTTCCCAATAAGATAAGGATCTGAATGCTGCATCACAAAAGCACCACCAGACGCCAATGCATAGTCTACTCGGCCAAGGCCATCTGCAGCATGCTTTTCAATCTCTTTCTCCATGATTTCACGAGCATATGCCCTTAATTCATCGATGCTAACGTCGCTAAACGCAGAATCATCCACGTTGCCTTTCTTCAACTCCTCATAAATCCTCTCTAGCTCATCTCTCGACACCCAAGGTTTAGCATTTACTTCTTCAACTGACTTCTCTAGTGAGTCGGTCCTAGACTCTATCTTCTTCAACTCACTATGGAACGCAGAAGATTTCGTCTCGAATTCATGCCTCAGCGCTTTGGCTTCCCTCGCAATCTTCTTATCAAGCAATTCAACTTGAACTTGCATCGTATTCGTTGTGGCCTTTACAAGACCATCTACTTCCGCAATTCGGCTCTCCAATCCCGAAAACGCCATCTCCGTTTCAAAGGAAGAAGAAGAAGACGGAGAGGACGAATGCGCAGCTTTCAGAATCATTTTCCTCGTCACCTGAATTAACCCAACGATTATCAAAAGAGCCGCAAGCTGCTTCGCGAATATCCTCACCACTCTCTTCCATCGCGCCTTCTCGGTCTTAGGAGTGGCTACCTTTCGCGTCCGGCGCTGCGTGGCGGTTGTGTTGTTCCCGGTCGCGGCGGAACCCGACCTCCTCGTCACCGGACCCAAGTCTTGGCCGTGAGATCGATCAACGACTGCCTCGGCGCGTATCGGATCCCTGCTCGTACCACCGGCTTCCCCGGCGCCACCATTCGCAAGGGATTCGCTTGGTTGATAATCAAAGTTGGATTTCTTCTCTCCGGCGAGAACCGGCGTCCGCCTCGTAGCCGCTGCCGGACTCGCGGTGATCGACACCGCCGATGCCGACATTTGATCTGGGTTTGACTACACAATCGCACCCCTTTGGAAAGCAACAGTTTTAACAAAGGCCGAAATCAAAAACCCTGATTCCACTACAGAGAGTTGGAAGATTCGAAAACTTGAGAGAAATTGAGGAAGAACAACGATATCTCTGCAAATTCAATTTTAAAAACTCCGAACCGTCTTCTCCGTTTGCCCAAAGACGTCGTTTCTTGGTTCCTCTCTATTTTTTTATTTTCTCAAAATTACTTTTTCTTCTCCATTTTTTAAAAATATTGTTTTTCTTTCAAAATTCGCATCGCGTCAAAAATAACCGCAGCGGTTACCTTACCATTTTTGGGATTTATCTCTTCAGCGTAGTGATTAATCAAGAGTTAATTACGAGGTTGCAAAAGATATAACTCAAGACACAAGTCTCTCCATCTCGGTTTGTTGCCAACAAAAAAAGTTTTCCCCAGTAAAGTCTGTGAACCACATTTCTTGAGTTATTATCACAAATAGACTACAGAAAATATCAGACAACGAAACAAACAAAACCGAGTTAAGTCTTTCGACTTGCTAAACCTGAGTCCCGCATCTCCCACGCCTGTTTACTCTCTCTAGCAACATCCGACTTGATTGCTCGAACCAATGGCTTCATGAGTAACAGATACTGCAATTCAAACCATTAAATGAAACAACTGTTTGTTGAACTCATAAAAATTGTATAATCAAGTCTCTAGTTTGTGGAATGCAACTTCAGCTTGGACTGGTACAGAGACTTACTTGGAATGCAACGATTAAAGGAATTAGTCGTTTTCCTTTTTCGTTTGGGTTTGGCCCTTCGACCAGCTTCTTGTCAACGTGAATCGGCTTGTTGCCATTAAAGGAGATCTCTGTGATTGTCTTCACAAAATTTGGAATCCAACTAGTCCCGTCTGGAAGAATCTGTCACAGTTTGGAAAATCCGAACACAGGATTGGCCCCAACTTAAAGTTGCAGGAAATAGATAACATTGAAGAAAGAAACCAGTCAACTGACCTTTTCATCGCTTTCATTCTTGTGACATCTTCCGCTATTCTCAACAAGAATGACGGGAATAGATGAACCCTAGAACAAAAGATTCAGAGGTTAATGGAATCTACTAATCTGACTTTTTACCACCAAAGTAGTTACAGAGATATGTGATATACAATAAAGAGGAACCCGCAATACCTGCAAATCCTGTTTCTTCAGTTGAGCGCCTGCACAGATCACTTTAAGAAGAGCATCGGATCTTCTGGAGACAAAGAGATCATAATTTAATCCGTCCGGTGGAGAGAACTGAGCATGACTGAGGACAAGGGCAGACTTCTTCCATATCTCTTTACCAAATGCATCGGTTATAGCCGTGACAACCTGCCTATCCAAGTCATCCACCCGATATACATCCAAACGGTCTACGTATAATAGCACATCTATAGTCTTATTGAGGAGAAATCTGTTCAAATTCAAAGCCGAGCAACCAAAATTACCATACATGAAACAAATTGGCCCCAAACTTAGGAGAATAAATTGTTAAAAACATGAAACAGTTCAACATACCCTTTTATAAGGTTGACGGCTTGATCATTCACATATCCTCCTTCAATAAGACCAGGAGTGTCGATGATGTTTAATGTAAACCCCGACCTTGAGCGGGAGACCAAGGACGGCCTTAGTCCTTCAGACTGTAAAGAGGGTAACCAACACAGTTTACATAAGCAAATATACAGGAATCCCAGCCAATAGTCATGAAGAAAGCAATGAGAAGAGCATTGGACTTGGCACCTGGAAAGTACTAACTGCAGCAGCTTTCTCGCCTATAACCGAATTCACAGTGGATGACTTTCCAACACCACCTTTCCCCATTACAAGTACTGTTAGCGAGCTCACATCCTACACCAATTTTGGGTCTCCTCCACATTAGAAACTAAAACCAGATATACATTGAACAATTAACAGGCTGAAGTGGATGAAGCTAGATGCAAGAAGGGAACCTCTTCTTTATACTTCCCAAGGATTTCGAGCAATTTAGTTTGAGTAGCAGGTGGGAACTGCTGGATACCTATCCATTCACGAGACATTTGAAACGCTGCCATAGACACAAATCCTTGTCCTACACTTTGAGGAAAGCAAAACAGATCACCAAAGAGAAGACTAGATCATCAGCTAAAATCTAAAAAATCAGGAGTTCAAAGGGCAGAACTTGATCACCAAAGAAATAATGCATAATCACCTATACAAGTGAAAGTTGTCTGATTCCACTACCTGAATCAATCCTACGACTTTCTATCAAGTAAACTCCCTGAAAACCATAAAGTAGATAATTTTTCCTTTTTCTTCTAACCACATAAATTCATCTTGTGTCTCCATCAGTTTTCTACTAGATCTTTTATAGAAACGACATGGCGTCAGTGTTCATACCAAGAACTAATAACTTAAGCACAGATGAGTTTCACTAATCGAGTATTGAGATATAATCAGAATCCAAAGTCCTGAACTGTGTCAAAAGCCGACGGATCAAATGAGCATACTTCTAAAGCGAACAAAGTGAAAACCGGAGAGAGCGACGCAGATAGAGAAAGAGACAGAGATAGTAACCTGCCGGAGCTTGAGTTGCCAGTCGCCGGATTCGCTGACCTCGAATCAAATTAAAACCCTAGAAATGAATTTGACTTTTGATGGTGATTGATTGCTACAATCTTAGTACTGTACAGAGAGTTACATTCATTTCAAGTGTCAACCGGACTAAACCGAATGTCGGTCTTCACCAGAAACCGCAAAAAATAAATTTGATTGTAATCACATGCTAATAAGTTTTAAGGATGGGATGGGCTAAAGGCCCAATAATAAACTTAATCGGCCCAAATTACTTATAGTCCTCGTTTTGTTGATCCTCTTCCCTAACACACTAGATTTAATCTCAAACTCATTTCGTTTTTTTTTTTACTCAGCGAGCTTCTGAAGAACTGGTGATTCATCGCCTTTGATCAGTCCCTGGTATCGTCTTGTTTCCTCTCTCTTCGCCTTCATTTCTATTCATGTTTTTGGATCTCCTTTGATTGCTCTTTCTGCCTGCATTTTTGTGGAAGATTTTTTGGATCTCCAAATTAGTAATTCTCTCGTTCTTCTAAATTTCGCGGGGAAGCCTGTGCGATCTATTTCGGTTGCGATTCCTGAATTTAAACCTCTTGTGTTAATTTTGATTCTACAGTTGTGTTTCTCGATTCTGTGCGTCTGATGCTCTTAGATCCGATCAGTTGGATCTGCGGGATTCTTTCGAATTCGTTTAGTATTTTTTTTTTTTATTCGTCAATCGAGTGTTTCATTGGGTTTCGTTTGGTTTCGTGTATCATTCGTTACCAGTTGCTAGATCTCTTCACTTTTATTTATGATTCCAAAGATCAAATCTCGTTTTGTTCTTTTTGATCTCGTGGTTGATTTTTACGCACTTTGGTTACCTCACTAACTGGATTTACTGAACCGTTGTTTCTTTGTATTTCAGATTCACATTGCCTTTCTATAGCTGCTGGGATTGTTAGAACCTGAAAAGCAAATCAAAATGGTATTGAGTTCTATTCTATGATTTGTATACACATTTTTTTGTGCTGCTTTAAGATTTGTTGTTAAGTTTTAGTGTTTGATGAGTTTTCTAGTCTGATAATTGGCATTTTTCTAAAGTTGTAACCTGTGGTTTATATAGGTCGTTCTTGCTGCTTCCATCGTGAGCAAGTCTGGAAAAGGTGAGTGCTTTGTGTGTTACACATTGTATATATGCTATCATTGATAATCAAATACCATTGTTCCACCTATTCTCATTTTTCGGTTTTCTTTTTTTGCGTTTTCCCTAACTTTGTTCTTTTATATAGTGCTTGTTTCCAGGCAATCTGTGGATATGTCCCGTATCAGAATTGAAGGTCTACTTGCAGCTTTCCCTAAGCTGGTTGGCATGGGCAAGCAGCATACCTATATTGAGACAGAGAATGTGCGATATGTATATCAGCCTATTGAAGCTCTCTTCCTACTTCTTGTTACAACTAAGCAGAGCAACATTCTAGAAGATCTGGACACGCTCAGGATGCTCTCCAAACTTGTATGCTTCTTTCTTCTTTTATTTTTAATTTGGCTACTTTCTTCTAGTAGTTTATTTTCTTGAGTCTGCATGTGTATTGGTTCTTTGTTATTTTTGAAAGTGAGTGTGCCTACTGCTCTTAGCACCTTACCTGAAGCCTGGCAGCTCTTGTTTTCCTAACCTCTAATTTCCAATTGAGGGAGAGTTGAAATTTACAGTTCGAAAAAATTGCCTACATACGAACCCTGGGCATGCAGTTTGATCATTTGACTGTTTCTAGGTACCTGAGTACTCCATGTCATTAGATGAAGAAGGGATTGGCAGGGCGGCTTTTGAGCTGATATTCGCTTTTGATGAAGTCATATCTCTTGGGCACAAGGAAAGTGTGACAGTTGCCCAGGTGAAGCAGTACTGTGAAATGGAAAGTCATGAGGAGAAGTTGCATAAACTGGTGATGCAGAGCAAGATCAATGACACTAAAGACGTGATGAAGCGTAAAGCTAATGAGATTGACAAAAGCAAGGTACATGACAGAAGCACACCCTGTTTTTTGTGTTGTTTTTGTAACTCCGATTAATATTTCTTTTGCAATTCCCAGATTGAAAAGAATAGAGATATTAAGGGATTTAATTCCATGAGCTCAATGGGATCTGGAAGACTGGATAGTAGTTTCAATGACTTGAGCATATCTAGTGATGGTGGCCGTTTTCGAAATTCTAGCTTTGACATGATTTCAGATGTTGAGCCTATCAATACCAAGGCGAAAGGTTAGTGTGCTTAAACTAGTGGATCCTTCACATCTGACCCTTTAATCCTGAGTATTTTTAAATAAAAATGCCTCAAAGTCCTTCTAACGTTTACTCAGCGCCTCTATTTTCTGATAAACTTGTTTTGATAGTAAAAATTATTTGCTTTGATAATCTTTTACACCATGCTTATCCTCACAGATCGATCACGGTCTCACGTTACTGCTCCTCCGAAGAGTTCTGGAATGAAACTTGGCAAGTCGGGAAAGAACCAGTTGATGGAGTCCCTTAAAGCAGAGGGTGAAGACATCATTGAAGACGTTAAGCCTACTGGCCAATCCAGAGCAGCTGCCCCACCTCCAACTGATCCTTTCACATTAACTGTCGAAGAGAAGCTCAATGTCACATTGAGACGAGATGGTGGAATCAGTAGCTTTGATATGCAGGGAACCCTGTCCCTTCAAATTCTTAACCAAGAAGATGGATTTGTCCAAGTTCAGGTACTCCCGACTTTCATTATAAATTATTTCCAAGAGTCTCCCGGACATTTTACAATTTTCTCGAATACACAATTCTCTGTTCTAAAAAAGATAACCAAATGAATTTGTCTGTCTTTCTACTTTGTCTTCAGATTGAAACCGGTGGAAATCCTGAAATTCTTTTCAAGACCCATCCCAACATTAACCGAGAACTCTTTAATAGTGAGAGTATTCTAGGGCTAAAGAGACCTGATCAGCCATTTCCCACTGGTCAAGGTGGAGATGGAGTTGGTCTGCTGAGGTGGAGAATGCAAAGAGCAGACGAGTCGATGGTGCCACTAACAAGTAAGGCTTTGGAGATGAGCATGTCTGTTTGTTTCTTGACAGGTTTACAAGTAAATGTATGACGCAAATCTTTTGTCTGGTGCAGTCAACTGCTGGCCTTCAGTCTCTGGAAGTGATACATATGTCAGCATCGAGTATGAAGCCTCGTCCATGTTTGACTTGACTAATGTCATCATCTCCGTACCTCTTCCTGCTTTGAGAGAGGCACCAGAAGTTAAACAATGTGATGGAGACTGGAGGTTTGAAATTTAATTTACTCTTATTTTGAGATGAAACTCATAATTGTTTTATCCAGTCTTAAAGACGAACCAAATATTTGTGAATAATATCAGGTACGACTCAAGAAATTCTGTTCTGGAATGGTCTATACTTCTGATTGACAATTCCAACCGCAAGTAAGTAAACAAATGCTGTTATATTACAGCTTGATAGTTTTATGTATATAATATTTAATACATGAAAAACTTGTGCAGTGGGTCAATGGAGTTTGTTGTGCCACCAGTTGACTCAGGGGTGTTCTTCCCCATCTCTGTTCAGTTTGCAGCGACCAGTACATACAGTGGCTTGAAGGTATGAATCTTGTTCCTCTTGTAAAAATCTAAATTTCATAATATGAGTAACTAAGACAAACAAAAAGAAGAAAAAGGATTTGTGTTGAGATTATAAATGTGAGGCTTGGTTCATAATGATGGTGCAGGTGACCGGAATGATTCCTCTGAGGGACGGTGGTGGTGCGACTCCAAGGTTTGTGCAGAGGACGCAGCTGATTGCACAGAATTACCAAGTCGCATGAGAAATAAGCTCTTTGAGTTTCTCCTTTTGGATCCTCTGTTTTTTTTTTTAATATAAATTGCTTCTATACTATCGGGTTTTGGTTCACTTTCGTAATTTGTATGCAAAAAGTTAAATCTTAATTTTCTGGGATTCTGCTAGTTTGTTTATCTACTTATAAGACTTACATATTCATGTCATTGTTCTTGATCGACTTGCTTAATTTGTCAATCTGAACGAGTTTTCTATTCGCCAGAATTTCGGTTACGACTTCGTTCTCAGGTTAACCCAAATGAATTTCATAGCCTATTTGTTGAAACCCAAGTGTAAATCACATTAAAAAAGGTTTTTATTGATAGTAATACCGAGCTTTGGTTCACTTAATGTTCATAAATAAAGTTAAATTTACCTTTTGACATTATTCAACGTAATATAGTAATATGAGTACTCCACTAACGAATGTTATGAGAATGTATCCAACTTATTTAAAATGATTAATATCAAAAATATATATTGAACCTCTTGGAATCTGCCTCAAGTGTGGCTGTTGCACTGTAAGTTTTCCTCTCCTCCCTCTCTATATCTTTTTGTTCTCACTAATTAATGGTTTTGTTTGCAGGTAGAGAGTTCTTGACATCTTTGGCTACAACCTACATCTCAAGTATGATTTAAATCATAACTTTTAAATATATACCCCCAAGTTCATTTTACAAGTCTTAGTTTCTTCCGTTATTGTTAAGGAATTTAAGAGTTTCTTTTCAGTTTGGAAGTGTCAAATTTCAATCACCTCTCTCATCTGTCTCTCGCTTCTCTCTTAGTTCTCTCTTAAGTTAAATCTTCAAAAACTACAAATGGCGATCTGGGGGTACGAGGATAGCTGGGATGAAGTGGCGGCTTACAACAACTATCCACTTCTAGGAATTGTTGTCCTCGCTGTGATCTTTGCCGTTTTGGTGGTTGTGGCTGGAAAAAATTTACTGGAAAAAATCTATATATTATGTTTTGCTTATATTTTGTAAATGTTTTGCTAAATTTTGTCAACTTTTTCTCAGCAATATTGATAAATTTTTAATAAATAAATATTCTAGCTACTAATAATAAAAATATAGTTTGGGTTGTATTCTTGCATCATCTAGTCATATGATCGCAGCTTCAGAGTAGTGCAGCAACTGTAAAAGAGACAAAATTTAAAGCTCAGAAAATTGAATAATCATGACAACTAAGTGACCACGCGTTGCCTGGATTAATAAATATGTTTTAATAAATAAAATATATGCTAATATTTAAAATTAATAGTTTTCATATAGTTTAGCCTTGGTTACAAACGGTTTATAACAAACCTCAGCTTCCGACGAAAGCCACTAATCCAATAATTATTAATTATTATAATAACCAATAACATAATTGTTTACAATATTATATAGCCCACCAAATTGTATATATATATATATATATATTTATATATCTAAAAAATAAATTAATATTTTGTCGTCAAAAGAAAAAAGAAAAAAATTCAATATTTCTTAATCATTCATTTGAATGGAAACAGTTTAGAGACAATGGTTTATCTATCTCAAACTCTGTTGTAATGATATTATTATACTTATCCAGAAATATTCCTTTAAATATTATATTAATTAATTAGACTTCGAGTTCCGGTCATCGGAACTCGTAGAAATGAATAGAATTTCTACCATTAAGGCCAAACTCTAAATCCAAATTTGTCCCCAAATAGTCCTTTTTTAATGAGCTTCCAGGGTTTATGTATATTGGTGGATGTTAAATTGTTTATTAATCTTGTCTTGCATATCAAGTTATCCGAAGGTAAAAAATTCATTTTGATCACACAAAAAAAAAATACAAAGTTATTTATTATCATTTTTTTTATAAAAAGAAATACCTTTCAAAGGGTAAGGATGAGATTACACTCACACCTTTCATGATAAAATGTTTTTGCATTGACGATTTTGTTTTCAAATGATATGTTATTTAGGAATATATTTTGTTATGGAGACTAACATGTTTGCTCCCATGATCATATTTAAAAAATAATTGATAACAGTTTAGTATGAGATCATATTAATTTTCCATGAGATCCATTTCATTTGTTTGTACCTTTTATTGAACTTCAAGTTGTCTTGCTTTGGAATTTTTAGAGTAATGCAGGAGCTATATGCTATTGAACATGTTAGAAGCAACATGATGATATCACTGACTATGATGGTGCTATCTCACTCTGTCTCACTTCTTGAACCTAAAGTGTTTTGTTTCGTTTTAAAATGCTTATAACATTTATTTGCAAATGGTTTTGTTGAATAATATTAGATATTTATGGGTCTACATGCAGTCTTAGTGTTTGGTTTCAACACAACGCCAATGAGCATTATTGGCTGGTAACTAGTTGTGTAGCTTGAAATGCTATTTTACTAATGTAGTGGTTTTCTATTGTAGGTTTGATGGAAGCTTTGACATTTCAGGTTGCATATTCCTTGTACTGCGAAAGATGAGTTTGCTTTTGGTGAGAATATCTCAAGTTTGGTATCTAGGACCAATTCGATACGTACACTAATTTTGCACCAAGATTATCATGTGGCGTGTGTAAATCTGTTTATTTTTGTATGTATTCAGCATTCAAGTCAAGTACTATAATAACATTGTTTACTTTGGATATCTGCAGGATTTTCCCCTTGATTTTAAACATAATCACAAGGATTAGTACGACATGCTAAACGCTGCCATGAATCAAGGAAAATTAAGTAAGCATGATGAATACTGTATAATAAAATATACATGTATAAACAACTCTTACCAACTGCGGTATAAATAAATACTCGGATAAATCGCAAGATATGGAAAAAATCTATATATTATGTTTTGTTTATATTTTGTAAATGTTTTGCTAAATTTTGTCAACTTTTTTCTCAGCAATATTGATAATTTTTAATAAATAAATATTCTAGCTACTAATGATAAAAATAGTAGTTTGGGTTGTATTCTTTCATCATCTAGTCATATGATCGCAGCTTCAGAGTAGTGCAGCAACTGTAAAAGAGACAAAATTTAAGGCTCAGAAAATTGAATAATCATGACAACTAAGTAACCACGTGTTGCCTGGATTAATAAATATGTTTTAATAAATAAAAATATATGCTAATATTTAAAATTAATAGTTTTCATATAGCTTAGTCTTGGTTACAAATGGTTTATCACAAACCTCAGCTTCGACGAAAGCCACTAATCCAATAATTATTAATTATTAGAATAACCAATAACATAATTGTTTATAATATTATATAGCCCACCAAACTATATATATATATATATATATCTAAAAAATAAATTAATATTTTGTCGTCAAAAGAAAAAAGAAAAAAATTCAATATTTCTTAATCATTCATTTGAATGGAAACAGTGTAAAGACAAGGATTTATCTATTTCAAAATCTGTTGTAATAGTATTATTATACTTATTCAGAAATATCCCTTTACACGAATATTATATTAATTAACCAGAAAAGACTTCGAGTTCCGATACTCGTAGAAATGAATGAAATTTCTGTCATTAATGGCCAACCTCTAAATCCAAATTTGTCCCCAAATAGTCTTTTTTTAATGAGCTTCCAAGGTTTATGTATATTGGTGGATGCTAAATTGTTTATTAGTCTTGTCTTGCATATCAAGTTATTCGAAGGTAAAAAAGTCATTTTGATCACAAAAAAAAATGCAAAATTGGTTAGCATTCTTATATCCTTTCTTTTCTTAATTTATTGGTTATCATCTTTATCATTCACGATCATATTGTCACTTGCACCCTTTTTAAAAAAACAGTATTTTTATTGCCAATTAACGACGTAAGACATAAAGTCAGCTACATGCTATATATCTCTTCATATAGTTGAAATTTTCTGGTAGGAATCAGATAGTGGCATCTTGATATTTGCAGATTCTTTCAACAAATCAAAGGATGAGAATGAGTTCGGCGGGAGAACAACCATCAGGTCCTCCTCCTCAGGCATCTCCAGCCAGCTTTCTTGCGGCACAATCTTCAGAAAAGGAACAGATTAAAAAAAAAATGACTTACCAAACGCTTTTCAAGATTCACCAGAAGAAGAATTAGTATAACTAATGTGTGAATGATTCTTCATCCGTTTTACCATCTTAGGGTTCGAGAAGGAATTCTCATCCATCACATTGGCAGATGTAAGTACTTTCTTCTTGGATCCATAAAGTTTTGTGATGCTCGAGTCCAATCCGGTCACCGATACCTTGAGATTCACTGATTTCTTTCCAATGTTTACAGCCTGCCATATATATATGGATCAACCCAAAACATTCATATTTGGTCAGAAGAAGAACTCATATCTGTCGATATGTGAGTGGGTGAAAAAAAGAAAGCAAAACCTTAATCTGTATGTAATCTAAGCCATTGGTTTGGAAGGATATGGCAGATGCTTGGACGTAAGAAGAATTTCCGATGAGTGTTGAGTTGAGAAGTGTTGCTCCACTTGACTCTTTGAAGAACTGTTGGACCCAATAGCTAGGAGTTCCATACAAATGAGAGGAATTGAATACTATTGCATCTGGAATCCACCTGATGAGAACAAAGTAACGGCTTGATTGTGAATGATAAGACGAAGGGAAAATGGAAAATGTAACTAATTAAAGTTTGAGAGAGAGAGAGAGAGAGAGAGATACCTTCTGTCGTTTGTGTTGACGAAGAGAGGTGCATAACTAGCCATTCCTACAACGTCACTGCAACATAACAAGGCAGAAACTGATGAAACTTTTGCTCTGTGGCTGTCCAAACCCGAGAAGACAGAACAAGATTCTTAACGAGAAAATAACCTGTTCTTTTCCAAACCAAGGAGAAAGCCTGCTTCCCCAAGAGCGGCTAGAAGGTTTCCATTATTAGCATCTGTTTTGTTTACAGCATATTCACTAACAAAAGCCTGCGCATGTGATCCAAAAACGTTTGAGGCGTATTCATGAGAAGAAGATACAAGGCAAAGATGCGGTTTTTGAAGTATATTCTATCATCGAACCTTTGGACCATTGCGAGATGCACTGTCAAATTTATGGGACATGGAAAACAACTCCATGGCAAGAGGGTAAATCTGGAACAAATTAAAGAAGATCCTTAATCTTTCATAAATCAATGAAATTCATAAACACAGTTAATTTTGATCCAATCTTTAACGTTTTTTTTTGTATGTTTTTACGTGATACTCATAGTAATCAGCAGGGTGATCTAGCGGTTGAGAAGATCCATCGCAGTTGGAGATGATTTTGATGTCTGGATAGGAATTTTTGATAGCCTTATAGAACTCAAGGTAGTTTCCTGAAAACAAAATTGTGTATCTAATTTAGTATAATCAAAGCGATCCTTTAGTTTTCTTCTAATTTAAAAATGGTTACTAAATGTCATAGAGAGAAATGTGAAAACCTCTGTAGTAAGTCTTTCCACAATCCTCATTCCCAATAGCAACATATTTCAGCTCAAAAGGCTCTGCATGTCCCATTGCAGCTCGAACCGATCCCCATGTTGAATTAGAATCACCACGAGCAAACTCAATACCATCCAGCGCTTCCTGAAACCCCAAAACAAAAGCATATTTTTAGTTTTGTCTCTGCCTCAGTAATGAACCACTCTCACTCTCTATAGCTAAAACAGAGAGGTTCCATGAGAATACATACTTGAACAAAGGGCATGACACTTTCTGTTTCAACTTGGTCAATGTGACTGATTCCTGCAACAGTTACACAGCGGTAAATAAATACATGTAATGAAAACAAAAGTCTTATTAAGATATAAAAGCTTAACAATTACCATTATTAACCACCCATATTGGGGCAGCACCGATATCTTCAGCCAACTGCAAGAATATTTGTTTTGATGTTTGAAAACATGAGCTTAAGGGATTATTTTAACACTTAAATTAAGGTTACAGATCGAAGGATATACGGAAAAAATTAAGACAATATCTTACTTGAAAGAACTCAAAGTGGCCAAGGGCATCATCAGTCCAGTACTTCCAAACGTCACCAAAATGGCCAGGTCTCTCTTCCCAAGGTCCTACGGTTTCTTTCCAGCGGAAGGCGTTGCCTAACCAATCACCCTCAACAAAGCAACCACCTAACTCCCAAAAAACAAAAGACTAATAAGTCATATTTTACAAAGATAAGATGAAGTGAAATGGTATTTTGCTCTTTAGAACTTACCCGGGAAACGGATGAATCGGGGTTTTAGATCAACCATCATTTGCAAAAGATCATTTCTGAAACCATGTCCCTGTGACCAACCAAGAAAAACCAAAATATGTAATATTTTTTTTTTCCGGGCTAATTACTTCTCTGTTTAGATTTACTCTACTACATACAGGCCTTTTCTCAAAGAAGTAAACGAACCTTGTAAGTATCCACAGGCATGGCTGAGACTTGATCAAACCAAACTGAACCCTTTTTGGTAGTTGTCAACTGAAGTCTTGCACCATTATCTGTTCCATTTGCCTCCAAAAGCATTTCCTTTCTAGTCCAGTTTGAAACATCAGAAGCCATAGCTCTGCAAGAAGTCAATAAACAAATGACTGAATAAAAACAGAAAGTATTCAGGAGAATGTGAAAATTTTGATCTCTAACATGATCTTTTCTGAAGCAAGAGTCACTAATCCATTCGAGCTTGTCAATGACACAGACAGATCAATGTCCCCTGTCGAACGCAGATAAAGCACCACTTTGTATTTCTTCCCTTCTTCAATGTTCTAAATGGAAAAGATAGAGAAATGAGTAAAAAACATTTAATCCCATTAACATCAACGGAAACTGAGAGAGAGTATGGAAAATGCACCATGCCCCAGTAACCAGGGTTATAAACCCCGACTCCTTCTGATAGACAACCATTGCTACTAGCATTGCTGCCACAAAACACATCCATTCTAAGTGCAATTTTGTTGCGCTCAAAACATGAAGAACGGTCTGTAACTACAGAAATGGATGATTCATCTCCAATAATGGACCAAGGCCAGATATTGGAAGGAATGTTTTGTCCACCAGCTTCAAAACCTGCAACCAAGAGTTCTTTTCATTATCGCAATTCTATATTTTCTGAAAATACTTTACTATCAAATTAAGTTAAATGCCAAACAAAACCTCTGTTGCTAACAAGTTCAGCCCACAGTCCACCTGCTCCAGCATGATTGATTTCCTGTCAATAATTGCATCAGAATTCAGTTTTTTTCAAGAGCTAATTAGGACAAGAAAATAAGGGTAAGTCCAAGATTTACTTGAATATAAATTTCGATAGAGTTTTGGTGGCAACATAAAAGAATGTATAGAAAATTCAGGATGAAGCTGTGCAAAACCTCGAAGAAAATCCCGAAAAAGGTTTCAGGAATGGGTCGTCCTGTGGCATTAGAAGCATCTACTTGCAGTGTCACATTCGGTTTTGTGGCATATTCTCGAGAATCAACAACACAAAGGCTTTGGTAGACAGAACAAGAGCCAAGGAGAAATAAAAGTATGCAAACACTTCTGAGAAACTTCCAAGAACACTCCATGTCCAAACCTGATCAAAGCAAAGATTTTGCAGAGTTAATTTATAGGAAAAGAAAATCATTATTTACGTCCAATCAAAGTATCAAACACAAGACTATCAGACACATTATCACAAATGTGTTCAGAAAGAAGGTTTGTTCATTTTCAAAGGTTCTTTCAATGCACAGTTAAGAAATAAAAATCCTGACAGAGAAAACGAAAACAACAGAGCAGAGTAACGGTTTACTGCAGAAAAATTTATGTGGATCGATTATGTAAGCAGCAAAGATTAAACGTGGAATAAAATCAACTATGAACGTACCGTTGATTGAAGAAAGGCACGAAATGTATAGAAAATAGAGAGAGATAGTACTCAGATAGAAGTGAAACGAGGATTACAAGTAATTATTATTATTACGATGTGTTGTTTCTTTCCTTGCTTTATAAGCAAAATCGGCAAAAGACTTTTACTTTCACGTCTCCTTTAATTTCCTTATTTTCATGCAAGAGTGGAAGTTGGAGTGATGACTAGTGAAATTGAAATCCTCGTCCATTTTGTGTTCTTTTCTCTTATTTGGTTCATTTTTCAATAATTTATTTAATTTTAATCATATTGAACGATTTCTATCCCATAAACAAACGGAAAAAAGCATTGGAAACTTGCTCATTATTAATGATATGGGTATCTTCTTTTCAAAACTGTGAATTTGGTCACTAATTTCAACAAACTCATTTCTATATTAGATACGACTACAAAAATCAAGTTCAGGCAGTGGGCTTAGGGCTTAGAGTAGCATTTGAAGATTGGTCACTACTGGTGTTCAAGTCACATGTGCACAGTAGACTCGTATACTTTTAACCAACTCCTTAAATATTCTTAAGGCGGTTTCATGGCCTTATTTATTATCATTTTTTTATAAAAAGAAATACCTTTCAAAGGGTAAGGATGAGATTACACTCACACCTTTCATGATAAAATGTTTCTGCATTGACGATTTTGTTTTCAAATGATATGTTATTTAGGAATATATTTTGTTATGCAGACTAACATGTTTGCTCCCATGATCATATTCAAAAAATAATTGATAACGGATTAGTATGAGATCATATTCATTTTCCATGAGATCCCATTTCATTTGTTTGTAACTTTTATTGAACTTCAAGTTGTCTTGCTTTGGAAGTTTTAGAGTAATGCAGGAGCTATATGCTATTGAACATGTTAGAAGCAACATGATGATATCACTGACTATGATGGTGTTATCTCACTCTGTCTCACTTCTTGAACCTAAAGTGTTTTGTTTCGTTTTAAAATGCTTATAACATTTATTTGCAAATGGTTTTGTTGAATAATCTTGGATATTTATGGGTCTACATGCAGTCTTAGTGTTTGGTTTCAACACAACGCAAGTGAACATTATTGGCTGGTAAGTAGTTGTGTAGCTTGAAATGCTATTATACTAATATATGTAGTGGTTTTCTATTGTAGATTTGATGGAAGTTTTGACATTTCAGATTGCATATTACTTGTACTGCGAAAGATGAGTTCGTTTTTGGTGAGAATATCTCAAGTTTGGTATCTAGGACCAATTCGATCTTACACTAATTTTGCACCAAGATTATCATGTGGCGTGTGTGAATCTGTTTATTTTTGTATGTATTCAGCATTCAAGTCAAGTACTATAATAACATTGTTTACTTTGGATATCTGCAGGAATTTCCTGCTGATTTTAAACATAATCACAAAAATTGGTACAACATGCTAAGCGCTGCCATGAATCAAGGAAAATTAAGTAAGCATGATGAATACTGTATAATCAAATATACATGTATAAACAACTCTTGCCAACTGCGGTATAAATAAATACTCGGATGAATACCAAAATATGGACTAAGGGACTGATCATAATAAAAAAATTTGGTTTGTCTAAGGAGTATTAGAGTTGAACTCTCACTTCAACACTTGATAAACAATATTACGGCAAAAGTAAAAAAACAAGACCTAAACAATAGATTCCAGCCAGATAAAACTTATAACTAGCCATAAGTTGTATGCAGCAGCAGGCTACATAGAATGATAAGGTTGATCACAAACTAAGTTAATATAAATATACTGAGACAATGTAAATCTGGGCTTAATTGATACCTCTTTAGACTCAACAAGATGGTTTAGGCCTGCAGGAGCATACTTCGATATAACAGCCGTACAGAACCACTGCCTGATAAAGTTTGGTCTGATTACCATCTGAAAGATCATTGGCTTCGAATGTGATGTAGAGTGTGATTCCAGCAGATGGGTGAAAATTTGCTCTCAAAACCTTGACATATTCCAGACTTGTATCCTACCACAACCATAATTAACCACTATAAAAAAATCATAACGAGATTCATTAACAAACAAGAGCAAAAAAAAAGAAATTACAAACCGTCTTTTCCTTGTAGTAGGCGATAGCCATCCCGCACAACCTGTCGAGCCAACCTCGGTTGGTGTCAGGCTCACTAAACAGGCAACTGTCGTCCAGATCCACAGCTGCGGCACCGAATGTGTGATGGAGTTTCGTGAAGTCGACGTCAAAACCCTGGAAAATCACGCACGGAGAAAGAGATAAAATCAAATTCCTTTTTGAAACAAAAAACAAGAAACACCAAATATAAACCATAAAATCAAATTCCTTTTTTAATGCAAAAACAAGAGGGTCAATTTCAAGAGAGAGCACAAACCTCGCCCCACACTTCATCAAACAGTTGAAGATCTTCATCGGTCGCATCGTCCTCCGAGTAAGGTTTCTCCCTTAAGGGCTCCTCTAATTTCAATTTCGGACGCTTAGGGCACGGAGGCTCCGATCTTCGCTGAAACGGGGATGATTACAAACCCTAGTATCTGGAAACTCTCTCGTTTTTTTTCTTAAAGTGATCTATAGATATAGTGCATTGTAGTAGTTTTTTTTTTTTTTACATTTTAACTATTTGTTAAATTAAAAATTAACCTGAAAATGAAAAAATTTACACTCCATTTTTTTTTCTTTTCTATGTTCAGTCAATTGTTGAGTAATCTTGGATAGAACATTCGACACATCAATCTCTGGAACAGTCGTATGTAAGTCTAGCTATGCACATGTTTCATATACCAGAACGTTCTGGACAATATAGACAAAGATGATACAACAACATTGAGCGATTCTTCATTGCAATTACTTGGGCAGGTCTAGCTGTGTTGAGAAGAATGAAGGATCATGCTCAGACGCATCCTCTGTCGCCGTCTTGCTTGTGTCGTACTCATGGCTGCAGCTAATGTCATTGATGATATCTAGGTTTCGTGTCGGCAAAGGAAGCTTCTTCGGGCTCTCCCTTTTAGTGAGTTTCCCTCCCATTTCTGCATCATATCTCACGGAGGAGCTATACTCCGATTGATACTCGGATCCGTTAGATGCTATTGTCATGTCATCTTCTTCAGGGACCATTGCTCTGAGATCTAGTTGCGAAGGTGGGATCTTGGCGAAAAACACCTCTTTAACGTTCTTCAGTAACCCTCTCTTGTAAGGATTTTCTTTCCTATCACAGCGGTACCGGAAATTCTCATATGTTGTCTGCAAAAAACAGAGAACAACACAAGAAAAATTCTCAAGGCTAAGGCAAGATGGTAACAAGACTAAGGTATATATGTTCCTATATATGATAAAGGTTAGGACTTTACCTGATTTGTAGACATGAGATAGAAGTGGAAAATGGTAAGGCCACCGACGAACCAGACAGCTACAAAAGTATAGACGATAAGAATGACAGAGACTATATCATAAGACATTGTCCTCCATAGTTTCCCAGGCTGTCTGATTAGATTGATCCAGGAGAACACAAAGACATATATGCATAACAGTGTTGAAGTTGAGATGAAGCAGATGAAGAACGGGTAGTTTCGCTGCAAATTAATTATGTACACCAAAAATCATTTACTTGTAGTTTCAAGTTTGAGAAAGAAGAAGAAGAGTATGAGAATTAAAGAACTTACTCGGGCAATGCATTGTCCAACCCAAGGACAATGGTGATCAAAGCGTTGGACACAGTTGTTGCAGATGGAGCAATGCGATGCGCGTGGTGGACGGTAGAGAAAGCAAGTATCACAGAACTTGACTTTGATAGTGTAGCCGTTAACGAAAACGTCCTTGGTTCTTGGAATCTTGAGATGAGGAGTTTTGTTGTTGACCCATTCCATAGATTGTGTCAAGGAACTATCTGAACCATCTTCAAGATTCATTGATGCTTTATTCCTCGGGATGATTCCTGGATCCCTAGCTGATGTCAACAATAGAAACGTAAAATCCTGCATATATATCCGGATGCAAAGTTATCAGGCTTGATATGGAAGCAAGCAACTTTTCAGGGAGTAGCTAGGGATTTTCAAAAATGAGACAAACCAAGAGGGTGAGGATAAATCCTGAAGCCAGAACGGTGTAGTTGAAGAAAGGATCGCCTTTTCTGATCCATACGAGCATCCTTATACAGAATGTAAGCGCAGGAGCTCCAATCAAGAAGGACGTCAGGAACAGAGATGATACATCAGGACCAAAGATTAGTCTCCCACCACAACAAAATCTCTGATGCAACAAAAGCAAAATCAAACATCATATTCACATTCTGGTGGAACAACATATAATCTTGCGTTATATGCCCATTAAAACCAGAAGAACAATCATGATCTTAAGAGTTTTGTGGTGACCTTTGAAGAAAAGGAAGAAAGAATATATATATTTATTACATTGTTACCCTTCCAGGCTTTGTACAATCTGATTTGAGAAATGTAATTTGAAGTTGAAGCCGTCATGAGAATATGATCACCAGAGGGAGTACAATGAACCTGACTACTCTTCTTCTTGCTCATTCTCTCTCTCTGCATTTTCTGTTTTCCCACACATGAAGCCTATCTTCAAGAAAAATGGCTCCAGCGATTCTAAATTTTCAACTGGATTTTCACAAAATCTCAAATTTTTCTTTGGTATTTTCAAGTTTTTAACCAAATTAAAGAAATGAATTTGGGTTTAGGGGGCTTCTCTATCTTTTCTTTTTTCTCTTCTTGTTCTTTCTTTTATTATAATCCATTGCAAACCAATAATCCTCTGCAGTTTTGTTTCTCTCTCTCTCTCTAACAGATTTTTTTTGTCCTCTAATAGTTTCCAAGATTTTCGGTAATTAATAGATAAAGAAGAGGAAGTGCCGGAAGGATAAAAAAATATATTTTGATGTCTTTTTAATATGAACATTATTATCTAGGATGTTTAGCTTAAGATTTTGTTGTTGTTGGTTTTCTAAATTAAAATTTTGGATGTTGATATTTTGTCTTTGTAGCATAATAACTCTTAGTGAAGTTTTTTTTTTTTTTTGGTAAAACCCTTAAGGAAGCTTTTTTACCCGAAACTCTTTTCTCAAATAATAAGAATAAAACGTTTATGCTCTGTCTGCAAGGATCAGTGATGTAATTCATTAGAGTAGTCATGTTTTTATAGAAGTAGAATGATTACCCTTTTCCTTTTTCTTTTCTATGTTTTAATGTTTTTCTTTTCTATGTTGATTTCCTTTCAGATTGATTTACTCGTCGTAAAAATAAGGAAAACGAAAAAAAAAAAAGAAAAACTCTGCGAATAAAAATAAAAATAAAAATAAAAAAAAGGAGGAGCCTTTCTAAGAAAGTTAGGGTTACGGATCGTCTCTGTCTCTGGCCGATTTTTTTTCCGTTTCAACGATGCCTTCACCAAACGCTGAGAAAAGATCCGATCCTCCTTGCCCGAAGCGTCAGAAGATGGAGGAGACTGGCGATGAAAGCGATTCTGATGATTCCGAATGCGGCACGCCGGAGGAAATTCAACTCTTCTATGATGAGTAGGATAAGAGCCAGGTTCGTGGTGGTGGGTATTTTCAGTTTTTCTCTTTATTTCTCGAGTTTCAAAATTCTATAAATTGATTCTCTGAGAGAGATTTCCAGGGTTTTGAGATCGACTTCGCGAAACTTAGCTTCAGTTTCGAATGGAAACCATTGGATCTGGATGATAGCACAATGGTCGACGACCCTGAAACCAACAGAGATTTTATCGCCATGTTGGCGAACCTGGCTCTCACCCAGCACAACGCAGAAAGAGTTAGGATCTTTGTTTTTTTCTTTAAAGTATTTACATTTATTTTTGTTTTTCTTCGGAATGTGATTGGTTTGGTTTTGTTGTCTTCTTGGTGTGTGGTAGAATACAAGCCTTGAATTGGTAAAAGTTTTGAGAGCAAACTTTCACCCATCTGCTGGAGCCACTTTCTACATCTCATTTGAAGTCAAGGAGGATCCTTCAGAAGATGGTAATCAGACAAAACCCTATCGAGCAGTGGTTCGCTACTTGCCCAGAGATATGGAAGTAGTATCTTGCTTTCCTAAACCCACTTCTTGAACTCTTGAGAGAGGTTTCTAATAGCTCTTTCTGTCTCCTTTTTCCTTATGGATACATTTATTTGAAGACTCCCTTAAAAGAATGCCAAATTAATTATAGGAACAATCCTACCTAAATATTGTTAGCTTGCCGTAGCCTTGAAATCTTTCTTATCATGCGTCTGTTTATTAAAATATGATATGAAAGAAAATCCTTACAAAAGTGGGTTATTAAAGAAGTGGTGTTTCAATGGTGTATCATCTTTCTCTTTATTGTCTGGGGACATGCTGGAAATCTCTAAAGAATTATGGTAATTCAAGAGGTTTATGTCTTATCTAAGATGTCTAACATTTGTCGGGATGTCTTATCTAAGATTGTAGATTAGATTTACCAAAATGTTTAACATTCGACTTCATTGGCAAACATTATTATTTCCCAGAATGAGAAATCCTCAGACAACAACACAAGTAAAATAAAAAAAACCAACAATTCCGGTTCTAGGAACTTTGAGACACTGAGTGAGAGAGGAAGAAGCATCATCATAGTCTCTTCAAGCTTTTCTTTCTAGCGTCTACCTTCTTCTTGTCTGCCTGAACCTTGGCCAAACCGGCTTCCCTTTTCTGTGTCGTACTGACCACACTTGCAGAACCTGCAGTGGCCGCTGTGAGAGAAACGTTAGCCACTTGTTGGTCTTGGGCACTCGTTGTTGTTACTCTCTTGATGTCAGCCATTGAAGAGGGTATTGCAATAGCAGCACCAGGCGTCTCGTTGTTTGTCTGGCCAACATTTAGAGCCATCGTTGACTCTGAGATAGCTCCTGTCTTGAACTTGGGTTTTTGTTTAGCATGGATACCCGTGTAAAGCCTGCATACAAGTCCCCAGTAGATTTCAGCTTAAAAGTCATTCAATTTTTGGCCAAAATAAAAACAGAATAATCAGAGATTTTGACAACATATGAGGAGATCAAAAGTAGATGACTCACCGAGCATGCCTAGCATACTCTTCATAGTTCTCAAGTAGCATCTTGCCAGCCTGTTCATTTAATGCAGATTCTGGAAATGGCTCGATCAGTAGACACCTCACAACCTGTTAACATTTACAAACACACAAAAGCTCAGTCTCAAGTTTTGAGTAATCTGATCAAAGCATAAGGGTCAAGCATCTTACAGAGAGAACGTGTCTTAATCCAAGACTAGGGTTCCAATCTTTTTTAAGCGTATTAACACAGATTTCTCCATTAGAAGCAATATTGGGATGGAAGATCTTTGTCATGAAGTAGCCTACAATGGAAGAGACCAAGAAATTAGAAACCATTAGAAAGTCACATATCTTAGTGGTCCGTCTATTTACGTGACATGCATAAATTAGACACGTACCTTTAGGCGGCGAATGTGGGAAATCATGCGACAATGCCAACTTCATACGGAAAAGTCCATTCTCATAAGGAGTCCCAACTGTATGCAATTTGGAGCAGAAGAATAGCTTGCTTTATTACTCAATATTTGTAATCATTCAACAATGAAGTTGATAGGGAAAACAATTGTGCACCTGGTCCTTCGATATCAGCACATATTTGTGAGAAATCCTCGTCATTTACCACAACCTTGATGCCATCTGGAGGGGATTCATCAAGACTCTTCAGTTCCTTGGCGAGCTGCTTGATAACATTGGGTGGTAGGTTCTCATTACTTGCCTGAGCATTCAAAAAAACATCAAAGGAGACACAACTCAGAACAGGTAAACTCCAAAGGAATTCCTCGTAAGTTTCCAAGCAAGCACAATTCTACTTCTAAGCAGGAAATACAGAGCGAGAGAGGGAGAGAGAAAGATAATTACCATGGAGAATTATAAGTGCAAAAGGACCCTCCGCAGAAGTTCTTCTCCTGACACTCTTAGATAAACAAGTAGACAAGCCAATGTGATAAAAAGAATCGTTTTGCAATCTTCAAGAAACAACACAAAAACAAAAAGTTAATACTTGGCTTCCTTGACAGATTTGAGTCAAATAAGTTAATCCATTCAGTATTAACATTTCATCAACATGTCAAATTGGCAAGTCATGAATCCATTTCTGCACCAAAGAAACTGTTGAAAGTAAGGCCATTGAGCAAATCGATTAGAAAAAAGTGTAAACTTCGATCTCTTAAAGAAGGGTGAAGACACCACAATTCACTGAGAGAAAGCGAAATAAGTGAAAATCAGAGGGAAATAAGAACGAAAACGCATCCAAGAGGCAAGAAATGAGCCAGCGATTGAGGAATCAAAAGAAAACCCTAAAATCAAATAATTTGGGATCTCGCTTAATCGACTCTAGGGTTTCCAACAAAAACTCATAAGACCTAATTCAGGCTAAGATGTAAACAATACATCGCAGGACAAAGCAAAGAATCACATCCCTAGTCCAGCGTTTCCAAAAAAGAAACAGACTCGTTGAACAAGAAAGAGAAAGAAGAAGAAAAACGATGGATTTTGTTTTCATCAGAAATCAAGCGTACCTTTCCACGAAATTGAAAAACGCAGAGAGTGAGAAAAGGCGATCCCTTTCTCTCTACCTCTCGGAGAGTATTGATTCAAGTTGAAATCGAGAAGAGAAGAAGAGAAGTCGAGTTTCAATTATTGTAAATTTTAATTGGAGAGAAAGAGAGAGACAAATGTTTTATTAAAATAAATTAAAGGAGCGTATCAAAAAAACAAAAAGAAATAAAGGAAAAAGAAATAAATTTTGGGGGTACTTTCGTAAATTTTTCTCTCCAGCCTGGAATTGACCGTTAGGATGTCTTACTCTTTTCACCCGCTAACTACTAACTAGCCGTTACTTGTGTCAGGTGTTCTTTAACTATGATTTATTTCTCAAGCTTCAAATTTGATATTCCAATATCAACCATATATAGATAAGGAAAACAACTCTTCTACAGAATTTATAAGATCGTATTTATTCTGGTAACATTTGGTCGAGTGAGCAAATCAAATCTTATTATCAGCTAAAACCAAGAAAAAGTCTGATTATTGTCATTAGAGATTGATTTATATATTCTTTGTTGTTGAAGTACAGATATGTATGTAATGTGGCTTTTGGGAGAAGGTGTTTCCTTCGAAGACAAACAAATATGTTTACCTAAGTTGATGAACAAGAAAATATGGTTTATGGGTCATGATTGTTGAGAGATCGTAAGAGCAAAACAATATGTATTCCGTTGGAACTGTCGGTAATGTAGAGTTTACACGTAATTTTGCAGCATGTGGATAAAGTAAACCTTTATGAATTTGACATACAGTAAATAACTATGTAATATACTCCCTCTGTTCAGAATTATTTGATGTTTTAGAAGGTTTTTTTTGTTCAGAATTATTTGATGTTCTCACTTTTCAATGCAAAATTTAATGAATTTTTATAGTTTTTTTACCTTTTATATTCTGCAGATTGTTTTCTTATTGGCTGAATGATATTTAAATGAATTATAAATAATATTTTTAGTATAGGAAAAATAAAAATTAAATGAATCCTTAAACTGTGTGCAAAAACCTTAAACATCAAATAATTCTGAACAAAGGGAATATTTACGGATACTAACATGGATTACTGAAATAAAAATATTTCAATAATACGAAAAAGTAAAGCTCATATGTAAATGTGTAATATCAAAAATTGTGATGTAAAATCTTCATAAGACTATTACTAGGTTCTAATGGACCATTGCTAAGAATTATATCGAGCAAAGAAAACAATCTATAAATTTAAAACTTCAAAATAAACCATCACTAGACCATTCAATTTCATGTTTTTTTATTAAAGAAAGAAATATCGAAATCGACATGCATTTATAATTTCTTAGTGCAATTCTATATTGTGTTTTATTTAAAAACTTTGGTTGTAACTAAAGTTTTTGCAGTATTTTGGGAACAAAAAAGATATGAAAGTTAATAAACAAAAGAATATGTCAGTTTTAGAAATCTCAGATCAGGATTTAAAAATAAGCCCCAATATGACGGCCCAACTACAATTACAGCGATCATTTTTTGATCTACGACTACAACGGGACTTGTTTGTTCTCTTTTGGATATTTAGGTTATTTGCTATATTTAGCAAATAGCTCTGGACTTCTGGTTTTGCCGAAAAGAAACTATTTTTTCTCCACATGATTTGTTTTCTTGGTCACATGTTTACACACAATTATACCTTTAACTGAACGAAACCTTGAGCTTGGTTCGGGTCATCAAAAAACTGACCTAATTAGATTCAAATTCATTTCAAAATCAAATTCGTAATTGTATGAGAAGCTTTACTCATAAAAGTTTTATATATCTGGATATGACTGGGTAGTGTAGATGTAGTTTGTATAAAATGTTTATACATGCAGTATATACAAATATTATAAAAAGGGTCCTTTTCTTGGACCCGGGATAATTTAAAATAGTTAGTCTTTATATATCGTCATATCATACACATGTTTTTGATGTCGATGTGTACGTTGCAGCACTTGTTCGACAAAGGAGATTGGAAGGTGTTGTGTTTATCTTTTGGTGTCTTTCTACGAGAAGAGTTATCTATCTTATAGATTTCAATCAAATAAAGACAAAATAATCCGAACCTCATGGACCCCAGATCAATTCCGTTTTCAACATTTTAATTTATGACATGAATAAAGAAGGAAAAAAATATAAACTAAGTTGTATAATGTGGACCAACTTTCTCAAACTCTTTGGCCAGTCATTTATTTATTTAGAACTGGGATATTCTCAACGTTAGTTCTTATTTATCTTCGAGAATATCTTATATATATGGCAATTTGTTGAAAATTTGTGCGGGTATGTAAAAAGCTAGGTTAAAATTATATTATAGTTGGGTTAAAAGAAGTCAAAAAGCTTGCGAGAACTTTTGTTATAATTTTTTCCCGTTAATACTATATATTGAATATATGTGGAATATCTTGAGGGAATCTATTAAAGGCTTGAAAGGCGATAGGTTCAATTGCCCCAATTACGGTAAATCGGGTCACATCAAACTCGTGTTTGGAGCGATCGAGTATGTTCGTTCATCCCAACCTAAACAGGTGATTTGCTGCACAAACAGAAAAATATGCTTTTCTTTTAATTATAGAATTCTGTGAACAGCTGCTTTAACATAGATAGTTAAGTTATCTAATTCGTTTTATTGTTATATATTATTCGCTACATCAATATTTTAATTGTAATTGTATAGTTGTTTTCTTATCTTTTCCTTGTTATAAACTATAGAAATTACGAGCATTTGACTCATTATTTCTCTTCGTATATGAGTCTAGCCATTGATAATTAATCGCATAATTGTTTTATATAACTTTTCTATGTTTTGACAACATTATCATTAACAATTATAGTTTGTTGCCCTCTAGCTATCTATTTAAATTTGTGCTCTCGTGCTATAAAAAGTATTATTTTTTTAATAATAATTCCATTTAGAGTATTTATATGAGTAACTAGCCAGTTAAATTTACCAATTATACACGTTTTAAGTGTTGAAACTAAAAAAAAAAAAAAAGGTATGTAATACTATGTTCTAAAACTAACGTAGAGTCTATCTAGTTTCTCCTAACCTCAAACTAATCTGATTATAAATATAGTTAACTGATTATGTTGACACACATAAACACTAGCTAGCTAGGTTACACAAACGCATAACAGCCAATATCTAAGAGCCATGTAGATCTTTGAACAAAAAGAAAGTGCCATGTAGATCAAAATAAAGTTAGGTGTAAACTATTAAATTAATTTTTTTATTGTTTTGTCCAACCTCCAAAGAACAACATGGCATATACCATGAAGATACAAACTCTTATTTAATACGGGTTCCAGGTTTGAAGCTATCTTCATTGGATAATAGAAGTGTGTAATAAATACAATTAATAAATACAATTGGGAATACTAATCAAATGGTTCTGAATTTCTAATCTAGCAACTCCTTTCATTTATTCGAATCCAACATTCGGGTTCCCCTTATAAATAGTACATTTTTTTATAAAAAAAAACTATTACGGTTATTTTTTCAATCCTAAATAATGTTTTTAAATGTGACGAATTACGTAGAAAACTGATATTTTGCAATGTGGTTGCTTTTTTGTGCCTCGGGTTTATTGCACATGTTAATGCAATGCAGTGGCAAGCATACCAAATCATAAAATATGTAAGTGAAAAAAGAAAAAAAAATCCCGAATTTCAAAATGCTCAAGTAGCATAAGAAAGAATCAGAGAATTTTTGCAGAAAGTTAATAGAAAGACACTAAAAATGGTCAACAAGTGGAGGCCACGCGCCAAAGTAGGCGTCGGTCGAATCTAATGATAACTCTCAAAGGAGATTTAAAAAAAAAAAAAAACAGATAACAATAAGAGAATCTTCTGATGTCTCTTCAAGTCTTTGCCTCAAAATCAAAAAAACTCTCTCTCCTCTCTCCTCTCCCTCCTTCATCATCACTTCTCAGATTGCGTTACCTTTTGATCTTTTTTTTTCTTCATCTTCACCGTATTGGTTTGAGCGAGAAAATGATAATCAAGCTTATCTCATTTGGGTGATTGCCACTTTCAGCTATAGACCCAGTTTCCTCTCAATTTTTTTATAGTAATTTTGTTTTCTGGGAAAGTTTCTGCCTTTTTCTGTTCCTTTTAATTATCCTTCCTCTATCTAGTATGATTGCCTTTTTATGAATGCCAACCCAAAAAAAAAACGTAAAAATAGTTGCTAATGTAGGAGTAGCCTTCTCTCTGTAATTCCGGTTCGATTTTCAATGTTTTCGTGAAAAAAGAAAACACTTTGTGGGGTTTGTGAGATCAAAGAGTGTGAATTTGAGATCCGAGACTTTTCTCTCTCTGTCTCTGTCTTTAAGAAGTGTTGAGGAGGATGAGAGAGGAAGATTCCAATTGGTTCGCTAAATGGGAAGAAGAGCTTCCGTCGCCGGAGGAGCTCATACCGATATCTCAATCGCTAATCACTCCCGATCTCGCCATCGCCTTCGATCTCCGAAGCCCTAACCACCGCAGCAACGGAAATTCCGGTCAACCTCTGCCTCAAACCACGCCGTCTCAAGCCAATTCCTCCGCCGAATTCGCCGCAGATTCCGCCGGCGACGAGCCAGCTCGAACTCTGAAACGACCGCGTCTAGTGTGGACGCCGCAGCTGCACAAGCGTTTCGTAGACGCGGTGGCTCATCTCGGGATCAAAAACGCCGTTCCCAAAACCATCATGCAGCTTATGAGCGTCGATGGATTAACCAGAGAAAACGTCGCAAGCCATTTGCAAAAGTACCGGCTTTACCTCAAGAGGATGCAATCCGGCGGCGGCGGCGGCGGCGGAGGAAACGTCGGCGAGTCCGATCATCTCTTCGCGAGCTCACCTGTTCCTGCACATTTCCTCCACCCGATAGGTAGACAGAGCTCCGACCATTTCATGCCGTCTTTTGTCCCAATCGCGGCTCTTCAGCAACAACCGCCTCAGTTCCTCCACCGGCAAATCTCAGCCGCGAATTTCACATCTCCGACGAGCAACGGGAAAGCGATGGACCAGTCGTTGTTCTTGGCCAGGCAGAATCAGCAGCAACCAGTTCTCATCAGACCATCTTCATTGCATTTGCATAGTCAAGTGGCTAATAACGCAGAGGATTTGGAATCAGGAGCCAAGACGGTCTTAACTCTGTTTCCATCTCGACACGACTGAATGATATATATCTCTGTTTCTAGATCGGAACATCCACAATCCGACTTCTGTTTTTTTTTTTTTTGGTCTTTGTCTGTGCACTGTAGATCCGGTCAGTACCAGGCTCTGTGACCGGATCTTTGATGATTCTGTTTCATGTTTCAAAGTGTTTCCACAAATGTCTTAGGAACAATGGCCTCCTTGCGTCTCAAAGATTGAGTTTTTTCCTCTGTAAAATCCTGATTGGATAAAAAGAAGTCATCTTTTCACTTGTTTGGATTTGATTATACAAGTACTTTACTGTGTGTTTATATTGCTTCACCTGATTGTGCTTGTGCGTTTAGGATTATTCTTAAAAGTTATTTGTAGCTTTGCACTGAATATCATATGCCCTTTGCAGCTTCGAAATCTCTTCCTCTAATGAAATTCAAGAATCTGATGATAACCAAATCTCTATTGATTGTACATAGAAAAAAATGTGATGCATATCTATGTATAATAAATATCTATATTTATTGACCAAACCATTGATTCAATAGTACAGTGTACAGAGAACATGAAACAGCCAAAAAGCAAAGACTAGACAGTGCCAGGCGGAATCTCTGAATCCCAGGATCTGATGCTCTCATATCCTTAATCATACCCTATTTATTAAATTATACTTCTTTTTTTTGTTTATGTGCAATTGTGCATAGAATCGGTTATGGGACCAAAACCCAATCAAGATTTTTCTATTAGTTATTTATTGTTTATCCTAATCATGATAAACATAAACTATAGGTTATTTATTGGGTAGGGTGGGATCAATTAAAAGCAATGATGGTGGGTTCATTAGCTGGCATGTTCTTCTGATCTGTTTCTATAAAAGTCATGCCCCCTATAAAAGTCTTTCGAAATATTACTTTATATTTTTGGTATAAAAAATAGTATGAATGCTATAATAATAAGGCAAAATTTTAAATAATAAAATCTAAAATTGGTAGAGTAATGTTGATACATCATTGGTAGTAAAACGACCGCTAATTGTCACTAGAGTTTCCAAATAACAGAAGAATCGTGTACTCTAAAAGTCTTGAGAAATAAGCCTCCCAATAACCAAACACAATCTCCCTGCATCATCTTGGCATCTCTGGGAAAACCGCATCATAAAACGGAAGCTGAATTGGTATCGGATTAAAGTTTTGTTCAGGTGGAGTAACCCTCACATACCTGGCAAAATTACACAACGCCCATTAGATTTTGATGAATAAACCATGACATAAGTTTATTTATCAATAGAGGAGATGGAGTAGGAACCTGTTCCGGTCATAATCAGGATCATAGCGATCCTTCTCTCTATCTCTAATAATGGCAACCCGAGAAGTCCGTCCTGACTCTCTGATAACACCCTTCCTCTCTACATCAGCTAGATTTTTTTGGGTTTCATTTCTAGTCGAGCACCTAGTGTTATTCTTCGTTTCAAGAGGAGGAGCTCGTGTAGAAGAATCTTCAGAGTCTGAGCTGCTAGGGCTGTTGAAGATACGAGCCCTGGCTTTATCATACTCCTGTTTCCTCTCCTCAACGCTTCTCAAGAGATTCTTTTCTACTGCTGATCCACTACCTATCCCACCAGATCCTCTGTTGGGTCTAGGCTTGATGGCGATTTTGAAACCCACAGGCCTATCATTAATCTCAGGTTGCTTTACAGGAATCTCAGACAAACAGACATATGGATATCTACTTTCCGCCGTTTTTGTCACCAAGATTCTGTTCCCTGAGCCATCTAAGGCACCACTGTCTAAAGCTGTGGTAAACAGCCCGTAATGCTGAGCAACACGGTGTGCAGCAAGACGGAGATAAGATGTTGGAAGTGGCCGGAACTCAAACTGTTGCTGCTCTGGACTTTGATAGAACTTCTGTATGTCCAGCTCCATACGCAAAACTGGCATATCCCCAAAAAAAGAAAGAATAGGAATGTTATCATCGACTGACCAAAATTTGGAAGAAAAATCTTCCCAGATAGAGCAATATTTCTAATGAACAGACAGAGGACCTATTTAACATAAAAAGTGAAAGATTCATATATCAAAAAGCTTAAAGCAATTGCATTCCAATTTAGCTAAATTGAATTTGCCTGAAGCAATAGCCATGGATCTACTCATCAAATCCGGAATCCAAACCCTATTCTGCAAAAGAGATACACCAAAACCCTAGAAAGGGCCTCCAATTCGAGAAACCCACTATTCCACGAGTCAATAAGGAACCCTAGAGCAGAGACTACCGCTAATCGGATCAAAATCCAAAAAAAATATACAAATTAACTTCAAAATCAAAGGGTTTGTGAGAAATTGACTAACTTGCGAGACGATGACGAGGGTTCTGAAGAGCCTCGACCAAAAAAGGATCCACCATAGCTTCCTTCTCGCTCATATCGGCCATGAACGACGGATGGCTTCTCTTTCAAAATTTTCAACTTTACTCGTAAAAATAAGAGAATCACGCGATAGGGATCACGGAGAACAAAGAGGAGGAGACAGATTGAAATTTCCTCGGGAGAAAATCGATGAGAAAATTCCAAATCCAAGAGGGTGAATGGAATGGAAAAAGACCTTTTCGACCTTTATCTCTCTCTCTATCACAAAAACTAGTGGAAAGAAATTAAATAAAGCTGCAGCCTTTGGGAATTTTAAAATTTTCGTCGTCCAAATTGTTTTGGAACACAAAAACGCTTCCAATTTCCCCCCAATGTCTAAAGAAGACATTCCTTTTTCTTTTGGAAAAATAAAAACAAAAAGGCTTCATTTGGTAATATTCTTATGATTTGGTGTGGTCGGTTCCGACTTTAAGATAACTTTTGTGTTGTGTAATAATGAAAGTTACATATGGAAGTCATGTATACTTTTTTCATCCCAAAATGTGTTTACTTGGGTTTTCCTTATTTTCTTACATATGAATACTTTTTAACAGGGCAAACAAAGCACCACGTCGTTTATATTCATCACAAGAGCAGTTTTTACTTGTATTCTATACAAAGTTTTGTATTCACATACGAGCCACACAACACAAAAGCTATCTACAATTGCCTTTGCCCTTTGCCCCGACTAGGATCAATCTATAAGTTTAAACAGATTTCTCTGCTCGTGAATGTTACATGCTGGAGTCGTAACATTTGATGTCTCACCTGGCTAACAAATTGGCTGATAATGAAAACTGATGCAAACAATGAAAACCACTAGAAAACTGAAGGGTGATTTTCTTATTTGAGATTGAGATAATGTAGTTTAATGTTGACCCTATAAATGGCACCCTAGTTTTCTTTAAGTCTTATCGATTCATGAATATATGTTTTTCAAATATCTCAAACTTTAAAGGGCAAAATCTTTTACCCAATTTGACATAAATTACTTCAAAATTTATGTTTAATAATAATATTGACCATATATATAGCATATATAACTAGAAAGCCACATTGGGTGCACAAATATACTGAAATAGTTAAAATAAAGTTACATAATTCAATTAGTCTTGCTCTTGATGAAGTTAATATTAGTACTATATTGAACTACTATAAACTCTTAAAAGAGTATTTCTCAGTTTTAAATATTAATAGGTAGTTGTTGTTTATGTCTATATATGAAATTAAAAAGACAAAAATATAAATGGCTTATCTTGATATAGTGCTATACATTAATACATGACAATAGTTTGGAAGGATGGTACTGATGAAAAACCACCTAAACCTTAAAAAAAAAAAAAAAAAGATCATGTTTTCTAAATTGACTACATTAAGAGCCGCTTAATAAATCTTATAACTTAAAAATCTTATTAATAAATGGTCAACCATATCTCAAAATTAATTTCTCCTAACTTCCTTTGGAAATAAGTAATGTTTGGAACTAATTTTGACTATATGATTGCAATATGTAATTAAGAAACAAATTAACCAAATTTAGTACGCAAAACGGAAAATGTATCATGTCAAAATATCTAGCAACTAAAAAGTTAACATTACGTGTTAGCTAGTCATCGAAATGACAGATTTGATTATTGTTAAGTACTTAAGTTAGTCTTTGTTCTTTATAAATTTCCTCACTAAGTCCCTTGCCATTTTCATCAATGTGCATTAAAATTATCTTATATAAACATCACAACCCTAAACATATAACCTTAAATCAGAACACTAAACATATAACTTTCCTTAATGTTAAAAGTAGGGAATCTTTAAATACCCATCCGGGTGTTTGGTTTTGAACCTGCCAGAGGCCGATGGATCCGATCCACATGTCGTCCTGGGACTCGAGATCTGCTAGTGACGTTAGCGACGATGGCTCTGCCACGTTCAAATGCAAGTATTGTCCGAGGAGTTACCCCAAAACACAAGCATTGAGTGGTCACCAAAATGCTCACAGGAGGGAGAGAGAGATCACCGAAAGACAACAACGGGCCATCTTGGCGCATGTGAACCAGCCGGATCCAAATCCGTACCCGAATCCATATGTGTTTCCTATCCACAACGCACTTACACCGGGATTTGAACAACCCCTATGCAACGTTAATAAACCGGATAGTCTAGCCGTGGGCTACAACCAACGTACCAGATCATCAAGCTCTGACCATGCAAGACTACAGATTCACACAAGTCAAGGACTGGATCGAGGCTGGACCATTACCGAGAATCCGTACCAACCATTATTGTCTGCACCGTCACCAGTATCTCTAGACCTCTGCCTTGGCGTCGGAAGTAGCTCTCAAGCTCAAACTCGGCCTAAAGAACCAAACGATGCGCTTGCTGCCAATCAAGAAGATGATGATCTTTCCCTCAAGCTGTGAAACCATAATGTTTTCCTATAAATAATTATATATATAGTTGAGCGGTTTATCATAAAATTTATGTTTTGGCTCAGTTTTTATTTGATTTGATTCAAATGATGGTTGTTTTCTAGCACCATATATTGTACAAATCTGAATGTGTTAAATTGATTAAAAAATATAATAAACTTGGTTTATGGCTGCATATGTAAAAACTTTGCTAATAAATCAAAATAGTTTATATGTAGAACAATATGTGATACTATCATCGTTTGGAAAGACTTCTTAGTACATACATCGTTTGGAATCAATTTATGTTTTGGCTCAGTTTTTATTTGATTGAATTTTGATTTGATTCAAATGATGGTTGTTGTTTTCTAGCACCATATATTGTACAAATCCGAATGTGTTAAATTGAAAAAAAAAATATAATAAACTTGGTTTATGGCTGCATTTGTAAATACTTTGCTTTAGAAATCAAAATAGTTATATGTAGAACAATATGTGATACTATCATCGTTTACACTTTACAAAGACTTCTTAGTACAACGTTGGCTTTGGTGGTGTATAAATGTAATTTTAGGACTTTAAGTTTCAATCTCAATTATAATTTTTTCTGGGCTGTAAGATGAAAGACTTAAAAGACGAGGGGTCAAAACCTAAATTTCGCCAAAAAAGGCGTTCTTTTGAACTTTCAAGTTCCCTTCTCTCACTTTTCTCAATTCCGCTTCTCTGTCGTCTTCGTTCACAATAACAAACATGTCTCAGTTTCTTCCACACTTGTCTTCTTCTCCCATGGCTAGCGAAGAAGAGTTTCGTCCTTCCGAGGAGCCGTCGCAGCAATCTCAGGAGTATATTTCAGAGCCTCACATGGTGGGATTCGTCATCGCGAACATAGTAGGGTTAAAGTACTACTCAGGCAGAATCAACGGCCGAGAATTGGTGGGTCTGGTCCGAGAGCCCTTGAACCCGTACGACGAGAACGCAATCAGAGTACTCAACATGCGATCCGTCCAAGTAGGTCACATCGAGCGACCCGTAGCCGCCGTTCTCTCGCCGTTGATAGACTCTCGCATGATCGTCGTCGAAGGTATCGTACCCAATACTCGTTCTAGCACCAATAGGTTCAAAATCCCCTGTCAAATCCACATATTTGCGAAATTAGAAGAGTCCTCTGCTGTGAAGTCGACGATTTCGCGAGCTGGGTTGGTGTTGATTTCGGATTCCGATACATCGTTTGGGTTATCAGAGGCTGTTGTAGTTAAGGAACAGATGGGTAATGGAGAGAATAAGAGTTTAGACAAGATTTTCAAACTAGTTGATAAGAATGTGAGGCAAAAGGAGAAAATGGCTGAGGTTGAGCCGCCGAGGGAAGTGATAAAGTCGGAACTATTTGCTCATCAGAAGGAAGGATTGGGCTGGTTACTCCAAAGGGAGAAATCTGGAGAATTGCCTCCGTTTTGGGAGGAGAAAGATGGAGAATTCCTAAACGTTTTGACGAATTACCGCACGGATAAGCGGCCTGAACCTTTGCGTGGAGGGGTGTTTGCTGATGATATGGGATTGGGTAAGACCCTTACTTTGCTTTCTCTGATAGCTTTTGATAGATATGGCAATGCATCCACCAGTTCGCCAGCCGAAGAACCATTGGATGTGGAAGGAGAAAAGATTGAAAAGAAGGGTAAAAAGAGAGGAAGAGGCAAGAGCAGTGAAAGTGGAACTCGAAAGAAGCTTAAATCTGATGATGTTGTTTGCATGAATGTGTCTCGAAAGACAACGTTGATTGTTTGTCCACCTTCTGTGTTTTCAGCATGGATTACACAGCTAGAGGAGCATACTGTACCGGGAAGCTTGAAGGTGTATATGTATCATGGTGGCGAAAGGACAGACGATGTTAATGAGCTTATGAAGTATGATGTAGTGCTGACTACTTACAGCACTCTGGCTGTTGAGGAATCGAGGGAACATTCTCCTGTCAAGAAGATGGAATGGCTGAGAATAATTCTGGATGAAGCACACACCATTAAGAATGCAAATGCACAACAGAGTCGAGCGGTTTGTAATTTGAAGGCTTCCCGCAGATGGGCTGTCACAGGAACTCCTATTCAGAATGGATCACTTGATTTGTACTCTTTGATGGCGTTTCTCCGGTTTGAGCCGTTTTCGATTAAGAGTTATTGGCAAAGCTTGATACAACGCCCGCTTGGTCAAGGGAATAAGAAGGGGCTTTCACGTTTACAGGTAATGACAATATTCACATTTCTGCCATTTTTATATGTTTTGCTCTACGGTGAGAACTTATTCATTCACAAGCTTTTTCAAGGTTTTAATGGCGACGATATCGTTGAGGAGAACAAAAGAAAAGAGTTTGATTGGTTTGCCACCCAAGACTGTTGAAACTTGTTATGTTGAACTTTCACCGGAAGAGCGTCAGTTATATGATCACATGGAAGGAGAAGCCAAAGGTGTAGTGCAGAATCTTATAAGTAATGGAAGCTTGATGCGCAATTACTCAACAGTTCTGAGTATAATCTTACGGCTTAGACAGCTTTGTGACGACAGTTCTCTATGCCCCCCAGAATTAAGATCTTTCTCCGCTTCTACATCTATTGAAGGTACACAAGAAAAAAAAAACACAATTACATATTCTTACTTTTGGTTGCAAAGCTTAAATCTTTGTGTGTTTGTGAAACAGATGTGACTGATAAGCCAGAGCTGCTGCAAAAGCTGGTTGCAATATTACAAGATGGCGAAGATTTTGACTGTCCAATTTGCCTTTCGCCACCAAGAGACATCGTCATCACTCGATGTGCTCACATCTTTTGCAGGGCGTGTATTCTCCAAACCCTTCAAAGAACTAAACCTTGTTGCCCTCTTTGCCGTGGCTCTCTAACCCAATCCGATCTCTACAATGCTCCTCCTCCTCCTCCGGATACTTTCAATACTGATGAAGGAGACACCAAATCTTCAACCAAATCCTCAAAGGTCTCGGCTTTACTATCGCTTCTCTTGGCATCAAGACAAGAAAACCCCAACACAAAGTCCGTGGTGTTCTCTCAGTTCAGGAAAATGCTGCTTCTACTAGAAATCCCGCTGAAAGCCGCGGGTTTCACCATCTTACGCTTGGATGGGGCAATGACTGTGAAGAAACGGACCCAAGTCATTGGAGATTTTGGGAATCCGGAGTTAACGGGGCCTGTGGTGTTGCTTGCGAGCCTCAAGGCTTCTGGTGCTGGCATAAATCTAACTGCAGCGTCAAGGGTGTACTTGTTCGAGCCGTGGTGGAACCCTGCAGTTGAAGAACAGGCCATGGACAGGATTCATAGGATTGGGCAGAAACAAGAGGTTAAAATGATTAGGATGATTGCGAGAAACAGTATCGAAGAGAGGGTCCTTGAGCTCCAGTACAAGAAGAAGAATCTTGCGAACGAAGCTTTTAAAAGAAGGCGTGGGAAAGATCAAAGAGAGGTTAACGTTGAAGACGTGATTGCTCTCATGTCTCTCTGAAGTCTGAATCATGCCTTCGTTTTTTCCCTTCACCTTAAGTTTTACCGTTTTTTTTACCTGTTCCCTCTTAAGTAACACTAACCGGTAATTTACTGTTTTCGGCACATATCGTTAACCGATGTTTCCGTCTCGGTTAGTTTTAATTACGGGTTAGCTAAGTTAGCTGAAGCCTTTTTTATACATTTTATGGTTTCAGTCCGGTTTAGTTTGGCTAGGTTTAGGCCTTATCTCTGTAATTATAACTTAAATGCACAAGTTCTGCAGCCATCTAATATTTTTCTTCCTTCTTTTCCCTTGTATACAAAAGAACAAAAAGGTTCAATTTTAGGAAAATTTATAGAAACACACTATTAAAATCCTAACGAAATTTAGTGGGGCTCTTATTAAATATTTACAGTAAATTCATTACAGTATAGGTTAAACACAAATCGTATGTTATTCATTACAGTAAATAAAAGAGGTTTTTTAATGTAGATGAAATCTGAATACAATAAACAAAAGTAAAAAAAATAAAAAGAGCTTTTTTAAGATAAAATCTGAACATATTAAACAAAATTAAAGTTTAAGTGAAGAAAAGAAAAAAAAGAATCTGCTGATACTAAAACAGTTGAACAAAAAAACTCATTTTAAAAACAGTTGAACAAAAAAACAGACTACTATTAGAAGACCTTCCAAAATATTGATCCTAGTCCATGGATTTCATTATCAAACTCGTTTCATGTATAATCTCATTCTGTTTAGTTCAATTCGGAGATTCTATAAAAGTTTCGAAATCTATTAAGGTAATTTAGAAAAAGTTGTTATTTTTGATAAAAGCGTTGATATGTTCGTATTGTATATGCATTATTTAAACTGATAATTTTTGTAATTAACTTATGATATCTATCTCCTATATATGTTTTTCATATAGTTAAGTGAGAATATTATATACGATTGTGTGGATATATATAAACAACCTTCATTAAATCATCCTTTACTCCAAAACCACCAAATTCAGGTATTTTTGTTCATCAAACTTTCTCACATTTATATTTGTCAACCTCATGTTTATTTCATATGAAACTTAATTGTAGCTTTTTGTAAGTCTAATATGATTTACTCTCTAACTTTATCTATATATGGTGTGATATGGTTTATGTAGATGAAACCATCTTTTTCAATTCACAAATCAAAAGAACAAGCTAAAAGCAAAATTTATAAAAATATAATAAACTGTCCAAATGGTACAGTTCCCATACTGAGGAACGCAAAACAATATGTAGCAAAGAGTCAATATTTCGCAAAAAAACATTTCAATCCGTTCACAGTTGAAAGTCACGGAACACATGTAAGTACTCAATTGTATTCTCATTATTCTACTTTCAGTTAATTGTGTTATGATTATGTATATTACATTAATGATTTGAAGTTTTCAGTTTGCAGGAGTTAGATTGCATCATGGTCCTTATTATGGTATACTATCTTGGATAAGTGTACATGACTTGAATATTAGTGGTGACCAAGCTCCATATGCTCACATATATGTTGGCAGGCGATTTAACAACAAAGATAATGTTATCCAAGTCGGTTGGATGGTAAATTTAATGTTTATGAAACTTTCTAAAAAATAAAATTTTATTATATTAAACAGCTTTAAAAAATAAAATATTTTAATTTGACTCACAGGTAAATCCAAGTATATTTGGTGATGGACAGACATGGAGTTATGGATTTTGGAAGGTACAAGTATTGCTACATTAGTTCAATCTTTACCACTTTCTTAATACAAATCAAATTCGAAATCTACTCTAAGGCCATCTTAACTGTGTTAATGAGCATGTTATATGTAATATGTTTTTGAATCTGAGTAATCTATTATATTAAAACAGAAGCACATTTAGTACTTGTTTCCAAACACTCCTAATTTTTTTTTAAGTGTTTAAAATAATTTTAATAATTATTTATATTTAATTTCGAAAATTAGTTATTAATTTAAATATTTTTAGAGTTCCTTAAATATAGGTAATTTAGATTTGATTTGATTTGATTAAAAATAATAAATCAGATATTAATTTAGATTTGATTTAAAGATTCTAATTTAAATAATTTCTATACTATTAAACATTTTTATCAAAAATATCTAGAATTTTGGAAAAAAAAAATAATTCACATATGAAAAATAATGGTCATATTTGAAATATAAAATATTTATAATGATGTAAATGATATGATATTTATGTTGCTTATATAATATATTTACGATTATGATTTATTTACAAATTAATAATAAAATAATAGATAAAATTCAAATGTATAATTTAAATATTAAAAATATATTTTTTAAAATTCATAGAACTAAAAATATATATAAAAACCGGGTTAAAAATATTTTGGTAATTAAAATCACTAATTTTGAATTATACATGTATATCGAAAATATATTTTTCATACAAAATAAAAACATAAAAAATTAAAAAATTTTACACACACTATAATGTGGTTTGAAAAACCAGTTGTACACTCCATTCGTTGATTAAATTTTAGAAAACTATAATGCTAAATAATACTGTTAATACATCTCAAACTTTTAACAAATATTTATATTATACGGTAATATGAACGGAAAAGTTAGAATTATATTTTTATAATAGTTCATTTTGAATTAATATTAGCGGACGGATTAAAATTATATTTTTATAATCATAATTAATTTTAATACTATAAAAATATATCTAAACACAAAAATCAATATTTTCACTAATTAAAAAATATATTTATAAAATAATTATATCTAAACTCAAAAACACAAATTATATTATAAAATTCGTTAAACAATAAAAAATATTCTCGTGCTGATACACGGGGTTAGAATCTAGTTATAAACTAATTATCCCTACTTAATGTACATATATTTTGTATTGTACTTCTACTCCTTTTATCTAAAATGTACATATACTTTTAAACTAATTTTTATCACATGGATAATGGATATGATTAACTAATGACAGGGTGCAAATGGAGAAAGTTGTTATAATACAGTATGTCCTGGTTTTATTCAAGTGTCTAAAACAAATCCTTTATCTGAACCTATACGTCAAGCTCCGGCGGAAGAAAGAAACATTGCTCTTACTATTCAGAAGGTAACCCACATTCTATTTGAATCTAAATTATGTGTTTTATAATTTTAGATTTTTATATGATCCTTGATTGAAAAAACAATGTTTGAGAACTTTTGTTTATAGTATATTAAATTGTTTAATTTTAAATTATAAGTTCAGATGATGTCCTATATAATATATACTAATTGTGATTTTATTTTTTTTAGAGCTTAATTTATATTTCATGAATCAGGTCTAACATATTTTTGTAACAAGTTGATCGTGTTAAAATATAATCAAATATAAAGATTTAGGGAAAGATGATGATGGATCCAATACACTTTTTTACATACTAGATACGTTTTTTGTTTTTTGTGTGGATATATCATTTCTGACAAGATTTTTGATTGTCTTAGGTGTTTTTTTTTAAAATATTACATCTAACATGTGTAATTTTTTTTTTAATTATGATTCACTAAAGGATAAAAATCAAAAAACTGGTGGGTATTAGATGTAAATTACAAAAAACCAGATATCCTTCTTGGTTATTGGCCAGGAGAACTATTTGATCTGATAGATAATGGAGTGGACATAATGGGAGTTGGAGGAGCAGTCGAGTCTTCTCCGTCTGGCAGAAGCCCACCAATGGGTAATGGTCATCTACCAACTCAAGACGATATGGAGTCTGCGCGAGTTTATACAATTCTCTATCTAGATCAGCCCACTGCAAAAACAATGAAAATAGTTGATAAATCATATAAGTTGGAGAAGTTATTAGACAGTGAAAAATGTTATGGACTAAATCGGGGGAAAAAAATGTTGTTCACGTTTGGTGGACCAGGAGGAAATTCTTGTGGAATATAAACATTACAAAAAATTAAAAAATAATGTCTTTGGTTATTATAATAATAAATATTTTGGTTATTAAACATTCTCACTTTTATTCATTTCTCTTTAGTTGACTTTTTCATCTTCTTACTCCCTAGTTTTTTTTTCCCAATCGCCCGTAGACTATTTAAATCAAGTTAAAATTAACTTACAAAAAATTATATCCTTTTAAGTTTATAATACTATTACTATTTATTTCACTAATTGGTTTCAGTTTGAATAAAGTAACAAATTTTATCTTATTTTGATGTGGATTTGGTTTTCATACCTTCTTCCTTTTTGTTATGTCAGTATTATAAAATCATTTAGTTGATGCATTGGGAAGTAATTGTTTGCTTTATTTTATCGAAGAAACATAAACTTGTTATGTTGAACTTTCACCTAGAGTTTTACCTTCTTATTTTTTTACTTCTCTCTTAATTTACATTAACCGGTAGTTTACTGTTTTCATGTTTCTGTCTCGGTTAGTTTAATTAAAGGTTAACTTTTAGCCTTGTACATGCCTTTTACGATTTCAGTCCGGTTTAAGTTTTGCTCGGTTTAGATGATATCTCAGTCTGTAAATAAAAATATTTGTAAATGAAAATACTTAAAAAAGTTATGATTCTCTTTTCCGTTTATTTCTGCTTCTTTTCTATTAATGATCAAGCTTGTAGAAGACGGACGAGTTGAGTTCTGTTCTATTAGAATGAACAAAAATAATATAATTTAGAAAAGTTTTAGTCTAAAAGAAGTCAGTTTAACTTTCAAAAACAAAATTATCATAGAGTAGAAGAGTTCGAAACCAAAAATTTATAATTATATTTATCAACCAAAGCTTTGCTCAAATTTTACCTATAATATATATTTTTTGTCATAATTTTTGTTTATATTTTTCATATGTTTTGCTTGTTCTCGTGTCTAACATAATTGTAATATTAGTTTTCATCTAACATTTTATTTTCTTCATTACTACATTGTTTTTTTTTAACAACATAAAATATGATTAGATTTTTTTACCTTAAAGCTAGCCGTGACGATATCAATAAAGTGCACAAAAGTAGATTATTTATATCTTCTTGAATATTAATATAAGTTTTTTTTGTTGAATATAAATATTTAACTTCAGATTCTTAGAGGTTAAATATTTTTGATATTAATCATTTTAAGTAAATTCGATACGTTCACATTACATTTATTAATGGAGTACTCATATTGCTATATTATTGGATAATGTTAAGAATTTTACTTTATATAGAGACGTTAAGTGAACCAAAAACTCGATATAAGTATAACTATCAAATAATAGTTATGTTAATTTGGACGAATAATTTGATGAATGACACTATGATAAAAAATGCAAGTAACTCGGATCTTATAGCACATGTCCATTCTAGAACAAGTATAACACAATGATTCAAATTAGTATAGTGATCTGTCTTATCCATAACCAAAATTTAGAATCGAGCATATATATAGGAGTACATTTTTAATAATTAGAGGCATACACTTCGTAAATCCATAAATTCTGGGCTAAAATTTCATTTTTTTTTGTTTGAGGCGCCTAAAATGCCATTTTATGACTGCATTTTATTAGGGATTGTACTTATGTATTTAATTTCTGAGAATATAAATTATAACGAGTTTTCACCCAAAAAAAAAGAAAAGAAATTGTTGTAATGAGACCGTTCGTGGTAGATGGATTTGTTATCTCTTAATTGTTTCGCACAATAAACACGCACCAGCTTCAGTAGGGCCACCGAAATCCCGTAAAACAGCCACTATATCTGCTGACGTGTCGGCCAATCAATGTCTGTCATTTAAAGGTGGCTGTGACAAGACCGTGAGGTTAGCACTCAAAGGAAACGAGTCGCAGGGTTTTCACGCGTTTGAGATATCACCACCCCAAGTCCCCGTACAACTTCGTTTTGTCACGTATAGCATCAAATCGAATAATTCCTTTTTTTTAAATTATATTGGTTGATTTTGTTGACTATCATAAATAATAAGCTTTTAATATTTTTCTGCTCCAACAAAACTAGCTGTTTATTAATGCTTCATGGATTTAGTTCTACGATTGATTATCACAACTCAACAAAAAAATATTTGGGTTGAGTTTACATTGTCTAACATTATGCTCACAACCGATGACATATTATAGTAGATGTTATGTATTTTTAGTAATTTTTGACTGTAAATTCTCTACAATAAAATTTACCAGATTTGGATTCTACTGGCGTTCTATATATGACCGATTATGGATTTAAAGTTGTAACTTCTAAAGGAGGGTCGATGAGTTAATGAAAACTATTGTGAGGGTAATGAGCTTTATCTTTGTTTTTTCCAACATGGAAAAGAGAATGAGCTTTAAAACATTGGGAAATCTTATAAACCCGAACATCATTTGTAAGTGGATTAGGTATAAATTTTGGTAATATTATATAGAAAGAATGTTGTAGAATAACTTATTGAATTTTCATTCATTTTTCAACTATTAGATCTAATAACAGAAATTTAATTTAATTTATATTTTAGATAACAGATTAAAAAAATCAAAATAAATATATCACATGAAATCATTTTGTTTTGGAGTGGACTTACCAAGAAATTCACTTTATTTACTAGAGATAAACGTATTTTGATCGGTAGCTTTATGGGAAAAAAATATCTTCAGATGTTATCCTTAACGTCTGTAAATAAAGTATTCGTAAAATTCTCCTTTTGACTTTTTCCAATGAAATAGACTCCTTACATAAATGTTGTGTGACAAAAATGTAGTGTAGGGCAAAAAAAGAGTTTGACATTGTTGTGTCGTCGTTCAAGTACAACGCATGTGTAAGATAAAAGATGAAATGAATATTTTAGTTATTCTTTTAAAATAATGAAAAGCCAAATAAGACCGATCAGGTCAAAAGAAAGCCGTAAAGAAAATCCAACTTATTAAAAGAAATCCCTTTTACCAAACAGATACAGAGACTTCGGGGAGGAAGAGTATAAGAGAAAAAATAAAAAAATAAAAAAATAAAAAATCTCATATAAAAAATTCGATTTTCTCTCTCTTCAAAGATTGAGAGCTATTAAAAAAAAAGGAAATTTTTTCTCAATTAAAAAAAAAAGGAGCTTTCTTGTAGAATTGAATTGTACCTGGTTTAACGTAGTAGCACTTGGGTTTTAGATAGACAACGTAACCAAAACTGTTTCATGTTCTGTCTGTTTTGTGTTCTCTTGGTTTTTGGGTTTTCTCATATTTTTTCTTTCTTTGCGGTGCATTTCTATTTTTCTCGGGCAAAATCCTTCGTGGGCTTTCCGGGAAAGTTTTGTCAGATTCGGGAAAAAAATAAAAAAAAGGGAAGACAGAAAAAAAAAAAATCCAGAGAACTACCTAACAGATTCTGTGTTTATCCTTATAGATTCTTTTGATCACAAACCTTTTTCGTTTGATCATTTTCTTTAAAGAAAGGGAATAATCTCCAAGACTCAATCTTTAGATTTTCAATTTGGGAGTTTTTGGTAAGTAAGACATTGAAAAAATCCTTGTGGGTAGATTCAGTATTTGCTTCGGCTCTGATCTTCTCTTTGGGATTCATTCAATCTTGTTGTTCCCATCTCTAGAAAATCTCCAGATGCTGTAAACCAAAAAGAAAATTTGAGTTCTTCTCTTTCTTCTTCATCATCAGCGAATTATCTCTTCATTTTTCTGGGAAAGGTCTTTACTTTATTTTGAGATTCATTAGGAAATAGAATCCGATTTTCCTGGATCGACAAAAATCGGATTCGAAAAATCGATCAATTGTCTCTTTGACGATGACGAGTATGAAACCGTCGGCTTCGTTAGATAGCTGGAGGGAATATTTCCGGCGAGGAGATTCCGATATATTTGGGATCATCGATCACGCGATCATGGTGGCTGCTGCAGATTGCCCAAACAAATTCAAATCGAGGAGAGACAAAATCGCCGAGCTTTTGTTCTCGTGCAGAGTCAGCCGCTGCACCGGATGCGACCACCTCGAGCTTTCGGTTCCCGGAGACGACGAGGCTAATCGCGGCCGTGGAACCACCGGAACCGGTGACGGCGGCGACACGGCGGTTGACGGCGATGAAGATTATGAGGTTGGTGGTAGTAAAGAGAGCAAAGCTAACAGTAGCAGAGGAGATAATAATCACATGGACGAGACGAATTTGAATAGCAATCAGATTGCTAGCAATTATACTTATGACGAAGCTGAGGCCTTGAGTGATGCGATCGAAGAGTTTACTGTGATTTCCAAGGAAGTTGGTAGGATCAAAGAGATCTTGCTCAACAAAGAAGACGAGGTTTGATCTAAAAACTGGCTTTGAATTGCGAATCAGAATCTCTGTCAATGGAAGATTGTTTTCTGATCGTTTCTTGTTCTTTGTTGCAGCCACACTCGGTGATACTCGAATCTCTGAGAAAGCTTAAGTTGATGTCTTTGAATGTGGATATTCTTAAGGTTGGTTTCTGGTGGATAGTGTATGAAGTTTGTGTCTGGAGTTGAGTGATTGATTTTAAAGGTTTGAGATATTATTCTCGCAGAGTACTGAAATCGGAAAGGCTGTTAATGGCCTGAGGAAACATGCTTCTGATAAGATTCGCCAACTTGCAAAGACTCTTATCGCGTATGAGTTTTTGATCTTTCATTTAAGACACAAACTTGACTCTCTTTCTTTGAATAAAGGCATTGACTCTCTCTGATGGTGTTATGCAGAGAGTGGAAGGAGCTGGTGGATCAGTGGGTGAGCACCACAAAGGAAATCACTGGTAATTTGAGCTCTCTCTGTTACGTTTTTTGGATCTTTTATGTCTGATTATGGTGGGATTCTCGTCTTACAGTGTTGGTTTCTTGAATTAGATCCATAGTCTTTGGTTCTAATTTGTGTTTAAAATCAGGCGCTGAAGGTACACCAGAGTCTGCAAACCCGTCAGTGGTTGATGAAGAAGAAGCGTTTCCATCGCTTCCATATGATGTCGATATCTTTACACCGCAACCAGATGTATTTGAAATGTCAAATTTCTTTGATTCCATGGACTTTGATGGAAGTAAGTTAAAAACTATTCTCTTATTTTGGTGGTTGATAATCATGCTCTTAGCTATATATATTTTGGTTAGACTAATTTTCCCTGTGGATGTTTCTTTCAGACCCTCGTAACTCTGGGGAATACAACACAAACACGAGCCGAGAACATGAAAGAAGACCACTAAATATCGCCAAGAGAAGACCCGAGGGTACACAAACGAGGATACAAGACGCTCCTTTTAGATCTATTAAGCCATCATCAGCTACTGATTTTGATGGGACTAGGAGACCTCTAAAGCAACATACAGAACAAAGGATGAAGAACGAGATTGTATCTGTTCACAAGTCTGAGAAACCTATGATCCATAGGAAACCGCTTGTTACAGAACACAAGCGGAAAGCTCCCGGACCTCAACAAGAAGTGAGTGTGGCAACAAAACCTCTTTCTTTTTATTCTTTTAATCCCAATCTTGGACATGGAAATGACTGTTCTTTTCCGTTCTTGTCCCTGGCAGAGACTCAAAGGTCTTGATCCAGACGCAAAGTTTGAGTTTGCTAAGAGGAAACTTCAAGAGAGCTACCAACAACATGAGAATGGTCCGTTTTGTTTCTTAGTTGTTATTTGTACATTCTTGAAAACAAAAACTGATAGCCAGAGACAATGTTTGTGACCACAGCCAAGAAGCAACGAACAATACAAGTACTTGAGACAATCCCAAAGCAAGGTAGTGCTCAGAAACCGCAACTCAAGAGACCTGGTATGAGCAACAGGAATTGGGCAAACGGGCGAAAATAGCTTCTTCGTTCTCTGTTTATAAAGGTGAATAACCAACTTTCGGCGAAAAACGTTATTACATACATACCACAAGTATCCTCAATCTCTGGTGGAAAAAGGTAAATCATATTCTACTTCCACAAAGCTGGAGACGGAAACAAGCAGAGGAGAACAGATTCCACAACTTAACTTTACATTTTGAACAATCTGTTTACTCCTCTGTTCTGTTCTGTCTGGATTCACCAATACCAGCTGTTACTTTTCATGTGTTACTACTACATTCTTGAGACTTTCCGTACAGTCCCGGTTTAGTTTTATCCGGTTTGGTCGGGTCATGTTCGGTTTTGTGACCCAGTGAATCTCACATTGAGAAGAGAGAGAGAGAGGTCCCTTACAATACATACTTCTCTATATAAAATTGTAAAAGAGGGTAAAAAAGCTTTTTCGAATTGACCGGCTCTTCACCTAACTTTGTATAGTGACGTGAAATGGGTTGGGACACTATATATATAGAGATAATCACAATTTTTTCCCAAAATAAATAAAATCTATTTAATGATATCTGCTTCTCTGAATGTGAATGTGAATGTGACTAAAATGTTGTCATTATTATTTTATTTTGTTGACGTGTTGTTATTTATTGTATAAAATAAATCAAGTAATAAGTAGGATGCTTTTATGCATTGAAAGGCTTAAAGAAGGGTGGGTGGATAAGAAAAGAAGAGGAGGTAGTGGTGGTGGGAGTTAACGTGGACGGATAGGAATGTTGCATTGTGGCCTTTGTGCGTGTTATATATATTTATCATTAATATTTCGGTTGGGTTATATAATATAGTTTTATACTACGTTATTTCGGCGTTACGCGTTCACGCATTTCACCACAGATACCACGTGGACTTCCCTAAATTCTACTACTTTTTCCATTTCTACTAAAAAAACAGTTGCATAGCGAATTATCTAATTCATCCATGTGCACAATTTTATTTGTAATAAGGAAACACGCTTTACAGTTTGATTGAGAAAGTGACCCAAACACTACAAGTTTGATTAAATATTGAATAAGAATTTGTATTGATTAGTTATGCTGGTCTTTTAATTTGGCAGGTTATATATGTAATGATTTATAAATGGCATGTTATCTCATTATTTTAATGGTATTAGTTAATAAATTAAACTTTTACATGATATACAATTTAGTACTTTATGTTACTATATTATCTTTCTTTTCTTCCATCTTAATGAACTTCATTTATGATAAAATCGTTACGTTGTTGCATAATCCCATAATATATTGTTCAAAAATATTTGATACAAATCAAATACATTATATATACACAGTAGAACCTCTATAAATTAATACTCGATAAATTAATAATCACTATAAATTAATAAATTTTGCTGGTTCCAAGTCGGGTCAATGTAAAAATTCATCAAATCGATAAGATAATAAGATAATAATTTTTTTTGAAACCCTTATGTAAATATATGGTCCCAACAAAAACATAAATTAATAATGATATAAATTTCTGAAAATATATATAAATTTAATATTCTAAAATATGACTAATGTGTTCGTTTTTAGTTAAAGTTAAAATCTCATTGGTTCTCATCTCTCTAATTATTATATCAGTAACTCTCATTGCGGTTTTACTATATATATTCAAAATTTATGATGATTTTTTGATGTGATAATTGATTTTCTTACATATAAATGTTTTTAAATGTATTGTAGTGTTATCTACAATTTTATCATCAATAATACTGATAGTAGCCATAGTTTTTTTTATAAATTTTATACTTATGAACATGTATATTTTTATATGGATAATCCAATATGGTGAAAACTATTTTATTGTGATAGTTATGATTTTTAATCATAATTTATATTATGATATTTGTTAAAATTTTAAAATATAACATTATTACAAAATAATTTTTAGAAAATTATATGCAGAAAGCAATTTTTCTCTATAAATTAATAATTATTAATTTATAAATAAATTAATATCACAATAAATTAATAAAATATCATGGTCCCAACATTATTAATTTAGAGAGTTTTTACTGTATAATACAATGTCAAGCAGAGAATATCAACTATAAAATTGATATAGCGTCTTTAACACACACAAAATATGTTCCTACTGAATTCGTCCGGTGCAAGTCCTAATCTATGAGCTAAATTAAGAGATGTAGAAATATAGAAGAAGAAAAATGCGTTGCATGTTTTGGTCACATCACAACCATTTGGTCGTCTGTTTGTGGTAAGGTGAAGAAGTCTTTGTTTTCCAACTCCACCATCTGCCCTCCTTCTCCATCAAATCTACAACTTCGGAAACTTTACATTTTCCGACCAATATCACATCAATAATATTAACAGACCCCAAATAAGAGCCAAAGCATGCAGAGACAAGTCATAGAAACCAAAGAGAGAGTTTTACCTTCCATCTATGCCTACGAGTAGAACTGTGTTCTCTGGTCCAAAACCTACAATGAACTTGGTGGACACCGGCAACGAGAACTGAGCAATGGATCGTTCACTGTCATACGAATACTTTGGCAAGATTCCTGCACAAATGTTTCAAAAAAAAATAAATGCCCAAAAGGCGCTATAGGTCCTTTATATATACTTCAAACGAGCACTCTTATTATTATTTTACCTCTTAATAATGACACTGATGAAGCGTTGTTGATGCTTTTGGGTGAACTAAGAATGTCAGGTCTCAAACGAAATACATGTAGAGTCCCTTTTTCACTTGACACAGCGACCCATTTATGATTCGAAGAGATTGCAACGCTATAGATCTCTACCCTTTCCATTCCTCTCCGAAACTATACCATGGAAACCAAATATGTATATTATATATCACACACTCATCAAGTAATTAATAAACCGAAACTAATCAAATAACTATAATCATATGATGTGGGGGTTAATTAACTTACCTCTTGTAAGAGAGTACCATCAAGAGTGTTAAAGATCCTGATCAGAGTTCCTTTGGTGCTAGCGGTAGCGAGCAAACTTCCATCAAGAGTCAAGCTCATGCAAGCAATATCAGAATCATGTGCTTTGATGAATCTGACTTTATTCGGTCTCATCAAGTCATGGACCTGAACTTGCCCCTGGTGACGCCCAGGGCAGGCCAAGACTGCTTTCGTATCATCTTGAGAGACGCAACAAAGCCCTTTAGGGTTCATAACGGTTTCGAGCAGACAGTGAATCTTGAGGCCATTGAAACTGTAGACATAGACGTTTTTATTCAGGACAACCGCAACGTGTTCTCTCCTCATTTTCACCGCGATAACTTCTGATTTGAAAGCGAGCTCGCAGAAGCGGCTGTTCCTAAGATCGTCCCAAATGACTACTTTGTTACGAGGATACTCGTGATGGTTATAACCGTTGCCAACTAGAGCGAAGATGTTAGAAAGGAAGAGCATCTCAGCGATTTTGAAGCCAGTTTTGAACGCATCGCGGCTAAAGCTTTTCTTGACTGGGCTGCAGTTATATACATCAAACCCGCGGTTTGTTCCGACCATGAAACCGCTCCAGTCCTGGTTCCAAGCCACTGATAACACCTTAATGTCACCCTCTGTTTCATCACTTGGTGACTTGGAAGCTTCAAGTTTTAGTAACGATCCTATTCCACGGACCGTGGAGAATATCATCGAACTCATGATTTTCTAATTTAACAGTTCTGCAGAAGAAAAGCGAAGAGACAAGGTTTAGGAATAACCAACGCGTTTCAATTTCACCAGCTCTGTATCACATATATATTATCAAATTCCCAAAATCATCTGGTCTCTGCAAACCCTAGAAAAACCCTATAACTTCCGTAAGACTCAAGTAAAGTAATTTGTGTAATCGATGACAGAACTAAACATGGTAATCAATAGCAACTAAATATAGTCATCAATAAAAAAAAAAATCCAGCAGAGAGACTCTCCGTAGATAGATAACGCAAAAGCAAAGGAAGAGATTAGAAAGAGAAGAGTTTTACACTTTGGAATTACGATGTTGATGTAAGAGAAGAGATTTGACACGAACAAGGGTACTTATAAGGAACCTGTTACTGTTTTCTGGGCTCTCTTTGGAATATCTAAGCTTCTCCGTTGTCATCAGATTTACTAAAAGGACTAGGATTACTGGATTAGGGAAAAAAAAAAGACGAAGTCTCATCATCTAGAGTTCTAACTCCACTTGGACTTCTTCCACCCCCTACACGACGTCGTTTGGCAAATATGTCTAGAGATTCAATTCATAGATTTGGTACGAATTAAGTCAAAACTCAAGCTTGGGTCGGTTGTACCGGTATTATTTTGTTGACCGATTAAAAGGGATTCATACACCAAACCAACACCGATTATTAAGCCAATGAGAATATTCTAAAATTCTCCAATTAACCATCATCTGTTCATAAGGTAAGATTGAAGATTCGTCTCGGTATATCGTAGATTGAAGAAGAAGACGACGAAAATGGGGAAGCAGCCGGTGAAATTGAAGGCGGTGGTCTACGCGTTATCGCCGTTTCAGCAGAAGATAATGACTGGTCTCTGGAAAGATCTGCCGGAGAAGATCCACCACAAGGTCTCTGAGAATTGGATCAGCACAATTCTCCTCCTCGCTCCCGTCATCGGAACCTACTCGTACGTTTCTCTCTTCCCTTCCCTCTCCCTATCAATTGGTGAATCAATCGATCGTTTGGAAGTTTGGGATCTGATGATTGTGATGTTCTTCAATCTGATTGTTAAGCCATGTCGTTAGTTTCGATTAGGCTGTGATTTTATCGGACCTAAAAGGTTTGGGTTGATTTGGTGATGAGAGTCTCAGCTTGATTACACGTAGTCTATGTAGCTTGCGTTACAACTATTCGATTTGAGATTTCTTTGTTCTTGGGATGGTTTATTTGTTAATGCAATCTTCGAATGTCGAGTGCAGATATGCTCAACACTTCCAGGAGCAGGAGAAATTGGAGCACAGGTTTTGAAACATGAAGACGAGTTTATGGCGTTTACTTTGTTTAAGGCGTTTTCTTTACATGTTACAACTGAATCCATAAGTTCGGAGTCAGTGTTCTCTGTTAAGGTTTATATAACCGCCACTTGTTAAATAAATGTCTCCATAATCTCAACTTTGGATAATTTAACATTTTTTCCAGGGTGTAATTACTGAGTTGTTTTTCTTCTTCTTTTTCTTTTTCATTGTGTTCATCTAACGGTTTACGCGAGTCCTCAAGCTTGGGAACAGAAGATACATTTTTTTTTTTTTTTTTGTCTTTCCAAAAATTTGAGGGTGACAGGTTTGGAATTGATGGTTGATGCAAAATCATTGAGTTAACAGTAACAAAACTCAATCATGGGTCTTCAAGGCACTGTTTAAAATTCATCAAAAGCCATAGTACTTACGTGAATGTCACTTCATAATAAATCTTCATGGGTTTATTACAGTCCATCATCATTCATTATTCATTTTAGTTAGACCAACCCAATCTATGAGTTGGAGGAAGTTGAAAAGCAACACTCATAGTATAGTCACACAGTGCTATTTTCTCATTAGACCAATATCTTTGATTCTCTCGTGTTCTTCAACTTTATGTACCTAATTCTGTTAAATGCAATTTTTAGATTAAAACAAAGACCCCACTGCAGTGCTTGGTTTGGTAATTATCTCTCCATACAAAATTCACACTATACTCTTTAATTGGTTAAAAGTCTTGCTGATGAGTCTTCTAACTCAACACAATTAACCTACCTTTTCCGGTAAACTGTTTTTGGATAACTTTTATATCTATTTTGATTCGGCCAAATACAAAGCATCAAAGCAGAGTTGACTGTTAACGACCAATAAAATTAAAAAACGAGACAGATCATTTAGTTATATTTTTCGGTCAATTTTTATAACATTTGTTGAATTATCTGATGAGATCGATCACTACCTTTTTCTTGATTTGCATGCTGCATAATGCAAAGAAAAGATAAAGCAATATATTCTTTGATTTGTAGTGTTGTCTCTTAAAGAGCAAATGAAAGAAGCAAAAAATGGGTGCTTTTGCTTTTCTTTCCCTCCTTTCTTTGCGGTGTCTTTGCTTTTATTTACCTTTACATATTAATTTGAATTTGAATCTGCTTTTCTTATATTTATAAAAAAAAACCATTATGTTTACTTAGCAATGGATTCAAACCAACTAATCATTGATTCTTTATCTAATTTGAACTCACTTTCTTTTTTAACTCTCTCTAACCCAAGTAATTGAAACACAAAGGCAGAAAAAAAAAGAAACTTTCACAAGAAACCTATTTCTCTCTCTTTCTCAGATCATCTCATGGAGTGAGTAACCAAAAGAGCTCAACCATGACTTCGTCTTCTCAAACCACCCTGACCGTTTCCGTCTTCTTCTTCTACCTCTTACTCGCCGCAACCGCGGTTTTCGTTTCAGCCGATTTAGCATCAGACGAACAAGCCCTTCTCAATTTTGCAGCATCAGTGCCACACCCACCAAAACTCAACTGGAACAAGAACCTCTCTCTCTGCTCCTCATGGATCGGCATTACCTGTGATGACTCCAACCACACCAGCCGCGTTGTTGCTGTCCGTCTTCCCGGAGTTGGTCTCTACGGTTCAATCCCACCGGCCACGTTAGGCAAACTAAACGCTCTCAAAGTCCTTAGCCTCAGATCTAACTCTCTCTTTGGAACTCTGCCTTCTGATATTCTATCACTCCCCTCTCTTCAGTACGTTTATCTCCAGCACAACAACTTCTCAGGCGAACTCACTAATTCTTTGCCGTCCATCTCCACGCAGCTTGTTGTCTTGGATTTGTCTTATAACTCTTTCTCCGGTAATATTCCTTCCGGTCTCCGGAACTTGTCTCAGCTCACTGTTTTGTACCTTCAAAACAACTCTTTTGATGGTCCAATTGATTCTCTTGATCTCCCGAGTGTAAAGGTTGTAAATTTGAGCTATAACAACTTGAGTGGACCTATCCCTGAGCATCTCAAGAACTCGCCGGAATATTCTTTTGTCGGAAACTCATTGCTATGTGGTCCACCTCTGAATCAATGTTCAGGAGGAGCCATCTCTCCGTCTTCAAACTTGCCAAGACCATTGTCAGAGAATCTCCATCCTGTCCAGAGGAGACAGAGTAAAGCCTATATAGTCGCCATTGTAGTCGGATGCTCTGTAGCCGTTCTTTTCCTTGGGTTTGTTTTCTTGGTCTGTCTCGTCAAGAAGACGAAGAAAGGAGAAGAAGACGGAGAAGGAGGGCGAACGCAGGTGGGTGGAGTGAATAGCAAAAAACCGCAAGATTTCGGGAGCGGAGTTCAAGATCCAGAGAAGAACAAGCTCTTCTTCTTCGAAAGATGCAATCATAATTTCGACCTCGAGGATCTCTTGAAAGCTTCCGCGGAAGTTCTCGGAAAAGGGAGTTTTGGAACGGCCTACAAGGCCGTGCTTGAGGACACAACCGCGGTCGTGGTGAAACGTTTACGAGAAGTCGTAGCGAGCAAGAAAGAGTTCGAACAGCAATTGGAAGTTGTTGGTAAGATCAACCAGCATCCAAATTTCGTACCGCTCCTGGCTTATTACTATTCGAAAGATGAGAAGCTATTGGTCTACAAGTACATGACGAAAGGGAGCTTGTTCGGGATCTTGCACGGTGAGTTATGCATGATGAGACATTGAGACCACACACCCTAACTTTTATTTTTGTAATCGAAAACTTGTGGGTCACGAAAAAGATTGTTTCTTTTTATAATTTTGGGACAGGAAACAGAGGAGGAGACAGAGGAGTAGACTGGGAAACGCGGATGAAGATCGCGACAGGGACTTCAAAAGCAATCTCTTACCTTCACTCGTTGAAATTCGTTCATGGAGACATCAAATCCTCCAACATACTTCTCACTGAAGACCTTGAGCCATGTCTTTCCGACACATGCTTAGCCACACTCTTCAACCTCCCGACTCACACACCGCGAACCATCGGCTACAATGCTCCTGAGGTGATTGAGACTAAGAGGGTCAGTCAGAGATCAGACGTTTATAGCTTCGGTGTGGTGATTCTCGAAATGCTAACCGGGAAGGCGCCTTTAACTCAGCCAGGTCTCGAGGATGAGCGTGTGGTCGTTGATCTTCCGAGATGGGTCCGGTCTGTTGTGAGAGAGGAGTGGACAGCTGAGGTTTTTGATGTGGAGCTCTTGAAGTATCAGAACATTGAAGAAGAGATGGTTCAGATGCTTCAGCTTGCGTTGGCTTGTGTCGCAAGGAATCCAGAGTCGAGGCCAAGGATGGAAGAGGTTGCGAGGATGATCCAAGAAGTGAGAAGAAGTGATCAGTCGCAGCAGAACAGAACATCCTCAGAGGCTACTTCGAATGTCTCTGAATGATTTTCTCATTCCAAACAAAAGATTCTACTTGTCTTATTGAATGGTCTGTTACTTTGTATCGTAGTTTAGTGCGGCAGATCAAATTCTCATCCTGTGAATTTGTTTCTCTTTGATTTTTTTCTTTGTCATAATAAAGTCGTTTGTATTGCAGTTAACTTCGTTTTCATATCATTTTGACATTTCCTAAGCCAGAAAATGCCCAAATCCAGAAATTGAAGTTAGGTCAACATGAAACAAGAATAATACACGATGATTTAGTATAAGTCAACACCACTTCTTGCATTCTTATCACAGAAACCAAAAATATTCGCTTTCACTTAAATTCTACACATAAAAAATACGACCACCACCGCAGACGAACAGACAAATTACAGACAACAAAAATAAAATAAAAGTGAAGAAATAAATCAATGAAAATATAATTTTTTTAATTATGTGTGTTTTCACCCAAAAACAGGTGTAATTGGCTATAGGTCACTTCTCTCAACAGTTGATTCCACATTCGAGAATGTCCGGGCCAGTGACTCTGCTAGTGAAGGGATCGATCCTAACCCACAACAAGGAGAAGATCGAAGCCAAGAGAACAGACCAGACCACAACAATGGTAGGAGTCCGGTTCTGTCGACCCATCAAACCCTTGAGGAAAGGGTACAAGTGAACAATCACCCAAAAGGCGAAGAAGAGCTTACCGAAGAGTGGTCCCCATGATTGGTATCCACTGTTGATAGCATAAGAGACTCCTGCAACAACTCCCACGAGGTTTACAATGAGCAGCGTCGTTGGCGGAATCAGAAGTGTTGTCCATTTGAACAAGTAGAGCTCGGCAAAGTCTCCGTCTTCGTCTGAAGCTTTTGAGGTGACCGTGAAGTTTGTGTCAACACCAGCAAGGACTTTGAGGACACCTTGAAACACGGCGAACAAGTGAGCGGATACACCACCAATGACCCAAAACTGCTCGTTCCTCCACCATTCGTCTATGCCTACGCCACTCCACCTCATTTCTAGTATACCCGTGGCGAAAATGGACAGAAAGAGCGACAGAAAATATATACTTGCAATGTTGCTAATCTGCAAAAGAGGAGCAATAGAACAGTTGAGATAAGGTTTTGAAACCGTAAAGCGCTTCTCTCATGAACCGACAATAAAGCAGAACGTAATTAGGGTTTGATCTAAAGAGTGAGAGAGAGAGAGAGAGAGAGAGGTGACAAACCTGAGGAATAATAAACTGGTTGGTGAAGAGACAAACAGCGGGCAATGTACAATACATGAGAAGAGGGATGGAGGTGATTGGGTAGATGGTGGTGTTCACATATGCAAACCTCTCAAGAAATTTCAGCCTTCCGTTGTAACCATACCATATAGGACAATGCCGACTGAAGAGAATCTCAACTGAACCTAGAGCCCACCTCAGCACTTGGTTCAGACGGTCTGAAAGATTGATAGGAGCAGATCCCTTGAAAGCCGGAAGCTTCGGCATACAGTAAATGGATCGCCATCCACGGGCATGCATTTTGAACCCAGTCAGAATATCTTCTGTCACAGAACCATAGATCCATCCAATCTGAAGAAACACAGCGGAAAAGATGAGCAAAGTGAGTGCCAAAGTGGATATGTCAGAACATTCATTTCAGTTTCATGTAGGAATTGGAATGAGATAAATACCTCCATTCCCCAATCTGATTTATCCTCGTAACCACAGCTAATGACATGGATAGCCTCTTTGAGAAGGTTTTCTGGAGTTGCTGAAGGAGGAACACCCCCATTTTCCATTAGGGTCGAAGCAACAAAAACAGCAGATTGTCCAAATCGCTTCTCTAGGCTCATTTGCGACATCAAGAGCGCCTTTTCATCGTCAAAACCAGCACCTGAGTTTACAAATGTCAAATAGTTAGGACATGATGAGATACCTAATCTGCAAACTATTTAGACTGTGTAAGCATAATGCACAAGACCATCTCTTAATGAACTGTCACTTACAAACAACCCCCTCCCCTGGATCAATATCTCAAACACCAACGTATTGGTATAACGAAAAACCAGAGAAGAAAAAAAAAAGTTGTACCTTCAACTCCCTCTTCTATGTCATCGAGGTTGAATACAGGAACCGTTGAGTCAGTATGCCTGCCTGATTTCTTTTTGTCCGACTCTTTCTTAGATTTGGAATTCTTCTTTCTTGATCCACCACAGAGCTTAGATAAAACACTTGGCTTCTTGTGTTTTACTTTTATTGGAGGTTCATAACCATATAACGCTGTTCTGTTGAAAACACACCCAGTTCCCACATATACAGGTCCTTGAATCCCATCCAAACCTCTCAAGTTAATCTGGAAAACATATCACCAAAAAATTACAACAAACCTCAAGAAAATGAATGTTTTAAATGTATATTCATGTCTAAGAGCAATTTGAAAGAAAAAAAAAAAGAAAGAAAAATAGACGTAAGTATAAGTGTGACTTACATCAAAGAAAACGGTATTACGATTAGCATATCTATCGTTCTTATCGATACCATCAAATCTTTGTGGGAACTGAACGTAACAAACTTGCTTCCCGAGATTCGGGTCCATCAGGAAGCACATTGCTTCTCTTAAGGCCTTGCTGTTATTTATGTAATGATCACAATCAAGATTCAAGATGAAAGGTCCATTGGTAAGGACTGCTGAGACTCTAACCTGTTTATTTGAAAAGTACCCAGATTAGACTAACAAAAATTTGTTCAGAGAAAGAAGAAGTATAAATTCCGAGATCAGAAACCTACAAGTGCATTCATAGCACCAGCCTTTTTGTGGTGCTGGAATCCTGGTCGCTTTTCTCGAGAAACATACACCAAACGCGGAAGCTCATTGCCCTCTGCATCAAGTCCACCATTTTGCCCCAAGAAAACCTGCATTCAACAAATGCTACTTCAACAATGAACTTCTAGAGAGAAAGAGAGAGTATACTCGACTTCCATACTTAAAACCAATTTCTCTTACCTGGATCATTCCTGGATGGTCCCTTGTATTGTTTCCAGGCCATGGTGTACCATCTTGCATAACCCACCCTTCTTCAGGACATTTTAGGGCTTTGGAAACAAGTGCATTGATTCGGATCTTAAATTCCTCATATTCCCTCTGCAAGAAAATAAAAGGTCAATAAAATATACTAAAATGAAAATGGGGTGACTACATGACTAAAACTACAAACTTACCTTCATAGCTCTACGATCTTTGACAAATGATGTCTGAACTTTATCCTTCAAGTAATCTATTTTCGCAGCAAAGTACCATTCTGGTGCACGAGGCTCAATGCTATATTTCTTGCAGAATGGCACCCATTTACGAGCAAACTCTGATGTTTCTGCAAGTGCTTCAAATGATAACATAGCAGCACCATCGTCAGAAACATAACAGGACACCTTGTCAACCGGGTAGTCAACAGACAGAATAGAGAGCACTGTGTTGGCTGTCACAAGAGGTGGCTCCTTCAAGGGATCAACAGTACTCACGAAAATGTCCACAGCGGCTAACTGCGACGGCTCACCTTCACGATCATATCTGTCCCAAATTGAGGATGATTAGATTAAAATGGGAAATATTATAGGCAGTCAATCCTTTGAGTAATTGCTTCAAAAAGATGGGGAAATAGAACATACCTTAAAGCAAGCCTGTCGAGGTAGGTTTCACGGTTCACAGGAAACCACTTGGGAAACTGATCCAAAATCCAGGATATGGCAAACCAGATCTCACATATCACTGAGACCAGCCACAGAGCAAAGGCATTTGGCACTGGATTTGTAATACGGTAATGCAAGAAGAGACAAAGGATGACAAGCCGCAACATAATAACCATTCTGTAAGGATTGATCCTTGATGAAGGAATCGAAACTTTCCTTGACAAAGGCTGCCTCGCTTCATCATTCCTGTACAATAAATAAAATGGAAAATGAACATCAAGACATTGCTTAAAGGAAAGGTGCTCAGATTGTGCAATGTCAGAACCCTGAAGCAGAAGAGGACATCACGACGGACCAAACGAGTAAAAAAAACAAGAACTCACAGCAAAGCCTCATCAGCGAGGATATCTGTGCTGGCATCAATATCTCCTCCACCTCTTTCAGACGCAGCCTGCGTGCTCACAGGACCAGTATTCTTTTCCTGCTTCATTTTCCAGCCATCAACTCTCTCCTTCCAAGCTACATTCCCTAGTCCAACAGGATCCACAATTCTTCTATTTGCTGCGGCGTGAACGACAACAGAGTACTGTTTAGAGTTTTGCAATAAAGGAAAAGCCTAGCAAAGTACGAGTATATGTGTAGGCCAGATAGTAAGTAAATAAAGATATTTACGTGATTGATTGACATCTGATGAATAGGGAAGGCGCTTTCCACCAGCTATAGTAGAAGATACAGAGAGGCGTTCAGGTGAGGCAGCAGAAAACTCCCCTGAAGTCTGTAATAAGTGAATGAAAAAATCAGATTCCAAAACTCAATTGCGTGAGGATGTAAATGCTTGAGAGGGAAGAATGAAATGGCAATGCCTTACATCTTGTCTACTCGTGAGACGAGGAAGATGATTGTGAGAGACCTCTTTGTCATACTCGGGTTGCCCCATTTCCTCTCCTTTCCCACGTGTAAGATGCCACCCAAGCATCCGCTCTGAAATTTTTTCTTTCTGCGGGTAGTTGAACTCAACGGTAGATTCATCAGCTAAGCCGTCCTCGTCTTTATCACCGGGAATAGCAGGACTACCTAGACACAGAGATTAGCAAATCACAGTGAATACCAATCTGATCCGTAGCTTAAAAACATGCAAAAAAAAAGAAGCGTTAAAAATTCAGATGGATCAAAGTCAAGAATATTCAGATCAAAAATATACCTTTGTGCCTCTTGTATGTTGTTTTGCACTGAGGACAAGATTGGTTCCCATCCTTCCTCTCATATTCATAGCAAGGCCTACAAACCGGGAATGAACAAAAATCACACGCCACAAAAGGATCTCCATCAACAGTCTTCCCAACGTCGTCACTACAGATCTGGCAAATCTGCCCACCGACGTTCTTCATCGGCTTCCCCTACAATAAGTCGAATCAAGAGTTAACACAAGCCAAAATTAGAAACCTAACAAAACAAAAATTGGGAAAAACGCGCCCAAATCAGATCTCTCCTATACACAAGTAAACACCACTTTCTCCACTCAAATCCGTCGATTTCAATAGAATTCTAGAGGATCACGCGGATTATAAGGAGAAAAAAACGGAACTAAGGATGATTAAGCAGAATCAAAACATACCGCGGTTTCTCCTTCGGATTCCATCGTCACTTACTTTCTTCCAACACCGAAACGTCGGGATACTTCAAATCTGCTCGGAATAATTAAGAACAAGAGAAATGCGATTAGATCTGACAAGATCAAAGTAAGTCAAATCTGAGAAGAAGAGGAAATGGAGAACGAGCTGATGAGTTAAAAGCTACCATGAGATCTGGAGATGGAGTCGGGATGTGACTCTTCAGATCTCTCTGAATCTGCGATTCTTCTCTCAAAGAGAGATATATGTATGGAATGTAAGTAAGGACTATTCGAATCTTTAGATGGCTTACAAGATGCAAGCTGCTATTTGTCTCTGCTCGTCACTCTTCGGATTTTTAAAAAATAAATATTACTATTATTGTAACAAATCATATCCGTCGGCACAAAAAAAAAAAACAATCATAGCCAACCAAGCAACCACCACCACCACCGACAACTCCACAGTCGATTTTTTTAGTTACAGATTTACAGTGTTGTAAAAGTGAAAAGCGTTTTCACTTACCGATAATTTATTAAGAAAAATTATAAATTAGTCGGTCGTTTTCTTTATCATTAAATTAGTGTATTAACTACTAGAGTTATTAAAAAAGTATCAAGTACAGAACAAAAGCACAAGGTTGAAGACGACATTATCTGGGCCAAAAACCCAAAGGCCATCAAGCCCAACATAATCGACAAATTGGACGAACCATGATCACACACATTTCGGTTCATGTTTGATCCAAACCAAAAGGACCGAAAACCGAAGCCAATAATTGGTTTACTGTTGAAATGTAGGTCTTCTGCATGTGCCGATGTTTAGCCACTGGGCAGAAGTAGACAGACTGTAAATTGACAAATGGAGAAAATGGCAAACATTTGAATCCCAAAGAGCGCCACTTTCTCTTCGCTATACGACAAATTTTCCCTCCTTTTTCCCTCCTCTTTGTTCCCTAACCTTTCCACCTTCCGCATCGTAACTCGTAACCCTACAATTCTTGTCTACATAAACCATCCTCTGTTTTATCCCCTTTTATCTCCCCTGTAATCTGGGCGTTTTTCCTTCTCAACCGAATTCAGGTCAGTGAGTTTTATGTTTATCTGTTTTTTTTGAATTTTGGACTGAGATCTTCGCTTGTACGGTTGGGGGTTTTGTAGATCTTATGATCTGAGTTACTAACTCTGTTGATATGAGATTCGTGGAGTTTTTTTCTTGTCTAGGTTCTTCCATGACCAAATTGTTCAAAACTACTTTCTTTTCCCGTTGCAACTAGTTATCTTACTTTTGTTTACAGGGGTAATCAAAATCTTCTAAAGTTCAAATTTTTAATTAAAAGAATACTTTCAGATCCAAGAAAACCGTAGTTTATATTTCCTGGAATTTCATGATTGCAGAAGTGTTTTTCCCTCCAGATCATGTTCTTGTCTTCCCTTTGTGTCACTTGTTTCTTTGTTGGCGAAAATGACAATTCTTTAGGATAGTTTTTTTTGCGGAGTTAGTTTATTTGCTCAGAAAGTTGTTCTCTTTCGTTTGGTGTTTGCTTGATCATTGTTTAACTCGTGACTCTCCTTCTTTTGTTGAATTTGTAGATGGATTCGCCCACAGAAACTGGACTAGAGATCTCAGATGATTCATGTGGGTGGCCACAGAATGGCAACTCGTTTGAAGAAATGTCATCAGGAGGTACACAAATATCTTCTCTAATTCATTCATATCTCTTCTTTGATTGTGTTTGTTTCTGTTCCAACACAAATCTATATTACATCAACTGTCAGGTTCAGACCAAAATGCCTCTTCCCCTGTAACTCCAGAGTCTGACAGAATACCTGTAGCTCTCAGCTTTGATCATGGCAATTCCGATGTCTCTCCTAATCATGATTATGACTCTTCTTATTCCGAGTTAGACTCGGAAGCTGAAGCCTTTTACTCATCTCTTAACCACCACCTGGTCTCACCAGGGACAATGGATACCCATGAGTTTGCTGAGAAACAAATTAGCTATGGAGAATTGATGAAGAAATTTGTCCAATGCGAGGAAGAGCTAAGGGCTACGAGTCTGAAGCTCCAAGATTCTGAACAAGAGATTGAGAAACTGAAAGGTGAGACTGAGATGAGAGAATCTGCTGTTGTACCTGCTGAGGATCTCTGTGCTGAGCTTGAAATTGCAAGGAGAGAAATAGAGGCTAAGAACACAGAAATTGAGGCTGAGAAAAAGCGAGCGCTGGAGCTGCAAAGACAGGTGGTTGATTTGGAATCTACGCTCTCAGACTCAAGATTCAACATTGGGAATATAGTGGATGAACTTCAGTGGAGTAGAGAATGTTTGGGTGTATCAGATGCTGAGATATCAAAGCTAAAGGAATCGTTGTGTGATTGCCAGCAAAACTTCTCTACCGAAAAGACGAAGCTGGAGACTAATGTTGCTGGTTTGTTAGAGAAGCAGACTTTCTTGGAAGCTCGGGTCAAAGAACTTGAATCACGTGGTCAGGTACTGGAAGATCAGATTAGGCATTCTGATGCAGAGAAAATGGAGATGCAGAGAAAAGAGGCTCAGGGGCAAGCTGAGATCGATGCATTGAAGATAGACTTAGCCTCACGAGATGAGCGAATCGAAGCATTGAACAAAGATTTCGACAAGCACAAGCTGAGTTACGATATGTTAATGGCAGAGAAAGACGGCGTCTGTGCCGAGGTAGACAACCTAAAAGCAGAGATGAGATCAAGAGACATCCAAATTGAGCAAATTGAGGACCAGCTTAACCAGCTGCGCTGTAGGCAAACCGAGCTTGTGTCTGAATCAGGAACAGCCAAGAACACTGTGGAAGAACTGAGAGGTGTGGTCAAAGAACTGGAGAAGCAAGCAGAGCTGCAGAGAAATGCGATATCGGAAGGAGAGGAAGAGAAAAGAGAGGCGATAAGACAGCTTTGTTTCTCTCTGGATCATTACAAAAGCGGATACAGACAGCTTTTGCGATTTCTTTCGAGCAACAAAATGCAATAACAAGCAATCGTGGTCGTGTGAGTTTGATTGAATATTATTGCCTCTGCTTCTTCGTTTCAATAGTAAGATGTATTCATTTGTCCCATCATATTTGTGTCATTGTGTTACTCTGTCTCATACATTCTTTAGTTTCTTTAGTAAGAATTGCAATTTACTATATGAAATCTAAGCTAGTGAGCTCGAAGATGCTTTTATATGTGTGTGCGTTTATGTATTCCGAACATAGGTATCTACAATTTTTTCTGTGTAGAGTTTTCTTGTATGATTATGTCATAATGACGTAAAGCCCCGATAATTAAAAGCCGGGAGGAGAAAAAGTCAAAAGGCCAAACACAAACCTAATCCTCCATTATCTCAGTATGGTTGACTCTCTCAATGAAAGAGCTGGAGTTAATGTGAAATGCTGATAAGAAGGTTTTCGAGTCCTGTAATAAGGACTCAATTATTATGGACATTTTTATTTCGGAATTATAGTATGTTTTGTCAAAACAAAATAGTGAACACTTCATTAATTAAAATATGAAAATTAGAATCAAAACTAATATGGAACCAAAAAATAATAATATGACAACAAGTTTGAACGAGTCTGTTTTTTTTTATACAGTGTATTCCGATTCTATTCGCGTTGAAAATTTATGCTTGTTGGTCAACTGATTTTTTTTTTTGGAAATAGTTATAATAGGTTCTCTGACTATATCAAGATTGGTCATGGTCTGCATGACTTTGTTTTAACTTATAAAAGAATTAAAAATGACAGAAAATTCCCAAATTTCAACTCTGAGATGGTCCATTGCCTCTCTCTCTTTTGTTTTTTTTTTTTAAATCCTCCCTGTGTAGCGATATATGCTGGAGTGCGTGGTTATGCATCCGCATGCAAATACATTTTTTTGTTATAATGTGAATTATATGATTGCATGTGTGAAAAGACTTTGCAAGACTGCTGGCGACGAACTTTATTAGTTAGATACAACAGATAATCAATTTAAAGATAGCTAAATAAAAGGTTTTTAGGGGCCCTTTTTTATTTCACTTTCTTAAGGTTTCGTACGCAAATATATTCTAAATTTAAGATATGTTTTGAATATAAAAAAATTACCTTTTTATTTCACATTCTTATGTTTTTTTTTGCTTCGAATTTAGTTAGTAGAGGTTACATTCATCTGTTCAGGAAAAACAAATACTTACTATATAAAGACGAATAGTTTTACTATATACTCTGAGAAATGAGATTTTATTTAAAAAAACTTTACATACATGAATGCTTTTCAAATGAGAACTGATGCTCCCGCATTATCAATTTTCATTCGTTTAGGACAACATACGCTCCCGCAATATTTTTTTTATTAGAAACATTAATTTTGACCTTTTCAAGTCTTCTCTTACACATGTAAATAAAAAGCAATTTGCGATATAAAGTAACATTTCCAGAAAAAAAAATGCAGCGGTCCCTAGTCTTCTCTTACACATGTAATTTGTAAAGAGTTGAATGGTATTGAACTTGATTTGATTTGATTTGGTTTGAGAATCGTATCCCGTAGTCGTTGGATTGTGTAAAGAGAAGACAAATATTGAAGTAACCTGTAGAGTCTAGTCTATACAAAATACTGAATATATGACACCACAACAAAGGTTGACTTCTCCGGAATAACAAACCAAAACGCTTATTTAGAAAGTCTGAAAGTAAGACAGCACAAAACGATAAAAGACCGAGTCTGTCGACCATTACTTTACTTTTTAATAATGTACCATACAAATAGTTCATAGAGTAATATATCTTTGATAATACTTTATCAAAATTAAAACAAAAAAACTTGATATTCCAATAAACTTTTTGTTCTTTTATTTCTCACTTGTAACTATAGAAACACTCACGTAGTTATCACTTCACTACCATATTAAAAGTTTTTTGATTAATACCTCTTCGTTTTTAGTCAAATCTTTGAAATTGTAATTTTTTGTATAGAACACAGACTTTTTTCAACATTTACTGTAATATTGTATATATAACATTTTATTTTTCTTGGCAACGTTGACTGGAATATTAAAAAAGAAACCAAAATTTCACCTGTCAGAAAATATTTAAGAAAATATAAATAGACAGAAAATTAATCATGTAATGGTAAAGACGTAAAGTAAAAAATATGGGATCAAAAATGATGAATGAAGAAATAAGTAGGGCTAACTTTCTCTTTCCAAAATAAATGTAACAGGCGCCGACATTAACAATGCCATTCCATTTATAACTCTTATCCAAAAAAAAAAAAACTTGATTAGGTGAAAACATTTACACCTCTTTCTTCCTCTGCTTCTTACCAAGCTCTGTTTCAGATGCTTTCAACAAAAAAATGGACCAGTTTTTTTATTTAAAATAACAACAAATGTGTTTTTCTTTAATGGTTGTGATTTGTGAGCGACGAGTTGTGAGTTTTTTTTTTTCTTTTTTGAGTCTATTGACTAAGATATCAGAAAATTCCCCCAAAAGTAATTAAAAACAAAACTTTCTTGACACGGGAAAAGAGAGACTTTTCTCAAAGGAGAAAATAACATCCGAAGTTAAAAACCTCTCCAACGATTTGGATTTTGCGTTGTCTCCGTTCTCTCAATTCCTCCTCCTTCTACTTCGCCCCCACGACAAGAAATTCTCCTTCTCTCTCTCTCCTCGCCATTTCTATTCCCCTCTCTCTCTATATAATCTTAAACTTCTGGATTTTCTTCTTTCACAATCTCTCGAGTTTGAAAGACTCTGCAAAGAGCTTACTTCGGTTTTTGATTCTTGATATCTTCTTATGGCTTCTTCAATGATGTAATCTTGCTTCTGTTTCGTCATCACGACCCGGATCCGTAACCAGCTTTCAGACCTGGATTGTACCAATTCCCAGATTTCTTAAACTACAACTGAAATCAATTTACGCTATTCTGACTTTCTCCTCTTCATACCACGTTGACCTTCATCGTCTGGTCTCCGTTCAAAATTTCCGTAGAATCTTCAAGAGCTTCGCAAAGTTTCGATCTTTTATCTTTCTTCTTCTTCTTCTTCTTCTTCTTCTCTCTCTCTCTCTCTCTCTCTCTCTGCGTCTTAGGTTCTGTTGATGAAATTTTGATTTAGAAGGTTGGGTTTAGTCATCAAATTTGGTACCAACAATGGCGAGCCAGACGGGTCAGAGAGTTCGGTTGGTGAAATGCCCAAAGTGCTTAAAGATTCTACAGGAAGACGAAGATGTTCCAGTTTATCAGTGTGGTGGTTGTTCAGCCATTCTTCAAGGTCATTGTTTTTACAATTCTGCAACTTTCATTTCGATTTCGTCTTAAAAAAAAATGTTAACTTTGATCCAGAATCTGGTTTTTTTCTAGATCCTGGGGTCCATCTGTTCTTATTATCTTGCTTTGTCTGACACAAAGAAGTTGTGTGTTTTTGGTTTCTTTCTACTCATGTTCTGTCTGTTATTGAACTTGTTTGTTGCTTTTCTTTGATTCAGCGAAAAGACGTAGCATTACTCCAAACACTACACCAAGTGCAGGAGAGACAGAGGGGGCTCAAGCCAGTGAGCCAAGAAGCAATCAGCCTGAAACCAACAATGTCTCCACCAGCTCACGGCAGGACACGGTTCTTCCGTCATCCCCAGGCCAAGAAGAAGAGAAGCCTTGGGATGGATCCATGGAGTCTACTCAGAAGCAGCTCGGTGGCTTAGACATATCTAATCGAGAGGAGGGAAACGAAATCCAACTGCAGGCAAGCTCACTTGGTGATTCTGACAAAAATGAAGGAGAAGACAACTCCAGCAGATTGAAATCTGACATCAAATCCGAGACAGAAGCTACAAGACATGGGACTAGCTCAGGAAGCTTGAATGCTGATCATGTGGTGGATGCAAGAGCGAGTAATTCGTCCAGTGATGCTTACCACAAGCCAGAAGCTGAAATCTCTCCCGATGCTTCTCCTGTTGAAGAGGAACAAAACGAAGATGATCTTCCTGCAAACAAGACTTCTTCTGCGTATGATGGTAGTGAGTCTTCGTCTGATGAAAGGGAAGACCAACTTCTCAATGAAAACGAACAATGGAATGCTCTTCAGAAAATAAGATCAGGCAAATTTGAGACTCAGAGATACCCTGAACTTTACAAGGAGCAAGGCGCTAGTTCCTCATCCACTTTCTCTGAGACGAGGCGCAATGGTACACATCAGAACAGGTCTCTGCAACTTGAGGGACCAGGAGGGCGTCTTGGAAGACAAGGGAAGAGACATGTGACAGAACAACTTCGGCCTGACTTGCCTTTCTATCCGAGAGATTCATACACACGTGTAAGCCCTTCATATCCATCGCACGATGAGTTTGATCGCTATTCCCGTGCACACTCGCTTCAAATGCCTCCATACGCTGGAGGCATGAACTACGAGAATGTTGACTACATGTTTCACAACAACACAAGGGCAAGAGGTCGTGGACAAGGGGGTAGGTTCTCAGGAGAGATGGTAAGTGACAGAAGAAACCATCCCGGTTGGTATTCAGCTCAGCTTCATAATTCTTACAGTTCATATTCTGCAAGTCCGCAGAGGCCAATGGAACAACCTGAGTATTATCCGAGATGGAGCCACGAGATAGTCTCTGATGTGGAGGATCATCAGCGTAATAGACACGCCGGCCACCACCATGACTTACAGAACCGTCGTTTAAATGAGAGACAGCGTGTGGCCAAGCGTCATATCCGTCCAACAGCCGGTGGGGCACCTTTCGTGAGCTGTTACAGTTGCTCGGAAAACCTACAGCTTCCTGTAGACTTTCTCATCTTCAAGAGGAAGCATCATCTTCTCAGATGCGGCACCTGCACCACTGTTCTCAGATTCTCACTTCAATCCAGAACTCATTTAATTCCTGTAGTAACGCATGACATTAACACTAATAGGAGTAGGAATTCAACATCAGAGTCTCCCAGCGACAAAGCTCCTTCCAAACCCGTAAAGCCGAGCTCCTCTGCTCAGGAAGAGGAGGTGCCTGTGGCTAGAGGGTCTCCGCTTCATCGGCTAATGGGATATTCTACTGTAAGCCAAGTCTTTAAAGCTTCTCAGCGTCCTCCTTCTGTGTAGATCTCTGCTTCAGGTCAAGCAACAAGAACTATGCGCTTTTCAGATGGAAAGTTTTGCCATTGGTTTATCATTCTTTTTCTCACATCTGTGTATAGGTAAAGATTTGTTTCTGCACTTCTGTTTGAGGTAGAGAAAACCATGACACTTGTGCAAAAGTATACAAAAATAAGATATCGCTTATCTGTTGTATATAGTCATGTAGGATTTGTTATACTTGTAACAATATTGAATTCATCATTGTTCCTGGCTTTATCAATCTATACTATAACTTTACCACTTGTAAATAATAAAGATTAAAAATGGTAAATGTGAAGTATATTTCTATGAACTTAGTTGAAGCTGTCCTTATATCGATTCGTCCTCCTGTTGGACACGACAGAGATTCGCTGATCCTGCAGCATGTTCAGGTTTGGGGCTAATAGTCTCGTGTACCGATCGAAATACAGAAGCTGCTTCATTAGAAGTGCAAACTCTCTAGGGAACTTCAGCCCGTATGATTCGCTAACACGCACCTACACAAAAGAAAGACAACTTGTTTTCATCTGTATTCACTCTTTAAAGCTCACAACGAGGGTTATCTTAACCCATATCGGTGCAACTTCTGTATGCTAACAACTTAAATATGAAAAACAAAATCCTTAAACAACTATGTCTAATTAGTGCTTACCAAGTCGAGGAAAAGAGCATTCATCTGTCTCTCATCCACAACTACGTTAGCAGCAACAGCAGTTGTGTCCGAATTTGTTCCCCGAGCTGTAGCCACTACTATTTCTGTATCTAGTTCCTGCAAGAAGAGATTCACTTATCTTCAGAAGACTGGCGGAATTTTTAGAATTTAAATCACACTGTTTCCTCTGAACAAATGTAGCTGGTTACAGAGGTTCATCTTAGTCTTTTACTCCAAAATTGTTAAGACTAAATATTGCTTGCCTTGATAGAAGAGAACATCTTTTCCAAGTCTCTTGCAAAAGCTTTAGCATCAACTTCTCTGTTTGTGGCACCCATTTGAATCAAAGCTGAGGCCATGGATTCATATTCTTCTGTTGCAATGGACGCTAGAAATACTTCCATAGCAGCCCATGTTGTGGGTGATATTCGACCAACAATGCCTGAAAACATGTGGATACTTACTTGAATACACCAAAAATTACCAACAAACAGTGAAGAGTGTTTATGAACAAGACTGCACTGTTATGCATTGATAGATGAAAAAAAGGTAGTAAGCTCGCTCAGGGTAATTGAATAGCTTGAGAAAGTGTCATTTACCGAAATCAAGAAACCCGATCCGGCCATCACGCAACAGCCATAAGTTCCCTGCATGTACATCAGCATGGAAACTTTCACAAGAAAGTAAACTTCCAAACCTGAAGGTTACACCCACATGAAGACAATTCCATTAACTGCTACGGGAGGAGGAGCAATCTTATTTTCAATAGTGTATTTCAAAGATCTTACCACACATTAAGGGCCGTAATAAGGCTATTCTCTGGACTGGAAACAAGTGACCTTATAGAATCTAGATCAGTAAGAGGAACTCCGTACAGCCTCTCCATTGTAAGTACCCGTCGGCTGCTGCAGTGCTTATACACTCTTGGAGCAGTCGCTTGTCCTGACAACCCCATGGTTTCAAGATATCTCTTAAATGACTCAATGTTTTTAGCCTCCTTATTGAAATCCACTTCTTCAAGCATTGACTCACGAATGTCTTTGACAATACCAACCTATCAATAGTATATATTGTTTTAAAATAGTAACTTAGCAGCAACTGCAAATTAAATACAGAGGATTGGGGAGTCTCTACAGCAAAATCGAGAGTTTACCAGCGAAGTACGGCTGAACTCAGGACTAAGGAACTCAAATATACGGGACACAACGTAGATAAAGTTCAAATCTGCCACTAAGAAATCTTCTATTCCAGGCTTTAAGACCTTGATTACTACATCCTCTTGGGAGCCTCTCAGCCTTGCACCATGGACCTGGTTATGATAATTCCCTTAGCAGAAGAGTACATGAATAAAATGAAATTCGATCAATGAAGCAGAAGCAAAAGAAGAACGCACTTGTGCTATTGAGGCTGATGCAATTGGTGTAGGATCAACAAATTCGTATACGCTTTCTATGGGTCTCCCAAGCTCCTCTTGCAAGATTTTACGAATTTCTTCAAACGGCACAGGAGGAGCTTTGTCGAAGCAGTTCTGAAACTCTTTAACATATTCTGGTGGGAACAAAGTTGGCGCAGATGCTATAAACTACAAATTCAAAGAACGGGAAATCAATTGAGATCCTTACTTTAGACATTCATTTCACGTGTCTTTAGCCACATGAAAGGATATAATATCCTCTAGAAGTTGCAACATGATTTACCTGGCCCAGCTTAATGTAAGTAGCTCCCATGCGTTCAAAGAGTTTCCTCAAATATAGAGGAGACAGTAGACCAAGCTGCATTTCAGTTGGTAATCCACCAGACACTCTTGTAGACTGCAGCGGGTCACCAGAAGAAACATAATTTTAGCTCATAGCAAGTGTTTTACTCATATGAACAAGAATCATGAAAACAGTTACCTTAGAGACATCATTTAGCCACTCTCCTCCAACTCCTACAAAGGCCTGAACGCCTTGGATAAGGCGTACTGCACCGCGTGGACCTGTGTTTATCGATGTATGAACTATATCTTCCACCAGTTTGGGCAAGTTCTCTATCCGGCCTGCATCAAGCACATGGATCAGTAAACTATCTTCCAAAAGTAAACATGATTCCAGTGTCTTGATTCCAAAAAAGGGTCTCATTTAAACATATTACAATAAACCAAATCAAATTAGCAACAGAAACAACCTAACGAGATATAATTCTTCAGGAAATTCCACCATCATTTTTAAACAGTATACAGTCGGATTGAGTTTACAATGAAGCAGGAAAATTCTATACTTTGAAGGCGAGAAGTGAAAAGGTCCTGGCTTTGCGAATACTGTGCCGAGAGAACAAATCTCTTCGAATTTCTTCCACCGATCATCTTCTTAGACCTTCCTGATACATTTCTTGCAACAGGAAACTGCAAAATGAAGCTACCGAAACTCAGCAGAGAGTAATAGAGTTTGCCAGTTTTGGCAGCTAAAAAGAAACAGATTCACCAAGGAAAGAAAATTGGAAAAAAAAGTAGACCTGAGATTGATGTAGAAATGGTAACCGCGTGCCACGGAAAGCTGAGACCGCCATTGCTAGCCGGAGTAAAGCTGAAGACAAAGGAACTCCGATCAAGCAAAGCGTTTGTTTACCTTCTGTAGTCGACAAACTAACGACACCGTTTTGAAAATTGAAATATGTGAATCATCTAATAGAAGAGGGGAGTGAAGAGGAATTATCCACGTGGAGACGTATAAGAGGTAGATTCCTTCTCACAATATATGCGTGCAAAATTTCTCGGTTCGATTCGATTTGATCACCGGTTTAACTCTATTTCAATCCCGTTAAACCGAACCGTTGTTTGGACGCTAAATGGGAAGCTGAGATGACGCATTTACATAAGTACCCTTCTTAAAACTGAGAAATAACAAAACCATTCGAACCCTAAACTTTTTCACCGAACCTCTTCTTCTCTGTTTCTCTGTCGCCGTTGCTTCGCCATCGCCGCTACCAGTATGTTTTCTTCTTCCCATTTTCTTTCTTTTTTCCATAAATTCGTCTTCTTTTCAGATGGGCCTGCTCTTTTTGTTTAAGGAATTACGATTCTGGATTCAGTATCGCTCAGAACTTATAATAACGAGTTGTGATGAATCCTGAATTATGATATGATATGAACATAAAATTGTATCTCTTTCTACATTTAATCGCTTTCGGATTTAGATTTCACCTACAGTGTTCAGGATAAGGTTTTTGTTTTATGTTCTGTATTTTGTTTGTGTGTGCTTCTTTTTCTCTTTATGCATCCTGCATTTAGTTAATTTCTTGTATAAAGCTTAATATGTTGGGGAAACTTGTTCTTTATGCACTACTATTTAGGGTTTCTGTCTCTCTCTCTCTAGAATAACGAATAGCTGCTAAAGAATCAACAAGATATTTCGTCTAGTTTTTTGCACATAAAAAAAAAAGACAAGTTGAGGTTTTTTTAATCGGTAAATGGTTTCTGCGAAGTCATCTTGCTGAAGGTTTTCTTTGGATTTATAGATTGTAAGGTTCTGTCAATAGATTTGAAAAAACTAGGCTTCTTGATACTGTTGTAGATAATGGCAGATACCTTGTTGATAATTAACCCAACCGTTATACAATTTGTGAGCTTCTTTTAATGTGACATTTAGTGAACAAGTTAACCTTTGTCGTTTGATGTTATTCATTGACTTGCACAATTCTTACAAGATGCTGGCAACTCCTAAAGTATTTGTACGAGTTTTTTGTTTGTTTGTTTCAAAAGTATATTAGAAATATAGATGTTTTGATTCTTTCGCAACCATTGATCTTCTATTTTTTACTGCTGCAGTTTGTCCTGAGGTTTACAGCATTTTGTCTAATCTCCTGTGTGGGAGAGCAATGACTAAAATTCGTGGGACTGATGTAAGTTTTGATCTTAATTCGATCTAATATGTCATCATAACTTTTACATTTGTCTAATATTTGTTTAATCTACCATTGGATGTCTTGACTGTACAGTTTTGATGTGTTATTAGTTTCTGAAAGTGACTAATGAGTCCTTATTTTATTATTTGTCATTTTTTCCAAAGGGGCATTTTTTTTTCTGATTGTGATCGGTTTTGGCAATTGTTATAGATGGCAAAGAAAAGGGGTAAAATTGATTCTGAATCAGATATCAAGTCTATGGCTCATCAGCATGCTGAATTTTTCGATAAGTTGATAGAGCTCATCCCTGCGAGATTCTACTTACCTGATGAGACAGAAAGAAAGTGGTTTCCAGGTCTTAGCAAGGCTCAAAAAGCTAAAGCTAAGAGAAAAACAAACGAGAATCTAAAGAAAGCGAGGAGAGATAGGTTGGACCCAGAGAAGTCTGCTTTGACGACTCTGGATTTGCTGAAGCAGAAAATAGAAAAGGAAAAATTGAGTAATGAGCTTCCTAATGATGACAGTGAGGAAGAAACAGATAACAACAAGCCTAAGACCGCTGGTTTTCAAAGAGATGATTCCGTTACGTATGAGGAGCTGAGGCAACGTCTCCACCGCAAAATTGATGCGCTTAAAGGTGGTCGTGGAGGTTCAGATAGACCAAGAAGCCATGAAAGAAGGAAGAAGATCTTGCCAAATAAGAGAAAGAGGGACTCGGTTTCTGAGGAGAAGACTGTTGAGGAGAATAAGTTAGCAGATAAAGGTAAGGGTAAGTTGGATGTGGAAGAGGCTGCTAAGGACCTTACTTTTGGCTATGTCAAGATTGATGACGATGAGGAACATGGAAAAGATAAAAAGAAACGGAGGCTTTCTAAGGCAAAAGAGCTTGAAAGGGCTTTGAAGTTAGAGGCTGCAAAGAAGGATCCAGAAAAAGGTGAAGTAATTGCAAAGAAGCACTCATGGAAGGCAGCTACAAGCAGAGCAGCTGGTATGAAGGTTCACGATGACCCAAAGCTATTGAAGCAAAGCATCCACAAAGAAAAGAAGAGGCACGAGAAGAACGCAGAGAAGTGGAAGGAAAGAGTTGAAGGACAACAAAAGGTTAGAGTGGAGAAGCAGCAAAAGAGATCAGGGAATATTGCCGATAGGATTGAACAGAACAAGCTGCGGAAAATCGCCAAGAGGGAGAAAAAGCTCCTGCGTCCTGGCTTCGAAGGCCGCAAAGAAGGGTTTATCAATGAAGGTGGAAAGTAATACTGAAAGTTTCCATATGCCTTTTTGTGTTCCAACATTTCAAAGATGTGATCGTCATCACAAAGGCTGTGAAGAGGGTTTGCACATCTGAAATAGAAAAACATCTATTGCCATTTAGGGAATTTTAAAGTCCCCAGCAAGATCTGTTATCTTTTATTACGTTTTGTTTTGCAATTTGTAGTCTTATTATATGTTCCATTTGCTACTCAATGCGTTCCTTGCAGTGAATGCTCTTATCAGGCTTTGAAACTATACAAAATTTGCAGGTTCTAAACAAACTTGTCATAGAAATTAGAAGAGCTGAATACGATGTCAAAACCAGCTGAGATCTCAGTATTAGTGGTGGTAATTTGGATTTGGTTTTAATCGGAAATCAACATTTGTCGAGGAAATCAAACTAAACCGATTCCAATAGAATAAGGGGGTTATTGGGAATTAGATTTATGAAGATTTTAGTTGATTTTAAAAATCATGAGATTTGTCAAATTTTTAAGAGTTTTGTTGGATTTGTAAAATTTAGAGAGAGTTCTATGGATTTAAATAATCTATTAAGAATTTTTTAATATGACAGATTTTGAGAATCCAAGGGATATAGGTAATATTTTGAAAATTATGATTTATGAATTAAATTATAAAGAATCATTATGCCAATAACACTAGATTATAACAGAATCATAGAATTATTTAAATGCAGACTTTTTGAATAGCAATGAATTTTGATTAGATTATAAAAATCATCATATCAATAACAACTGATTTTTATAATTTCTAAATGAATAACAAAGGAATTTATTAAGAATATAAAAATCCACAAACCAATAACTATAGAATCTTAAACTCTAAAAATCTTTATAAATCAACTCTCCAATAGCACCTCTAAGTTAACTTTAGTTGGATCCAGAATGTTTCGGTCTAGGCGTGAGTTTAGTTGGATCCAGAATGTTTCGGTTTAGGCGTGAGTTCTAGAACATAGTACATAGATGACTAAAACTAGACAAACGTGTAAGCTTACTATAAACCCATAGCTATAAACTAAACAAAACTTGGTGGATAAAGCTGAAAAGAAAGTCAAAAGAGGTCGGCAAGAGAATCTCGGAACACGTGCCACAAGAACAAGCATGGAGAATCTCGAAAACTCTCTTACTTTTCGCCACTCCCACACGTGTAATGAATGACGTGTGTTAGTGCGTCACATTTTAGCACCCTCAAAACCTTATATAAAGCACCAAGCGACGTAACTTTGATTTTACACTTAAACGTCTATCAGGAAAAGAAAAAAAAAAATGGAAGCTATGTCTAAAACCTGCACAAAGATCATGACAAACCCATCTCCGAGAACTCATCAAACCCTAACTCCAGTCAGCAAGATTCCGGTCAACCTGAGCCTTAACGCCGGGAAGAAGAGGCCGGTTGCTGCTGCTAGATGTGTGGCTTCAGGATCAGGTTATGCGGCGGCAATGGAGCCAATTACGCCGGAGGAAGAGGAGGAACTGACTCAGAGAAGAGGGATTTGTGGGGGAGAAGCAAACAGAGGAGTAGGGGAGCTCTTGGAATGCCTTGAGAAGGAAGCTATTATGGGGGAGGATGATGGGAAAGACCCTAAAGATTACAACAGAAGAGCAAAGATTTTTGACAAGAGTTCTAAGATCTTCAAGAACAACAAAGAACAGAGAAATCAGTCTCCGGAATAAGAAAATTGTTGCTCGTTTGTATTTAATTCTCATCAGTATTTGATTCCTTGTACCTGCACTTTTCTTTAAATTTGCAAGGATCCTCTCATTGTAACACGATCTTAGTAATAGACGTTTTCTTCTTCTGAATATGCAATTAACAAGTCTTATTGAGACGAGAAAGAAAAAATAAATGATATTAAAATATTTGGATATTTTTTTCTTTCTACCTAAGAATCCAAATATCAAAAGATTTATTAGCTTTTTAACACACTTAACCAGAATGGTAAAAATGTAGTGTATGATGATGTGATCAAGAAAATTGATCAACACATAACATCTTGACGCTTGATGGAACACAAGTGTAAGATTTGACATGATAATACCTAATTCACTGAAACATTCCAAGAGATGCATCCAGTTTCATATTTTTTTTTAGATTTAAGTTTTCTAAACCCAAAATCAGATTTAAGGTGGTTTAGAATAAAAGCCTAAAACAATCAAATTTATAGTATCAACCAAATTCATAACCCCACCCCAATTACTAGTTCCGCAAAATCTCTGGTCATGCCCGTCTCATCGTTATCGTCCCTACTAGTCTAACTCAAAAACTCACTTCATAGCTCAGAACGTGTGTCAGCAAAGCAGACTTCTTGTCGTTACATTACATAGCGAGGTAAATACGTGCCATTTTAAATGGAGTTTCCTATGGCATAAATTTCCAAATAACCTATCCTACAATAATTAGAACAAGAAAAAAGAAAGAAAAAAATAACTACCCTAGAAAAGATGTCCAAAAATTACAGAAGAGATAACAGAATGCAAATTACGAAATTAAACATGGTCTATCTTCACTAAAGCACAAAAGCAAATATTGTTGGATAAAGGAGAATTCATTGAGAAAGATCTCCTAAATTATAATCCATAGTTAGCTCTCTCTTACCACTTTACAATAGGCTATCGCAGTTTGTCCGGACAAACAAAATAAAATAATTTTCAGACCGTGGAGATTAGGTATGGGCATATTATCCGAACCCGAACAATTTATCCAAATCTGATCTGAAAAAGAGAAAACGAACCCGAACCAAAACTGATAAAATATCCGAACGGTTTTTAAATTTTTAAATCCGAAAAACCGAAACCGAATCAAACCGAACCGGAAATCCGAATAGATATCCGAAATATTCGAAATACAATTATATACCCAAAATATTAACTACATTTAAACTTAATAACCTAAAATTACAATTATAAATCCAAAATATAAATTATTTTTATTCTGAAAATGATGAAAAAATCTATAATAATTTAAATATATTAAAGTTTTTAGTTATATTTGTTAAATTTTGCCAAATTTTGTTTGAATTTAACCAATTTTATTTAAATTTAATTATTTCTATTTAATTTTTAATATTTTTTGGATATCCGAACCCGAACTGAACCCGATCGAATATAATCGAACCGAATCGAAATTCCGAAAACATCCGAATGGGTTTTAAATCTAAAAACCGAAAATTCAAAAACTTGAACTATTCGAACCGAACCCGAATGGATATCAAAACGCCGAGGCGTAGTAGAGATATATTCCGTTGACTTCGCTTTATATTTCCGTACAATGGCAAAGTAGCTGAAGAAGAAGTTCCGCACACATTCTTTTGGGCCCCATACAATAGTATCCGAGTCTGACGTCACTCGCGGTTGAAACGTCACCGTGTCAATTTCCTTTTCCTCTTTCCACGACGCCGTTTTGTTTCACACTTGTTCTTCTTTCTCCTCTTTAGTCTCTTTTCATTTCATCTCTGTGAAAATTTTTTTCTTCACCACTCATCTATCTTCCTCAAGATTCCTTCTTTGTTTCGTTAAATCAAATCAATCCTTCTTACGTGCTTGAGCTAATTTCTAGTTGTTGTTTGATTTTCTGGGTTTTAATTTTGCGATCGCTCGATTCCATGTCCGGAAAAGGGCTCTCTCCGGCGCCGTTCAACGCGCCGCCGATGATTGTTCAAGATGCTGACCCGTTACGTTTCCGGGTCGGCGAACAGGACCCTAAAACCCGTGAATTCGCGGCTTTTATCGGCGACCACCACCGGTATTTCGCGGCAGCAGCAGCCGCCGCGGCCGCAGCTAACCCTCACCCTCATCTCGATTTCAGGCAGAATTTCTACTCGGAGAAACCCATCAGCGGAAACCCTAACGACAGTGGTGGATCAGACGGAGAGGAAGACGTTGACGTCGAAGAGGAAGACGAGGATGATGACATAGACGGTAACGAAGGTGATGGCATGAACAAAGACACTGGTGAAGATAGTGTATCAGCAGGAGCTGGTAAGAGAATCCCATAAGTTTTTTTCGAAAAGTTTCTACTTTTGAGAATTGAGATGTTCAGGCAATGGACTTTTTTTCTCCGAAAATGCTATGCAGTGACAGTGGGTGGACAAGACAACGCAGCTTACTACTCGCAGCAGTTTAAGACAATGGATGCGAGTTTTGCTTCTAGGCATGAGGAATCATCATCAGTCGCTGCAGAAAACGGGTGTGATTTCAGCGGCCGAAGAGACCCTTCTTCTTCGAGCAATTCGATCGAGTCTTTGAGGACCATTTTGTCTGATCCTACAACGTATCTTCTTCTTTTTTGTTTTCGCTTGATATCTACCGTTCTCTGTGGTTTTTTAGCTGAAACTGTTGGATTGGTATGGATTGTGCTTGTGTTTAATCTATAGTCTGTTTTGTTTCTTTATAAAATCGTAGAGGGGTATTGATGGTTGATGCTATGATATTGCCTTGCGGACACACTTTTGGAGCTGGAGGGATAGAACAAGTAAAACAGATGGTACAGAGTTTTGTTTCTTCCATCAAAATCTCTTCTTTTTAACGTCTGCTATTTACTTTTTGTCTCTTTTCTTTTGCTGATGAGATATTGTTTTTTGTTGTGCTCTCTTAGAAAGCTTGCTGCACATGCTCGCAGCCAGTCTCAGAAGATTCGATAACCCCAAATCTCAGTGAGTAAAATTATTCGTGTTCATGATTCTGGCATTTGGGTGTCTCAGAGAATTCATTGTCATTATTTTCGCTGCAATTTTACGCAGCTCTGCGAGTTGCAGTACAAGCATTTTGCCGAGAAGAGAAGTCACAGTCAAACCATTCATCTAAGCGAAAACGAGAAGGATTTGATCAAGTAACTCAATACTACACTTACTAATCATATTGAGATTCATCTCACGTTTAATTCTGTTCAAACAAGAGATTTATTTTCTATAAATGCAGGAGAGACGCGCGTTTGGTGACTCGACTCATACAGGTCGTTCAAGGAATAAAAGTAATTATTTCCCTTTTGCTGTGGCAGATCGAGTTATAATAAAGGTCAATCCCTTTCTTGTTTGTCCCTGCAATTTTTTTTCTAGCAAATGTATTTTCTTGATAATTGCGAGGGATGTTAATACAGGGAAACAAGAGGACACCACCTCGTTTTGTAGGAAGGGAAGCTGTTGTGACTACTCAATGCTTGAACGGCTGGTAAACTCTCATTTCTTTCTTTGATTATGAACTTATGATATCAATTTTAATGATTCACGAAAGATTTCAACTCTTTCTTGCTGCAAACACCTTTATAATAGACTTTTGTGTATAATTGTTTCTGTAACTTTTGAGGTCATTTTGCTGCATAAAACTCTGTTGCAGGTATGTGGTGAAAACGCTTGATAATGCCGAGAGTGTCAAGCTTCAGTATCGTTCATTGGCTAAAGCCCCAGAAGATCCATCAGCCAAGGCAACGCCAAGCAATATGGTCTCTAACTGGCTCTGAACAAACCAACCTTATTACATCACTATGAAACCGGTTTCTGTCATAGGTTCTCTATGTAAGAACCAAAAACTTATCTAAAGATCACTGTTACATATTGTAAATTCCAGTAGTTGCTCCATGTCAAATGTTTGAAGAATTTAGGCCTAGGAAATGATCCAGACTTCTAATTAGATGAAACTTGAACTACTCATCTCATGAAATGCTCAATTGACTCAAATCTTAACAACAATGATAATTTACATCAGAGTAGTATAACTTACCATGTTAGAGCAGAGTCTTCAGAAACTCCCCAAAAGCCCCTAAAAATCTGGGAGAAAACGAAATCGAATTGATTCAGCAAATAAAGTGAATTTGGGAAAGAAGACAGACGACTGCAAAAATCGGTTTAATGCAACTAAACCGGAAACTCTGACTAATGCAACTAATTTAACGCACCGTACGTAATACGTAACGAATCCGCGGATTCCGCAGTTAATGGGCCTTATAGAGATAAAGCCCAATTTGTCTCTACCTAAATAAAATCAGAATTTGCATTGAACCAATAGCAATCGAGTATCTAGCATTGGTGATCCTGGTCAAACTTGTATTATTAGATCTGCACCGTTGAAAGGGGGCAAGAAATGAGCAATTACAACGATCTGCTTTACAATCGTTGCCCTATAAAATAATAATAACAGTTGCCGTACGCGCCAGTTTACAGTCATCACTTGACTTGACTTGCTTTTTCGAGATCGGAGCTCAAATTTGAATTCAGTGAAGCTTGAGAGGTTTCAGAAAGACAGAGCAGAGGTACGAATTTCCCGAATATCTTTTGTTTTATTTTTCTTGTAATGTTATCTCGTTTGATTGTAACGAAATTTAAACGGATTAGTTATCTTCTTTTCGCCGATTCGTCTTCTGGATTTAGGTTTTATGTTAGAAAGGAATGGTTTCGGTAGATTTAGGTGTCAGATTATTTCTTAGGCTAGGATCATCCGCTGGTTCTGAATATGTAGAATCATCATTTGATATCGACTGTCTTCTAAGTTTTCTACAAGTTTTATTACGAAAAAGATTGTAGTTTGATATCGTTTGTTTAACTTTCTTGAAATGTTTTTTCTTCTCTCTGTTGATGCAGCAGGATGGCGATTGCACCACCACCACCACCACCGGTCCGCCCTCAATTGCAGATTAAGAGCTGCAAATGGAGGGGAGCACCTCGTGGCCATAATCTACAGATGTGCTTGTTCCAACAATGTGCACATCGAGGTTTATAGGGACAGACCGATGTACGTGTACTCTGACCAGAGATGCTATGCCACGGTGGCTGTGACGTGGGTCGGTGAACGAGTTCGCATTGAGAGCACCTGTGTCTGCAATGCGGGGTGTCAATTTACTCGCGACAACGGTGGATCCGTAGCTCTTGGAACCTTTGCCAATAATATTCCGTCTGCAATGTAGTTATGTTGTTTGAATGAAACTAAAAAATCTGGATTCTCTTGAAACAGATTCAACTATGTAATGAGATGAGCAAGTATTGAATGTCTATTTCCTAGATTCAATTGTAATAAATTCAGACCAGAACTCAAGCTTAATTTAGTGATCGCAGCTGTCTCACTTGTTTTTAATTCCTGCATTTTCAACTTCACAAACTTCAAATCGGATACTAACAAAGAGGAAAGTTGTGTGGTAAAGATATATATCTCAAGTTGTTCAATTTTGAATTGGAAAGATGTCTAATTACGAATTCATTATCTTCTTCTGATGGCGTTTCCTCGAGCTGGTTGAATACAGCCCTAACTATCGTTCTTAGCTCTTGTACAGAGAGTATTGTTTCTTCCATCACAATCTCTTATTTTGCTTTATGATATTTGCTGCATCAAGAACTGGTTTGGGTATGTGGTGAAGACACTGGACAATGCAGAGAGTCTCGAGCTTCAGTATCTTCATTGGATAAAGCTCCGGAAGATCCATCGGCCAAGGAAACACCAAGCAAGTTGTTCTCTCTCTGGCTCTAATAACGATCCTTGTTTACAGCATGATGTGACCAGTTTCTGCTCCTATATTCTCTATGAAAGAACTGAAAATAACTTATCTACAAATCACAGATCAGTGTCACAGATGTTTGAGGGAATTAGCCTAGGACAAGGTCCAGACTTCTAATAGCTAAAACATATTCGAATCATTACACAGTACATAATTAATTCAGCAAAGCAAGGTTCTTATTGTAAAACAAAATTGCAGAGAAAAATGAGCCTATAGAAGAAGAAAAGAAAAAGCTGATGATCATCGCTCCTAGTATTACAGATGCACATACAAAGGAAAAGCTCTGCTATGAAAGTTTACACTAGAGTAACTGAGAAAACGTTTTCGACTAAAAAGCTTAAATCAGATACTGGTGAGAAGTTTCAAGGAGTTCAGGTACAGGTTATGTTCTCCTTTGATGCTAGAAAATTGCAGGTCGAGTATATGGAGGCTGCGGCTGCTCTAACGACTAAATCCTTATCTGTGATCAGCGCATCTGAAGCTCTGTAACACAATTTAGACAGCAAGAAACTAAAAATTTGGATTCGGGAGACAGATTTCAACAGTGTTAACAGTTAGTGAAAAGGCCATACCTAGAGTACAATGGCATTCCTAACTGTAAGAAGTTCTGACCAGAACTCAAGCTCAAGTGTTGCAAACCTCGATCACAATGTGACTGCAGCTCTCTTACTTGGTTTAACCAGCTTTCCTGAATTTTCAAATTCACAAACTCCAAATCAGATACCAACGGAGATATAGAAAAGAGGTGTGGTAAAGACATTTTCAACTCTTTTACCAATTGTTTCTCTTCTTCTGATAGCGTTTGTTCGAGTTGATTAAACAGCGCTATCCATCTTGTCTTGTGGATATCGACTGTTGAAGCCCTCGAAGCCCCATTGAGAAGTAAGTTTGGGTCATTTTCTTGATCAGCTGGGAATTCTTTCCTTATCAAGAAAGGTAGCTCTGTCGTGACAACTGCACGAACCCTCTTCTTGCTACGCCGAAGAGCTGACAAGTACAAAAAGGAAATTTCAGGAACATCCAAGTATTTAAGTTTTTTTCATTGCATCAGTGATAATAAATGAGAGTGTTGGTTACCGGAAACACGGCCTTTAATGTCCTGATGAAGCAATTCCAACCATTGAGAAGCTACTGTAGCCGCTGCAAATCAAAGTTGAAGATTAATCTAGGCCACATATGATAGCATAAATCCATGCACATTGTGTAATGAATTCAAGATTATACCTTTAACAGTGAGTACACTAGCACAGTTGAGATCTGCTGTGTCCTCGCTCGACAAGGAACTTGCATTTTCCGTTAACTCACCACCATCTGTGCATTTCTCCTCGTAGTAGCGCATAGAGTAGTTATCTTCCGGCATGGCATACTTGAATCCTTGGCTAAAATCGGATCTAGAGGCATCAGTGTTCACATCTGCCAAGTTCCTCCTGGAACCCCCAACTGCGGTTTTACTATGCCTCATCGAGGGGTGGTAGAAGTTTCCAGAATCTTTATCAGACTTGACAATGCTTTCAATAATGGACAATACTTGCTTTTTGTTTCTCACATGATTTATAATTCCAGGGTTCAATTCATTGAGCAGTCCACTAGGAGCACCGAGCCTGGCAAACCTGTCAACTTCTTCCTTCCTTGCAACCTCTATCTTTCTCTTCTTCACCGTTGCAGCATCATTATTCCTGCTTTTGCGACCACGTTTCCTTGGAGCCGGGATCCCTCCATGAGAAGATGAGACGACACAGCTGCTTGATGTTACTGAAATCCCACCGTGAGGATTAGAAAGAAACCCATTCTGTTTCATTGCTTTCCACAGCTTCATTGGATCTTTTTCCTCAACAGGAACATTCGAACTTCCACACTCGGAATACACATCCGTTGAACTAGATTTATCGCGTCTCCTGGAGGAGCAAACCGATGATAAATCATCATTTAAGCAACTGGAAACTGAAAGTCCGCTTCTTTTCTGTGCTACACTTTCAGCGTCATTTCTCTTAACCAAAGCTCCTTTTTCACAATCAACATCTGTGTTAAGAAGACCAGCTTTACTGGAAGAAGGCTTCACCTCTTGACCCAACAACAGCTCAGTCTTATGAATCATTCCTTCTTTAACAAAACTCTGCGAAGCTCGACCAGCCTGAGATATTTCATTCGCGTTTTCAATGCCTTTAGAAGCATGACCAGTGTTACCTGTAGAATAAATGGAAGGCCAAGGAATGTTCAAATTACATTTTGAAAGCTTCAATATCAAAAATTTCACAGGTAAAAAAAAAGAGTCACAGTTTAAGTTCTATTGTATGCCTTCCCTAAAAGGCTAAAACTCAAGAACTCAATTGAAACCATATTCATAAAAGGAATGTGTATCGCATCATAAAACGATGAGCCATCGAATGAGATTTGCTCGGCTAGTAACAGTAAATTACCTGAATTTAGAATTGAGTTAACACGTCGAATTTTATTCAACTCATGTTTTCCATCCAATTCATTGCCTCCGATCTAAATCCCAGAAACCCAAAAAAGTAAAACAAGTTATAATTAGATCGAAATTTTTGTCAAACAAAGTACCAGCAAAAAATCTAATTCACTCCGACCAAAACCAAAAGAAGAAAAAGAAGAAATTAAAGAACTTACCTTTAAGTCGGATCTGGGAATCGACGAAAACCCTCCAGAAACATCGTCGTGTTCACCCATGGCGAGTCAATTACTACCTCGAAACGAACCCAGAAAAAATACCCTCGAAGATTTATCAAAAGAAGCCACAAATTTCGAGAAAATCAAATCGGAAGAGACCCAGAAAATGGTGATTTTAGATTCCTTTAATCCTCGATAGGAAAGACCCAAAATGGAGATCGAGGGTTTGAGTGCTTTAGTCTAGGGTTTAAGATCTGATGGTAGAGATCCGAATGTGAATTTGAGACCCTAGAATTGGAGCGGGGGGAAAGAGGGAGAGAGAGAGAGAGGAGGAAGAAGAAGGATGAAGAGCGCGCGATGTGGGCGTAGTTTAATAATTTCTGACAACAACAAATGTATTTGTTTTGTATTTGGGTTTTCTGGGGGATCTTAAGGTTTTCAAATTCAAACCAGACTCTTTCGTGATTTGGAGGGAATAGTGGTTCGGGCCTTATCTTTTGCATCTTGAGAGCTCATTACCAAAATTCGCAGGCCTTTTTACTTTTTTTTTTTCTTTCCAACACAATTTATTTTTTAATTATCAGTACAACATGCTATTCCTAGCAATTTGAATTTTCAATTCAAGGCGAGTGATTATGGTTTAAAAATAATTAGATTTGGAATTTAATTGCGAACAACATGTGTAAAAGCAAAAGCAATTGTAAATATATGAATTTTAGCAAATATTTAGTTATGACTATATACTATATTCAAATTTTTTATCTTTCTTTTAATTTTATTGATATTTTTCATATTTATAAACAGTTAACAACATACTTGTGATATATTATATTAGAATCCGCATACATACATGCATGTCACAATCAAATAAGTTAACAATTTTGAATCATTGTATGATATATAATATTGCCATTCAAAATTTTTGTCTTCCAATCTTTAATAGGATTAGTAGTACCACATGATTATGCCCAAAATCTGCACAAATATTTTACCTACAAAATCCAGTATAACTTATGAAATCTTTTTATTGTGATGTTTTACCATCTAATCAAAGTTATGACATGTTCATTGATTAAGATATACATTTTTTTGGATATGATGACGATCATATTATGATATGTTGCAATGTTACCGTGATTATAATAAAATGAAAATGAATGTTCTCTGTGACTTGGATGAAGATGACAAGAGTATCATGATCCACTGCATGGATAGCGAATTGATGATCACTCAACATCTACCCGATGATGGTGTAATAATTGAATCAAAGTTGCTCGTAGATTTACTGACGATTGTAAACGTGTCGTTGGAAATTCTGTTTTTGAGGTGTGATGTAGCTTTCTGCAAATTTAAAATTATCACACAAAATTTGACATAGAACAAAAAGCACTGGAAAACTTATGAGCAATACCTTTATGCTGGTGGGCGATGATGACCTCCAAGATCTAGATAATCATGATCAAGTCATTGAGTTACCTACTTGCAAACACTTGTTCCACAAGGTAAGTTTTTATGATTGGAAAAAAGGGTTTGAGCTGAATTGCAAAAACAGTATTATTAGCATCATAAGTACTAAGTAGTACTTAACCCTATGTGATTACACTCAGTGGATCTCAAACTTACTTTCCAATTTGAATTTTATCGAGGACAAATTAACTTGTAGAAATGTGTGCAACTTTTCTCTTTATGTGAAACATGAAAACATACATGAAATTATTAATATTATTTACGACAGAAAACATACATGATATTAAGTTGTTAAGATTTAGGGGAAAAAACTATCATAAAAGAAAAATGATATAGATCAGATATTAGCACTTTGAGACTAAAAGACTGATCCTCTTCACTTGTACTTGTATCTCATATGTATCTCATATGCGGATTTGAATTCGTACGATGAAATATCGACAGCACTAACATCTATAAATTAAAATTCAATATGTGTTGGTAAATTAAGGTTTAAAACCATAGTTGATATTCTTCCAAATTAGCCAATTAATATTTTATTATTTACATGATATGAAAACATATGCTTCATTGTCAATTTCCCACAAGCCAACAATTTCTAAGCTGAGATTCACTCGTCTCCCTAAAACTCGACACCTTAGCTAAGCAGAAATGGGTACACAGCATTCCCATACCCGACCCGGAACCTGACCCTGACCCGACCCGTGTAGTCTTCAACAGATAACAAACCGGCCCACACTCCACTCCTTTCCCCTGCACCACCAACCCCCACGCACGTGTGCCGTCGCCACCGTCATATCCACAACCGCAGCTCTCCTCCGCCGCCGCTCCTAACTGCTCCACGAATATCATCCCCTCCGGCATCTCCGCCTCTCCTCTCTCCCATCTCCCCTTCACCGCCGCCCATTCCTCTGCTTTCATCACCACCACCGTTCCTTCCTCTTCTTCTCCGGCGTACAAATGCACTAACAACGGCGCTTGGCTCAAATTCTTCACGATCTCCGTCACCGATTCCTTCATCCACCTGTCCAGCTTCTCACGCGCCACCCCCACGGCTCTTCCATCTTTTCCTCCTCTGCTTTTCTTTCCTCTCTGTTTCTCTATCTCCGATACCGCCTCCGCCATCGACGCCGTGATCCTCCTGATGTTTGATCGGCGATTACCGTCGCTATTAATCGGGAACGACGATCTCGCAATGTGATCTGATCCACAGGGAAACTCTAATACGCCGCGGTGCACCAGATAACTACCACCGTAACCAATTTTTGCGTAGGCCGCCATCTTTCTTCGGTGGTGAGATTTTACGTCCAATAAAATTATCTAAATCACACAAATCCTCGCCGGATTTGAATTCTTATTTATTATATTAGCAAAATTTAATGTCAAAGAGAAATGAAGATATAGTTAACGACGAGGATTGAGGCGGAGAAACATCCAGCGGTCGGATGAATTAATTCCAACGTAGAAGGTGACTAATTATATATATATATAACGCCTAGGTTCCATAACATGGTGACGTCGTTCTTACCTGAGACTGTTTGACGAGATATAATCGTGTGTAACCGTATCTATCCTAAGTCCCGGTGGACCGTAACAAAGTATATGTTTACTGCTTTGTTTTGTTAATCATTGCATGGGAGAATAAGTTAAGTAGGTAAACCATTGGTTGCACGACAGAAACCCCGTAGTGGATTATTGCTTAGTGGAACGACGTCAACGATGAAAGGACCTTTAACGAAATAACGGCGTTTTCTTTTTAATCCAGACAGACGCGCTGCACGCGAATGTCGTTTGATCTAAGCCGTACGATCATAATTTCACGTCCCAGAGAGAATGGATCGGACGGTTGCCGCAAAACGTAGAAAATCGATAGGCACGTGGGAATTTAGTTTGGATGCGTGGAGACCTCGGAGTAACACGCGACGCTCGTCTTCTGAACTTAATGGATTCCGTGTTTCACACAAGTTTGCCACGTCAGTTCAATGTTTTCAGTATTTTTTTTGTAAAAAGTAAAACCAAATTAGCAAATTTTAGTCACCCGAAAATGGTATATATATTATATTTTCCCCAATTTTCAAAATCTGATAGACCTGTTTGGATTCACGACACTACAAAGGGAATATACAGTCAAGAGTGGATATTGGTTAGCTTTCCAGGATAACATAGAAGAAGTTGTTGCTCCTCATGGAAATTCCGAGCTTAAAAGAAAAATCTGAAAACTACCAATTATACCAAAACTAAAACATTTTCTCTGGAGTATTTTAACTAGAGCTATTAGAACAGCGACTAAATTAAATATAAGAGAGATTCTTATGGATTCAACATGTCAACGATGTTGTTTGTCTCCAGAAACAATAAATCACACAATGTTTACTTGCCCTGTCTCCAAAATGATTTGGCGAATGTCCCAGTGTCCATGGCAACCGAGTGATACAGATCATGAGGAATATTGTGATAATAATTTCTCAAGTCTACTTGATTTTCACAATTCTGAAGCTCCATCAGTTTTTCAAAAACTTCAGCCTTTTTGGATAATTTGGCGAATATGGAAATCTAGATGTGATTTGATTTTCAAAAAACAAAGAGTGCATCCAGAACGAGTCATCAGTTATGCAAACATTGACGTTAATGAATGGATTCAAGCAAATATATCAAAGTCATATTCTGATCCCAATTAGCATTATATTGACAAGTGGGAGTTTTGAGACTTGAAATTCTGAAAATCAAGTTAGATGCACTGTTCACAACAATGAATCTGTTTGTCTACAAAATCATCAAAACGTTTGGCATCGACCACCTCCTGGAACTTTTAAATGCAATTTTGATGCAAGTTTTAATCCTGTAAATCAGCTTTCTATTGTAGGCTGGATCGTCTGTGATCATAACGGAAACCATTGTTTTTGGGGGTCTTCCTCAATAGGTAGAACATCTACACCATTGGAAGCAGAGGCAAAAGCTCTTTTAATTGCAATGCAACAACTTTGGAGTACAGGATTAAGATGTATAATCTTTGAAGGAGATTGCAAAATTCTGATTGACGTTATTCATAACAAATCCTCAGAGTTTTCCATTGACAACATTTGCAGTGACATGTCGTATTGGAAGGCAAAATTTGATGATTGTTCATTTAATCACACTAAGAGAACAAATAATGCCTCAGCTCATATGTTGGTAAAACGTGGTCCTTTAAATTTAATTTTCTACTCTTCAAAATTGTATTCATCTAGATGGTTGACTGTACCTTTGTATTCAGACTTTGTAAAATTATTTAATTAATAAAATCTATTTTGCCGGAAAAAAAAATATATATTATATTTTCTTAATTTTGAAATTGTCAGAAAGAAAAAAAAAATATATTACCCTTCTCCTTAATCCATTTGTTTTTCTAGATCTCTTTTATAAGTTCTAAAATAAAAAGGGAAAAATCCACCAAAAATAAATGCATATCGTGGTTATAAGATACAAATTCATTAAATAATAGATAAAACAAACCCACAGATGTTTTATTAGGTAACTGCAAATATGCAGTATATGTAAATGTAATCGTTAATAGTATTGAATCTAGATATCTAAATTTAGCTAATAGATGCTGTAGAATCACCCATTTAGAAAACAAAATCAAAAGCACTCTAGAAGAGACATGTTCCGCATAGGACTTATAAAAGAGAGTAAGACTTAACATTGAAAATTCTGGAACCACATCTACAATAGTGTTAATAGATTTTTCTAGAAGCTGAGTGATTAATTTAACGTATCGTAACATATATATACAATAACTACTACATTTTTATTGTAATAATCTATTTTCTTAATTAGGTTGGGTAAACTTGTGGAACCAGATGTGGTGATGCAATCGCGTGTAAAGGTTTTGCCATGAAAATATCACTCTTGCTTTCCGAAATGTCGATTTTACACTCACCAGGCACTGGTGACCACGTGAACCCTTGAATCAACCGAGCCAGCAACATGTACGTCATGGCAGACCCAATGCTCGAACCCAAACAGCCTCTTCGTCCCGCGCTGAACGATATTAGATTGAGATCTTGATCGTTCAGGTCCACGTTTTTGTTATTGCCCAAATGTCTCTCAGGGTTGAACTTAAGCGGCTTGTCCCACACGTTAGGGTTTCTTCCGATCCCCATACGACTAATTAATACGTGGCTTCCCTTGGGGATGAAGTAACCGTCTACCACTGCGTCAGCCGTCGACATGTGAGGGAGGTTGAACGGCGCCACGGGATGTAACCGGAACGCCTCTTTCACACAAGCCTTCACGTAATTGAGTTTTTGGAGGTCGGATTCAAGGACAAAACGGTCTTTTCCAACTACCCTATCGATCTCTTCTACAGCTTTTTGCATGATGCTCGGCTCGTTAATCATCTCTGCCATGGCCCACTCCGCCGCATTTGATGGGTTATCCACCGTCGCCAACATTAGCTCCTTCGCAATCCAAGAGAGTTGATTTACCACCAATAAAGTTAGAGATCATCAAATTAATAGATTTTCGCAGAAACAAATAAAATTTTAAAGGTTGAATTTTTATATTAAAGAAATGATGAGGCTTTACAAAAATGGTGATGTTAAAAAAAATTGTATGGTGATAGGCGAAGGTGAAGAATTTAAGAGAGCAATAAAGGATTCAAAGCTTTTAGTTGAATCTTGCAAAAAAACAATCAATGTGGATCAAAATCTCGGAACTTGCAAGGAAAGAATCCGAAGGAGATGAAGATTGTCGGAAACTCAGTATGGAACTATGGATTTTGCAATCTCTGAAAGTGACAACTTTAATGTATTGACTGCCAATTGGGAAAATTTTAGAGCCATTCTTAAGAAACTCCAATATTATTTTTTATGGTCTTTGAAGCAGTCGGTTTTGAACTGTCCAATGTGGTTTGTTTCAATCCGCTAGAAAAGTCTTTTTATATTGTTACCGGTTTCGAGTTTGAATATTGTGTTACACTTGAGGAATGATGATTTTTAGTCGTGAATAGAAAAGCTAGTCCTAGACCTAAACATCCTATGAGCTAAGGATCGGAACTTCCTACTTATCACTAAATATTAGATAAAAAAGCTCCATCATATTGTAATGATATTAGTCGACAAATATATGTACGTACCGTCACTTGTGCTTTGATCTCTTCTTCTGACAGTGCAGGTTTCCCGTCAGCGTCTTTTGCCAATATAAACATGTCGAGGAAATCTTGAGGCTCTTTCATCTTCCCGTCACGCCATTGCATGAGTCTTTCATCGACAAAAGGATCATTATACTTACTTATATTTCTCATTGCGCTGCTCACAACCTTCTCATAGCCTTCCAAGTCCAAGAACCTTAGCCACGGGACATAATCCGACAAAGCAAATGCGTAAAGATGGGTTAAAACCGTAAACAAAGAATCAACATGTTCAATCTCTTCGAACCCTGGGCCATATCCATCTTCACTTCCTTTGCCAAAATGCCTAACACCAAACATCATCTTCCGAGCTACATTTCCGCTGTATTGCCGCACCACAAACCTTGTATCAATAACCTCAAAACCATTACCGCTGTTTTTGACACACATGTTATTGATATATATACCGAACTAGGTTATCAGCCTCTTCGGCTCTCTTTTTGAGCATCAGTTTGAAGCTTTTCTGACTCGTCACGTGAGATGCCACAACTCTCCTCATCTTCTTCCACTGCTCACCTTGTGGCACCACCGCAACGGTCAAGTACTGACGGCTGCAATACTCCGTGCCCACTGTTAGCGGTCTGCTGGCGAAAATAGAGTCTTGCTTCTTCAGAATCTCCTGTGCAATCCGAGGGGATGTCACGGGGATCACGTGAGTATTGGCGAGACGGATACATGCAATATCGGTGTTGAGTTCTTCCATGTGTGAATGTATCCACCGGAACACCGGTTTGTTCCTCCTTAATATTTCCGGTAGCTAGGTTTCCGATTAAAGGCCAAGGCTTTGGTCCGGGAGGGAGAGGAAGGCTTCTTGTGTAGGAAGTTACTAACACGGTTTTCTTCGTCTCCTTACGCTTCATCGTTAATGCCAGGATAAGAAAACCTAGAATAAACGCAAAAAATGAGGTGGAGTCGAGCATTCTTGTTCTCAACTTGGGAAAGTGAGTACTTTCTATAGGAGTTTGAATTGAAGAATATTTCTGTCTTTCAAAAGAAGTGTGGAATTTAGTAAGGCTATATCATGTATCCCCCCCAAAAAAAGCCCTATATGTGGGCAACCATGAAACGGTAACGACACGATCTTGTCGTAATCTTGGCAAGTTAAATGTGCTTTAAATGTTGGAAGGAAAGCAATGCAAGGAATCCGCGGTGTTTTCAACAGCTCATGCAGCAATTTATGCATACTTTTCTTGTTGGTTAAATCCGTCACTTCACAAAGACTATGTAATTTCTCAAGTATTATATATAAGAAAGTAAATGTTTGTCGCAAAAAAAATGTATAATTTTCTACCAGCTTTTTTCAAATTCGTCTAAAACTCTTGTGAGAATGTCCTTACGATTCCATAACAAGGTGAACCATGTATGTTTCAATTATTTAGCCATTGGAAATTTACAAATATAATTAACGGAAGAGTAATTAAAAAATAGAAAGCTAATATCACTAATTATTGTACGTAAACTATAATTAGCAGCATGTAAATTTTCTCCGCTTTAGTGAAACTTTTTTTTCAAATGTTCTAAGTTCTAAATAATCTAAAATGTAAATTTCACTAATATTCGATTCTAAGAAATTATAACCATTGTGTTCCAAAACAATTCCAATTATGGTTATCCTTTACGTTTTAACTATCTAAAATGTTTTCTAGAAACAGGAGAATTAGGCTAGGGTTAGAATCGGATGTTTTAGGTTATAAAAAGATCAATAGTTGGTGTCTCGTACATCGCCTGCCGGGTTATAGAAGAACAACAGTCGGTGTCTCGTTCAGTATCGATATGTGTTGCAGTGTGTCACTCCTTCGGCTTACGTTTGTATTAATTGTATACCATGTGCTTGTGTTCTATCAACCAATACTCTTGTATCACAAACTTCTCTATCAACAGTCGATCTCCGTCAGCGTCACAAAACTTCTCATATTATTTGGCAAAAGTCTCCTTCCTCGACTATGTGGCTTCGCGACGTTCACGCTACTTCCTCGTTCATAAATCTGGTTCTTAATTGAGTTCGATTGTTTTGCTTTCAGTAAAGTACTATGTGGATGGTTATGCAATTGTAAATTATAACTGCATGCTGGCTTGAATAATTGGGCCTATGGAGTTGTAAATAGATGGTCCATTCTATTTGTAATACATATCGACCGTGTTTTGCCGAGGCTAGAAAACTCGACTCGCTCAGGTTTAGCAAATCCAATCCAGAATCTATTGTCTCAGGAAGCAGTCGTAGGCGTTCACATCAATGAAGAATTCAACAGGTGGTGCTTCTTTCCTGAGAAGTTTTTAAGTCTTTTTAGTTTTTACTGTCAATTATCGAAATCCTGTGTCAAGAAAAAAATGTGATATATGTACATACAGAGACTTAAAATTTTCAAAGAAACCTTTTTAAGGATAACTGATAATTTTCCCTTGACTTGGATTCCACAAAAAGAAACAGAATTTTGTAAAAGCTTTCAAAACTTGTATCTCGATTTTTTCTATTATATGCATGCATGCTTCTTTGCTCTTCATCTCTTGCATTCACCTTTCTTTTCATCTCTCTTATTTTTTTCTTCTTGATTATATCTTCATTGGTTGGTAGAACGAGTGGTTGTGGACTGGCTGGTTAACCTAATTAAATACGTGGCTTCTTGGTGGTCGCTGAACATTTTTTTGTCAGGCATTTAATAAAAAAGTGAATGCTAACAAAATAATACAATTCATAAAAAGAATGCGTCGTCACATAATTTTAGATCACAAGCTTTGAACGTTAGCAAAATTATGTTACCTACCACCAGTCTCTCCCTTACTATATAGAGATATTTACATCAACACTAAAGAAATTATTTCTGTGCAGATCTTAAAAAGTGGATACAACAGGTTGTTTATAAACATCTACATTCTCAATTACAAAAAAAAAAAGAACAGAGAAAGTAAGCCTAGACTCTTTGCAAATTGTTTTTAATTATTTTTGACCACTAGTTAGGTTTTCTTGTCCAATTCTGAAAATTTCCCTTCTTCTTTGCTTTTAACCATTTGTTTAACTTTGTGCGTGTGATTATTTATCAAATAGTGGGAACAGAGATGGTAATGGTTCACGAGGTTCCTTTTCCTCCACAGATCATCACTTCCAAGCCCCTCTCTCTTCTGGGCCAAGGTTGTTTTTTCTTTTTCTTTTATAATCAATGTTAAACGAAAAAGCAAATATGTTTTTTTGCTTTCGTTTACCATAATAATGTAAAAAAGGAATGTCAGATGATTAATAATTTTCAGATTTTTTGTTTGTGTGTTTCTGTAGGGATCACCGACATCGAAATCCATTTTCTTCAAGTGAAGTTTACGGCGATCGGAGTTTACTTAGATCATTCAGATGTTAAAACCAATCTTGAAAACTGGAAAGGCAAGACCGGAAAAGATCTCGCCGGCGATGACGACTTCTTCGACGCCCTTGCCTCCGGTAAACTTAATTAGTCCCATCTTACGTTCCAAATCAATTTTGAACTAGGGCTCTCCGGTTTTGGTTGGTTTCTGGTTTAGGAACACTATTTTCTATTTCGATTAGTACGCTTATAGTTGTATTGTGGTACACTTCGGTTTAATAAATATATTTGGTTTAGTTTGAGTCAAACGAAATTGAACCGGTTTGTTTTGTTTTGGTCCCGGTTAATTGATACGATTTATTATTGCAGCGGAGGTGGAGAAGGTAATAAGAGTGGTGGTGATAAAGGAAATAAAAGGATCTCAGTACGGAGTGCAGCTAGAGAATGCGGTGAGAGATCGTTTGGCTGCGGAGGATAAGTACGAGGAAGAAGAAGAAACCGAGCTCGAGAAAGTCGTTGGCTTTTTCCAGTCTAAGTACTTCAAAACTCATTCCATCATCACTTACCAATTCTCAGCCAAAGATGGTACTTGCGAGGTATAGCCATGTTAGCGTTTAGCGATTGAACTAATGAATTTGTTTGAAATAATAGATGTTAGTGTATACAATACAATCGAGGCCCAAAATAAATACTTGATTTGATTTATTTGAAGATTGCGTTTGAGACGGAAGGTAAAGAAGAGGAGAAACTGAAGGTGGAGAATGCGAATGTGGTGGGGATGATGCAGAAATGGTACTTGTCTGCAAGTCGTGGAGTTTCACCGTCCACCATTGTCTCCCTCGCCGACTCGCTCTCCGCAGTTTTAACCTAAAATCCCTTATAATATATAAGCCTCTATGTGCATGTATGTTTTTTTTTATGTTGTATTATGTCATTGTACGTTAAATTGTTTTCTTATCTTTATAAAATGATCAGTGGTTACTTGTTTTTTTTTTATTGAAACCGGGGGTTAATTTATTAAAAATCTAAAAAACCAACTACAAACGAACATCTCGAGAACGTGCAAAACCGCTTTCATCCTCTAAAACAATCGACTGAACATCTTTTAAAGCAAAGTTAAACAGATGAAGACCTAACGGTAATGAAAACGCATAGTTCGCTAATCCATCGACAAGACGATTAGCTTCCTTATACACGTGAGCAATGCGGACTGTCTAGTCCCTTGATAGATAGCCATGGCACAATCGTACCAGGAAAGACAGCGGGTGTGAATCATTTATTCCTGTCTTCAGAAACCCAACTACAATCTCGGAATCCACTTTCAGCTCCAAACGCGTGATTTGTTTTTCCCAAGCGATGACCAATCCATAATACACTCCCCAAAGTTCCACCAATGGGGCTGAACAAATACCGATATTTAAAGCAAACCCTCCCATCCATTCTCCATCAACGTCTCTCAATACCCCGCCCGCTGTAGCTAGCCCTGGGTTACCGCGAGATGCACCATCCGTATTGAGCTTCACCCATCCTTCACTTGGAGGTTTCCACGCGATCCATCTCTGTTCGGTTGTCGTTCTCCGCTTACTCCCATGGACTAACGAGTGCGCCACCGTGACCTCCCTAGCTAGATCACGTAAAAACTTTACCCGATCACGTCAGTTCTCTCTCCTCCCAAACACATCTCCACATCTTCATTTCCAACTCCACCAGACCGCCATCGAAAACAGAGTAGCCCATAAGCTTCCATCGGAATCCGTCGCATCTCCTAAATTACCATACAACCACTCGATCAATGACTTAGAGAAAAACGCTCGTCTCTTGCGAAGAGGAACTAAACGATTCCATACTCTAACCATTGCCGGGCAGTCTCGCAACTAAACCATACTTGTTATTTCCCATGGTAAGTGATTTTGTCTTTTGACGTTTTAACTTTAAATCTTGCTGCCTTCAACTAAACCAAACATCAATTACTACTGGAGGTTGAACCTCTTAATATAATTCCACAAACCAACCTACGAAAAGTGATGAAAAGAGAATCAACACCCATAGAAACACGAGAAAGATCATAGGATTATGAATTAATAATTTTATCTTTATGACCAACATATTGTGTTGATAAGTAACTCCAATGTAGACTTTCTGAAATTGGTAGCCTCATATAAAGATTGCAGAAGTTTACAACCTGGATTTGAAGGTAAAAACTACTCATGGCTTGCAGGTTGTTTGAGCACAGCCTTGTGCACAGTCAAAAGAGGAGCAAAGTAACATACAAGATGTAGAATATGAGCAGACAGAAGCCGCAGTAAAAACTTTCAAACTGAACTCATTGTTTGAGAAATCCAATCCTCGAGTGAATTTTCTGCTTTTGAATAACATATGATCTCTGAACCGCAGAGTAATTCAATTTCTATTTCACGTTGTTTGCTTCCTTCGCAGAGTAATTCATTTTCTATTTCACGTTGTTTGCTTCCTTGCTTGTTGGGGATCTAATGATCCCACAATTGCCTCATGTATCGTTTCCTATTTAAAGAAATGAAAAGAACAAAAGAGGTAATCTCAATCACCACCAAATAGAAAACGTATATTGCTCTGTTCTTGTTAACTGTTTTGATCAACACTCTGTTTGGCCTCTATTGGGACCTTACCATTGAGCCTCTCTGCTATGTTGTAGGCCACTTGAACAAGAAGGAACATTGTGTCTATAAACCAAAAGCTCAAGAAGGTTTGTCTCACTAGTCCTCATCATTGGTCTGCCTTTTGTTCTCTTTATCACATATTGTGCAGTGTCGTTAAACCCAAGTCACCTACAGCTATTTTGGATGTTTGTTCTTTTTATAGTGTAATTTGGTTGCAAGTTGTATCATCTTTGGACTGATAAATGATGCATACAGATTAAACTATACTATTAACCACAAACTTAGAAATCTAATGTACTATAATTAATTCCAAAAATCAATCCGTATGTAAACAGAGCATATAAGAAATCTAAACAGAATCACCTTTCATAGAAGAAGGGGAAAGTTTTGTATCCTCTGCTCCAACAACAATGAGAGAGAGCAGCAAATCTTCTGGAAAGGGAGGAGGACACAAGTATGGGTTAATAAGACAAGAAAAAAAAAATCCAAAAATTTAAACTTGCGGCGATCTAAATTCTAAAGGAACCGGGATAAAATTTGGAAGGTAGACACAGTGAGAAAAGAGAACAATCCCAGAATCTATTTGAATTTTCTTGAACAAATCTTCCCTCACAAAATAGATGCAAGCCGCTAGAGTTTGGTCGTCGCCACAACACATGATTAGGGTCTTGTCAGAGATGAAGTAACGAACGTCACTAAACAACAACTTTGGCAAGTTAGTTGTTGGCAAAGTCATCAAGCTTATCCACACCACTTGCTCTCCATTATCATCATCATCATCTATCTTCTTCTTAGTTACCCAAACCTCGATCTTCCCTGTTTCATAGCATTGCTTTAACAAGGAAAACCGATCTCCCTCGAAAACCGCGAGTACAAGTTGATTGAATAACCAGTTAAACCTCTGACACGGAAGAAGACAAATGGGTTTGAATATCTCCCTGGAGAAATCAAAGCTTCGTATGAAATATTCTTCAGTGTCACGATCCTGAGTAACCCAATAGAGATTCCCGTTTAAGGACAAAGGATCCATGGTGGGCCACTGCTTGAAAGGGGCATCAAGAGATCTCAACGCATGAGACGAGCACTCTAAAATAACAACTGTTTCGTAAGTTGTCTGTACATTGTGGCAGACTCTACGGAAACGAGTAATATACCTCAAGATCTTGTAACCCTTCTCGGGTCTACTAGTATCGTATCCTACACCGCAAAAATCGAATTTTTTATCCGCGTAATCGATCCATCCAACCTGTCCCAACCACGGATTCCAAATTAACACCTTGCTTCCAAAAGTCGCGAAACAATTACCCGTCGCAAGCCGTGATTGTGGTATATCTCAAATTCAAATTCAGAGGCTGGCAAGGAAATTCAGAGGCTAGCTCACAAAACTCTACCGTTGGATCAACGCCGCCAAGATCGATGTGTATCGAATAAATCTTGGATTCGGACAGGAAGATGAATTGAGGACGGGAGCGAGACAATTGGTTGTCGAGGAAACTCTTGTCGTTGTGAAGACCGTTCCAATGTTTACATACAGTCCTGAACCGAACAAGAGATCGAGCTGGAAGCCTAGAGAGTATCTGTTCCTCCATATCCCTCCCAAGTATCACCGACGCTATTATAATTTCTGTTTCTCAAATTTTGATGCTAAATTATTATCTGATATAAATAGGAGAGAAGTATCAAAATTTGTTTGAATAAGCCGAAAAGGACACCATAAGGTAAAAGGAAACAGAAACAACATTATAAAAGAGGCAGCCTGTTACAGGCCCATTTACAATTAAGAGGCAGCCTGTTACAAGCCCATTGATAATTAATGTCTTCTATTATCTTTATTAACTCAAATCTCTTTCTATAGATCACAAAGTAGTTCATAGACTTTTTTGGGCTAAAATTTGGTGTATTTTTGAAAGATTTTTTTAATAAAATTACCCTAACTATATAAAATACATGAATTATTTATGCTTCTTGAAAAATCAAAAATGCACAAATTATTCAATTTCATACAGACAACTCAACTAGATTTCACGTCTTTTCTTGAGAGTGGACTTTTTCTTTCCTTTCTTGCTTGACCATGAGGCCGGATTTTCGAATTGAGAGAAATAGTGAGAGAGATCAAGAATTCTCACTATTTCTTAGATTCATGGACCCAATTCAGTACATATGTCTGCTTTTGATAATCTGATCTCAGGTAGTCACATACTCCATCCGTTTCACAAAGAGTGTCATTCTGACATTTTTCACATTTATTAAGAAAACTATTAAAAATACTATTTAGCCCTTTATTAATGCATTAAATAATTTTTTTCTCTAATTAATACATTAAATCAATAGGATCAAAACTGGAATATTGTTTAAAATTCTGCATTGAAAATATAAAACGACACTCTTTGTGAAACAAAAATAAAACCTTAAATGACACTCTTTGTGAAACGGAGAAAGTATCTCTTTCTTCCTTAGTTTTTTTTTAATCGTGAGAATCCAAATATTCTAAATTTAAAACGCTGCTGTTAGGTAGATAAGTGAACTCGAATCAAGAATTATCCCACTTATATTGGCCAAGAAAACTTAATTATTTCTTAGTTCCTTAATTACTTCTTTAATTACTATCTATTTATATCTAACCAAGTAAGTTATGAGTATGTAGATCTCATTTATTCAAGAGTGCGCAATTTTAAGAAACGAACTTCATTTATGATTTGTCTTTATTATTTCAAATATTTTAGAGTCGTGTTAATTAGTTTCCAACAATCCAAAACGAATATATATCATGCCAAAACAAAATTATTAAACGTGTGCGGTCACGGACGTATCAACTGTAGAGTAGTTTCTTATACTAGTTTGTTACCGCATTAAGTGTATATACGTCACACTTCCCTTAATTCCTTTTCTCACGATTGATCGATGTATTATTTTAGAAAGTAAAGAATGGTTTTTGAACTCTTGTCAAAACCATGTCTGACTGTGTTATAACTAATAACTAAAAAGATTACGTTAACTATAAATTGTTAATATCACTATCGTTTGAACAAAATGTCGAGTTGTATATAGGAAACACCAAATACATGTATGTGTATAATTAACCAAAAGAAACATTTATGGTTAATCCAAGATGCATGTATAGAGTCATGTGACGTGTCCACATGGCGTAAGAGTAGGGGTTCCTTTGGGGTATAGCCGTTGGGATGGTTAAGCGCCAAACAGAATTGCATGTGAGACTATTAAATAATGCATCATAACTTATAAACGGAATTCCTGGAATATAAAACTGATACTATAACGTCAGCTTCTTCGATTTCACGTCTGTTAAAAAGTATATATTTAATTTTCTTGAAAAGAAAAAAAAAGATTAATAGTATCAATAAGAAAAGTGATAAGGCACTAGTGAACTCACTATATAAGTGAAGTCTTGAACGAAATTAAACAACAACTTCACTCAGCTTCTTTTTCCATTTCTCCCCTCTGTTACTCTTTAACCCCAATAAAATCATGAATCTCACGGAATATTCCCAAATATTTATCCTTTCACTATGCACCCTCAACTTCTGCTTCTTTGTTATAAACTCCGACGACAACGGCGAATGGGAAAGTGGCCACGCCACTTTCTACGGCGGAGCTGATGCATCCGGCACTATGGGTACTTCAAACATAAACTTTTCGTTTCGCAAACACTAGACATCATCTCTAAATAATTACACATGTACATGGATATTTTGACATATATCTTAAAAACGTTAAAAGTGTTGACGTAAGGTTTTTGTAGGAGGTGCATGTGGGTACGGTGACTTGTACAGCCAAGGCTACGGACTACAAACCGCGGCGCTGAGCACGGCTTTGTTCAGAAACGGTCAGAAGTGTGGGGCCTGTTTTGAGCTACGGTGTGAGGATGATCCTCAGTGGTGCCTCCCTGGTTCCATCATCGTCTCGGCTACAAACTTTTGTCCTCCAAACTTTGCCTTAGCCAATGATAATGGTGGTTGGTGCAATCCTCCCCTTGAACATTTTGACTTGGCCGAGCCTGCCTTCCTCCAAATCGCTCAGTATCGAGCTGGGATCGTTCCTGTCGCATTTAGGAGGTAAAAAAAAAACATTTGGAGCAATACTTAGGGATTAGCAATTCTAAATACGATTTTTCGTATGTCCACCCTAGCGCAAAAGTAGAAGCATTTTTCATAAGAAAACATCTTCGCTTTTGATAAGTCTTGACCTAATTAATGTACCATTTTTGTTCATCTGACAATGACAGGGTTCCATGTGAGAAATCTGGAGGGATAAGGTTTACGATAAACGGGAATTCGTACTTCGACCTCGTGCTGATCACAAACGTGGGTGGTGCTGGAGATGTTAGAGCCGTTTCTTTGAAAGGCTCAAAGACTGGTCAGTGGCAATCCATGTCCAGAAACTGGGGACAGAATTGGCAAAGCAACACTTACCTCAGAGGTCAAAGCCTCTCCTTTCAAGTCACTGCTGGTGATGGTCGGACTGTTGTGAGCTACGATGTTGTGCCTCAGGATTGGCAGTTCGGTCAAACTTTTGAAGGAGGACAGTTCTAGATTCTGTATCAAAAGAAATTAATAGGTTACAGAGTTAGCTTGTGTTTAAGATAAAGACTTTGCTTCTCAGGAGCCTTAGTGATCATATCTACTCTTATCTATAGTCATAAGAAAGACACTGAATTAAACAATTAATTTAGTTGGATAAACGGCATTTTAATTTCTTCATTTAGTGCCCAAGGTCAAGGAAAGAAAAAAAAAAAAACACTGAAAGAGAAGTTATTCCTTTGTTCGAAAAGTAATACTACAAAATCTTAGAGTATAAAACAAAGTAGCTTCTCATAATAATATAGCACCAGGCATTTCTTATAGTTTTGCAGATTTTAATATTCTCTAAAACAAACTATTGACATGCAAAGCCTTTGATTGTTGTAATCGATCACGAATTCATTTTGGATACTTAAAAATCCTTTATCAAAGAAAAACATATAAAGGCTACAAGATACATTCTGTTATTGTTGTACGTGGGCCTAGTAAAATGATACCCAAGTCCGCAAGACCTTTGTAATACAAATACAATAGAAAAGAGGCCTTGCTAGCTGAGAGCTTCATAGTCCCACATCGGAAAGATGAGAGACCTTGATAGTTAAAACTGCAATATAAATAGACTTCACTCTCAATTAATGAAAAATCACGCAGCCATGTGGTGAACACATAGCAAACTATTCTTTCGCCTTTTACTAAAGAATACCGTGTGTTCTCCACGCTAAGTGGCATACGCCTATTTTTGGAGGGTTTCTACTTTCGAGTGGACCCCAGCAATTACAAGTGAAAAATTTTGTTTTACGAAATTAAAAATTATTTTTTTAAACCTTGGTTATCTTATCGTTATCCAATATTTGGGGTCTTTTCTGATTTGTAGAATGGATGTGCAAAACAAAGACTGCTTCTCAGGAGCCATATTGATCATATGTACTCTTCTTCTCTATAATAATAATCATAAGAAAGATGCTGAAAAGTTGTCATTGAAATTAGGCGGCAAAAAAAGAATTTGGAAAAGAGTAATAATTTGTATCTGAAGATGGGCTTTTATTGGGCTTAATTTGGAACAATAACAAGCCTTCCTAACTTCTTTCTCAAATTGCCGTTTTGACTTTTGATACCTCCACGATACTTCTGAATCAAATAGAGGTTTTGTGTATCGCCTCCGTTTGCCATTTGATTGGTCGTCTTAGGGAAGTTGACCATCAAGCTCGTTACAGCGAAAATTACAGTGAAAATGGCAGGCAGATTCCGATTAGATTCGGTAGTTTTGGCAATAGTCACAGTTCACCCGCACGAGATTCCGGCGTTGCTCCACTCCTCTTCCTGCTTCTTCTTCGTAATGGATCTCACTCTCTCTCTCTCTCCGTCTCCTCCATGTTTATTCGCTTTAAGCATTGATTTCGAGTGTTCCCTAATCATGCATTGGTTTAAGATAATTTCAGATTTTGAGCGCATATTTCGTTGTTCTTCCACTCCGCGATGAGGGGGCAATATCGCTTGGGTTATCAAAGCTCCCAGGCCTGTTCGTAGGATCCCTGCTTCTCACTTTGATTGCGGCTCCTGCTTCCACCTTCATCTTCTCTCTGCCCAATTTGTCCAAATCCAAGGTACTGTTGCCTTTATACATGTCCTCTGTTTCCGAATACTCTGTTCTTAAAAAAAGATTTTCATTTTAACGCCAACTTTATACTGTTAACCATGCGAGAGAAAATTCTCTCTACCAATGTAAATGGTCAAATACTTGGTATTTCTCATTTTATGTGCCGTTTGGTTTGTGTTTTACTGGAATAATACACCAAATGAGAGAGTGTAAGCACTTATGATAGATTCTTTGATGAAGCATTATCTTACACATGTTTTCTTGAATTTACAGGCTTTGGTTATAATACATAGATTCTTCAGTCTATCACTTGTTCTGTGTTTCCTTCTCTGGCGTGCCTCCCCAACAGAGTCTATGCCATCTAATTCAAAGGTAAGATAGGAGACTTGTATTTATATACATAAGCTGCTTGGAATAAGTCATGTATCATGATTTAACAACATTCTCCTCCTTCGAAGGATGCAGTTGAGTCGGCATCCGATCTAACAAAAGACCCAAAAGTTGGTATCGATGGAGCTAATCCCGCTTCTGGATGGGACAACCATGGCTGGTTTTACATTTTCGTTCGAGTTGGATTTTTTCTTTGGGTATGGCTAACTCTTTGTTTTTGGGTATGTCCTATTGTATCTGGATATATAATACTTTTGCTATTTCATAGGTTGCGTTGCTTAATCTCGTCGCTATTTCTTCGACATGGGCTAGAATAATAGACGTTATGGATAGTGAGGTAGTTTCTGCTGCCCTTTACTTTATTTCTAAGAGCTGGCTATTGTTTCCAAGCATAATAACACGCTCTTCAATCCAGTCAGGTGCAAGATTGTTTGGTTTTATTGGTGCTGGTGCTACCCTTGGTCAGCTTTTTGGATCGGTGTTTGCTGCTGCAACTGCTTGGATGGGTCCATGTACGTATCACATTGTCTGATGATGATTTCATTTACAGACCAAGTATCTAGATTTGTGATATTTTCTTCTGCTTTTTGTTGTTTCATGAATGCCATTCTGATTTCACTCAACAATCTATTTGGCTTTCATTACAGATCTACTTCTATTTTCTGCCCTTTTGATGGAATTTGCTGCCCAGTCTTCAAAAGGGATCACCAAGGATATTTCACAGTCCTCTGAGGAGTTGTCTCCTCTAAGGTTAGCTACGCTACAATCTATGTCCTTCATGTATAGAAGATGAATTTGATTTTCAAACCCACTTTTTTGCTATGGTCCCCAATTATGAGTTGGACTCAATTATGCTCATGGTTGGTCGAGATGTTGATCTTTCTTGCCTTTTCTGTTAGGAGAACTGATAATGATCATCAGGAAGCTTCTTCTCCAAAAGTTGCTTCTCCAAAATCGCCTCTCTCCACAACCAAGCCTCAGCTTTGGGCCATCTTAGACGGAATGAGGCTTATACTAGCATCGCCTTATCTTTTGCTTGTGTCTTTGTTCCTTTGGCTCGGTGCCGTCATCTCATCATTCTTCTATTTCCAAGTAAGAATTTTATACTTTTTTGTAAATGATTTCCAGAAATAAGAATACCTACATCATATGAAGATAACATCAGAAACTTTGACGATAAGATAGTAGGCTTGCCTCTGCGAAGCATCTCAACCCTGTATTACTATGTCTTTGCCTTGTAAAGATTCTGATAATTGTAACTAAGATTCCTTGTTCCTCAACAGCCATCTTTCTTGTTCCGGTAACTGTTTTTCAGAAGATAAAGATTAGTATATCCCTATGTTACTAGTGCCGCTTCCGATTCGGACTATTGCTAGAAAGTTCCTTTGTTTTCTTGGAGTTTATAATATGATTTAAAGAAGGCTGAACATCTATAACTGTCTCACTGATAAAATAAAGTTCACTGCAGAAAGTGAATATAATTGCCATGACAATCAAAACATCCATTGGTCGAAGAAAACTTTTTGCTCAGATAAACAGCTTTGTTGCAGTTTTCATACTCATTGGACAACTGACTCTAACGGTATGTCATATGCGAAAGAAAAATTCTTATCATTGATTTACTGTACCTGGTAACTTTCTTTTCGTGGTTCATAAATATCAGCTCGTATCTTAAATTACAGGGCCGGATCTTGACTTTAGCGGGTGTCACGGTTGCAATATCTGCATCTCCGTTTGTTGCACTTGGGAATTTGGTTGCTATTGCCATATGGCCAACTTGGGTTACAGTTGCTGTGTCTGAAACCCTGAGAAAGGTTTGTGGTTTATTAAAATCTCTTTCGTGTTTCCTTACTGTTCGATTAATTACACTTACACTACTCTAGGTGACAACTTATGTTGTAACTAGACCTGGAAGGGAACTTCTGTTCACTGTTGTCTCGCAAGACGAGAAATACAAAGCTAAGGTACTGAATCTTTCCCTTCCTCAACTTCTAGTTAAAAAAAAAAAACCAGCTCTGCAGACGGGAAAGGTCACACTTCGGTCTATTTCTCATTCTGTGCGCTATGGTTTCAGGTATGCATAGATGTGATTGTTCAACGGCTTGGAGATGCTGCAGCGGCAGGATTATTCGAAATCCTCACCATTGCTCTTGGCGGTCAAACATCAACTGCTTCACTCTATGCCTTGCCAGTATAATATAGCATCCAACTTTCAAGACAACTTCTTCTTGTATAAGTATATGGTAAACTATTCTCCATGAAGTCATTGACAAATCTCCGTTTGTTTCTACAGGTGTGTCTAATATGGATAGCCACAGCCTTCTTCTTGGGCCGGCGCCAAGAACAACTGGCGAAACTCCAGTTGGGTTCATCTTCGTAGGAACGAAACCTTATAAAGAGTCACATTGATAGAAAGCAGAAACCAAGTTTCTTGTGAGTTATGTTTGTTTTTTCTCTCTGTTTTGGGTAAAAAAGAGGAAAAACTGTTTTTGGACACCAAAATCTGAAAAATTAACGTCAAATTAAACTGACGTTAATTATGGACACAGAATCTAGAAATTAAAGTGTATATTAAAGAAAATTAAAGTGTATTTACTAAAAGTAAGTGGGTATTTCCAAAAATAATACAAACGTCAATCATGACAAGTCTACAAACAAATTATTTTTGGATATTAATAAGACAAACCAACGGAATATTAATAACCAATAACGTTTAAACTAATTGGAGAATCTTCTCTCATAAAGCGTAAAGTTTCTTAGACATCAAGACGATTATTGCTCGCAAAACTAGAGAAAAACTGTGAAGTAGATTTTTGAGATGATATAGTTTATATAAAATAACATTACAGTAAAAGTTACTGTATGTTGATAACTGTATATACATTACGCATAAAATGGGGACACGATAATCCAAATAAGGGAAAAAGAACGACAATAAATTGTTTCTTTTAAAAAAAAATTTTTTTTTTTTAAAAAGGGAAAATGATGCAGTTTCTCATCAGTTTTTGGTTAGACTCCACAATGTAAAGATGTTTTATAATTCTAGAATACAATTTTGTAATTGGAGAAATCAAGCAACTAAGTTATCGTTCCACAACTCGTTCTTATATTTGAAACCAATCAAACAAAGTACGCATCAGTTAAAAATAAATTGCAGATAAACCCAAACGGGGTTAGCTTTAGAGTTAATGTTATTGTCCACGTATGTGAATACATTAAATAATGCATATCAAAAATATTTCAAATGAAATATTTAGCTTTAAAAAAAAAAACTAATTCCCTCTTGTACTCTAGTTCTCTTTCGTAGTGACTGAAAAAAAGTAAACGAATAAACAGAGCGTAACCATAAAAACGAGAAAAACCTCTAAAAGGTCATCACAGAGGATTAGAGGAAGGAAATATGATCAGCCTATATTTACATACTTTCCCAAAACATCTCTAAAATCTATACACAAGCCAACAGGCCCTCTCCACTAAACCGGGTTTCTCAGTTGTCCAGCAGAGAATCGTCTTCCCTGTTTAAAAAGTGAGAAAACAAGAGCTAAGAACAAGGGATATGGTAGTGTTGTATTGTTCAGAGCTTGTGTATGAATACCAAAACTCATGTCCGAAATGATCAGATGAATCAGAGTCCTCCTTTTCATGATCGTATCTCTCATAGAACTGTGTGGAGTGCTCGAAAAATGGAGTGAAACATAGTGAGAAATGTTATGCAAAAGGCGGAAACACAGATAACCTTTCTTGGTTATGTAAGGAAAATAAATAAAAACATGATTCCAACCTTGTCAAATTTCGCGACAGCTTTCGAATCTGCCTCATCATCTGCCTGCAAATAGGTCATCACAGTGTTCAAAAACCTCTGCAAGCTTCAAAATTTGCAAAGTGTTTCAAAGGAAAACGGAATGAAATTTTTGACTAGTTATAAACCAAAGAGTATCACAAAAAGTTTCAATCGTAAAAGAAGCAATCAATCTAACTCTAAAGCTAAATCAAGTATGCATATCAGAATTAGATACAGATGCAAATGTTGCTGGTCACATGGAAGGAAATCAATCAACTAAGTCCACATCTCGTTCTTATACTCGATAAAGAAAGAAGTTTCAGATGCATCAACTCATATCCAGAGATAATGATCTACCTTAAAAATGCTTTTATTTTCTTGGTTTAATTTCCTGTTGTGTGCCAAATCAACCACTGCAGCACGGGCTATGAAGGGCTTTTGTTCCTGGAAAACAAGCAAAAAAAAAAACCCACATATATATATATATATATTAAGGCTTGCGGCAGAAAAAAAAAGACGTTTTTGAGTGATTTAAGATGAATAATCTGATACCTCTTCTGACATGTTTTTCCACACATTGAAACATATTCTGCTAGCATCCACCAAGTTTCCACCGTAATTTTCCTTAAAATCCTCTCTAGAGAAAGAGAAAAAGTTACAAGAGAGTCAAATTACTACTCAGATTCACTTTACACTGCCAATTTTTCTCACATTTTTGCATTTATAATCACGCCACCAAGAAACCAACAAATGGGTCCAACATTTCACTTAAAAGGAAAGAGATTGACCACACGATTAAACAAAATCACACTACCCTTTCGAGACCTACGAAATCAAATTCTAACACCCACTCAAAATCCACTATTTCACTTGAATTTTTTTGAGAAGAAAACACAGTCGTATCTAGTAACAGAAGAAGGTTTTTGGTTACTGTACAAGAAGAAGACGAACGGCGATCTGGGTTCATCTTCAAAGCTCCCGACTGGTTTCGAGATATTTTCGAATTTGCCACTCGAAATGCACTTGAATCTCTTCACTTCTCTTCTATTCTCACCGCACTCGTGCATATCAAACAGAGCAATCGCGATCATAAGACCACATTCTTCACTGGAATAAAACCCGAAACAGAGTTTCACGAATCTAGATGAACCCTAAGAAAACTGAATCGACGAATCCAAAAAGATTAAGAGAGCAGTACCATTTTTCAAAAGCGCTTCCATCGGCAGCACGACGAACCGCTTGAACCCTTTTACGGATTCTCGGTCGAATCGCCATTAATGCATCTCTTTATCAGCTCACAATAGTTTTTCTATTTCTGACCGAGAAAAGGTTTTATTAACTTTTCAAGGTTAAAAACTAAAAAGCTTTCGTTATCACTGTCTTTGTGTGTAAAAGAGCTAGACATCGGGTCGCTTACGTGTCGTTTAGCGCATGATAGTAGTAACAACGTTAGTGCTAACGTACGCTTAATTGTTAAAGCGCGGGACGTAATTGGCGCGTACTTAAAACAGAGGAAATCTCCCGCTTCCGATATTGATTAGTTATGATAACCACTTAAATTTTGCCACGTAATCAGTCGTGAATTACGCTAATTAAAAAACATTCAAAAAGGGTAATAAAAATCGCAAAATATCAATTTCATGAGATAATCAATGCGAAAATACACACTTCAAGACAAAACAAACAAGGGAAATGAAAAAAAAAACACACACACACATTAAAACGGATCTTCAATTTTTGATCAAATCTTATTCTCTTGTGAAGAATTAATACGGGAAAAAAGGACAAAAGCCAATCCGAAGACGACACGTGGAGAGAGTAATCAGTTGGTCCTCCCGCAAAGCTTGCGGATCTCACCGCTAGTACCGGTCAAGGGGCTAATATCACCCATCTTGATCATCGCCGCCGCGAAATCGGAGCTGAAGCTCGACGGAGTGTTGCTGTATCCACGGACTATGGAGTCGGTGGAGCCGCCGTTGAAGAGTTCTTGGTCGGAATGGAGGAGACCTCTCTGAGCCATTAGGTTCTTGAAGTAGCTGTTGTCGAATGAAGCCGCCGAGTTTACGTCCAGTGGAGCTAGGTTTCCGTCGCCGGAACCGGCGGTTCTCGGGCAAGATCTCTGCCGTAGTGTGGCGAAGGCGGCGTTGATGTTTGTCTCGTTGTACACTCTCGCTCGGAAGTTGGTGCAACGGGATTGCCCGATCGTGTGCGCTCCTGAAAAGAAAAATATAAAGAATAATTTGTTTATTAGTTGACTTAATAATTATTTACTATTAGTTAATAATCATTGGATTAATTTGTCGGTGTAGAGTAACAGTAATCTATATGTTAAAGTAACTTTGGCAAAGAAACAAAAAAGTCGGTGGTGCGTAACAAATATGAAAAAACCACAAAAGACACAAGAAAGAATCGTCAAAATTCATTGTGGCAGAAAAATGAATCGACAAAATTCAAAGACACAATCAATTATTTTAATTTTGTGTCGAATCTGTTGACTACTTTTAGTCCTTCGAAACATCATCTATTTTCGTTTTTTTTTTTAATATATAAAACTATTTGGCGAAAGGGAAAACGTAAGCAATACTAAATTAAGAACAATCACAGATTAGAGAAGAAAAAAACTTGTTTGTCACCGATTTGTAGCTAGCAATGTTTTTACCGATATTTGAAAAAAAAAAAGAAATTCAATTAATGAATCTTAATATCAAACGATTGATTTAAAAGGAAGCTCATTCATTGGTTGCTTTATACTTTTTACCTTAATCAAGCTTGGTCTATGGAAAAAATAGTTAAGCATTGGGCAGAAAAAAAGGATAAGAGGAAACGATGAACGGACCGGAGAGAGCAACCATATCTCTGGTGGAGAGTCCAACGGCACTGAAACTACTAATAAGCTGGCTCAGACTCGAAGTCGGTGCCGGAATGTTACTATTAGCTGCGGCTTGACTCGCCGTTCTTGCATCTCTTCTTCCTAACTTCACATTCCAATTCGGCCCTCCAAGCTTCAACCAGAACAAGAACGAATTAATATTTGTTTTATTTTACCGGTTTATATAGTCTACTAAATATATGCAAAACCCGACTAATAGAGGATACTGTATATGGGGCTTACGATTACGACGGAGTCTCTAGCAGCAATGGCTAAGATATCAGCACAAGACACAACCCCGGGACATGCTTTTTCAACCGCTGATTTGATGTTGTCGATCACATTAAACCCGCGAGCAGAATTCCGGTTTGGGTTCGCGTTCTGTTCTCCCGTAAAGCTTGATGTGTCATCTAGTAGAATCGAACCGTCGCATCCCTATATACATACATATATTTGTAAGTTATGACAATATATGATTAGAAGAAAAAAAGACCAAAAAGAAAAGAAAAACAAAACATCACGCTACTTTTCTTGTGATGCACGGAATGTAAAAGAAGAGGTAAGAAAACTTACGTTGACGAAGCAATCGTGAAAGAATAGACGGAGGATAGATGCACCCATCCGATTCTGGCTGCTGACGGCAGATTTAACGGCTGTTTGGACGGTTGATAGAAGATTAGGGCAAGAGCTTGAGTAGAAATTTGTCGTGAGTTGTGCTTCGACGACGTTATTGTTATCACCTTTCAATAAAAGTGTAACGATGAGAAATAAAAGGGCAATAAGTTTATTTGAAGCCATATATGCCTGAGTATAATAAAGACTTTTGGATAGACTAATTAGAGTTGGTTAATTATTGTACTTGTAGAACAAAGCATAACGGAATCGAGGTTTATATAGAGGCGTGAAGGATGTTCCAAAGTGAAAGATAGGTGACCTAACGCGTTGAAAAATGTGTATGGTTTCTGTTACTTATTTTGTTTTTAGGGGGTCAATATTCATTTTTGCATGGACTTTATTTTTTTTAATTATCTACGTCGGAGAGAGAAGCTAAAACAAAATTTGGCAGCGATAATATAATTTACCCTGATGTCAAGTAATTAGCATAGCCATCAAATTAAGTGAAAGTCTTGATATAGTTGACTTGGAAAATTATGAGAAACATTAGATTAATTAGATTATTTGTCGAAATCTGTTAATTTGTCTCCATTTTTTTTTAACATACTCCCTCCGTTTCACAAAGAGTGTCGTTTTAAGGTTTTATTTTTTGTTTTACAAAGAGTGTCGTTTTATATTTTCAATGCAAAATTTTAAACAATATTCCAGTTTTAACTCTATTAATTTAATGTATTTACTAAATAAAAACAAATCGTTTAATGTATTAATAAGGGACAAAATTGTACTTTTAATAATTTCTTAATATGTGTGAAAAATGTCAGAATGACATTCTTTGTGAAACGGAAGGAGTATATAAAAATTATATGTAGAAATGGTCTAATTTTTTTTTAATCACGACATCTTAGATCATGATAGATATTTGGAATAGACACATGTAGTTGTCAAAATGTCACTCTAACTGTAATACTTTGGATTCTAAGCGATAGCAAATGGAAGAAAAAATTAGAATCATTAGTTTGACAATACAATTTCTACAGTTAATGGTGCTTAAGTCTTAGTAATCGAAATCGAAGTACGTTCTGCTCCCACACACGCTCTCGATATTAGATGCGAGGACCTTCAATTGTGTTCTGATTCCCTAACATTGGCGAACCTCCTCAACTCTACGGATTCTCACATTGCAATCCAAACTATATCTTTAAGATCAAATTTGTTTTCTTTTGTTGTACTTGTAGTCAATTGGGATCTGAATTCTAATTTTCCATGTGATGTACTTGGGAAGATGATCTACGTACCTTTATGATTGTGGATCACCACTTTGTCAAATGCTGGCTTCGAACGTAAGTAAAAAGAAGTGTGAGCCTTCATGGTAAAAAAATACGATTGACTAGAAACAATCCACGTGAAAGCTGCCTTAGTTAATACACCAGTTTCTTTGATTTTGATGCCATAACTATAATACTTATTATCTTTTAGGTTATAAGTCATAATAATAATTAATTAAGCTGTATCAAAGCCGCCTAATACAGTTAATATAGTATTATGGATTAGACATGTATATCTTTTTCAGCATACCATGAAAAAAGTGGAGAATAGTTTGTTAAAGAGAGTTGTCAAGAATAGTGGCCTGTCTCATTAATTAATACTTTGGACCAAACATTTGATTTTATGGGAAGAGAAATTACATCATTAGGTTTGTTAAGATTTCTATCTTTTCCAATTCCCAGATTATTTTTTTTTTTTGCTTTGACATTTCCGGCAAGTCTCTTTGTTACTTTGATTAATATTTGCAGATACATAATACTACATATATATTATGTTTTAGACTTAAGATTACATATTTTTACATGAAGCTTACACTGTTTAGGTTGTTTTCCCTGCACTTAGTCAGTAATTAGTATTATAGTTCTCGCACCTTTTGTCACCCATTTATGACCTTACGGTTTTTTCAAAATTATTTTCAAGTAAGATAAACGCGTGTAATGTATACTAATATACTAATCTAATGTAAAGATCTTTCTCGTAAAACTAATTATATTTTTAAATATTTGGATTAAAGACTAACTATTAAACAAGAATTTTAAGAGAACGAGAGTCATATACTTTTACACAACGCGGCTTGTACTTCAGCTCTTACAAAGGAATGAGGCACGCCTGTCACTTTCCAGTTTACTATATGCGTCTAATCAAACTTAGTGAAAATATTGTTTTTCAAAAACAATACTTCTCTTCAAGTTAGATACCTTATCCGGTCTCATTTTCACACGGACCTAAAATAACTTCAATCAAACCCTCTCTAATAATTAAGAAAAAATCCTTCTAGATACGTATTGGTTTTGTGATTTTTGTTTTACAGAAAAGTTCATTAGGTCTGTTGTTTTTTACGAATATATATATATATATATATATATATATATATGTATATAATTAGCTGAATCGTAACATTGCAGTTTGTTATTACTGGGTCATCTGATCAAATACGATTAAAATTCACAAATATTACAATCACGTTCGCTAGAATTCTAGATTATAACATTGGAGTTTTATTTCCTCAATTCTCGTGAATTTTCTTATTAGTTTAAAGTTTGTTTATTTCAAATAAAATTAGAAATATTGGGTTATCGTTATTGTCAAATACCACCAGCACTTTTTTTTATGATAGTTATGATTTCAGATTTCCTACACTGGTTAAGCTTCGAAATGAAGAAATATATGAGTGAAAAAGTTGCTAGAGTGAGTAATTGCTACATAGAAATTTTAAACACTCTTTGCAGCATATATTGAATAATAAATTACTTAGAAAATGCCAAAAAAAAAATAACTAAAGGGGTTGATTAAGTCGCAATTATTTGAGAATTTCGAAGGAGGTTTGGCTTCGATTCCTTCTGTGTGTATGGATATCTCAAGTCTCAAGATTCCTAAGGCCGAAAGTACATGCATATATATGCCTAGCTTTACATTTCTTTTTTGAAACCGGACCAAGTCAACCATATATATGTTGTCTACTTGTCTTCCATTATTTATTTATATTAGTCCAATAGAGAAAAAGCAACTATACTATATCTATATGCATGAATTTAAGTGGGAGGAATGTATAGTTTTTGGATATGAATATTTGACTGGGTAACCAAGATACTGCAGATTCTTTGATACATATATACCTTTACCATCAACATTTCGGTGGGATGAAGACCTATACATAGTAATTAAACACTTTCACTTTGGGTGGGTGGGTAGAGGAAAAATATGAAACTTCCACAAAGTTTTTCGTTTGGCCTTCTTGATATATAGTACTAGATTCTTATCAATCTATTAATAGCGACCACATCCGAGACAAATACTTATTTTCTAGGGCCAACTGTGAATGTCACTTGTAAAATAGTTTAATAGGAAACGATTTTCTGATCTTATGTCCCTTTGGGTAGAAGCCTGGAACGGAGGTAATTAATCATCCAAAACCAGAGTTTTCCTCTTGGTTTTTTTTTTTTGGGATAGAACAAATTATAAGAGCTTGTAATTAATGACATTCATTTTCATTTTAATGAATCAAAAGAAAAACTTATACTATAATAGTTGTAGGAGAGGTACGTATGCGTATTTGTCGGTTTATCTATCGGTCTAAGACCTTACTTACCAAAAATAACCGGGTGGTAAGAAATTCCTCACGTATCAAGGATTCAGTGCCATCAGTTTATAATTGTGATGTGAGGTTTGCAACTGGTATGTCTTTAGAATTTTCAGGACGTTTCTACCGATCGGTTGAACCAAATTCTTTAGGTTCTTAAATTTGTTTTCTTACTTCGACTTAAATAGTTGAAAGGTATCTTATTGATTATCATAGTTTCTTACTAATTACTTAATTAGTGCCGTAATATTGTGATGCAAATATGTTGATGGGTCGGGTCTTAACTATTGAAATTTGGGCCTAACTAATACGGGTCTGCTTCTTCATTTTGATGTCTTGTGGATTAAAAAACTCTTCCAATTTTTTTTTACAAGTTCTTTTATTTATTGTTGTTCATAAAACTTTTTTTTTCAGTTTCTCAGATAAATTTTGAAATTCTTAACGTAAAAAATAAAACACAATAAGAAGAAAAAAACCGTCTACGTTAAAAAAATAATAACGCATTGATATGTCAGCTTTAATTATAAATATTAATTTCAATTCCAAAGAAATATACGTAAAACAACTTCATTTGCCGACAAAAAACACAATTTTTTTTTTAATAAAAAAACACAAATTCAATTAGAGATATTTCTAACATTTTGGTGGATTTGTTAACTGTTTTGAGAAGGCAGGAGCCGAAAACGCCCTTCTCCGCGAAATTTATTCCTCCTCTCATCGGTTTCCAGGCCACCATCTTTTGCGTTAATTGGTCCTTGGTCGAAGCCATCTCTTCCTCTGTGAATTTCTCCTCTAAATTCGGCTCTCTTTCGTTCTGGGTTTATCCGTAATTCTTTTTGTAGCTAATTTTAAATCCTGGGCATGTCATTCGCTCCTAAAATTTTCGAATTCGAACAAATTAAGGTTTCTTTCCCTCTTCTTTTGTCAAAGTTGAATACTTTGTTCGTTTTGAATGTGTCCGCAATTGGAATCTTCTCCCTTTAATCGCTTTCATAATTTTTTTGCTTTACGGGTTTTCATAATTTGCTAGCAATGTCTATAAGCTTCCAAGCACATGCCTTTGACTAGCTTTTCTCGGTAAAAGGATTTGCTTTTACTTCTTTTTCTTTTTCCTGGAACAAAAAATGGGTTCAGATGATAAGATTGAGGGATTTAATGGTGGTTGTGAAAAACTTAGTGCTTCATGTCCTCTTGATGTCTCTACATCTCGTGAAGTGAAACCTAGGAGATTGTCGGAGAGTTCGTTGCCTGATGTGTCTAATAGAATTACGCTGCTGAAATTTGGTTCCCCTTCTGCTAGATTCAAGAGAATGACAGAGGAAAGAGATGAGGTTTCACGGTCAGTGAACAGCTCAAGCAGCCACAATTTCCGGGAAAGAATCAGTGTGGTGTTTTCCCGGAAACTCGAGTGGGCTTCCCTGGTGAAAATGGGTAAGCATTGGCTTAGAAACCCGTTTAACATGGCTCTTTTCCTGTGGATTCTTGTGGTTGCTGTCTCTGGTGCGATTCTATTCATGGTTATGACCGGTATGTTGAACAGTGCGTTGCCCAAGAAATCGCAGAGAGATGTCTGGTTTGAAGTTAACAACCAAATCCTCAACGCATTGTTCACTCTGATGTGTCTGTATCAACATCCGAAACGGTTTTACCACCTCGTGCTTCTCTGCAGATATAAGCAAGACGATGTTACAACACTTAGGAAAATATACTGCGAGAAGGGGACTTACAAGCCAAACGAGTGGATCCACATGATGGTTGTTGTACTTTTGCTTCACTTAAACTGTTTTGCTCAGTACGCGCTATGCGGTCTTAACTTAGGCTATAGAAGATCCGAGAGACCCGCCATTGGTGTGGCTGTATGCATATCTGTTGCAATAGCAGCTCCTGCTGCTGCTGGTTTGTACACCATCCTTAGTCCACTAGGGAAAGATTATGATCCTCAAGGAGACGAGGAGAATCAAGTGCAGTCTGTGGAAGAAGGATCGGTTAGTAATGGCAAGTTATCCCTCGAAAGAAGATATTCATTTGCTCTTACGGATGTGAGTAATCCTGAATGGAGAGGTGGAATTCTTGATATATGGGAAGATATTTCATTGGCTTACCTCTCTCTGTTCTGCACTTTCTGTGTGTTTGGTTGGAACATGGAGAGGATCGGTTTTGGGAACATGTATGTTCACATTGCAACTTTTGTTCTCTTCTGTTTGGCTCCTTTCTTTATATTCAACTTGGCTGCTATAAACATCGATAACGAGATGGTAAGGGAAGGACTTGGATACACTGGAATTGCGCTTTGCTTGTTTGGTTTGCTCTATGGAGGTTTTTGGAGAATACAGATGAGGAAAAGATTCAAGTTGCCGAGTTATAACTTCTGTTGTGGTAGGCCCGCGATTGCTGATTGTACACTCTGGTTATGCTGTTGCTGGTGCTCTTTAGCTCAAGAAGTACGGACTGCGAATTCTTATGAAGTAGTGGAGGATAGATTCTGCAAAAGAAGAGAAGAGATTGATGAGGTTTTGGTGTCTCCGTTGCCTCGTGAAGAAAGTGAGATTGATCCGAGCTGCTCGCCTAAGAAGATGGCCATGACAATGGCTACTTCTTCTTCTCTTAGCTTGATGAGCGAACCGAAAGAAGAATCTTGCTTGGGAGTGAAAAGTGATGAAGCTCTAAGTCCACCTTTTCCTCCATTCATACACAGAGAAGATAGTTAGAACTTAGAATCAAATTTTGGTTCCAATTTTTTCTACTTAAGAAAGTAGTAAACATTGTATGACCAGATCGATTATGGATCCGTTTATATGGTTGAGGTTATATATGTATCTCTAATTTTCAATGGTATTTAAGTTTCAATTTGGTTTCGGTTTTCCTGACAATCTAAAAATATGTTTTGGCTTTTGAAAGATACTAAAAAAAGTAAATTCATGTTCTTCCCCAAAAGCAGAGAAAACTAGACCGTAAAAAAGATGAAAAAGAGTAAATGTAAGAGAGTTTTTTTTTTGTCTTTTTGTTTTTTGTTGTTGTCTTGTTGTTTTTTTTATGTAAGGAGTTATTGGAAAGTAAAAATACAATGCTGATAAGAAAAAAGTCAAAAACATATAATAGAAGGTTCAAAAAAAACATACGTATAATTTATTCGGATTAGATAATCTTTTTTTTTTTTGTAAGAAGAATAAAGGAGAGAAAAAAGAAAAAGAAAATAATTAATTGATCGTGTGTGACTGTGTAACCAAAAAATTGCAAACCCTATTTTGTTGAATGGGAAGATCGATCCTAAGTACGGTCAGATTCGCAGAACTCGCAATAAGAGTCTCCTCCGAGAATCCGAGCAGACCCCACAGAGCCACCACTCCTCCTCGGAACAAAGTCTCCGTCAAGAAGACGAGACAGTCACAGCTCGACGATTACTCCAATCGGGTTAAGCTGGAGAAGGCGGGATCGCACTCGGGTTCAAATCCCGCTCCGTGTTCGGATCCAAATCGGGTTCCGCTTGCTCAGGTCGTCGAGGATTGCGTGAGACGGTGGTTTCAGGATACTCTCAAGGAGGCTAAATCCGGCGATGTTGGTATGCAGGTCTTGGTCGGCCAGATGTATTGCAGCGGCTATGGTATCCCCAAAGACGAACACAAGGTTTCCTTTTTTTCTCGAATTCTTCCGAATTAGCTTTTTTTTTTTTGTTGGGCAATCCTCGGCTTCGTTCTTGGTTGCGAACTTTGTCTACTGGAGTTGATAGAGGGATCTGATTTCTTGTCTCCAAATGTACATTGTATGCATCGAATTTGGGTTTTGGTTTGTTTTGCTATCACTACAAGATGTTTGTTCTCTTCGTGATTGGTAGCTAATTGGTCTACTAGAGTTTAACTAATGGTCTGGATTTTAAGAAAGTTCGTGTTTTGCTAATTTGGAATCCTATTTGTGTTTTTTAATTGTGATCCGTGAAGGGTCGTGCTTGGATTAACAAAGCTTCAAGGTCTCGATCATCAGCTTGGCAAGTGAGTGACAAGCCTCCAGGTAACAAAATAAATATACTTGTTTGCATCTCTAATTTAGTTAGTGAAATCTTCAGTAATGTTAAGATTATCATCAATCTTCAGTATTTGTTCACTTGTACTTTGTTTGGGTGTCTTTTTATTCAGGTTATAATGCAAGCGATTCAGATTCCAATGATAAGAAAGATTGACGACCATTTGAATGTTTGTAATCCGGGAATTGCCAGTGACTTGGATTTGTTAGTTTCTCTTCCCCTTTGGTTTAATCTTCTTGCTGTATTCATATTTGAACCGTTGGTGTCATTTCAATGGTAAAAAAAAGGGCTAAGTCTATGATCTTTGTCAATGTTATTACCACGCAATGAAGTTATTTAACTGTGGCAAAACTATCTGCACTATCTATAGGTTTTGCCAGTCATTCTCTAGTTCTTTGTCCCCAAAAGTAGAATGAAAATTAATTAGACCACCTGACATTTTTAATGTCCGATTGATGTATGGGTTTAAATGGAATCGAAAGCTGGCATCTCTGTGTAGGAATGGATTCTGTTCAGGGATAACACTGAATTTAAGATTCCAAGATTCACGTTAGATTGATTCTATAAAAAAAAGAAAAACATAGATTTGGAATACGTCCCTTAGTTTTACCATGCTGTTCGTTTTCCTTAATTTATGATATCATCTTGGCCAGAGTTACTTTTTCTCTTCTCATCTGCCTTTGATCGAACTCATGAGGTGGAGGCGTAAAGAAATAGCTATCCAACCAAATGAGCTCCACGATCAGGCCTTGGACAGAGTTACTTAGTTTTGATGTTTCCCATTATTCCATTACCGGCTGTTCAAGTATTCATATGATATATTTATCATCACCATTGTAAGCAAAAATATGAATTCACATGACCAGACCACCTTTTTTTACTTGCAAATTTACGAACCGGACTGCCTTTATCTCGTGGTAGCAAACTGGTTTGATCAATAATCTGAATGGAAACAAAAGAAAAATTAAAAAATGGACGGATCTAAATTCTAATTCGATTCAAAATTCACAAAAACTTGAACCGAATGTAACCAAAATAGCCAATAGTACAAGCTACGTGACACAGATGGTTTAAATACTGTCTTCTTTTAGCCTTTAGCAAAAAAGAGATTGAAAAGGTGAATGAGAATATATTAGAACGAACGGTTGTAGAAAAATGAAAGAAAAATAAAGACTTTAGTAGCCTCTTTTACCAAACGCGGCAATCAAAAACAATTTTCTATGCGAGTGGAGGCCAGTAAGGCCTTTCTAATTAACAAACTCTCCATCCTTTACGCAAAGAATCCCATTCTTTCTATCTTCTTCTTCTCGCTTTTTGTCGTTTTATGACGTAAAATTATATATATTTATATGTTGTTGATCCTTCTTCTAGTTTCTCCACAACAAAACCTTCCTTTTCATTTTTTTTACGTACATACTCTCTGTTTCTCTGCACGAAAAAGCGAGTTACAGAGTAACTGAGCGACACGAACTAGTTTTTATCCCCCAACAAGAGTTTGCGTCATGGCTAATGTAAGTGAGATCTTCTGCACCGGTTTGCTCTGTTTCATTAAGCTTTTCAAATTGAGTATGAAAATAAATAAAAACCATAACTTCCTAATGTTGTTGCAACTAAAGTGTTCTTGTTCAAGATTTATGTTTGATGCAATTCACTTAAAAACACCGGTTATAAAATAAACACATGTGATATAATTATAGGAAGTAATTTTTCGACTGTATTGAAAATTAAAAATAACCAAATTGATGGAAGATTCTCGATCGACAGATTGTGGAGCTGAAAGTGAATTTGCATTGCGATGAGTGCATCAGGAAAATACTGAAAGCCATTAAGAAAATAGAAGGTAACAATCGTATAATCTTCCATTGATATTAATATATATATGTAAATACATTGTAATACTGTGGATTATGGATAATGACTCATGAAATAATAATGCGTAATGAAAATTACAGATATAGAGACATACGATGTGGACACACAGCTCAACAAAGTGACAGTCACTGGGAATGTAACAGAGGAACAAGTCATTAGGGTTCTTCAAAAGGTGAGGAAAACTGCTGTAAAATGGGACCAAGACAATCAGACCCTCTATCTGAACTAGAGTCTTTATGGCTTTTCTCAAGTATGTAGTATTATTAGTCTGTTCCCTAGGAAGTTAGTTAGGATTATATGTATCATATGTTTGCTCAATTTTGGCCATACAAGGGTTTTCTGTTGTAGAATGCCTGATAATTAAATACAAAACGGTAGATAAAAAAAAAAAAAAAAACGCTATGTCGCTGTTGTATGCATGCCTTATAATAAAAACTCTAAATCGTCCTTCAGCATTTGCATTCGAAATAGTCAATACTGCATAGATATTCAAATATTCACGGTGTTGTTATTCATGAAATATAAAAAGGTTATTCAACAAAACTGCAAAGGAAGCAACTTTTCCGCTTCTATTTCAGAGTGTTTTAAGAACAAACAGTCCTCTTGACCACATTTTGGTGAATGAAAGATGAGGAAAGAATTGGGATGTTTTATAATCAGAAAATGTCCATGCTCAAAACCTGTGCTCCAGCTTCTCTTGTTCTTGGTAGTATTGAGCATACCTGCGTTCATTTGCAACAACAAAAAGATAGCTTTAAGACATGAGCATTGGAAACAAGAACAATGATTTAAGTGTGTAAGCCATGAATGTCAACATTAAAATATGCACACTAACAAGCGAAGTTAATTCTGATTTTCTGAAGAAGACGTTGGCTAATGTTTATGAGAGATATAATCACGAAAGATAAAGTTACTTTTGCAATTCACTTTGAAGCAATATCTGAATTTCATGTAACTTTTTTCACATAAAACAAATCTGTAATTATCTCAACACATATATCATCGACAAAACAACACACTACTAACTCAACGATCTGTTTAACAATCAGAAGAATCAGAACGCAGAAGAAACAACAAATTTTGAATTATTGAACCTATGGAGTACTTGCTTTAGTGAACCGTATGCTGTTGTCAAGCTAGCTACTTGTATCAAATGCATCTTCGACTCCTACAGTATTTGTTCAATGTCACCACTGGAAAGGAAGCTAAAAGCATCTAATTCGACATCAATCCATTCGAATTCGGCATTAAAACCATTTGTGCTGCCATGTCCGATAAACCACAACCTAATCAAAACTACCATATCGTCCGACAATCCCGATTGAAGAGCATCAGAATCACCAGACGATCGATCCATCGATTCATCCACTAATTGATAAGGAGAGGGGAAAAAAAAGAGATAGCTTACGAATAGGTTCCGACGACGGGAGCGAGGAGGAGAATAGTGCTGATCCAATTCTCAGAGACCTTGTGGTGGATCTTCTCCGGCAGATCCTTCCAGAGGCCAGTCATGATCTTCTGCTGAAACGGCGATAACGCGTAAACTACCGCCTTCAATTTCACCGGCTGCTTCCCCATTTTCGTCTTCTTCCTAGACAAATCTCCTCCTATTACAACAATGAACAAAAAAGGCAACCTTTCAACCTTCCTAGACAAATCTCCTTCCTAGACGGGAGCTAAAGTATTGTTGGGTAAATCTTAAATCAAATTATAATTCTGTTTTCTCAAGCCCACGTAAACTCATTGGATAGCACCGTTGTATTATGCAATTAATCAGGCCCATTAAGTATCTATCTAAAGTAATTCAGAATGGTCGTTGGTTTTGGCAAACCAGGACGTTTTGAAGTTTAACCATTAGCAATCTAGCATCTAGCATCTAGCATCGGTCATCTTTGTCAAACAATTATGAGGAAATTACAAAATTACCTTAGTTTTATCATCTAAACATAACCTGTTTCCTCCAAATTCCTCGACTGTTTTCCTTTTTTTCTTCATTTTTTTCATTTTTTTTTCATGTTTCAGATTCCTCGAAGTACTCTATTGGTTTTTTAAATTATTTACACATAAATTTAGATTATTTATTTAGAGTTGTATCTAATGATATAGAAAATTCATAGACAATATTAAAACAAAAGAATGTTAATTCATACAAAATTAATAATATCATCGTTCTAATTTAGTACAAAACTAATAATAACAAATACTGCTTTTAGTGGATGAACTCGCTGCAACAGTACTTGGTTTGATTTTTTCCAATGCAATACTGAACTCCATCGAAAGAGTTGCTGTCTCAAAATTCGCATGTTGCTCCAAAAAAAGATGTCTCTTTTGCTAGCTTCGAGTGCTTTAAATACAACTTCAAATCCAACTTCAAATCCGGTGAGCTCAATGATTTTGTTGGTCGTGTGCTAAACTGTTTCCATCCTAACTAGTTCACAGTAGCTACACACTCAACAGTTCCTAAGAATGGAGATGAAGCAGAACTGCAGTTTGTGCTAGACTCTTATGCGTGTAAGGAGAAAATAGTAAGACAACTTGGATTAACAGGATCCATAATTTTATAAACATTTTATATTATTGATTTGAATAACAATGTTTTCGTTTGCTTGCTCATTACAAACTATATTAGTTATATTTTTTCAGTTTACATGTTCAGATACTCTAACGACATTGTTTTCATTTGCTTGCTTATTACAAACTATATTAGCTATATTTTTTCTTCAAAATTTCATTTCCAAATGTATAGCAATTTGGTTTGATGATTGTGTTAATGAGAAGTTTATATGATGATTGTGTTAATGAGAAGTCTGATAGTCAAACATGCTGTGGATATTGCTAAACACTAGGGAGTTCACTACTGCATATCACTTCTCTAATGATCCGTTCTAGTTTTTAAAAAATATTTTTTAACAGACGTGAAATCGAAGAAGCTGACGTAATTGTATCAGTTTTATTTTCGAGGAATTCCGTTTGTAAGTTATGCATTATGCAATAGTCTCACATGCAATTCTGTTTGGCGCTTAACTATCCCAACGGTTGAACCGCAAGGAACTCCAAACTCGGTTTAATGCAAATAAACCGGAAAGTCTGACTAAAGCAACTAAAGTAAACGCATGTTTGGCCTTGTCTTGTGGGGCTTGTTAATAAAAATATCGCTTCATTCCACGTGGACGGTGGAGATGCTGCGTTGCAGAGTGCGGTCTTTCCTGTGGGTGTTTACATCAGATCATTACGTTAACACACGGAAACGGACCGGTTGCTTCAGAAGAGACCGATCAATCACCGTAAATCAAACGCGTCTTCGACCCACGCGCCTTCTTCGTTCCCTATTTCTCCACGCGCAGCCGTGTTGATGGCTAACCCGCCAACGTTACCGATCTCAGATCAATCTGGCGGTTCCCAATCTCAGCAAACCCTCGGTACACCGGCGTTTCGCACTTTCCTCTCGCGCCTCTCGGCATCGATCCGCCAAAGCCTTTCGCAGCGACGGCCGTGGCTAGAGCTCGTAGATCGGAGCGCGATTTCGCGGCCGGATTCTCTCACCGACGCGTATTCTCGGATTCGGAGGAATCTCTCTTACTTCAAAGTAAATTACGTGACGATCGTCTCTCTGGTGCTCGCGCTCTCGCTCCTCTCGCATCCTTTCTCCCTCCTCGTTCTCTTATGCCTCTTCGGCGCGTGGATCTTCCTCTACCTTTTCCGTCAGTCCGATCAGCCGCTGGTAATTCTCGGCCGTCCGTTCTCAGATCGCGAGACGCTTGGAGTTTTGGTACTCTTGACAATCGTCGTCGTCTTCTTAACCAGCGTCGGATCTCTATTGACATCCGCGTTGATGATCGGTTTCGGAGTCGTATGCTTACACGGCGCCTTTAGAGTGCCGGAGGATCTCTTCTTGGACGAACAGGAACCTGCGAACACCGGATTATTGTCTTTCCTCAGCGGAGCCGCTACATCCGCCGCAGTTGCCGCCGCCTCAGCTCCTGTGTCGGCTCGTGTTTGATCATGTGACAAACACAAACCAATTTGCTTCTGAAGCATTCTTCTCTATAGACACAAACTGATCAATCTCTATGATCGTTTATTTTGTCCTTTTCTAAGAATTAATTGAGGGGAATTAATGTAGATTTGAGCTTGTTGGTTTTAATTCCAGGAATCAAGATTCTGATTTTGTTACCTCCATTGTAGAGCATGATTAATTCAGTCAGCAATCTATCGCATTACTCCTATTTGCTAATTTTCTTGTGACATCGATTAGGCTTTCAATGGCGTTAGCCGTGCAAGAAGATGATCGATTCTCGATTACTATTAGGTTTGAGACTTGTGTTTGGGATCCAAACACTATCAGAGTTGACTTGTGTTTGTCTTAACAAACCTTGCTTTCACCATAACCAAAAACCATGTGAAGCATAATTAATTGATTAGGTCGAAGATATTTTATATACTTTTTTTCCATGCATAGTTTATTACAAGAATATTCGTGTTGTAAACTTGTAATGTTGATCAATTGATTCGGAAGTTAACGTCAGGATTTACCTCAACTTTGTTCGGTAAACGAGGCTCGTTATTTAATCCGGGAAGTGTTGGTAACTTAAAGAGAAGTCTTCGTTAGAATGTTTTTTCCTCAGAGATTTGATTGTAAGTGCCCGACCAAAAAAGTCTCTGTCACACCAGCTATATATTTTCGCTAATTTCGTGTGAAGACTTTGTTTTTGCTGTGGAAATTGACAAATATGAGATAATAACGAGACCAAGGGATAACGTAGCATTGAAGTTTATCGTGATTTGACCCCAAAAAGAAAGAACTTTATCGTGAATGTTGGTTAAAATGCATGATGAAAGATTTAAATTACTCCAAGGGAAAATGTCACTTCCTTATTAGCAGTTAGTTACTTGCATATTCTATACCTATGTATGTTTGTTAATATACAAACAAAAGAAATAATGAGATTATTAGACTAATATGACCCCTTCATCAGTATACATCTGAATATGGGATTTGAGTTCAAACTTCAATTTTAAAGAGAAGATTCTGCATTTTCATTTCTACTTTAGATGTTGTTCCTACTCCAGTATGAGATCCGAGTTTTGATTCGGTGTTCTTATTAAAAATCTTAACTCGATAACATAAAAAAAAAAAAGAAGCATGTATTTATGCTAATACGTATTACATATATTGTAAATAATCATTTTCCTAGTAAAGAATGAGACGTTGTTAATCATTTTGAGATTCGTCTAACACGAAGACAACAAGTATCTATCCCATGTTGGAGTTCGGACTGCCCATGAAGGTATAACTAAATAACTAATCTTATTGTATAATAAAAAAAATTAATATATATCTCACGTTGCTATTTGGTTACCAAAGACTTTTTATTAATGAGGTGATGATGATTAAAAATCGTTTTATTTGCTAAGACAGAGAAACTTGGAAATGAATGAAGAAGCTTGAGACACAAGCACACTAGACGTGATATGAAAGGACTTGAGTTCAACTCTACTAAACTTTGTTGAAGTTATGCTAAGTGTTGGGTGGAACTACTCCCCTCAACTAAGTCTTTTATCCCTTTCAATGTCTCAGGTTCTCCTCAATTTCGGAAAGGGCAAACAAAAATGTTAAAACAGTTTGTCAAGTATAAAAACCTATATGGCGTGGAATATCAAGTTTACAAAGCATGATTATGCCATATAAAACGGAGTTTTTTTTTAATAAAAATTTAAACTGTTTCCATAATTTAAAGTTTTCTTTTTAATGTCGACGTTTCTATCAACTAAAACAAACTTCAGGAATACTATTAGCTAGTATCATTTATTTCTAACATCTGGAGATTTATTTGGTACTCGAATTATCTTGATGTGTTAGGTGTTTAATCTAATCCTATGTCCACTAACATATTTTGTCTAAATACACTTTTGAGGTTGATTAAAAATTTTAAACCATGACTTTCGATGAAAAGTGTGAAAGGAAGCAAAAACAAACATAGCCAACGAACTGATAAAGACACTAAAATATGTTGGTGACCGGTAATTTTAATTTTCTTTTGAATAATTAGAACCTAATTCTTCCAAACTCCACATAAATTGATAATAACTCGAATGTAATTTCACTATAAAAGGGATCTTTCCCTCTTTCAAAATCACTCAAACCCTCCTCTCATATCTCTCAAAACCTTAATCACACAAAAATTTACACGATGACCACCGTTCACACATTCTCTTTCTTTATGTTCTATTTTTTCCTTTTCTCGGCTTCAACGATTATCGCCAAAGTTCAGCATCATAACTTCGTTGTACGTAAAATAAAAATTTAAAAATGCATGTTCATATTGATTATCAACAAATTATCATTATTTTATTTGTCTCTATATATGTGTGTGCCATCATTTAGATACAAGAGACGCCGGTGAAGAGGCTGTGCAAGACCCGTAACGCCATCACCGTCAACGGAATGTTTCCGGGGCCCACACTCGAAGTCAACAACGGCGACACTCTTGAAGTCAAAGTCCTTAACCGTGCCCGTTACAATATCACCATCCATTGGTACATTATAGACTTAACACTACATATAAATTATATTTTGAGAGAATTATTGTAGTTCACAAAAAGAGAAATTTTATTAGATTCCAATATACCACAAATTTTTCTGACAATTGCACTACATAACACTTTTTTTTTCAACGTAAGAAGGAAATTTAATATTCTTTTGTCACGATACACCAAATCATTAAGTTTGTTTTTATATATGATAAAAATGAAAAAAAAAAAAACAACAGGCATGGAGTAAGGCAGATGAGAACTGGATGGGCTGATGGGCCTGAATTCGTGACCCAATGTCCGATCCGACCCGGAAAGAGCTACACGTACCGTTTTACTATCCAAGGCCAAGAAGGGACACTGTGGTGGCACGCTCACAGCTCCTGGCTCCGAGCCACCGTCTACGGTGCACTCATCATCCAGCCAACCCCTGGTTCCTCTTTTCCTTTTCCTAAACCAGATCACCAAACCGCCCTCATGCTTGGTATACACTATACCATACCGGATTTTTTCCTCACTTGATCTATAAATTTTGAATCTAATCGACCATCAAAGGAATTAATTATTCGAGAATTTTATTAGCAATTTTTTTTTGTCTAATCAGGGGAATGGTGGAATGCTAATCCGGTTGATGTAATTAACCAAGCGACTCAAACCGGAGCTGCTCCGAATATATCTGATGCTTATACAATCAATGGACAACCTGGTGACCTCTATAATTGCTCAACCAACGGTGAAAAAAAAACACTATATGATATATCTTAATTAAGTTATTTTAATTTTTTAAAAATACATTAAACTTTTAAAAATGCAGAGACTGTTGTAGTACCGATAAATTCAGGAGAAACAAGTCTCCTACGAGTGATCAACGCAGCTTTAAACCAACCGCTATTTTTCACGGTGGCAAACCACAAGCTAACCGTGGTTGGAGCAGACGCGTCCTACCTCAAACCATTCACCACAACGGTCCTTATGTTAGGTCCGGGCCAAACCACCGACGTACTTCTAACTGCCGACCAACCACCAAAACGCTATTACATAGCAGCGAGAGCTTATCAAAGCGCCCAAAACGCACCGTTTGATAACACCACAACAACAGCCATTCTCCAATACAACAAAACGACAACAACTTCTCCACCAATCGTGCCGTTTTTGCCTGCCTTCAACGACACGAACACCGTGACGTCCTTCTCCAGAAAATTCAAATCTCTCCGTAACGTCGTCGTACCGAAAACAATCGACGATAATTTGGTCTTCACCATCGGTTTAGGTCTCGATAATTGTCCCAAGAACTTCCCCAAAAACAGGTGCCAAGGCTTAAACGGAACCCGGTTTACTGCTTCAATGAACAACGTTTCGTTTGTCCTACCGTCGAATTTCTCGCTCTTGCAAGCACACTCCAACGGAATTCCCGGCGTTTTCACGACGGATTTCCCGGCCAAACCGCCGGTTAAATTTGATTATACCGGAAATAACATTAGTCGGGCTCTGTTTCAGCCGGTTAAGGGTACTAAACTGTATAAACTCAAGTATGGATCGAGAGTTCAAGTTGTTTTACAGGACACGAGCATTGTTACATCGGAAAATCATCCGATTCACCTTCACGGTTACGACTTCTACATTGTCGCTGAAGGGTTTGGTAACTTTAATCCCAAGAAAGATACTTCTAAGTTTAACCTAGTTGATCCTCCACTTAGAAACACCGTGGCTGTTCCTGTTAATGGATGGGCAGTTATCAGATTCGTGGCGGATAATCCAGGTGATTAACAGAGTTAATTAAGATCCATTATTGAACATTTGAGCTGAGAATAATAAGTAATGTTTGTTTTTTTTGGGTGATGAAACAGGAGTGTGGTTGATGCATTGTCACTTAGATGTTCATATCAAGTGGGGTCTAGCTATGGCGTTTTTGGTCGATAATGGTGTGGGAACATTGGAGACTCTTGAAGCTCCTCCTCTTGATTTACCTGTTTGCTAGTTTCAGCATCATGATCATTATCAACTTACCATTTATTGAAATATTATAGATCCAGAAAAAAGAAAGGAAGATTCCTTTATAGAAGATCATATTCAGATATTGGTATTGTATTGGATTAAATGTATTCGTGGAAGATAAATCTCATAATCCGTTTGCGTAGATAATGTATGAGTTCAATGTCGATCATAATGATTGTTGGCGTTTTAAGGAAACGCAAAATTAAGGAAATAATATTGATTTTGAGCACAAGGTGAATCAAGATATCATTTTCACAGCTTAGTGATCCGAACATCATTTCATATTAATGGGCCATTTCATAGACCTAATAGCTCAGCTAAGATGCATAATGTGCAACGAAAAAAATGGGGTTAAAAAAATGAGCTTGAAAATACATGATGATTGAAAAGGCCCATGGGCTTAAAGTGCGTAGGCAATTGCGTAGGCTAACATCAGCAATGGCGTTAAGAGACAGCGTAGCCTATGAAGTGGTTACGGTAACAAAGGGACACACGACGCACATGCAAAGGCCAAGGATGCTACTCCTTACATCTTGCAACCATATTATTTATTAATAGTGACCCTTATTAAATATATATGATTATGGACCCTCCTGCTCTCGTCGAAATTAAGCCACCCAAGTTTGAGCTTCACCCATTGACACGTCTATCGTTAAATATTATTTAATGATTTTTCCTTTTTGCCAATAGTCTTTCTTTTTTTGCCAATAGTCTTTCTTTTTTTGCCGGTAATATTGAATGTTTAGTGACTTTTTTCAACGGACACTGCGATATAACAAAATCAGCACTTTTTTATATAAAAAAAGTTATTTTCTTGATAGCCGCTATTTTTTCTTTCTAAAAACACTGTCTATGTAGATTGGAACGTAACTGCCGTTGATTCCTTTTAAAGTTAACAATAATCTTTTGCCATTAAGAAAACGATTTAAAATGTAGTAGTAATTTTGAAGTATTGTAAAAGAATGTACCATATGCCATAAACACTTGAAAAAATCGGAGTATTATGCATATTCAATTACTAATCTAATATCTAGAAATCAATGTTATACGTATTATGCACCGATAGTATCAAAAATTTATATTTTGAAAGTGTCAGAAACCGAGAATTGTCGAGAAAGAACAGCAGGAGGCACGTAACGAGGTATACGACAATGAGCTGTCGTCACTTAAAAGAAAAAAAAAAGAGACATTTTAAAAAAATTATTATTAAAAGGATGCAGTTTTAATGATCTTATCTATAACCCTTTATAAAAAGGTTTAAATATTTTACTTTTCCGTATCAACAGCGTGTTTGTGCTGGTTCGAGAAGATTCGGGACACTGGGCAACTGGGAAGACGTCTAAGCCCAAACGTCCGAATCAGATAATGACACGTTACTTCTATTTAGCGCAGATAAATATAATAATATCAGAAATATCCAGAGAAGGCTATAAATATCTCTCGACCTTTCTCCTCAATAGATATTTTGCTCAAGCTGTCTGACAAATCGAGAAGAGACATAATCAGTAGCGAAAACGCGAAAAAGATCAATTCAAGGAAGAAAAATACGCGCAAGTCCATTTAACGAGAAGATACAACTGACAGTCGAACAAGAAGGCGATTACAGAAAGAGATTTGATTTCAATCGGAGCTTCGGGTTTTGAGTTGTCGTCCCCAAGAGGTATGTTCATTTCTGGGCTCTTGACAAATTGATGATCGATTTCTCTCATTTCTTTTTGATTTGGTCTCGAAAAGGGATAGTCTTGATTGGTGATTGTCTTCGATTTTGCCTCTAGGCTTCGCTGTGAAATTTAGATGTTCTCAATTTAGGATTTCAGTTCCTCAATTTTACTACTGAGATGTTCTAAGTAAATTGGTATGAAATCATATAGATCGAGAATCAGATTATGATTTTAGTCGACGAAACTGAAAAACTTAGTTCAAATTGATTCATACATACAAACCAGTTGTAACTTGTCTGTCTATGTCACAGATTCGTTGATATTGTCTCTCTCTCTTACGGTTGGAATCGTGTTCTGATATTAAAGTGTTGTGTTCATTGTAGATTGTGTTGTTTCTGGTGAGAAGATGGCAGTTTATGATCACAGCGGAGACATCAATAGAACTCAACTCGATACATCGAGGAAAAGGAAGTCTAGAAGTAGACGCGATGGTACTACCGTAGCTGAGAGGCTTAAGATATGGAAAGAGTACAACGATACTGTAGAAGCAGCTTCTACCAAGAAACGGAAAGTACCTGCAAAAGGGTCGAAGAAAGGTTGTATGAAAGGCAAAGGAGGACCAGATAATGGTAGATGTAGTTTCAGAGGAGTTAGGCAGAGGATTTGGGGTAAATGGGTCGCTGAGATTAGAGAGCCAAATCGAGGCAGTAGGCTTTGGCTTGGCACTTTCCCGACCGCTGAAGAAGCTGCCTCTGCTTATGACGAGGCGGCTAAAGCCATGTACGGTCCATCGGCCCGTCTTAACTTCCCTGAGTCCACTGTGTCTGATGTCACGAGTACATCGAGTCAGTCTGAGGTGTGCACGATTGAGCCATCTGGGGATGTTCATGTGAAAACAGAGGACGCAGATTGCGAATCCAAACCATTCTTCAGTGATGCATGGACGATGCATCATATGGAGGAGAATGGTGCCTGTGGTGGTGTAGAAGAGATAATGAAGGACGTTAAAGCAGATGCCAACGTTGGTGTTACCGATAAAGATTGGTTGAGTGAGTATGAACATAAGTATTGGAGTGCGGTTCTGAAGGAGAGAGAGAAGCACAAGGAGCAAGCCGTTGCAGACACATGCCAGCAGCAACCGCTGGATTCGCTCTCTGTTTCAGATTACGGTTGGCCTGACGATCTGGCTCAGGGTCACTGGGACTCTTCAGAGATGTTTGATGTTGCTGAGCTTCTAGGGGACTTAAATGGCGACATTTTTACAGGCTTGAACCCGGGGAACAATGTTGTCAGCGGATTATGTGAACTCGAGAAGCAGCAAATTGGACTGCAAGGGCTTAACTCTGATTATGGATTGCCACCGCTTCAGCTCGAGGCACAAGACGGTAATGAGTTATTCGATCTGAGTTTCTTGGATATGGCCAAGTGAGACAACAAAGGATGCAGTTGGATATTTTTAACCTTTGTTTTTTGCCTGAATAATCCGATCAAAGACTGTTGAGAGACTCTATTGAAGTTTTAGTGGTATAGAGTACCTCATAAGACTGATGATCCCTTTTAAAAAAAAAGATATATATAGAAGTGAAATGTATTGAGTATCATATAATAACAGAGAAAATTGAACTGTATTTATCGAGAGAGTGATATGATAACAGAGAACATGCGTCTCTTTAGTTCTGTTATAGTCTTTCCTGTGATGCAACAACAAGAAGAACACATTATTGTTCACAAGTGGAGCTTTATGGGCTTCAGTGTATTTGTCAAATTGTCAATGGACCATTATGGGCCTATATTTATGACTTTAACATGATGGAGCTTCGTGATGCTCTTCCGTTCTCTCTCGAAATTTTTTTTTTTTTGGGTGTAAATGTTAATTTTCTCTTTCGAAAAGTTTTCATTAATATGTATGATGAAAGACAATACACAGATACCTTTTTTCTTTTTTTTTTTGACACACAATACAGAGACACCTAACTCACCGAAGAAGCAACGATCCATGAATATAAAATTTATTTGTATACACTTGCGTTATGACAACAACAAGTATAGTACTGTACTGTGTTAGCTTGGCTTTGTCATGATCGTAAGAAGAGATCAAATTTATATCAAGTTGTGGTTAAAGTTGTCAAATTCGGTGTTCTTGAATTGGGTTGGGTTGATATTTTCCTCCTCGCCTAATGCATACGTTACCAATTAATTGATATACTATGGTAGTTGATCATAATGCACATATCAGAGAGCCGTCTCTGACCACAGACTAATGAAGCATGTATTTTAGGGCCAGAAGAGTTAAATATTTTTTTAGGGCCAATTTTCCAGAATTTGAGTTAGTCCAAATGATTTGTGAATAGATGAAATTTGGTTAGAGGTTTCTTGGATTAGATTCTTTCCAAGTACATATCTGTCATTTTTTCTTATTTTTATCAATTATTTATGGGCTAAACTGCATTAAAAAAAAATTTAAGAGACTAATTTTTTTTTCTCGCTTGTAATTAAAGAAATCTCAGACACGGCTCTGTGCACACTTTATCACTCTTTCGAAAATATATATTAGACAATTATTTACCTAAATTAAGTTTTTTTTTTTTCGACTACCTAAATTAAGTTTTCTATAAGTTTTGGAAAGGGAAAATTTATAAGATTTTGGCGTATCTCCTGATCAAACTTTTGCTACGAACACATCAACTCAAAAAGCCTATCAAGTTGTGTAGTTTTATTTTTAGATATCACCAAGTTGTGTGGGTTTATAAGGTGACTTGTTGTTATTCTTATCCAAAAACAAACAAAATTATGCTACTAAAATTTATTGAACGAACTGACAAAAGCACAGATTATAATAGATTGGGTTAATCCACTTCTTACATGTCTTATTTAGTTATTATATAAATGATCAAAAATCAGTAACAAATTAAATTGTTTTGTGATTCGTTAAAAGTTAAAATTATCCCAAACTTGCCTTTAGAGGTATATTGATGTATTTAAGTCGGCTCACATATATTTGTGTGTATTCTTTTTTTTTTTTTTGTCGTCTATATTTGTGTGTATTCATATGTTGTGGATATGCTTATATGCTTAAAATTTATATGGATAAATAGTTGCATTTAAAAAGACGTTTGTTAATGTTTTGAAGAAGAAAAAAAGAATGCGTCTCCCATTTAAAGAGCAAAAGAGTAAAAGAATACAGCCAAAAGGGCCAGTGAAGTTTGTTGTAGTTATTATCTGAGACAACTTCTTTTCAAAATTTCAAAGGATAAAAAGAGAGGGAACTATTTTACTTTGTAACCAAAAATTATGTTAAAAAACACCAAAGAGCTTCGTCTTCTCCTTAGAGAGAGCTTCCTACCCCGCAATAATCATAGCTTTTCGTATCTATAAATTAGATGGATCCATATACATTATTACTTAATTAGTTGTAAATATTCACATAATAAATTTTCGCCGGTTAGGAAAAATGGTAAATGCATGTCTTACAATTTATGAAACTTGATGTAGTGTAACATTACCCAAGTCGTCATTATAATTCGAAATTTATTTAGAAACAATATACACACATAGACAAAGTCGCGATGCAACAACCTTTGTACTATATGAGAATATTATATTTAAATGGCAACAAGAATTAATAAAAGAAATGGAGAAAAAAAAGGAAAGGATAATCTTCCACCTAATAAACTAAGTCCAAAGAAGTTTGCAAGTGGCAACATCCACTTGCATCGTCCGGCGTAAGCTCTTTGATAAGGTCTCACCTTCCTATTTTCCTCCCAACTTTCTCTCTCCATACTTATATATATCGATCGCATTTATATATACCACATATACATACAACATTCTTATACATACATAAATGCCAAACCCATCAACATCTGTGCATGCACGTGTGCTCATGCATGTATGTAGTTTTAAGTTACCCATATGGTCATGGCTATGATGAATCTGTGATTAATAATCAATTAATGACACCACATTTTCACATGCGCGTTACTCCTTCTGAAAGTTAATTATACGGTAGAAGAACCAAATGCTATTTCAAATCGCGATTTCTATTTCAAAATATATTAATTAAGATGCTAGTAAAAATCCTATTTTTTTCAAGGAAATCAACTTTTTCTCTATTCTAGTTACATATATATAGAATTTATATTATATTACATTGTAAAATTCTGTCACATGGTTTTATCATCTTAATTGTTCGCTATGTGAACTGAGATACTGTTGCATGTTATTTCTTATAACTTCTATACTTTTACAGTTGATGTTACTCAATAAAACATGTATATCATAAGTGTATTTTAATTATAACAGTGAAATATGTTAACTATAAGTAACGATATATATTAAAAAATGATAATTGGCATTCACTTTTGCCAGAAATAATTTATTTACTGGAATCATATCTCTAGTTAGACCTTGAAGATTCTAGAATGTAAATTATGTAGAAAATTTTGGTGGTATTTTATAGAAAATGAAGGAAGCGGTCTTAAGGAAAAAAATTATGGTAGATAAGATGGTACAATGTATCCATATGGTCACATATACAAACACAACTGCGTCTATATACACATACACAAAGCCTTCACATCCCCAGCTATCTCTATCTCTCTATCTACAAATATATTTATACCAAATATAAAAAAAAACACACAATAGGTTCATATCTTATTATTTAAAAGATGATCATCCTTTTCTTAATTCCTCAAACAAAACCAACTTGACAACCGACAGCGAACAAGATCAAAAAAGCTCTCTCCTTTGCTCATCAACCAAATATATACAAATCCATTAGTTTCTCATCTGAAATCAGAGATTCCACTTAGAGAGAGAGAGAGAGAGAGAGAGAGAGAGAAGAAAGAAGAAGAAGAAAAAAAGGAGAGAGAGATCAAGAGATAAGAGAAAATTAAAGAGATGAGATCACCGGTTCAGCTACAACACGGCTCGGACGCACCGAGCGGCTTCCACACGGTGCAGCCTCACGATGGTCTAATCCGACGTGTGTGTCTCACGCGCGGCATGCATGTCCCTGAGCACGTGGCGATGCACCACACGCACGACGTGGGTCCGGATCAGTGCTGCTCCTCGGTGGTGCAGATGATCCACGCGCCTCCCGAGTCCGTGTGGGCCCTCGTGCGCCGTTTCGATAACCCCAAGGTTTACAAGAACTTCATCAGGCAGTGCCGTATCGTCCAAGGCGACGGGCTCCACGTCGGCGATCTCCGGGAAGTCATGGTCGTCTCCGGACTCCCTGCGGTCTCGAGCACCGAGAGGCTCGAGATCTTGGACGAGGAGCGTCACGTGATTAGCTTTAGCGTCGTTGGTGGGGACCACCGGCTCAAGAACTATAGATCGGTGACGACACTGCACGCGTCGGACGATGAAGGGACCGTCGTGGTGGAGTCTTACATCGTCGATGTGCCGCCGGGAAATACGGAGGAGGAGACTCTTAGCTTCGTCGATACTATCGTCCGGTGCAATCTTCAGTCTCTAGCTAGAAGTACCACCAACCGGCAATAACCTCCTCTTTTTTTTTTTTTTTTTTTTTCTTCTTTAAACGCAAATTATGTATCTATTTTCTTCTTTCTTTCTTTCTTTTTTTATTTTCCGTTTGGTTGTTTCGATCGATCATCACAAGGTAAAAAATTTCCGAGTACTTTTTTATTTTCTTAATTAAATAGATATTTTGGTGTAGAATTCCATTGTGAGATTTATATATGTTGGGAATATCGAAATTGGAGGGTTGGTACATAAAAACATTTTGAGGTGAATCTGTTATATGAATTCATAATAATCCTTTGTTGATTTGTACGTGTTGTAAATCATTATCTGCGAACGGGTTTACTTTTTTTTTTGAACAAAAAGGAAAAATGATTCGTGTTTGCTTATAGTTTCTTTAACCATTTTTGTGACATGTAAATGAGTTCGTATATAGAACATAATTCGATACTATTTCTGTTGGTACTTGTGTCCAAAACAATTTTCTTACATAGAAAATATATTTCAAAGCTAATATCCTGAACTAGGAATCAACTAGATTCTAGAATGTAAAAGTGCCTTGTGTCTGTGTTATACATAGTCGAAACTTAAAACGATTAATAGTACAGATACAATTTACTCTGTCTCTAAAAAACTATGATTAATAGTACAGATACAATTTACTTCGTCTCTAAAAATGCTATGATTAATAGTACAGATAACTATTTACTCTGTTTCTAAAAAACTATATATTTCGAATTTCTAGATCCATTATATAAACTGTAATGTATGTAGCCGCGTTCAAAATTTTAGAGGCCAGGAACGAAATACAATAAAATTAATTTTCAAATTATTAACTTGATATTTATCCAATTGTCTCTCCATACACATATTCTTTATTCTAACAGTTTATATATTAAAGGTGTATGTGGTCTAATGTAGATGAACTGTATTTTTAAGATTGAAACAATCGTATATGAAGATTGTAGAGCAGGGAAGAGATTTTTTAAACCTGATCAGCATGTGCATTTATGTAAATTTATTTATTAGACCTAAAGCAAAAGCAGACGTGCTTAAACTATTACCAACTTGAGTTTCATTGGCTACTAGGTTAATCAAGTGGGGATTATCTTAATTTATTCCAGGTTTGTTTTGTTAGTTAATTAAAACCAACGAAGCTAGTGGTTTATATCATATTCAAAACTTAAGTTTTTGGTCTGCTCTTTTTTGGATTTGTTTTGTTTGTGGGTTATTTTAATTCGTTTGATTCAAAATTTGATTTAAGTAAGAAAGTCTAAAAGGACATGCAATTATAATTTAGCTGGAAACGCGTTGCAACTTGCTAGTTTTTCTGCACCTAGTGGGATATGATACAACGAACCCCTATGCCGGTCTTCTAGTTTTTTTATTTATTTTATTTATTATATATCCTTGACATCACTTTAATTTATTTTTATTTAAGTTTCCTTTGAAGAATACAACGAGAAAAACTAAAGTGATGTCAAAGATATATAGATTTCAGTTTTTTTTTTTAATAATTACCTTACAGTTTTCTTCTGCAAACACCCCAAATATTCCTTCTCTACAACCATTCAAATTACAAGAAACGTATAAATCGTCATAAAATCAACAACATAGAGGTACTACCTCAAACGCAATAGATATTGGAACATCGTCCATTTTCTTATAACCCAACATATCTTTATCAATCTTGGTGTTATATGATATATCACTAATTTGGAACAAATGATATATTTCAAGTGTTGAATGAAGTGGTAGTTAAGTGATGGGTAAACATTTTTAAGATTTATTTCAAGTGTGGAGAGATATGTACGTAGTTGGAAAAAATGGGCCGAGACCGAGAGAAACCGGACTAAAAACGACCGGATTGGTCACCGGTTCTGTATTTAATTACGGGCCTGCAAAATCCGATACGAAACCGAACCGAATCGAACAGTACGCGGCGTTTTGCTGTCTCTTATAAAAAAGGTCACTTCAAAGCTAAAAGCGGGAGTGAGCGACGAGAAGCAGCGGCGGCCGTCATGGATTCATCGCCGACCACTAACAAAGCTTTAACGGGGACGCGTTTCTCCGACCTCGAACCTCCGCTCTCCGAAGATATCATCGAGGTGCTTGAAAAGTCCGGTTTCGAGTTCTGCACTCCGGTTCAGGCCGCGACGATCCCTTTACTCTGCCGCCACAAGGATGTTGCCGTCGACGCTGCCACCGGTTCTGGAAAAACCCTAGCTTTCCTCCTCCCTCTCATAGAGATTCTCCGTCGATCCACCTCCTACCCTCCGAAGCCTCACCAGGTCAGAGAATTAGCAGAAAATGCCGATGAAAATTAGGATTTTTAAGCATTAAAATCTCGTCAATGGGAATTTTATTGGTTTAGGAATCCCTGTAAAAAATATGAATTTATGAACCTTTTAAAGATTTTTTTAGTGTTAGTGAAAATGTTTTGTTTGGCTGTTTTTATCCCGAAAGTAAAGGGTCTTTTATGTTAGAATTTCGATCCCTGGTTTTGTCATTGTGAGCTGCGTTTTACGTTTTAAGTTCGATGCGTATTATTGAGAATTAAATTACAGGTTATGGGGGTGATAATATCGCCAACAAGAGAGCTATCAACGCAGATATATAACGTGGCACAGCCGTTTGTTTCGACTTTGCCTAATGTGAACTCTGTGCTGCTTGTTGGAGGCCGAGAGGTGAAAGCTGACATGAAGACTATTGAAGAGGAAGGAGGCAATCTCTTGATTGGCACGCCTGGAAGGCTCTCTGATATAATGGAACGAATGGAGATTCTGGATTTCAGAAATCTTGAGGTAGTTTTCTTCTACCGGGACTATATTTCAAGAAGGATGTTTTTACTTTTTAATCTATATCTGGATTGGTTAAGAATTCTTGAGTTTGATAACCAGGTGTTTCTATTTTTTGCATATGTAGATTCTTGTCTTAGATGAGGCAGACAGGCTTTTGGAGATGGGATTCCAAAAGCAGGTGAATAGCATTATATCTCGCTTGCCAAAGCAACGGAGGACTGGCCTCTTTTCAGCTACACAAACAGAAGGCGTTGAAGAGCTGGCCAAGGCTGGGCTTAGGAATCCTGTGAGAGTTGAAGTTCGAGCTGAGTCGAAGTCGGAACCATCCCAGCAGTTAACAAACTCGAAAATACCTTCTGGTCTGCACCTTGAGGTATAATGTCATTGTCAGTATACATATTAATATATGCATATGTTTTGAAGTAGTAATTTTTCCTGTTGTATCCTGAATATCATTTATCATGATACTAAATACTAAATCTTATTTTTGAAGATTTTTCTACATTTTTCTACAACTTGTAAAAGTTCGGTAGTGAAATGATTCTCTTGTAGTTCGCTTGTGTGTGACGGTTGCAAGTTTCTGTATCACAATTCACATGCCTTGCATATGTGCAGAACAAGAGTTGTTGAAGAGGATAGTCTATCTTTGCATTCCCTACTTTATGCATTTCTTAGTGGTTTGTTTCTCCTTGTCACCTCAGTATTTGGAATGCGAAGCAGATAAGAAATCATCACAACTAGTAGATCTCCTCATCAAGAATGAAAATAAAAAGCTTATAGTGTAAGTTTAAAACATTCCACACAGACTCATAAATTTAAGCATCCTTATAGATAGTCTAAGTTTCTCTGCAGATACTTTATGACCTGTGCTTCCGTTGATTACTGGGGACTCGTACTTTCAAAAATTCCTGCCCTGAAGTCGATATCTTTAATCCCCATCCATGGGGATATGAAGCAGGTAAACTACCTTGATATTTTAATTCTCCGTATCATCTCACTGCCTGTTGTTATTAAAGGTTTTGACGAAATCTACTTAATACATCAGAATGCAAGAGACAAGGCATTAGCTTCGTTTACTGAAGCATCAAGCGGTGTCCTTTTGTGCACAGATGTCGCTGCACGTGGACTTGATATTCCAGGCATTGATTACGTAGTTCAGGTAGATTCAGTAATGTTTGTTTCCATCATTATGCCATCGTTGTTGCAAAATTTAGGATTTACAGGTTGAAATTTTTTTATGATCATGCAGTATGATCCCCCACAAGACCCAAATATGTTCAACCATAGGGTCGGCAGAACTGCAAGATTGGGAAGACAAGGGAGGGCCATTGTTTTTTTACTGCCCAAGGTTTGGCTTTGAGCAATTTATATGTTCCCTTGTGCATGATGTTCTCCATAGTTACACTGCAGAGCAAGAAAAGCTGAAAAAATTCCCTTGCATGTGTATAGGAAGAAGACTATGTAGAGTTTATGCGCAGAAGAGGGGTCTCTTGTCAAGAGAGAAAATGCTCTGAGGAAGCATCTGACGTCATCCCGATTGTAAGAAAACTTACATGCATCTCTCTTTCTCGGTCTCTGTTGGTCACAGTGTTTAGTTATTGCTACAATGTATTCAGATACGTTCACTAGCCATGAAGGACCGGGCAGTGTTGGAGAAGGGATTAAAGGCATTTGTTTCCTTTGTCCGTGCTTATAAGGAGCATCACTGCTCTTATATTTTCAGGTTCATGATGCTCAATGATTTTCTGTTGTTTCCAAATATTTTCTCGCTCTTTTAACTTTTTTAATTCAAAAGTTTCTATTTATTCCCTGCCTCTACAGATGGAAAGGCCTTGAAATCGGAAAGTTAGCAATGGGGTATGGCCTCTTGTATCTTCCTTCAATGTCTGAAGTTAAACAACACAGACTTTCCAGTGAGGGTTTCACACCCGTTGAAGGCGTCAAGTTTGAGGACATAAAATTCAAGTAGGTTTTTTCAACCAAAATTCCCTAAAACACTCATTACATTTATATGATCGTCTCTTTTCGCCATTTGGGTACTGTTTTTTGACTGTTTTGTTGCCTAGTAAATCCATCATCTCATAGTTTTACGTTGTGGCACCACAAAAACTAAAAAGTTGATACATTTGATAAAGTGAGTTTTTGTTATACAAATCTTTAGAGATACAACTAGAGGTTTAGATTTAGAGGAAACAAGTTTTCGTAGCCTGAAGTCTTTGTCCCTCTTTTGGTGTAGTGTTTTCATGAATCATATGTTCTCTGATGAGACGAAATGAGTAGCATTTCTCTAAATCCGAGTTGTTTTTGAATAAACGCAGGGACAAATCTCGGGAGAAACAAAGAAAGCAAAACTTACAAGCAAGGAAAGAGAAACGGCAAGAAGAGAAAAGAGAGAAAGGCAAGAAATTCTCGAAAAAGGCGGTTGATGCTTCCGCTACAACTGATTCGAACAAAGCGTCGAGAAAGTTAACAGGAAAACAGAGACAAACCATCCAAACAGCCGAAGATGAAGAAGAAATGGCTCGAGATTATCGGTTTCTGAAAAAGCTGAAGAAAGGGTCAATTAAAGAAGATGAATTTGCAAAACTTACAGGAGCTGATGATTTTTAATCTGATTAGAAGATACAATCCTTTTGAATTTTCGCAAAAACTTCTCTGTCTCTCTTTGTAATCTCTCTGATTCCCTTTCCTTTTTTTATCTTGTGATGTCCAAATCCAACGACGAAGCCATCTTAGTTCTACTTCCACTTTTCTACTCCAATCTCCTTCCCAATCAAAACCTTCAAGGCTTAATGTTCCTAGAAATTTTAATACAGAGCTTAAGAACCGTAACTTTTGTTTTCTTAAATATCACATAGCTGTTAGTTGAGCCGAGAGAGAGAAGACATCAATTTTATTATTGGGGTTTTCAAGAAACCGGACAAAAAACGACCGAACGGGTAACCGGTTCAGTATTTAATTTTGGGTCGGCAAAATCCAACACAAAACCAAACCGAATCGATCGATACGTTTCGTTTTCACACTCCATTATAAAAAGGTCACTTCAAAACTAAAAGCGGGAGTGAGTAACGAGAAGCGTGCGGCGGCCGTCATGGATTCATCGTCGAACATTAACAAAGCTTTAACGGAGACGCGTTTCTCCGACCTCGAACCTCCGCTCTCCGACGATATCATCGAGGTGCTTGAAAGGTCCGGTTTCGAGTTCTGCACTCCGGTTCAGGCCGCGACGATCCCTAAACTCTGCAGCCGCAAGGATGTTGCCGTCGACGCAGCCACCGGTTCTGGAAAAACCCTTGCTTTCCTCCTCCCACTCGTAGAGATTCTCCGTATATCCACCTCCTACCCTCCGAAGTCTCATCAGGTCAGAAAAATTGGCAGAAAATGTCGACTAATCTGGGAATTAGGATTTTTGGGCATTGAAATCGCTTTAGAGCATCAAGAGTAGCTTATGCCTCTTTTAAGACTTTTGATTTTGTGTGAATCTTCTGAAAGTTCTTTCTTTTCCTATGTTTTACTCGGGGATGTAAAAGGGTCTTTTATGTTCACAATTTCAATGTTTAGTGTTTCGATTCTGAGAGTTTTAATTTTACGTTTTAAGTTCGATGCGTATTATTGAGGATAATTTACAGGTTATGGGGGTGATAATATCGCCAACAAGAGAGCTATCAACGCAGATATATAACGTGGCACAGCCGTTTGTTTCGACTTTGCCTAATGTGAACTCTGTGCTGCTTGTTGGAGGCCGAGGAAAGGTAGAAGCTGACATGGAGACTATCGAAAAGAAAGGAGGCAATCTCTTGATCGGCACGCCTGGAAGGCTTTTAGATATAATGGAACGGATGGAGATTCTAAATTTCCGAGATCTTGAGGTAAGTTTTCTTTTTGTCTCACATTTCAAGATGGATGTTGTAAATCTACATCTGGACTGGTTAAGTTGTCTAAACAACTTGAAGAAAGGCTGTTACTTTAAATTGGTTGAAATCTGTAATTCGATAACCGGTGAATGAATCTTTCCGCGTGTGTAGATTCTTATGTTAGATGAGGCAGATAGGCTTTTGGGAACGGAGTTCCAGAAGCAGGTGAATGACATTTTATCTCGCTTGCCAAAGCAACGGAGGACTGGCCTCTTTTCAGCTACACAAACAGAAGGCGTTGAAGAGCTGGCCAAGGCTGGGCTTAGGAACCCTGTGAGAGTTGTAGTTCGAGCTGAGTCGAAGTCGGAGTCTTCCCAGCAATTGACAAACTCGAAAACGCCTTCTGGTCTGCATCTTGAGGTATTGTAACGTCAATATTTAAATACGTATATGCTTCGTGATAGTAAGTTTTCCTGTTTATATGTCCTGCATTACTGTGACTTGATTTTTGAAGATTTCTCCTACTCGTAACCATTCTCTTGGTAGCCCTTCTGTACCAAAGTATTGTTTCTTTTTTTCTGCAACGAGTGCAAGTTTGCTGTCTCTGCAGTATTTGGAATGCGAAGCAGATAAAAAATCATCACAACTAGTGGATCTCCTCATCGAGAACAAAAATAAAAAGCTTATGGTGTAAGTTTAAAACATTTTACAAAATACTCATAAAATTAAGCATCCTTATATAGTCCAAGTATCTCTGCAGTTTCTTCATGACCCGTGCTTCTGTTGATTACTGGAAACTCGTACTTTCACAAATTCCTACCCTGAAGTCCATGTCTTTGATTCGTATCCATGGGAAGATGAAGCAGGTAAGCTACCTTGATAAATTTTAATTTTCAATATCATCTCATTGCCTGTTGTCATGAAAGCTTCTGATGAAATATACTTTACACTTCAGAATGCTAGAGACAGGGCATTATCTTCGTTCTCAGAAGCATCAAGCGGTGTCCTTTTGTGCACAGATATCGCTGCACGTGGACTTGATATTCCAGGCATCGATTGCATAGTTCAGGTAGATTAGATAATGTTTGTTTCCATTGCTTTGCCGTCTTTGTTGCAAAAAAATTTGGGATTCAAAGGTTGCAATTGGTGATGTTCATGCAGTATGATCCCCCAAAAGACCCAGATGATTTCATCCATAGGGTCGGCAGAACTGCAAGATTGGGAAGACAAGGGAGGGCCATTGTTTTCTTACTGCCCAAGGTTTAGCTTTGAGCAATAATATGTTTCCTTGTGCATGATGTTCTCCATAGTTACATCGCCGAGCAATAGCTGAAAAGAATTCACTTGCATTTGTTTATAGGAAGAAGACTATGTAGAGTTTATGGACCAAAGAGAGGTCCCTCTTCAGGAGAGAAAATGCTCTGAGAATGCATCCGATGTCATCCCAATTGTAAGAAAACCTCCATACCTCTCTCTCTCTCTTTCTCTCTCTCTCTCTCTCTCTCTCTCTCTCTCTCTCTCACAAGATGGTTTAGTAATTGCTACAATGTCTTCAGATGCGTTCAGCTGCCATGAAGGACCGAGCAGTGTTGGAGAAGGGATTAAAGGCATTTGTTTCCTTTGTCCGTGCTTACAAGGAGCATAAATGCTTTGACATTTTCAGGTTTTTTCATGAGGCTCAGTCATCTTTTTCTGGTTTGCCAATATACATCTCGCTCTTATAACTTTTGTAATTCAAAAGTTTCTATTTATTTCCCCTAACTACACAGATGGAGAGAGCTTGAAATCGGAAAGTTAGGCATGGGGTATGGCCTCTTGTATCTTCCTTCAATGTCTGAAGTTAGACAGCACAGACTTTCCACTGAGGGTTTCACACCCGTTGAAGGCGTCAACTTTGAGGACATCAAATTCAAGTAGGTTTTTTTTTCCAAAATCGTTAAAACACTCATGTCCATCCTCTGTTTTCTAAAAAATGTTACATTTTGGTAAAATGAATGTCTTTTACATATCTCTACTCGTAAAGACCTGGTTTAAATTCAGAGGAAACAATTTTTCTGTAGCCTGAAGTCTTTGTCCCTCCTTAGGTGTAGTGTTGTCATGAATCATTTGCTCTCTGAGACGAAGAGTAGCCAATTCTCTAAATCCGAATTGTTTTTGAATAAACGCAGGGACAAATCTCGGGAGAAACAAAGACAGCAAAAGTTAGAGAAAGCAAGGAAAGAGAAACAGCAGAAAGAGAAAAGTGAGAAAGGCAAGAAAAGCTCGGAAATGGTGGTTGATGCTTGTGCTACTACTGAATCTTACAAAGTGTCGAGAAAGAGAAAGTTATCAGGAAAACAGAGAGCGAGAAATAGAAAGTTAACAGGAAAGCAGAGACAAAGCATCCAAAAAGCTGAAGATGAAGAAGAGATGGCTCGAGAATATCGGTTGGAGCGAAAACGGAGGAAAGGGTTGATTAAAGAAGAAGATGAGCCTGATGCCTGATGATTCAATCTTCTAAGAAGCAAGAAACCTTTCAGGCTTGGATTAGAGTAGCTTGTTTTAACACATTGCCATTTGCTTGACGTCTAACTTCTTTTACTGGGCAGCTCTTAGGAAGGTGAAGGGTGCAAATCCCTTTATCCTTGTCTACATCAAACCCCTAGAGCTGGTTTGAAGTACTTATTTCAGCCAAAAAAGATCATAATAATAAGAAAGAAGCAAAATTTGCATAAAAGAAAACTAACTGATGGTCTGAGCTTGATTTCTCAATGGGGAAGCTTAATAATGAGCTTAGCCAATAATAAAAGTAAAGCATCATAATTCATGCATGAGGAAGTTAGGTATCCACGTGCGTAATAATAAGCTTAAGTTAGGTATCCCTTGTATCACTATAAATAAAAGGTTTGGGTGCTTACATAAACCAAGTCAAGTCCTGTACTTATACAACCCTTGATCCTTATAAACCTTCTGTATGATTGTATCCACTATGTGTCTGTAAATTTGGTGGTGAATCTCCGCATATTCGAGGAACAAAATTAACTTGACAGTTGTTATAATCTTTAAAAAAACGCAATCAGATGGATTGAATAACAAGCAGTTTCCAGAATAAAGAAGTCAAAACGAAATACGTATGCATTTCCATAATCTGATGTCAAAATGCCCATCACATCATCAACATCTCGAGCGATGGAGAAATGTGACGAAGCGAGCCGGAGCAATTCAGTGACGAAGAGAGCCGGAGCAATTCAGTAACTCCGCCAATCGCCCATTTCAGAATAGCCGACATTCTCTTCTCCGGCGAACCAGATAATCATCTCGGCCGATGACTAATTCTCTGCAAAACGAAACGGCAATCCAATAACAAGCAAAACGCATATAATATTAAATGATGTTAATAACGTTTTATATCACTGGAGTTAATTTGACGGGCGGTGACCTAATATCAAATGATGTTAATAATGTTTTTGTATCACAGCGTTAAGTTGACGGACTGTGAAATATAGGAGACATGCTCCTAAGTGCTTAAAATTGCTCAAAAAAAAGCACCAAAACGACAATCCAATCTAAAGCAAAACGCAGCTCACTCGCTACTGTTCTCATTTTGGCCAAAAATGAGCAAAATTCGTGGTCTATCTGGGAAATAAGGCCTAACGCGCGCAACGCGCACTTGGTGCGAATGGGAATGTAATATGTCTTTTCATGCGCGTGGAGTAACGCTCTGACTTGGATTTTTTTTTTCTTTTCTGTTAAAATCAATAAACAACGAGTATTTTATATAGTAAACGACATCAATATTGCATGTTATGCCGTTTTTAGGCAAACCAAAACGACGAGTATTTTTAAGTTTCCTCAAAATAAAAACTAGAGTACTTCAAGATGAGATTTTTCAAATGAGTATCAAATATCAAATTCTCTGAGCTTCAGATTTTGCTCGTCGAGAAGAGCGGAGAGACGAAATCAGGTCCGTGTTTGCACAATGGCGACCGAATTCCGCTCTTCGCCTCTTTCAAGTACGCCGATAGTCTCACCGTCGTCGGAATCTGCTGGTGCTGCTGGGTTGTTCTCCATGCCGGATCCAAAGACGGATTGATTCAGGTCTGATCTGATTATGCATAGTGTCGCCTTGTATTTTGATGATTTCTGAGCTCTTTAATGCTGATTTAGCGGTTTTTTAGCTGAAATGTAACTAATTTGATTCAAAGTTCCAAGTTTTAAGTTTCCGGTTTTGATTCCGTTTGCTTGTACACAAGCATTACATAATTTCTGCTCCTCATTAAGGCTTAGATGTCGTAGCAATCTTAAGGGTACAGGTCATATGGTTTTCTTTACTGCAAATACAATCGGGTTCCTTTTGCTCATTTGTGCACGGAGGCTTGAGGTTTCATGCAAATGGATTGTTTGGAGATTGAAATGAGAGGTTGTTGAACGATACAGATAACAAGAGAATGAGAGTAAGAGTAAGAAATGGGGAGGTGGACGACTATGCTTCAGTGTTTTTTTTTTTATAATAGAGAACTCTCCTATGTGTTTCTTCAGCTAAAAGGCAATATGGCCATCACTAGATTTTGTTTTATTTCTTACAGTAAGTTTTCACCCAAATGTCAATATCTTCCTAGTAGACTGTGCACGCTTGCACATGCTAGTAAATGCTCTCTATATTAATAAAGACACACTTGAGACAGTGAAAATAATTAAAAAACAAAAAAAAGATCTCTGTGTCTTCTTGCTCTTCTTCGTCTTCGTCTTTCACTCTTTTGCCGTTGACTCGTTTGAATTTGGCAAAACCATTCTCTTTTCTCTGTAAACTCCTCTCCTTCTCCGTCGTGAGCCATGTCAGCTCCACTTCCACCTTTCGATCCGACTAAGCCATCGACACCAATCTCCTTCCCAATCAAAAACCTTCAAGACTTGGAGTCTCGCTCTTACTTCCAATCATTTCATTTCTCCTTTAACCGCTCCTCCGTCTCTCTCCGACGGAACATCGGCCGTTTGCCTGACCGATCTAGGCTCTTGGTTTGTCACGACATGAAAGGAGGCTACGTCGACGATAAGTGGGTTCAAGGATGCGGAAACAACACCGGTTTCGCCATCTGGAATTGGTACTTGATGGACGTTTTTGTCTACTTCTCTCACTCTCTCGTCACTCTTCCTCCTCCTTGCTGGACCAACACTGCTCACAGACATGGCGTCAAGGTCTCTACTCTACTTTACTCTGTATATACAACCCCTCCTCATGATCTCCCCATCTAGATGAGAAAATGTTTTGACTTCTCAAAGTCTGATTATTCATAGTTGAGTTAACTGAAGAGAGAAAATTGATGGTTCCGAGTTTGAATGTCTTGGGTCCTGGAAGCTTTGTTAGAAAGGCATAGAAAAGTTGTGTCCTTAGAAATGGGATCTTGGTTTCTAAGGAATGATTCTCTTGTTCTTGTGTTTCATAAGGTATTAGGGACTTTCATCACAGAATGGGACCAAGGGAAAGCTACGTGCAAAGAGTTGTTGGCAACAAAGGAGTCTGCGCAGATGTACGCTGAGCGTTTGGCAGAACTTGCTGCTGCTCTAGGCTTTGATGGTTGGCTGGTGAGGTTTTTACTACAGCTTTGTTTTTGTTTTACAATTCCAGTCATCTTCTTCATATCTTTGTGAATGATTTCACCGTGTGAAGCAGCATCTGAAACTCTCTTGAGAAGTAGATTATTATTATTGCCTTCTAAGTAGACCTTATCAATTCTTACTTGCAGATAAATATAGAGAACGAAATAGATCAAGTTCAAATTCCAAATTTGAAGGCTTTTGTAAGCCATCTAACAAAATTCATGCATTCATCTGTACCTGGGGGTTTAGTTATATGGTGAGTGTTTTGAAGCCTTTCCTTTTCAAACTCACTCTTTTTGTGTTCTCTTTCTAGACTATACTGATCTTTTTAGTTAATTTTTTTTCTTTGCAGGTATGATAGTGTCACTGTTGATGGTCTTCTTGCTTGGCAAGATCAATTGACTGAAAAGAACAAACCTTTCTTTGATATATGCGATGGAATATTCATGAACTATACATGGAAGGTTTGCCCTCTCACTTCATTCACTTTCTTCAGCCCCATTCCTTCTAATATTTTTTGATTCTGATTTTGAGTGGCTATCTCTTTCAGGAGAACTACCCCAAAGCATCAGCTGAAATTGCCGGTGATAGAAAACATGAGGTGTACATGGGAATAGATGTGTTTGGTCGGGGATCTTTTGGTGGTGGCCAATGGACGGTATGTATATTACTTCTCACAAAATCATTCGTATTAGCTTGTCTCTGTCATATCCAAGCTGTCTCGTTAAATTCTTATACATGGTGGTAGGCAAATATTGCTCTTGATTTGCTTAAGAGAAACGATGTGTCAGCTGCAATATTTGCTCCTGGATGGGTATACGAGACCGAGCAACCACCTGATTATCATACGGCACAAAATAAGTAATACTTATTTGTCCATGTGATGGTAAAGAGGAACTGTGTGAATCTTATCATCATGTGTTCTGTTTTTTCTTAGATGGTGGTCACTTGTTGAGAAGTCTTGGGGAATAGTTCAAAGATATCCAGAATCCCTACCTTTCTACTCAGATTTCAACCAGGTAAACTGAATCTCAGTACTTCGTTTCCTGAGATGCAAATGACTGGTTATTATTCTATGTTCTGGTAAGTTTTGAAACTACCTTACTCTTTTTTTATTATTATCCAGGGCCTTGGTTCCCATGTTTCACTGGGAGGTCGAATATTGTCAGATGCTCCTTGGTACAACATTTCATGCCAAACTCTGCAGGTTAAATATGCACTCCTTGTTCCCGATTCTTTTGCAAACATCTAATATTTATTAGAACGATATAACTATTTTTGTTCGTCACATTCTTGTTCTAATCTTGTCTCCTGTTGTGTTCTTCGTGACAGCCACTCCTAGAATTCAATGAAGGCAAGAGTTCAGAGATCATGCAGGTCACTGTTGAGTGAGTTCTGACCCTAACATATTTGATTTTCGAAAAGCCTAGGAAGAAATTCATTTTGACATCTGACAATAAAAGCACACAAATTTAATATGGTAGTGGTCGAGAAGCATCATATAACGGAGGAGGGAACGTCAGTTTCAGAGGAAAACTAAAGAGGAATACACATTTCACAGCAAGACTCTTCAAACCTCAGCTTCAGCTTTCTGGCTCCCCCATCTCGATTTCCTACTCTGTAAGTCACTGATGCATCACATTTCGATTAATTGATAAGATTTGACCTCTTCTTCATCATATACATAGTTTCAAACTTCAAGTTTACATGTAAGTGTTTGGACTGGTGCAGGTCAAATCAGATGAAAGATCTGTGCTAGGCATTCTGCTCCGTTTTTCATCTTCTTCACAGGAGACAAAGTCTTTACTTATGGCGCCCAATGAATCCATCCCCAGATTCAGCGACATGTCCTTGCCATGTCTTCTCACATCAACACGGACCACATCCAATTGGACAGTGCACGAAACAAACCTTGTTCTGGATGGACACACGCTGACTGAAATCTCTGCCTTCTGCTACAGACCAGATGATCTCACAGAAGAAACCAACACAGTAGAATATTTTGCATTGCTTGGGCATATCTCTATCAAGTGCCAGCAAAAAACCGAGCTTTTCCCTCCAGCGTCATCGTGGATAATCGAGGCTCATAACATACAATGTGTACCGGGAGATTCCGGCTCCAGGGCCCTAAGTTGTAAGCTAGAATGGAGGTTGAAACATCCTGAGGATTCTGTGTTTACAAGGTACAATGTGTATGCAGAAAAAGTGAATTCAAGTGCTTACAGGCCAAGGAAGGTTATGGAAGAACCGAGAAGCGAGAAAGTGTTTATTGGAACGGCTCATGTTGATGCTTATTATGTGTCTGATATGGTCGTCGGATCAGATGTGAAGGAAGTCCGGTTCGTGGTTCAGACCTGTGGTGAAGATGGTTCATGGCAGGAGCTGGATGCTTCCCCTAACCTCCTGGTTGAAGTAGAACGTTTTCGCACTAAGCTATGTTGTGGGTTGATTTGATTTATGGTCCATTTCGGAACTTGCAATTCCATGGGATAATAGAGAGAATCCGTGAGTAACAATGATTATGATGTTGATGAAAATAAATTATGACGTTGAAATAAATCATTTGAGCATCAACTTGGTTTGCTGGATGATTGGTTTTTATACAAGCATCTTTTATACAAAACAAGTGTTTCATCTTCAGCTGCGCATTGTGTTGAGTTATGAAGACGAAGCGCAAGCATCAGATGAGCTGTCTTGGGAGATCTTTCCATTGGCTGCAACAAGGGTGCGTGAATAACAGCTTAAGTCATCGATGTAGTTGAAACTCTGTCTTGTGCTTGCTTCACCTGCCAAGACATTGTGATCTTCAACCTCCATCCAACCATCTGAGTCCTGTCTGTTGAAAACTTGGGTCAAAGCTTCTCCAGCTGAAAATCTCTCGTTCAAGGCGTGTGAAACATTCGTCACGAGCAGATACATATCCTTGTCATTGGTTAAACCTCTAAGAGTAGAAGTGATCACCGTGAGTGGATATGTCCGCTGGTGAACAACTCGATTCACAGGTTTGCCTGATTCAGAAGTCACCTCCACTATCCTTTTGGTCTTCACTCTCTGCTCAACTCTCTTGTAAGCTCCGTTTTTCTCAAACCTCACCAAGCTACCAACTTTGATCATGCTTTTGACCATGGTGGTCAGATTACCTTCACTTGATTTAACCCACCCATCAAATTCACTACGTACCTCTGCTTCAACCCTAAAAGACCCATCGAGCTGTTCAAACTCTTCCTGTCTCACCATGTGACGACTCGGGCTATCGTAACGCCCAGACCCAGCTTCAACATTCGAAGACCCGTGATCCAGCCAGAGGTGCAAATTGGCGTCCACAAGCCAGTACGATATCCCATCGTTGACACTGAGAGCAAACTCATGAGACTTTCCATCTAAAAGCAACCCGAGAAATGGTGTCAAATCCATGTCGTATGAAGGTAGATTGAATGCACCAATTGCAACAACTGGTTCCCAGAACAAGGGATTGATTCCACCTGTAAACATCACCGGAAATGGCACCTCTGATCCCACGTATCTCCCGTCTATCTTCACAAGAACCTCTCTGTATGCACCATTGCCACGACCAGTTGCTAGATTGTTCGTTCTGATGTACGAATTTGGCGGGTTTGAATACCAGAACTCGTCGTTTCCATGGAAAGAAACGTATAGTTCCAACACAATCTTACGAGTGTTGGACGGAATTTGAATTCTTTTTGAGTAAGTTTCTGCTGGGTTCTCGATCATGAACCAGAACCCTCTGTTTCCTCCGTCACATACTGGAATAATCAAATCTGCAGGGGTTTGGTCTTTTCTATCGGATCCAGCAATCTCTAATCTGCTTCTGATCTTCGGATTTTGCTCAATAGGATTGAATTCGTAAAATATGAGAGTGACATTGATATGATAAATGCCAGTGTAAACATCGTTGACGATGTTCTCGAGCATCATTGTGACATTTAGGTCGGATCTCATGAAGAGCGAGGAGTACCTGGAGACGTCTTTCCGAACATTCCAGAAGATTCCGGTTGGATTAGGCTCTGCAGTACTGGTGCGGAGTAGCTCCACCCCGCCGAGCCACAAGCCGGAAATGCGATCGTACTGATCGCCACTTGAGGCGGCGCGTAGGTCAAGCACAACATAGGACCATGGCGGCGATGTACAGCCGGAAGGTGGAGTGTATGGAGCGGTATAGGGAGGTCCATCGATAGTGTTTCCGAATGAATGGCGGAGGAGGACATGAGAGCACGACGGCGTGAGGCCATCGGACGGTAAGGGCCGCCTGAGTTCCTCGTATTCCTGGGGCTCGTCCGGTGATCGGAGAGAAGTCAACGCCGATTTGAGGAATCGGTCTGGCGAAGAAGGAAGAGAAACGGTGGTAGCAATGAGAAAAGCAAATGTGAGTAAGAACTTAACGGCGCCGTTTTGGTTTGTCGCCGACATTTTTATCTTCTGTGCATTTGATTATCCGATCTCGTCGCTGCAAAGCTTAATGTCGATGGAGAGAGAGATGGCAAGAGCCGTGAGTAAACACCAGAGCGTTTTATTTTTCCAGGATCAACTACGTGTAGTTTTCCCTCAAAAGATGGCAGGCGGTGTAAAGAAAAGGTTGAGGCTGGAGAGCTTGACAGTGACAGTGTGGGGTCCAGCTGCGGTAACGGAATTCAATAGGGTATACTAGCGTCACCTGTGGTTAATTTATACGCTGTGTACGTGTCTAAATATGAGAGGGTTACTGATAATACTTTCGTCACAGCCGCGTATCTTCAACATTACTACTGACATGCTCCCTCTCCCTCCGATCACACAGACTCACAGAGAGCTTTTCCCTTCTTATTCTCATGGCGGGTTCATAAATATATACAGACAGCTTTACACATTAAAAAATACGAAAACTAAATATTTTCTCTGATTCAGCGTTTTCTCCAGACTCCATAGACGCAACGAGTTGATTCTCTCTTCTTTTTTCGTTTTTCCTCTTTCTGGGTTGGAGTTTTTCTTAAGTAGAACAATGTTTTACTCTCACCAGCTTCTAGCTCGAAAAACTCCGTTAGGTCAGATATGGTGAGTCAAGTTCTATCAGAGAAACGTTTTCCGATTGTTTCGTGATTTTGCAAGCTTTGTTTCTGTATGGAGTTTATTCGTCTGTTGTTTGAATTCGCTATGGGAACTTCTTCGTCCCGATCAAGCACTTCTTATTGCTACAATCGCCACTCTGGTTTCCATTGTTAAAGAGTGTAATCTATCAACCTCTGTTTTTTGTTTGTTTTTCTTATCTGTTTATGGTGTTCGTTCTTCAAGGATGGCTGCTACGTTGCACGCGAAGATCAATCGGAAGAAACTAGATAAGCTCGATATCATTCAAATCTGGTTAGTGGAGATCTGTTCGTCTTATTTTTTTTTTATCCCGTTTCGATTTTTGGGTCGTCCTGACGTTGATCTTACATTTTCTACTCTCCCACAGCGAAGAGATTCTTAATCCGTCGGTTCCAATGGCTCTCAGACTCTCTGGGATTTTGATGGGTATTCTTTAAAACTGAGCTAATCGGAATTTAATTTGTTCAGTTCTTCGCGTTCTGGGTTTGATGATTCTCAGTCTCTTGTCTCTTCCTTAGGTGGTGTTGTGATCGTTTACGAGAGGAAAGTGAAGCTCCTATTCGGTAATTTTCGGATTCAATCATATCTCGATTAAATTTGAATTCTGGTTTCAGTTTCTACTCTCCTCTTTTCCAAACTTATGAGACATTGCTCTTTTCTGGGTTTTCCTTTGGTTTTCAGATGACGTAACTCGCCTTCTGGTAAGCAAACTTTTTCCGATCCTCTTTTGTTTTTTTTGCCCGTCAAAATCATATTTCCGTACTTCGATTTCTGGGTTCTCACACGTGTTTGTTTATCTTCTCAGGTAGAAATTAATGGAGCGTGGCGCACAAAAGCAGCTCCGGATCCCACTTTACTACCTAAAGGAAAAACCCATGCCAGGTATTTACTATTTCGCTTCTTCTTCCTTTGTCTTTCTCCTGTCGTAATGCCATTGGAGGATTCTGAAGGAAAACCCAAATCAATAGAACAGTCTCGTGAAGAACAGTAGAAACGATTGCCGTGCTGGATTTTTGTTTGTGATTGAAGAATTCTGAAGGAAAATCCAAAACATAAGAACCCTTGATATGATTGGCGTTTTGGGTTTTGCTTTGCAGGAAAGAGGCTGTTACGCTGTCTGAGAACGAGGAAGCGGATTTTGGAGATTTTGAACAGACTCGTAATCTTCCAAAATTTCCCAATTTCATGGATTTTCAGCAGACTTATATTTCCATGGTAACCAAGCCGATTCCCTGCGTCTCCGAGATTAGATTGGAATTACGACGAAATTGTAGATTGCTGAAACATTTATTTTAGTAACTTGAAAGGACATAAAAGGAATTTATATGGTCATTTTTCATTGTCCATAGAAGGATAATATGGTAGGAAATAAGTTGGCGCATAAAGTGCATCGGAAGACTTGGTCTAACTCAAGCATGTGTTGAATTGCCTCATTTTAGTCTGCGTATCAAAAATTCTCTGTAGAACTTGAAAAATTATCATTGAACATCGCTCATGATTTAACGTGTACCTATGGGTTGTGGAAAAGGACCACGCACAAAAAATGTTACTGTTAATGTGAGTTGATCATAGCGTTCATCTCCTTATAAACCAATGAATATTCATGTGCATCTTCAGTTGAACTAATTCATTGCGTGGCTTTTGTCTTTGCAGCGTTTAGATGAACCCATTGTTAACGATAACCACGAGCAAGAAGATCTTGGACAGCAACTCCATCAAGGTTTCCATCCTGAGACATGGCTTTCATGAATATACGACATAGTAATAACTTATTAAGTGAATCCGCTTGTCAATTTCTATAACATTCTCAGCTGATGCCGACAATATTACACTCTTTGAGTATCATGGTTCATACCAGACTAACACTGAGACGTACGATCGTTTTGAAAGGTTAGTTTTCAATCCCATTTTCGATCTTTGGTCTTGCACTCCCAGATCGTAAACCAATTCCATAATTTGTTGAAGTTAGAAGTTTGTAGCGTTCCACTATTTTCTTTCCTTTCGGCAAAAAGTTGGTGAATATTTGTTCATCTCTCAGATTTGACATCGAAGGAGATGATGAAACTCAGATGAACTTCAGTCAAAGAGAAGGCACTGAAATACCTCCAACTCTCATCCCATCACCACCTCGTCATGACATTCCTGAAGGTAATTAGTTGTGTCACTCTTTTATGCTATAATGGTGGCATTTGGTTACTGTATGAGGATGGCTTGAGCGAACCTTTAGTGTAATAATCATGAATCTGACCAGGGAATATACTTCTGTAGAAGGCTTGACAAAAAGATCAATGATTTATAGAACATTGAGTTTCATAAACAGAACAGAAACAAATTTACTAACTTGTAGCCATCTGCAGGAGGCAACCCCACAAGCCCTCAGCGCCAGGAGCAACAAGAGCACGGTAGGGATGTATCTGCTGAGCAGATGGAGGAACAAAACATACCAAATAGAGAGGTAATTTCTCTAACTAGGAATACTTTCATCTCGTGATAAAAGACATGAAATTGGATTTTTTTTTTTTCTGCATGCAGGAAGACGATAGACCACGGCCAGCAAAAAAGAGAGCAAGAAAGGCAGCTACTTTAGAGATGGATTATGAGCAGACTATTCTCGGTGGTCCTCAATACCAGTCATGGCTCCAGGATGCTTCTAACATTCTCTTGGGGGGCAAAAAGAGAAAGGTAAAAATTAGTGAACGCCTTGGCCTTTAATGTAATGACTGATGCTCATGTTGGCCTAACATCTAGATTTTTTTTTTTTTTTTTTGTTAGGCTCGAGGAACCATCACCCTAAGTATGGAGATTTCTAAACGTATGAATATGCCACCTACAATGCTCTTTGAAGAGCATATGGGCAGTTCTTACCCACCTCAGCTTTACGAGCTTTGGTCAAAAAGCACTCAACCTCTTCAAACCTCATCATCTGGTCACTTTCTAACCATCATTGTTGCCTAATGTTTTCTCCATGTTGAAACGAATCTGACATATGGTAATGCAGATGCAGAAACTCGACGCCCTGATTTCTGCGCAGAACAATCTCCAGGGTTTGTCCAGGAGAGAATGCAAAGCCACTATCAGACAGACTATGTAAGGCGTGGAAGCATATCCTTTCCTGAAAAAGTTTAGTATCTCAATAAGAGAGAGTCCCAATTAAATATTCTCTTACTGAGAGTGGATGTTTGCAGCATCAGGGCAGTGAGACAAGCTCCCAAAATCTTGGTAGTCCCGCAGAAAGACTTCGGAACACTCTTGCTGGGAAAGATGCTTCAATAGAACGCTTGATGGATGGATCTCGAGCAAGGCCTGAAAATAATACCCGCCAGGCTTCTGATATTAGCGTGACGCCATTCTATTCTGGTTAAAACCTTCCCTTTTATATTCATCATCAGATATAGCTTGGTTTTGTGTCCTTATATATATTTTTTCTATTTGATAAAATTGCAGGAGATGACGTGAGATCCATGCCTAGTACACCATCCGCACGTGGAGCAGCTTCGATTAACATAGAGATTAACTCTAACAGGTTAAGAACAACATCTATGTATTTCTGACACTTCAGTAGCAAGCACAAAGAGGTTTTCCATAGGAAGAGGATCATTAATTCTTCTTCCGGTTACTATAACAGTCGCAGGTCCAATAGGAAAAGGGCGCATTCCTCACCAAGAAGAGGACTGGAACCAGTAGCGGAAGACAGACCGTGGGAGCACCGTGAGTATGATGACTTTCAGTTTACAATGGCACCTGAAAAGGGTTTCACAGCAGACAACGGTAAATTTTTTCCCATTGTCTCTTGATCAAAAACATCATCTTACAAACCTTAAACATGGCTTTCTGTCTATGCAATCTCTTTCACAGAAATACTAGTTGAAACTGGACCTACACAGACTCAAAGGCCAGTGACTACTCACTCAGAAGAGAAGATAACAGACAGCATCAAAAGGTAAGAGATTCACTGTTATTTGAAAAATCTATATATTGAGTGACAATGATGAGATGTAAAAAACCAAACACAGTCAGCTCAAGACACACTTTGAAACACCTGGAGCTGCTCAAGTGGAATCTCTTAACAAGCTCGCTTTTGGAATGCACAGAAACGCTGCAGCTCAACTCTTCTACCAGTCCTGTGGTACTTTATAACTACCTCTCTAGTTCCATCACTTAAACTTACAGGACGCATAACTGAAAAATCTGAGTAACAATGATTTTTTCTATCTTATTTATTTCCAGTGTTAGCGACTCGTGGAATGATAAAGGTGGACCAAACACAGCCTTATGGGGACATCCTCATTGCAAGAGGACCCAATATGTAAGGTTCGAGCTCTAAATTAGAAAAGGTTGTTCCTGAGTTGTTTTTTTTGCTAATCATATTTAAGGAGAAAGAGAGAGAGATAGCCCATAGATTTTTAAAATCATAACGACTAGACTAGCGTTTCTGAGCAATCATGGTTTCACTAAATTCCTTTGTTTGGTTTGGTCCTTTGGTTATTACTTATCACTACTTCAGACGGCAGCTTCGTCCGATACACATGTAATTATACTCTACGATTTTTTTCCGGTTTATATATTCAATTTCTTACCCGGTTATTATATATTCATCGTCCCTTTAGAAATACGATTAGAGATACGGCAAACAATAATTTAACATTTACACCGTTGACAAAGAAAATGGCAGCCACGTAATAAGCAACAATTGCTTCCATTTCATAACAAGACATGTAAATCTCCTTAATTAGTCGCACTCACGTCTCATACAATTGACAATTCTCAACAGATGTCGGTTTACAAAATAAATAAATTATTTACGCAAATATTATAAAAATATCAGTTCTTTAGATGTTTCTATATATACGTATATTTCTCCTCTCCCCTGAATTACACATTTAAGAAGAAGTTCAAGAAACAGAGTGCATAAAAGGTACAACAAGAAACATGGACCCACGAGCCTTGTCCTTCTCCGTTCTCGTCATCCTCATTGCAGCGTCGACTTTGGCCAATGGTTACTCTCCTCCGCCTCCAACCACCGCATACCCCGCCGTGAAAACTGTGGAAGCGGCGGTGGAAGGAATGGTGTATTGCCAAACCTGCGACAAATACGGATCATGGTCGTTGGCCGGAGCAGAAGCCATAGCCGGAGCTAAAATCAGCATCATTTGCAAGAACCACAAGCAACAAGTGAGCTTCTACAAAGTCTTTCAGACTGATTCCTACGGCCATTTCTACGGTGAGCTCAAAGGTTTGAAAATGACTCCACATTTCTTGGACCATCCTCTTCACGCTTGCCGTGCCAAGCTCGTTTCGTCTCCTCGTGAAGACTGCAATCTCTTCTCCAACATTAACAATGCTCTCGATGGTGCTTCGCTCCGGTATGAAGAGAAGAGGCTCAAGTGGACGAACTACGAGGCTGTGATTTACGCCGCTGGTCCATTGGCCTTCCGTCCAGACCATTGCCCCGCGACTGCACCGCCTGCTTACTGATTCGGGTTTATGTTTTTGAAGATCATTGTATACTAAATATATAAGAAAATGTTATTGAGTTGGTTCGTCTCTTTTTCTTTTGGTTTTGTCAATTGTTTGTAACATGAGTTCCGTGTTGAGTAATATTGTTATGGGACTCTTCTGACTCGTTTGTATCGAGTTTACTCAGTTTTAGATCTATAATATCATCGGTCATATCAACATTATAACCTGATCAATCATTTCTTAAAATTTAAGACACAAATATCTTTGCAAGCTAAAACAACAATAAGGAGTTCACACCATTACACAACAGAGAGGTATTAAAGCAGGAATGCAAACCACAAACTTTGCCTACTCCTAAGCATACTTTACGTGTTTTCATAAGAGCCAAACAGAGAGGAATCAAATACCTAGTTGCTTAGAAGTCCATTGGCATTGCGAACAATTTGTTGATCTCATCCAAGGCTACTTTTGTGCACACTGTTGGCTCAAATAGATCACGCTCGTTTGATTTTGTAGGCGATATTTGAGAGAGCCGGGTATTCCCTTGATGTTCTTGCTCAGCTTCTTCATCATCATCATCATCATCATCATCATCCTCAAGTATTGAGAAACCTGCAGCAGGATCTGGTTTCTTCTCTTCTACTGCTTTTCCTCTGTTTTTGGAGCGGTTGGGTCTAACAAAATCTATGGGTTCACCAAACATGTTGTTTATGTCCTCCATGGCTTCCTTTAGGTTGACTGTAGGGTCTACAAGGCCATGGTGGCAGACATTTTCAACGGCTGGCTCATCGGAGATGGTTGAACCAACAAACCTATGGACAACTGTGTCTTCTCTGAATCTAGCTCGAGGAGGACTGTTTCTGTCTGATTCTTCAGAGGTTTCAGGTGAATGGTCTCTTGGCTGGAGAAAGACGAAACCTTTTCCGGCCACATCATTTTCATCCGTAGTTTCATCATCGTTTTCATCATCGATGAATATCTCAAAGGACTCTTGGTCAGGCTGGGATCCCTGAGTAGTACCAGTCTTTGCTTTTCCTCTTGCACCTGTTTCACATTCGAGATTCTCGTCCACGAAAACTTCAAATCCATTGTCGCAGCCTTGATTTTCTTTGCCTTGGCTTTTGTGTGATCTTCTCTGAAGTGGAGCAGTTTCTATAGGCTCTTTGAACATGTTGTTGATTGCATTCATGGCTTCCTTCAAGTTGATTGTGGGATCCACCAAACCGTGATGGCAAGCATTTTCTGCTTCAGGCTTTCCTACAATGGCTTTATCAACAAAATTCAGCACTGGCGTATCATCATTTTTGGCCAATCCAGGCTCCTTTTGTAACCTCTCAACCTTCTGGTGCTTTTCAGACTCATGACGCTGCAAGAGGAAACATAAGTTCAGACATCTGCAGAACTTGCAAGATTATACAAGCGGAACAATCAAACTAGAGAAACAGACTACCTGTGTCTTTTTCTTTTTGTGCCTCTCCATGCGACTAAGGAACTGCAAGTATGATTTCTGTAACTCATCCATGGGTTCTGCAAGGCTGGCACAAGGGAGGTACACAGTCAATCTATTTGAACCATGCCTTCAACATATAAAATATGCAAGCTCAAAGTTGTCATCATTACATTCCTCATATCCACATAAATAATTGAGTGTAGTAGATTTTGTAGCATATCATATAGGCGGATGGATACCAGGAATGATCATGAAAAGAAGTCATCAGAGTCTCTATATAAAGGAGAGAAACAGAGAATTTATTGCATCTGTTTGTTCACCATGAGTACTTACTTTTGCACCCCAAGACGGTACATTTTCTCAGCCTCCTCGAATCTCTTCACCTTTTCATAATGGAGAGCATATGCCTGGTAGAACAGTGACCTCTTGGTCCCTATACTTTTTGCTTCCATAGTTCTTAGGAGAGCTTTTGGATCTTCTACAAAGTCCATCTAGCCACAAAATTCATAATCACCCATTAAAACCCACAAGTTCACTAATCAACATCTACTTCAAGAAATTATATATGCTGAAAAATCATCCAGAATACAGCTCCAAACCATTAAAATCCATCTTAGTTCTCTTTTGGTTACTTAGTAAGTACAAAGCTGGGCATATCTCGGTTCTAATACCTTTAAATTTTTGATTTTTAGAAGCCAGGTTAGTAACGAGATCATCCATATGACTTCAGTTACACTTATCAAACACAAAAAAAAAAAAAAAAAAAAATTCCAACCAAGTCAAGTAAGTGGTAAATCAAGGGGTAAATGTTCATTACCAGCTGCAACCAAACACGAATATATCTAGAATCGTTTCGGTATCTCTTATCAGATTCAAATGACTGTGCACATTTCTGCAGAAACCGCGGCAGCTTCTCGTTCAATATCTGAGGCGGCAAGCTCTCTTTCATCTTCTTAACACCTCTGTTTCAGATTGACCCAAGAAACACAAGATATACACATCAATGCAAAAAAATATTCAATTAATTAGATTTCTATGGAAACTTATAGATGCTTCAGACCCGTCGACACAAATGGTGGCACAGAGTGAAACAGAGAGTCGCGATTACCGGATCCAGGGAAGAAGATGGTCTTTTCCCGAGTATGATTTGATGTCGACGATCAGTGAAGCCAACAAGTTCTCGTAGCCGTTTTCGTTCTTCGCCATTTTTGTTCTCCCAATCTCCCTTTACTTCTTCTGTATTCTCCTAATTGAAGAAAGCTATAGACAAGGCGAGAGGGATATTGAATTTGAAAAGGTTCCTCCTTTTCATTTTAAAACCTTCTGAGATAAAAAGAGGCTCATCTGGGTCCCGCCGGGCTGCCTGATCAGCTAACTGCCTAAACCGGCTAATCGGCTAACCAGTAAACCGGCTAAGCAAGGGATTTGCAGAAATGTAAACGCTTTTCGGACGAGCCGTCAAATTGATTCGCCGATTTGCCGAAACCACTTATCTCTCAGTCAATTTCTTCTTCTTCTCATGGCGAATCCGGCGGATAAACCCGACCCGAATCTTTCGACCCACAATCTCGAACCTGAAGATGAAGAAAGAGAAGAACTCGAAGACATTAACGGTGACGGAGAAGAAGAGGAAGAGTACGAGGGAGAAGACGATGACAACTCTTTAGCGTCGAAACCTCAAACGCGTGAAGATGCTGCTGCGACTAGGAGCAGGGCGGAGTCTCTGTTCCGTCGTATGGGAGCAGCTCCTGTTCCGGTGCGTGTTCACGACGTGATCGTCAATGGAAACGAGAAGACGAAGGACCACGTGATCGAGGCGGAGGTGGGTGTTGTGAGGCAAGCAACCACTTTGCAAGAGCTTATCAAAGCCTCTAAGATTGCCAATTACAATCTCGAAGCGCTTGATATCTTCGATTCAGTCAAGATTACACTCGATCGTGGCCCTCCCGAGCTTCCTGGTACCACCAATGTGGTAATCAATGTTGTCGAGACCGAAAGCCCTCTCACCGCCCAACTCGGAGCCGTAACTAAAGCAGAGGTATCAGTTTCATTTTCTTACTTCAATGGAATTTAGTCTTTGCGTGGAAGAATTAGGTGAATCCATTGATTGTTGAATAGAGTTGGATATGTTGCTTCGTGAAGGTGTCACTGATTCTGAGTAATTATAATTGGAATTGATAATCTGGAGTAGATATATTTACTCGTGCATTTCTCTCTTGTAGGCTAGATCATCAGTCCTTGAAGGCTCTTTGAAGTACAAGAATATTTTTGGCTATGGAGATATCTGGGACGGGTCTCTTGCCTATGGCTGTGACAACTCTGCAGAGGTTGGCTTGGGGATGTATTTGCCAAGGTTCAGAGGGCGTCCTACACCATTTACGTCGCGTGTTTACCTCTCTACACAAGATTGGCTTAAGTTTTCCTCTTATAAAGAACGAACTCTTGGTCTTTCCCTCGGGCTTGTCTCAAGCAAGTATCATGATCTGGCCTATACTATTGCATGGCGTAACCTGATAGATCCATCGCAAATGGCATCAAGATCAATAAGGAGACAGCTAGGGCATAATTTGGTCTCTGCTCTCAAGTACACTTTCAGAGTTGACCAGAGAAACTCATCCTTCAGGCCAACACGAGGGTACTCTTTCATCTCCACTTCTCAAATTGGTGGTCTTGCGCCTGATAGTCGAACACTTCGGTTCTTGCGCCAGGTTTGGGTTGCTTCATTCTTGTTACCAACATATACATGAACCCATTTTACACTGTTGAAAGTTATAGCACAGACCTGTTACTTAGGGAACTTCCATGGCAGCTAGTTCCTCATATCGGCTTTTGCACCATTCATGATTCATCTATAACTTTAACTTCCCAAGTAACTCTGGAACTTGTTGCTTTTTGTGGCAGTAAATGAAAAGATTGGTTAGCCCTTTGATAACATCTGTGATTCTTTTCTGCTTGCCATACTTCATGCTGAACGTTTTTGTTGCGTCTTGTTAGGAGATGGATCTTCGTTATGCTGTTCCACTCGGGTATTACCGTGCTGCTCTGAACTTTGGGGTATCTGGGGGAATCACATTTCCATGGGGAAGCGGATACAAGAGCAGAGCGTCTTATGTGCCGGAGAGGTTCTTCTTGGGTGGAAACATATCACCTGTGTGTTCTTTGGGGGGACCTTCTGCGTTATGGGGATTTAAGACCAGGGGATTGGGTCCTAATGAGCCAAGGAGGGAAGTACAAGACGATCAGAGTGGTGACACATATGAGAGGGATTTCGTGGGAGGGGATGTTGCGGTCACTGCGTTTGCAGACCTTTCTTTTGATTTCCCTTTGAAATGGTTCAGAGACAGAGGAATCCACGGGCATGTGTTTGCATGTACAGGCAATATGGCGGAGTTATCAGAGAACAAGTATCGGAACTTCACTGCTCCAAAGTTCCTGGAGACATTCAGAAGCTCAGTAGGTGCAGGAATCGTGGTTCCAACTAGTCTATTTCGCATGGAGGTTAGTTAGTTCTCTTGCTTCTTCTCTCTTCTCCTCAGGAATCATAAAAAAAATCGCAACAATTTTAACAGAGATTGATTGTTCTTCTGTTATTTTACTTCTTATGCCAGCTCAACTACTGCCACATACTGAAGAAACAAGAACACGATCGAGCAAAGTCTGGGTTTTTCCTGACATTCTCAACATCATCTTAATGCCACCTTTGATGAATTCGTAATCGTTGCTCGCAGTGTCTTGTTCGAATCTTTTTTCTAATATCCAGAAACTTGAGTATCTAGTTCGTTGTTTGGAACTGAAACTGGGAAATTTTGACTGTATGATGTGCGGATGGATGGATATTCAAGGATTCTGTTCTTGGGAGGGAAGAAGAAAAAAGAGTGGCTTTTTAGCCGGTTTGGAATTTTCTTGATAAGTTATTAACGTGAATGATACGTGTTATTTAATTTGATTAGAATTAGTCGGGAACGAAAAACAGAAATGTGATATGACTCCGAATTCGATTACCAGAAAAAAATATCAGAACCTTTAGAGAAGTATACAATTTTTTTTAAGAAAAATACTGGAGTTACTAAGCAGCTTAAAGCCAATAAAAATAAGTAATTGAGAGATTAACCGTCTTAGGAGCGCTTGGTTTCAGTTCACAAGGTCACAAACCATTATCATACATACATTGACACTTGACAAAGAGTAGATCACTGGCAGTGATACCTAGAGAGTTATCTGCTCAATTACAACAATGTACCCTACGAGGCTAGCAAATAGGAGGTAAACAAAAGAAGACATCCTGTCTAACTTTTATCCTAGAGATTAGAAACAGTAACAAGCCCCCCTCCAATTTCTCAAAGAGCTTCAGATTCTAGTATTTCCTCCCTTGCTTTGCTTTTCATGCTTCAGCAAACTAAATCTACAATTTTCTTGCCTGTACAACAAGGACAGTGGAAACTTGAGTAAGAATGTTAGAAAAAATAAGGAACATTGATACATTTCCCAATTTCTATGACTTGATGTTCACTTTCAACCGGTTCCATCTCCACACAGTTCAACATTCCACAAAACTAAAGAAGTTAAAGAAGCTAGACATTTTTTCTTGCTGGAACATTGAAATATCTTCAAAAGCAGAGAGCAACTAAACTTTTCCATTTAACAAAAAGGTATAACATTGTTTGAGACCTCCAAGTTACTTTCCACCTAAGCCAGTATTAACTTGAATGAGCAAGATCCCATAGTCTCCATAAGAGGTGGATCACAGAAGATGAAATTTGCACACAAAATGCGAGGCAAAACCCAATGTTACTGAGGAGAGAACATGGAGTTGTTACCTGAGACAGCTCAACGTTTCCGGTGCTTTGATTTCTCCAGCTCTAATTGCATCTCCACTAACATGTTCATTCGTTGTAACTCAAGCTCCTTGGCAACTTGCATTCTTTGCTTCTCCAATTCAATCATCATCTTCTGCTTCCTACCTTCGATTCTCTCATAAGCTTCTCCGAACTTGAGAATTGCTCTAGTTAGTTCCATGCCCAGATCATCTACCTCTTCCACACGAGGATGCTTACTGGCGACGAATCCCCAGTCACCATCATCGCATCGTCAAGAGAGCTTCTTCTAGCAGACTTGGCTGCGGTCAAAGAAGCGCCAAGCCGACGGCGAGAGCTTGGCTTTCTCCGTCTTGTACTTCTTCTTCAGTGTATCGATCCGGTTCTTACACTGGACGTCGCTCTTAGGACGACCGTTACCGTGGGTCGAGTTCACGGCGTCGGCGACTTCCTTCCAGTCAATCTGCCGGAGATTCCCGAAATTGAGCTTGAGGTAACGGTGCCCCCAGGCTTGGATCAGCGTCGCCGTCGCGTCCTCGCTCCACCAGTCTTCTCGTCCCGGCGGCGGACGATGGGACCCACTCAAATGGTGTTGGTGAGGCTTTGACCGCGTCGCCGGCGGAGGCGTTGTCGTCTCCATTCGCGAGGAGGAGTGATGCTGCTAACGTGCGCACCGGAGGAGAACACGGCGTCGGATAAGATTGAACATGAACAGACAACAAGAAAAAGTTGGAGAGGCATGAGAATCGGAAGGAAAAGAGAAGGAGATAATTGGCCTGACATTGATGACCGGCGGTGACGTCAGCGACCGTATGTGAGAGAGAAAGAGAGTTGGTCCCAACGGCGATTTTGCCTTTTTCTTCTGACTAATCTCTTTTTTCATTTGATCTTTAAACCGACAATCTCTGTTTCTCTAAAACTCGTTTAGTTAAGGAGAAAAGTTATCAATGGTCATAATCAAATAGGTGGGAATGTTTTTTTTTTCCTCTTCATTTTGGGCCTTCAATATTATTATTATTATTAGAGACTTCTTTACCCATTTTAACTCTTTTTCCTTAAACCCGTAGTTCTAATCTAGATTTCCTTGCATCCTGCACAGCAAGTGTTTGATTATATTCCTCTAAGACCAGCACTCTTTCACTGGGCAAAATCTTCCGATTTTCGATGATTTTCCTGAGTTACCTCTCGTTGCTACTTTGACCTCTCTCTCTCTCTCTGCTGTTCAGTTCAGAGAAGTCGTCTGAAACGTTGTGACCTCTTCCTGGTTCGAATGACAAGTAAGTGATGATTCTTCTTTCTCACTTCTTTTTTTTATCCCTTTGTCTCTCTCTCACTTAGTTTTTTTTGTTAACACGGTTCACGGTTTCGACCCTTTAACAGGGATGTCCGTAAAGCTGAGACCAGCAGGTTTAAGAGAAATGAAATTTGAGTAAAAGACTAGGTTTTAAGCACCAAGACAACGGGGAAAGAGCGGGATAGTGCAGTTCAACTTCTTCAGTCTCCATTCGCACTGCTCTTCGGATAATAAATGTCTCCAGGGGTTCGCCAACTTACCGTCCTCGGAAAGTTCAAACCTTTCGGTCTAATCGCCGAAGCTACCGACGATAAACCTCCAGACGATAATGTTGCTGACCCGTACCAGTATTTTCTATTCGATCCTGAGCTCACCGGCCAGCAATACGATGCTGATGGCAATGATGGTAACTTCTATCGGCAGAGAGAGCATGAGCTCTTCATCCGAGACAACCGGTAAGAAGGGTATCATCTTACAGTTTTGGATTGGCGGGATTTCATTAGATTTGACTTTAGGCTGTGTCTACAATTTGCTGATTACTCTATTTTTACAATGCACCACTCCGTGAATTCACCATTTGCGCTAAGAATGTGTTTTCCATTATGTCACTTTATTCCTTAATGTCTGTAGGACTATGCTTAGGTTGAAGCTAAGGTATTTGATATAACGTATCTGGCTGACTTTCTGATTGCATCTGTTTTAAACGATGAAATTCTGATTTGTTGATAGCATAATCTGGACAAGCGGTTCTCGCGTGCTCAAGCGGTTTACCTTGTCTTCTGCCATCATCAAGGTAATTTCCATAAGAAGTTTGAATCTTTGTCTCCAATGTTTTTTCGTTTGAAAATTCATGGAATCTTGTTCGTGACAATTTTAAGTAAATAAATAACTAGGTGTGCCTCAGCCATGCATTCTTTTGTATTAGTGAATGCGTTAGATTCTTTTTTTTTTTGTGAAGCTATTCTGTTTGTTCCTCACTGAATTAATTAAAAGGCTAAAAAAATTATTTCCCATTAGTTTGATGCGGTACAATTTTTTGTTTAATGCTATAGGCATGCTGGAGTCACCTGGGTCGAGGGGCAGAAGCATTTCTTTGTGTCTTACAAATTGGTTGTTTAACAATATACAACACGTCAGGTGAGTGTGGCTACATACATCTGAACTATTATATTTACCCTCCTATCTTCCTTTTCATGATACCTAATGGATTCTTATATTGTTTTGCTTCTAACGAAATAACAGTCCCATATTGTAGCTCATAGATGTTTTGATCCTTCACCGTGCTTGATTCACTTGACATTGTGTAATTACGGATGAAAAATGATGGAGTCGGATCAAGTGAAATAGATTTCATGCAGCTTTCTGTGCATTGATCATTTTTCTAAAGTTCTAGTAGATTAGTTAACTTTAGCCGCTGTTAGTTTCCTTCCTTTCCTCTGGCTCTTAATATTGTACTTATTACTTATTGGCTAGATCTGTATAAAATGCTGAGGTATTTACTTTTCTATCTTTGGCATTGTGGGCGACAGGCGAAGTTGTATCTGTTCCACTTCCACGTACTGTCATATCAATATGGCCTCTACCATTTGGTCTACTTCTTCAGCAAACTGCTGAAATGAATCCATCCTCATATGCTCCATTTTCTTCTGCTAGCCCCACCCTTGGTTCTCGTGAGATGCTGCGCCAAAGAAAAGAAATGGGGAATATTTCACCACAGAACTTCCATTCCCCAGTCACACATGACCTCACTAGCAAAAGAGACATGTCTTACATGTCTTCTCATCTGATACTAAGAGATCCTTTAGAGGAGCCTGGGGTAAATGATCTCATTCATTTAGATATTCCTTCTTCATGCCAGTATTTTTTTTTTTTTTAATTCAAGATCGGAATTATTTCTTTTTTGTTATCGCAACAGCACATAGCTTTTTTTCTGGTTATGCAATGTTTGTTATATTTTGCATCTGGTAACTCATCCAAGTAACTTTTCAGCCAACCTATATAGAAGAGAGGGGAAAAATGAACATAATGAAGGACTATGATGAGAGAACAATTTGGACAAGTGACTGTCTTCCTCTTATGACCTCTTATAATAAAGGTTTGTCATTTTCTTCTCCGGTCAGACTGAGCTTGCCACATGCTCTTCTTATTTTTCATCGAAGTACTCTGTCTTGGGTTTTTCAGGCAAGCTGCAACATTCTGTGTGGGCAGCCGAATTTATTGATTCGAACGTTGAAGCTTCTGCTTCGTGTTCAAGCGGCATTGTTCCGGATGCTGTTATCCCAAAGCGAGTATCTTTTCGCAGAATATGGCAAGCCAAAGGTGCTAAGAAAGCTGCGTCTAAGGTGACAACTCTATAGGATGTTTTCGTTGTTGGTCGTGTTATCTTCCTTTGAAGAAGATTATTTACGTATTTTGGTAGGCTGACAAGTTTTAGGATCTCTTTTTAACATGTGGTTAGTTTTCCATAGCTATGTGCTGCTGCTAACCAAATCAAGACTTAATAGATTTTCTCGTAAATGTTTTGAGAAACTCTACCTTAGCGATGCTCACTGAATGCACAATTTTAGACCTCTCAGCTATCTTGGATAGGATCGCTTGCTCATTATAGCTGTTCTCTGAACATTCTAAAACACCGCCAACATAAAGCACTTTTGCTTGGGCATATACAGTCTTATAGATATGTGGCCGTTCTGAAAATTCTTGTTCTTTAAAATGCTTTGTTATTCAAGAAGGCTCGGGCTTTGGGGCCATGGCTAAATCCCTTCCCCATCATGGTGCTCGAACTTGAGATCTGTAATCCCCTCAGCCTTAAGCTGCTTGTGCTATCAGTGCTGAGTTTGCTCTTTTTATTTTCGAGTTCCTTTTGTGGAATGTGTTTTCTTTCAAATATATGAATATTGTAATTTTGTATTTTCATTGTTGTTTGTTTACTGTGAATGGGAGAAAGATTTGTGGGCTCTGTTACTAAAGTCTTTACTCTTCTTATTGATTTTTCACAAGTGCCTTAATATATTACAGGTCTTTTTGGCAACTGATGATGCAATCCCAGTAATTTGCTTCCTGATATTAGAACAAAAGAAGCTGTTATCGGTGGGACTTCAAACTGTTGAGATCAATAATGAAATTCTGTTTGACGTTAAGCCTGATACAAGCTGGAGTGTCTCTGCAATTGCTGCTGCACCTGTTGTTGTGACGCGTTCTCAGTAAATTCCTATTCACAATTTTTTTGGCTTCTTTGTCACTGTAAATGAGAATATTTCTGTCGTCATGTTACGAGTTTGTCTAATTCTTTTTCAATTTCCTTGCAGAGTGAAAATTGGACTGCTTCCACATTTGGATATCATTGTATTATCTCCAGAAAATGAACTCTTTCTTTATGTAGGTTCTTCTTATGTACCATACCGTTTTCTTTGCTAAATATCTCCCTAATAATATGTTTAATTGATTTATCTTATATTATTTGTAGTCAGGAAAACAATGTCTCTGTAGATACGCACTGCCTTCTTGGTTGGGCGAAAGTCTCGGTTCTGGTGATAGAGAGTCTGCAAAGACAGACTTAAATTCCCGGGACCTGAAGATTACAGGATTGTCTGATGCTGTGTTGGGATGTATCAATCTATCAGTGAATCATTCACAGGTATGCCACACAGATATCCAATCTTTTTGGAGCTCAAAATTATTAATTTTGTTACCTACCTTACTCGTTCTATCCGTATGAACTCAAATCACGTGATTGTTGCAGTTAGGTTTACTGTTTCAAACTTCGGTACTTGGTTATTTGGTTGTTCATATTGCCTTCTGTTTTAATATACCGTATATAATTTATTCTTGTAGATCTTTCGGTGTGCCTTAACTGGTAACCCTTCATCTTCACTTGCAAATGATTGCATAGCAGCCATAGCTGCGGGATTACGATCCGATCTCTACAATTTGTTTCTCTCTCTTCTTTGGGGAGATGGTTATTCTGACCAGCAAGGTTCCAGTATTCATTTTGAATGGGAAGCGTTATGCAACATTTTTATGGGGATCTGTCAAAAACCTACTGTTGTGCATCCGAAGCAACCCAAAACATCATCAGAGTCATCCTGGGAGTTTTTACTCAGCAGCAAATTTCATATGACCTACTCTACGTTTCATAGTGGTATTACTTTAATTAACCCTTTGGATCTGGAAGGAATCGCCCCATTTGGTTCTATGGCTGGCAGTGGAGAAATACCAGGCAACTCATTTGAGTTAATGGTCCAGAGTTTAGATTCTCTTCATGCAGTGTATGAGAGCTTGAAGATGGATAATCTGCGGAAACAGTAAGCATTCGTGCACCTTGCCTGTTTTGCTTACAAAATGGTTTGCTATCTTACATTGGTAACTACGAAAAGAGTATAATTATTAGTTGTTATTTCTCATCACTCTTTCTTAATCAGGTCTATCTTGTTGCATGAAAGTATGAAAATTCTGCAAGCATTTTATCTTTGACTCAAATGTGGCGCCAAAAGTTGATCTAGCCTGAGATGGTTTCTTGACAAAAAATCACATGTCACATATAGCGAGTATGCCTTAGGCCAATCTTGCACTGACAATAGTGGTTTCATGCTAGACTTTTTTGCATAACATTCTACTGTATAGTTTCTCATAGAAAACTAATGTTTTAAAGATCGGAAAAAGTAGTTCGATATTTACTCTTCTAAACTTTTGACATCTATGTGCAGGGATTTGCATCAGTTAGCTGTTTTACTGTGCAATATTGCCAAGTTTCTGGGTGAGAAGTGTTACTTAGATCACTATATACGTGATTTTCCTCGTCTTTCCAAAATTACTGGGGCATGCACAGCCCTTTCTTCTAGCAGAAAACCTCCAAATCTATTCAGATGGCTTGAGAACTGTTTGAGACGTGGATGTTTATCCACAAAACTTGATGACCTCCCAGATTTGATCCGTAAAGATGGGTGCTCCATTGTGAGCTGGGCAAGAAAAATTGTTTCCTTCTACAGTGTTTTATTTGGTGATAAGCCCGTAGGACAGAAACTTTCGTCAGGTGTCCCCTGTAATATTGCGCCAGGATCATACTCCAGTAACGAGGAACTTGCTATCCTAGCTATGGCTGGAGAGAAATTTGGGCTTCACCAACTGGATTTGCTACCTTCTGGTGTATCTCTCCCACTGAGACATGTAAGTTGGAATGTTTAGATACTTATGTATTAGAGGAATATGCAGGTTGAAATGCTAAATTGTTGATAACTTCTACATCAATGTGAGGATTTTCATGTAGCTTTCCTGGGTCAGCCAGACAATCTTCTTACAGACCATCTTGCGCTTTCATTGCCCAATTCTATTTTCTCGTCTCTTTAATATGTTGGTTTGTTAGTTCCTGTTGCCTATTTCGTATATTTTGCTTAACATTTTTTCTGTTTTTGTAGGCACTGGATAGCTGTCGAGAATCTCCTCCAGCTGACTGGCCAGCAATTGCTTATGTGCTTCTTGGTCGAGAAGATATGGCCCTATCCGTCTTCAGAAATATGAGTTCATCTAAGGAATTTGAGATGCAGTCAAATACGAGTTTGATATCGATGTCCATACCGTACATGCTGCATTTGCATCCAGTAATTGTTCCATCCTCTTTATCTGAGTCGATTGGCTTGGAAACCACTAAGATTGAGGATACAAATTCTGTGGATGGTTCTGTGATAGATGGAATGGAGCATATCTTTAACTCCTATACGCAGTTGCGGTATGGCCGAGATCTGCGGCTTAATGAGGTATATCTACATCCCCATTTGGAAACTACAAATTTGTTAGCGTAATGGTCAGAGTGTTTAATGCCCGACTATTTCCGTAGTGTGCCATATAGACTTTTGCATCTTCTGTAGCTAGGCTCCACCCTAAGTAGTATGTTTCATTGCATTAAAAGTTTCACAGGATTACTTGTTTAACTGTAGTGCACTCTGTGTGTTGTCTCGCTGTTATTGGTTTTACATCTCTAAATGTAAGTTTTCTAGATATCATAAGACGTGGACTTGCTCCTGCGTTTGCTACTTTGATTTGGTTTCTGTTGCATTGAAAATTTCCTGCTATTTTTGTTCTGTATTAGCGGATTATTACAAAGTCTCATTTTGTGTTACCATCCTTCATCTGTTATGCATTGTTGGATGGGTATTCAAATGTTTCCATCTACGCACCCCTCTTCATTTTAAAGTGTCGGCATTTGATTTAACTATCAACCCATATTCTTTCTCCTGATGTTCTCCTTCTATCTTATTTTTCCGTCTCATGTTAGGTTCGACGTCTTTTGTGTTCTGCACGACCTGTGGTAATTCAAACGTCTGCTAACCCTACTATATCAGATCAGGAGCAGCAACAGGTACATACCTAAAGATATGATCATTTCTAATGCTAGCTTCCAAATAAGAGAAGCTATAATCCTAGAAATTCACTACTTGCAATCTTTAGCGTTTATTATGTTTTTATCTTTTTAATTATTTTATTGAAAATTATTTGGTGCTGCTAGAATATATGTTAGGAGAGAGAATTTAATATTTTATGATCCATTGATAATTTTGATATGCTTTCACATCACTTTTTGTAATTAAGTTTCCAAATTTAATCAATTCTTATTTCGTATTTAGAAACTGAAGTAAGATGCAGCTACACTTAAATTTCTTGACGTGGAAAGAGCCAGTGGTTTAGTTTTCGTTGAAGTCACTTTTTTAGACCTGCATAGTCTCTAAAACTCTCTTTAATATCTGTTATGTTGCATTATTTTTTCATTGCTGTAGGACCAGCTTTGGCGCATAGCACAGAGGACTTCTGTGCTTCCCCTCGGGCGTGGAGCATTTACATTATCAACAATACACACTCTTTTAACGGAGGCAATTTTTTATTTGACGAAAGCTATACTTGGTTTTTATCACTTTTAATGAGTACTTGGAAGATTTATATTCTCTGAATTTTTGCAGGCGTTTACTGTTCCAAAGCTTGTTTTAGCTGGTCGGCTGCCTGCCCAACAAAATGCCATTGTACGTAAAATTGTGGTTATGAATATTACACATCAAACACATATTCAATGCTCTAATTTACATGAAATAACATTTTTGTGAATGGCTTTTGTTATTATTGGGAGTTGGAATTTGCATTAAGCGGCAATTTCTTTACCCAAAATGCAAATTTGTGATTTATAACCATTTTCGCCTGTCTAATAGTTTGGGTTGCATCCCTTACAGGTTAACCTAGATCCAAACATAAGGAATATCCAAGAACTTAAGACCTGGCCAGAGTTTCATAATGCTGTTGCTGCGGGGTTACGACTGGCTCCGCTTCAGGTTTGTGTTTTATATTTAGGACGTTTTAGTGTCTCTCATCTTACTTTTGCATCATGAGATGCTATAAGAGAATACTCCAAACTGGGACATATGATCTCACAATGTATGTTTTTGTCACGCAGCAAGTACCCTTTCTTCGTCCTGGCCACATCTCAAAGTCTCGCAGCCAATTAATCCAGTTTTGTTTCTTCTTACATTTTGGTGCAGGGAAAGGTATCCAGAACGTGGATTAGATACAATAAACCTGGAGAGCCAAATGCTGTTCATGCTGGACTTCTGTTTGGGCTGGGATTACAGGGATATTTGCATGTGTTAAACCTTAGTGACATATACCAATATTTCACTCAGGTTTGTTTCTATTAGCTCCTTTTCCCTTAAGCTATTTCTTTCCCTTACTTCTTATTGGTTAATAGTAATTAGTAAGACGTGTTGAGGCCTAATTTCTGCTGAGATGAGCATCAAGTTACCCTGGCTCTTATATGAAATTATGACCTGGATTTTTGGATTAGCACATGTCATCTTTAGTTGTGACCACATGTGGCTTAGAGTGGAGATATGAAATTAGGAATGCAACATTGGACTCCTTTAACAAATAAAGACGAATGTCTGCCTCATTTGATAATTGTGGTCGTTTTCATTATCAGCCTTAATTATCACATATAGAATCGTTTTACCTGGGGGAATCTACAAATAGATGGACGAACTTTCATATTCTTATATTAAAGTGAATTTTTCCATTTGATAAATCCTGAGAGTCTTGACTACTCTCTATTTACCTTAATTGCTTCCTTCCTTGGTCTTTCAGGACCATGAGAGCACCACGGTAGGTTTGATGCTTGGTCTGGCAGCGTCGTACAGGAGAACAATGCAACCTGATATTGCAAAGGTAGAAGTTCAGTTGCTTCATTTTCTTGACTATTTAGTAGACGTGGGCTCAGATCTTGAATTAGTACTATTTTTGTTGATAGCGAGTCAACCAGAAACCCATTTTATTTTTTTAAGGAAATCATAAGTCTTCCAATTAACACTACTTTGGAATCTACCTATGCTTTCTTGTTAGTCTTCGATCCAGATTACATAAAATAATGGATGATCAACATCTTCTGAAATGCTAATATTTGTTACTAGCATTAGACTTCAAAATTTTCTTTTAATATTTTCAGTTCTATCGAGATGTATTTGCTGCGCCATGTGTGTAATCCTTTCTTTTAGAAATTATTTTTCTTTGTAACAGGCTCTCTTTTTCCACGTTCCTGCTCGATATCAAGTTTCATATGCTGAGTTTGAGATACCAACACTTCTACAGGTACAGATTGCTGTGGTGTTTCATTTATTGAAAGGATTTTAGTTCTCCACAAACAATTACTGAAACAAGAAGTTTGATTTGCTATGGAATTTACTTACATATGCTAAAAGTATAGACAAATATTCATGTCACCCCTTCGAATCGTTGGAATATTCATCTTTTCTACCTTACGTATATCTTCCTAGCAGAATCCATTGATTTTAGTTATCTCTGCAGAATCCATGGAGTTTAGTTATCTCTTATTCGTGACCAATAAAAAAGAGCTCTCTCTTATTCTTTTTTTTTCATAACATGCTATCTTCAACTATTCTTCAGTCTGCAGCTTTGGTCTCCGTTGGCATTCTATTTGAAGGATCAGCACACCTGCAGACGATGCAATTACTTTTGGTAATGTTTCCTGCGTGTCTATTTTTTTCACTTATGGTTAAAATTTGATATAGCACTCTTCCTGTCATCAAATGTCATTTTCAATGTTACAAAATTATTATATGTGAGGATCATGTTTCAAATCACTTATAATTCATAGGAAATAGGTGAATACATGATACAATTACAGTTAGGTGAATGTGTATCCATACAGTTTTGCTTTTCTCAGGAAATCTAATTTTCTCATAAATCTGAAATTCCTCTCAGTGGTGCATCTTTGATACAATTATAGTTTGTGTATGGAATTTGAGCAAGTTGATAAGTTTAACTTTTAAAAGCTATTACTTGGTTTAGTTATGGATCTATTCCTACGTGTACAAATCTTGGAGTGAGTTAAAATAACTTTTAATTGGCAATTTTCGTTCTCTGCAATTTACTTCGTACATGTTCTCAGGGTGAAATTGGCCGCAGAAGTGCAGGGGACAATGTCCTTGAAAGGGAGGGTTATGCTGTATCTGCAGGATTCTCACTTGGTCTTGTTGCTTTGGGTATGTCTTACTCTTTTTTGGCTACTGAAAATTTCTCTTCTGTTTAAATTAACTCTGCGGGTTTTTTTTTTGGCTCAAGGCCGTGGAGGTGATGCGCTCGGTTCCATGGACTCCTTTGTCAATCGCTTACTCCAGTATTTGGGAGCAAAAGAGGTTAATTGTCTATGCTCTGGATTTCATATGAACTGTATCCCATTCTTATTCCTTTGTTGACAGAAACTAAATAAAAAAACATTGGAATTGTAAACAGTCTCTATTCTTGTATTGAAAACGTCTTGAACTCCCTACAGGAAAGATCTCTCCTTGCACCATCAAATGAAGATCACCGAAGTGCTGCACAGGTTTCCCTGCTTATTGTTCTTCATATATTCCTTTGTGAAACTTGTATTGTGCATATATATGTGCCCTAAACACTTGCTGAAGTCTAAATATGTTATCATTTTTTCCTGTCTCAGATAACAGACGGAAGCACTTCCAATGTTGATATAACTGCACCTGGAGCGATAATCGCTCTCGCATTAATGTATCTTAAGGTGGGTCTTGAGGATGGTTAAACTAGATAACTGGTTCGAAGTTCAGCCTTTACCTTTTTCTGTGGAGTATGGACTTTCAAAAAGCTTTATATGATGTTTGTTGCAGACAGAATCAGAGGTCATTGTCTCAAAGCTCTCTATTCCGCAAACACATTATGATTTGGAGTGCGTAAGACCTGATTTCATAATGCTCCGTGTCATTGCTCGGAACTTGATAATGTGGAGCAGGTATTTTTTATTTAGTTTTTTATCGTTGCCTGATTAGGAGTGCTCTTATTGAGGCTTCTAAGATCGTAAGTCGAGTTGATTTTGTATTACAGGATCCGTCCTACGTGTGATTGGATTCAGTCTCAAGTTCCTGATGTTGTCAAAAATAGCATCAGCCACCTCCAAGATGACATGGATGATATGTATGAGGTGGATGGTGAAGCCCTTGTGCAGGCATATGTCAATATAGTGGCCGGGGCCTGCATTTCACTAGGTATATAATCTACCTTTTATGAGACATCAGTCTCTAATATCTCTTCGTCTTCTTTTTGACATGAATCCTTGTTTCTGTTAGGACTGAGATTTGCTGGTACAAGGGATGGAAATGCTCGTGACTTACTTAACAACTACGCTCTCTATCTTTTGAATGAGGTAGATATATTTGGTACTCTTTTTTCCCTCAAATGCTAAGAATTCTCTAAGTTTCATTCTGATCATCTCATGTGAGCTTATATGTTTTGATGTATGTAGATCAAGCCTGTTTCTGTTACACCTGGAAATGCATTTCCCAGGGGAATATCTAAATATGTTGATCGCGGAACGCTTGAAATGTGTCTTTATCTTACCATTCTTTCCCTTTCAGTGGTAATACTTCTTTTGGAAGTCTCCTGTCCAAATATTTACAAATATTATAGTCAGTAGCTTTATGTTGAAGAACTCACTTGTGTAGGTCATGGCGGGATCAGGAGACTTGCAAGTATTTCGGCTGTTGAGATTTCTCCGCAGCCGGAATTCTGCTGATGGACATGCAAACTATGGTACTCAAATGGCGGTAAGCAATTTTGTGCAATTTTAAGGTTCCGTCGCTTCATGTAATTCAGTTGCCTTGCAATTTATTTCTGAAGTTGGGATATTAAATTTTATTTTCTTGAGCAATTATCTATTAAAGTGGCTGGCAATCTTGTAAACAATGAAAAAAAAAAGGAAGTGAGCTATGAACCGTGTAAATTGTAAAGTAATTTAAAAACTGCTGATATTCTTTAGCAATGCGATCGGAAATGTGAAACTCTCTATAGCAAGAGGATTGCATATTTGTTAGAGATCTCTTAGTCCAGTATGTAATCGATTTTTTGTAAAACGTTCTTGTTAAAGGAATTCCTTCTGTTTTTCTGAAATATGAGACAGCATAGTGTTCTTTCGTTTAGGTGAGCTTAGCCACGGGTTTCCTGTTTCTTGGAGGTGGTATGCGAACATTTTCAACAAATAATGGGTCACTTGCAATGTTGCTCATCACTCTCTATCCACGGTTGCCTTCTGGACCAAATGACAATCGGTGTCACCTCCAGGCAAGTTTAAATCTCTTATTCATCCTCTGCATCGCTCTTTGTTTGTGTTTGGTTTGGTTGCTGTCTCTGTCTGACTTCATTTCTGTAGAAGCAAGAGTTTATTTTCTATATAAAATGTTACCCAACACCAATCTCTTTGTGGATTGTGATATCAAAGACATGGCAAGCTTGGAAGTCGATTTCTAACTTTTGTTGTGATATCCATGCTATGGTCAGAATACATCTGATAAAGAGATTTTTTTTTCTCTTTCTTTTTTTAGGCATTCAGGCATTTATATGTCCTTGCCACGGAGGCTCGTTGGCTGCAGACTATTGATGTTGATTCCGGTCTGCCTGTATATGCACCTCTAGAAGTCACGGTAAAAGAGACGGAACTTTATTCAGAAACAAGATTTTGCGAGGTTACCCCGTGCATTTTGCCAGAGCGTGCTATTGTAAGAAAACTCCGACAACTTACCCTTACTTCCCCTGCATTATTTTAAGTACAAAAAAGGACTACAAACTTTTCTTGATTTGCATGCTCACACTGCTTTATTCTGGGAGAGGCACATTTGCGGCAACTGCAAGTTGAACATCAGAAAATTAGGGCTATATACCATCCTGTCTTAATTCTTGCTTAAGTTTTCTCATGCAATACCTGGTTCACCGATTCTATATGCTTGTATCGTCCGCCTTCACCTGAAAAATGTATCGGTATCCCTGCAGCTAAAGAGAATTTGTGTCTGTGGTCCCCGATACTGGCCCCAACAAGTTGAGCTTGTCCCAGAAGGTGATTGATGCTTTTTCATAGAAAAATTCCTTGTTTCTCCTTGGTGATTTTGTCTAGCTGGTTTTGATTGATTTTGACCCAATGAAACACAGAGAAACATTGGTGGAGCCTTGGGGACAAGAGTGATCCCTTCAGTTCTGGTGTTATATATGTCAAAAGGAAAGTAGGAGCTTGTTCGTATGTTGATGATCCAGTTGGGTGTCAGTCACTGCTTTCACGAGCAATGCATAAGGTGGTAACACCAATTTTATACTCTCAGCTCAGATATATTCATTTTCAGTCTAGAGAACTGGATTCTTATACAGATTAGATGCTTTCGGTGGTGCAGGTTTTTGGTTTAAGAACTCTGGACGAAGATAATATGCTTGCTAATAGCCACAGAGAACTGGATTCTGATAGCGTTGATCACTTGGTCAGCACTTTCTCATCGGATCCAAGCCTAATAGCCTTTGCACAGTTGTGTTGTGACAAATCTTGGAATGACAGGTAAGTACTGTTTTGTCCGTTTTCCCTCAATGTCCATGGCCAGCAGTATGAATTTAGAAAATATTAGTTACCTGTCATGTAGGCATATAATCTGCACAGAAAAGATGGTAATACTATGTTTTTCGTCAATATGACTGCAAGTAGAATTAAAAGGGACATCTTCATTGTGGTTCTTGCTCATAAGTCATAACAGAGTTCAATAGTTTTCTTATCGACTTATAGAATCCCAAAAGGGAAAAGTCTTAAGTCTTAATCCGAACCCATTCATGCAGATCTGATTCTGATTTCAAGGAGTTCTGTCTGCAAGTGTTGTTTGACTGTATAAGCAAGGACAGACCAGCTCTTTTGCAGGTGATTGCTACTTTTGCTCTCTATTATTCAATGGTTATTTGCAGTTTGGAACATTCTTGTTGCAATTTATCTAGCATATGTTAATATATTGTCACATGATTCTTATAGGTTTATTTATCTTTATATACAACCATTGGTTGTATGGCTGAGCTGCTTGTCAAAAGCGATAGTAATGTTTGTGATTCACTATCCATCTCAAGCCTCAAGGTACTCTGTCTGCAATGATATAACACGAAAGAAAGATAGATTTACATATTCTAATCTGCTTGATTTTATAATTAATATTTTTGGGATCCATTCTTGTATTCCCAGGTTGCTCTTGCCTACAACGAGGCGGTATCAAATGGAAGATTGGCCTCTTCAGGTGGTTTTGTCCAATCAATCTTCTTGGCATCAATAGGGAAACGGTGTGAAGAGATTTTGAATAGCTCAAGGGAGCTGAAGATGAAGTTGAGAAATTATCTGACCTCGGAAGCATGGCCTGATGACGATAACTCAAAGTTGCAGAAAGACACAATCCTTCTCTCATGGTATATAAAATGGTTCAGTGTACCGTCTCCATCGATCATCAAAGCAGCAGTGGAAAAGATCAAGTCCAAGCGCAAGATGTCAACTTCGGCAATACCTCTGTTACGATTGTTGTTACCAAGTACGCATATTATTGCGATAAGTGAAATTGATAGGGTGTTTTTCCCCTCGAATGAAACAACAAGTGCATTGTGAAAAATCAGCATTTGGTTATATTTTATAGATTAATCTTTGAAGCAAAGAGTACCTAACTTTGTTGTGAAACCAGGGTCGATTTCAAGATTCCAAAATCAATGTGCTATATAACAAACGCCATATACTGTAATTCATATGGGAAACCACTACTACACGTGACTTGTCAATCCGAATTAAAAAAAAAAAAAAAGTATCTCCATTTGGTACACAAATCTCACCGTTAAGACGACTCTTATCAAACTCCTCATCGCTGTGTCTCTATAACCACCATTACTATCAAAATCTTGGTCTCTAAGGACCACCCTTCCCACATGTCTTTTTGGAGCCTTCTCCTCGTCTTCTGATTAATCTTAGTATTTCATTACATAATCTGCAGCGTTCGAATCTTCAGAGTAGTGGGATTCGAATTCATCTGAAGAAGACTCAAGTCAGCAGCACAAGTAATCTTGTCCATGGTCGACTTTGACAAGAGGGAAGTGGTTCTTGGAACTGATATCCATCATCATCTCTTCTTCATTCACAGTCGCATAATAAATTTATAAACGTTTTCGTCGTCTGCGGTATAACGACTAGAATGATCATCAGCTTCAATCTCTTGAGCTGCTCTTGGAAGCTGGAACAAACTCTCTAAGAAGAGGCAAGAAACGAGACAGTTTTCTCTGGTGCTCTGAGTTAATGTCTGGTTTGAATCTATGATTTTCGTGATAATCTGATAAGAAAGAATCCTCCCAAGCTCTTGCTCAAACAATTGAGCTCTTCCTCCATTTCGTCAGTCTTCTCTCGATTTTGAAGGAGTTTGTTTTAAGGATCTGGTAAAGGCAAAGCGAGAAAGAGGAAGAAGAAGAAGAAGAAGAAGAGAAATCAGAGAGGTTTCATCGCCTTTCTCGCGCTCTGCACGGAAGATTTGAACAGTAATATACTTTAATGAGTTATATTATTATTTGCTTTGAATAAGTTCTCCTCTCTCTCTCTAGTTCCCACGTGTAATAATATTATTGGTTCTATGTCGCAGAGCGTGACACCACGCGCTTAAAATGTCAAGACATTATCCCACTCGCACCCACAGCGCGTTGCGCGCGTTAGGCCAAAATCCATAGGTCATGCGCGATTTTTTCGCGAGTGAGTTTTTTTTTATTATTATTTTATTCTCTGCTGCGTTTTATTTCTTACTAGATTGTCGTTTTGGTCTTAAATTTGTGAAAATAGTAGCATTGCTCCTAGCTCTATATTATTAACATCAAATTGCGTCATATGCGTTTTACTTGTTTTCGGTTGTCGTTTTGAGTGAGTTTCAAAAGAAAGAAAATTTCTCAGACGAATCTGAAGTTTTTGATTCTGCGATTCACTGGCACGAAGAACAATTCCTCTTAAACAGACTCGCCTCCACCGTCCGGTGCATCGTCTCGATTGAGAATTCTATCATCCTCTAATCGACAAGTTGATCGCCGGAAGAGTGAGCAATCGGCTCATCGTTGTTGATTTGGTTCCATGTTCGCCAGAAAATTCCTGCAGAAATCCTCGGGTGCTCAGAAGCCTCCTTTAGCTCCTCCGCCTCGGGTATTGCTTTCTCGTCTCTTTTCTTCTACTATCTTTGACGAATTAAACTTCCATTTTGATCCTTCTGGATCGATCATTCTAGACTCATCTGCATTGGAATTCCATGCCTATAAATTCCGAAATGGAGAGGAGAACTTCTTCTGAAAAGAAATGTACTTGAAAAAAAAAAATTAAATTTTCGAAGATGGAGCTGGTTTGAGAAAGACTTGTATCATCCGATAAGATTGAATGGTTACCTTAGTTATAAGAGGCATATATTAAAAACGAAAGCTTTAAAAAGTCGATGAGACATGTACTGGCAGCCATTGCATGATTACTTTCCTCACCTTAGTTACACAGCTCATATAGCTTTTCCCATGTCAGGAATGCTTGTTTGCTTTAGACGTTCATTTGTATTATGAATCTTTCCAGGGATGTTTGATAACAGAAGACTTGGATCCCCATATTATCACCCACTATGGGATACCTTCGACAGCATCTCTTCTTGCCTTTGACCCTATTCAATGCCTCTTGGCTGTGGGAACACTGTAAGTTCTTCTTTTCGCCTTGCCACTGCTAAGACAGTGTATTTTCCCTCAGCATTCTTCGTACTTGAAAACCAAGTGCTACCCAGTCGAAAAAGAATATCGGTTTATTGTGAAGAAAATTATGATTGAGATGAGGGAACTTATAAGAAGTGTGGCTAATTGAATCATTTTTTAGTCCTACTGCAGTACCTATGATGTTAGAAAAAAACCATCGCTGTGGGATCAATTTTATTTCAATCTTCTTTTTGCTAACCATTCGCAGAGATGGAAGGATAAAAGTGATTGGTGGTGATAACATCGAGGCGATTCTTGCATCTCCTAAGCAGCTACCTTTCAAAAACTTAGAGGTTTGTGGTATTCTGTTCACCTCTTGGTCTGTTGAAAGGCTATAATCATTTCAAACTTATATAGCTTCGATGTAGTCCCTTTTCTATTTCCTGATGTGCTTGCTAGCTTAATGCACTTCCTTTTCTATTTCCTAATGTTCTTGCTAGCTTAATTTCCTTTCCGCTTTATACTGTTTTACAAGAAGTTCAATGACAAAATAAACTAAATTTCATGTTCAAATATTTTTCGAGTTGATCTTTTTCAGTGCTGTAGTAGAAAGAAATGGTATCTCTAGTCAACTTATGTTGTGAACTTGGGATATATATTTCGGTCATCCCGCTTTATGATCCCAAGTATCTCTAACTCTACTTGAATCTTTATCTTTTCTTTTACAGTTCATTGAAAACCAAGGCTTTCTGGTCAGCATCTCAAATGAAAACGAGATTCAGGTACCAATTCAGTGTTTGAAATTTCTATATTTTCCAGCTGAAGTCTTCACTTCTGCTTGTTTGACCGTCTTCACTCTCATCTTGTAATCGTCCACTCCTTCATTTTGTTCAACAACATATTTGAGGGACAAAAACCAATAAATTTTCCTTCTTTATTAGGTTTGGGACTTGGATCTTAGGCAGACAGCGTCAAGCTTACACTGGGAGTCAAATATTACTGCATTTTCAATCCTCCATGGCACCGGTTACATGTATTGAGCTTGTTAAAATGACAAATTGTAGCAATATTACACTTACTATGGCGTCATTAACTACTTTTATTATCTTCTTCACAGGTATGTCGGTGATGAGTATGGTATGGTGTCTGTTCTAAAGTACAGTGCTGACGAAGGGAAACTAGTGCAGCTTCCTTATTACGTACCAACTGATGCTTTAGCTGGTATGGGGGTTTCAATGTGATGACGACATGTGTTTAGAACCTTTATTGAGTTTAGAAAGTTTATAGTTTCAGAATTAAGTCATTAGTTTGTTTTGTAGTTAATCTCTATATGCCTTCACCAAACTATTTGCAAAGTAAATCCTTGGCAAGGAAACTTTTTCTAATATTGAAGCTTCTATGAGTATCATATCCTCTTGGTAATTCAGATTAGATGAAAACACCCAAAGACGTTTCGTATTGCATTTTTAGCTGTTCTTTGAACATATTTTCTCCCATTTCCCTCTCTTTTCAGAAGCAGCGGGGCTTTCATCTCCTATTGACTATCCGGTTGTTGGACTTCTTTCTCAGCCTTGTTCAAGGGGAACTAGGTGAGACAGGATTTATTTTGACTTTTATACGTGTTATTATGACCTATAGATGGGAAACATTTTTTGACTCTGAAACTGACTATCTGAGCTTGTCATAGCATTTGTGAAATCAATATTTAAGATCTATCAAAATAAGCTGGCTATTACTACTGCCTCTATCAATCCTTTATTTTTGTGCACCCAGTCCCCTAAATTTTTATGTTTCAAATTAGAAAAGCATCGGAAAATATCGTAGGACTGAGAGCATTTACTGAACTTCATGTCTAAGTTCACAGATATGATTTCATATTTTTGTTAGACATGTGATTCTAGTCCTCTCAGAAGAGATACAACCTTTTTCTGCTATGCTATTTCAGTGTATTATTAGCACGAATACGCAGGTTTACCATCTTTTATGATTAATTTCAAAAATGATTCTTAAGAAATTATCCTGCAGACTGTTGATTGCATTTTCAAATGGATTACTTTTTCTTTGGGACGCATCAGAAGATCGTGTCGTGTTAGTTCGAGGGAACAAAGATCTACCTGTGGAGGGTAAGACTGTCGATGATTCTCTGGAAGCCTCACACGATGAGCTTTCTGATCTTGAACTAGATGGAAAAGAGATAAGTTCTTTGTGTTGGGCATCAGCTGATGGTTCAGTTCTTGCTGTTGGTTATGTGGATGGCGATATATTATTTTGGGAATTTTCTGATGGGCAAAAAGGGAAGCCATCTAATCACGCTGTAAAGTTACAGTTGTCTTCGGCTGAGAAAAGACTTCCTGTCATTGTTATGCATTGGTGTGTGGATGTATCTCGCAAGAATTGTGGTGGAAAACTCTTTATCTATGGTGGTGATATCATTGGTTCTGAAGAAGTACTGACGGTAAGAGCTCAGCTCAAATCAAAAGTTTCATAGTCCCAGATTGGTGAACTTGAGCTAAATAGAAGCACACAATGGAGAGTCACAATTTTTTTCTAAACATTTTGCATTTTTTAATGGTACAAGGGAAACCCAAACATGAATTCTTACCTTGTATATGCAAACATATAGCCTAATATGATGTCTTTTTACTGATCACCTCACGCAGATGTTGGCTCTTGATTGGTCTTCTGGTATGAGAGGTCTGAAATGTGTTGGCCGTGTTGACCTGACCCTTAGTGGTTCATTTGCTGATATGGTCTTGTCTCCAATTGCTAGCTCAAGGCAAAGTGGGATGTTTTTATTTCTGTTGACAAATCCAGGACAACTGCAAGCATATGACGATACCTCTCTGGCTTCTCTGATGGCTCAGAAAGAGAATAATATTTCTGTTTCTCCGCTGCCATATCCGATGGTTGTACCGACTATGGATCCACATATGACAGTAGCAATGTTTGCTGCGTTAAATGTGAACGATAAGACGTCACTGGCTCTTTCTGAGGTAGTCCCTCCACAAATTTCCCAAGTTATTGCTTCCCAGTGTGAGGCCATTAATTTATATTTTATTCTTGATAGATAGTCTTAGCCGCAAAAGCTCGAACCCCACGTACTCCATCTGGAGAAAGTGCGCAATGGCCTCTAACAGGTGGTATTCCAAGCCACCTTGATGACTACAAGCTTGAAAGACTGTACATGGCAGGATATCAAAATGGTTCTGTTCGAATATGGGATGCAACCTATCCATGTCTGTCTCTTCTTTATGACTTGAAGCCAAAGGTATAAATGTTGTAACTCCTTCTTTTGACGTTTATCTTGAAAACTCGTGAATAAGCTGGTTGATATTTTGATGGGAAGTTTTGCCTGTAACCAATTAGTTCATCCTTCAACAATGATCAGGTAAATGGTATTGACATAACTGGAGTAGATGCATCAGTAACAGCAATTTCCTTCTGCTCTAAGACATCTTGTTTGGCTGTTGGTAACGAATTTGGTATGGTAAGAAGACCTTTTCTGCTGATACTTTCTTGATTCGAGCTTTTAATGTGCATCTGACTCTCTCGCTTTTCTGGCTCTGTAGGTTCGCCTATTTAAGCTGGCCGGCCATAAAAGTGGAGGAGCTTTGGAAGTTGTTACTAACACTGACAAGCAAGGTTTGGAAATTGGTACAACGCATCTTTGACTATAGATTTGCTCTGTTTTATCTCATGCTGTTAGTTCATTCCTTGTAGTTCACCGTTTGGATCAAGAGGATGGACCTCAATGGTTGGCTGCGTATTCCTTCCTGAGTTCCCCAGTTTGCACCCTGCGATTTGTACAGTCTACAAGAAGGCTTGCTGTGGGATTTAAATGTGGCAGGGTAGGGATTTAACATCTGTTTCGAAGTCTCGGTATACAGTCGGGCTCTCTAGTTGAAAGCGTCTTAAACTATTTCATATTTTAGGTTGCAATGCTCGACACTGGTGCGCCATCAGTAATGTTCATTACAAATAGCTTATCTGACTCCGGTTCCCCAATCAAGTTACTTTGTGTGAAATCCTCTTCAGCTCCAACTGGCTCAATAAGTGGTCCAACTGATCAGAACTCCATAAATTCCGAAGCTCGTGATGAATCAATCTTGTGTGCAATGACCCAGGATGGACAGACCATTCTTTTCGATGGCAATACTGGAAAAATACTCTCCTCATGCTTGAGACCTCTGAAGAACCCAACTGCGATTTGTATGCACATTATAGGTAATTTTTCTGATACTAACACAAAACTGTTTTTTCTTATGCATCTAGTAAATATAAATATGGTATTCTGCAGAGGACTGCTATGAAAACTCTGAAATCCCCAGTGAAAAACCTGCTGAAAATCCATCTGGGAAGGAGAAACAGGAGAACATATCTCATCTGATCAATGCAAGTGAGAGTCATTCACCAGGTGGTGAACAGAATGCTGTCACGGAAACAAAACTTGTTGATCAAAGATTTGCGAATTCATTATTTCTCATGTGTTCTGAGGATGCGCTGCGCTTGTATTCTTTAAAGTCTTTATCTCAGGTATATTAGAGGATCTATCTTGATTCATTATTCCTGGAATATCTTGCTGGTTTTTCTCTGATAACAAGGTCTTGCTTTCAATACCTAGGGAAGTCTTGAGAGCATTATGGAAGTAAATCTTCCACGTCCGTGTTGCTGGATGGGAACCCTTAAAAAGGATGAAAGGGAGTGTGCAGTACTCCTGCTTTACCGAACAGGGCATATTGAAATAAGGTAACACTCTAATCTATCACAAGTATAATATACATGCCAGATACAACGTAGTTGCCAAATCCAATCTTACAACCATTTAGTCTGAAGGACCACTATAGATGATAAATTGCTCAATAATCAGCTTTAAAAGAATGGTTTGCTTGTATGAACAGATCTTTCCCAGATCTTGAAGTTGTGGGAGAGAGCTCTTTGCTGTCACTTCTTAGGTGGAACTTTAAGCCTAATATGGAGAAGACAGTATGTTCGGATGATTTCGGCCATGTCGTCCTGGTGAGCCTTATACTTTCTGGAAGAGAGCTTTTATCTGTTACTGCCACAATAATTAATAAATTAAATATGTCAGTGAGACCATTGGATGTTTACCAATTTTTACGGGGCTTTGTAGGTTTGGTTTTTTAATGCAATTTATTAAGTATGCAAAGTTAGATCTTGATTTATGAGTTGACATGTATGACATTATGAGAGACTATTTAATATCTCAGATGTTTACAGGTAAATGGTTGTGAAGTTTCCATCCTTTCGTTTCTGGCCCATGCAAACGGATTCAGGTACTGGCTTACTATTTCCTGTTCCATACTTAGTTTCTCAGTGAATACAACTAGAGCTTTTGCACGCTTATCTAGCAAAGTAGCAGTTAACGTAGTCATACCTAGTTCTGCATTCATCACAGGATTCCGGAGTCTTTACCTTTGCTTCATGACAAAGTCCTTGCAGCCGCTGCTGATGCTACCTTTAGCCATTTCCCTGCCCATAAGAAAAACCATGTATGTTATGTTTTCACCTGTGAACCTTTTTTTTTGTAAGCTCCATGATTTTGCTATAAAGAGTATGTGACCGCAGGATGGCGCTCCGAAATTCCTAAGTGGCATTATTAAAGGCTTCAGATCAAGCAATGAACAGAAGGTGGACCAAGTACAAGATTTCTCCCACCTTGGGAACATCTTTTCTAATCCACCATACTTAAAGCCTTCTGCTACCGGTGGCAACGATGATGAGAAGATTGTCGAGCTAAACATAGGTTTGTAATATCTTTACCAAGCTACTCCTCCCCTGTTTCTGGCATGTGACTAAAAAATGGTTTTCTGTAGATGATATCGAGATAGATGAACCTCTAAACATCTTGCCTCTAACCGAGAAAGTAAAGAAAGAAAAGAAAGGTAAAACATATCCGTTCGCCTCATGTTCCAGTATCATTTTGAATGCGTCAGACGAATCTTAAGGTTTCTTTGCAGATAAGAGAACAGATAAGGAAAGACTGTTCGACGGTGCATCCAGTGATGCACAGCCCAAAACAAGAACAGTGGATGAAATCAAGGCCAAATACAGAAACGCAGGGGTGAGTCAAAACCAATTCGATTTAACCCAAAAGAGCTTTCTTGCTTGCTTCTATGTCTAACATGGTTGGGTAACTTTTCCAGGAAACCTCAGCAATAGCTTCACAAGCAAAGGACAAACTTCTTGAGCGTGGAGAAAAACTCGAGGTAGTATATTATGCAGCAAAGATACCATCTTCATTGAAACTGACATGTTTCCAAGCTATCTATTACACACCGATCCTAATTAAAAAACATTTATTTTGTGTGATTGTTCTGCGTTAATACTACCAGAGAATCAGTCAACGCACAGCTGAGCTTCAAGACGGGGCAGAGAACTTTGCATCGATGGCACATGAACTTGCTAAGCAAATGGAGAAGCGAAAATGGTGGAACATTTGAGAAAGCTGCGACACTTTTGCCTTTCACGTGCACATTTGCTGAGTCATTTAGACAATCTCAGGTTCTTGCGTATATAAAATTAAATTATCTTTTGTTTCCCACAGGTGAAAACTCTGTTTCACTTTTTCTGTAAAATAGATTGACCAAAGAGAGCTGATTTGATCTTTCGTTTCTCTCCTCTTTGTGAGGCTGCTGAGTGACTGTCTCTCAGACCTCTTTTACATTTATTTTTTTCAAAGAAACTCTGTTTCATTGCTATATGAGATTTGGAAGAAGAGAGATCTTTGTGTATGATAAAATTGCTATAATTAATTTTTTTAACATATAAATTAATTTCGTTAAAATCTCGGTTTATTATCCAAAGTGTAAACGATATGACTCCGACAAAGGAAAAAAACGAATGTATATCTGCAAAAAAAAAACGATGTATATTCTGCGAAAAAAACGGTGAATGATAGTATGGCCCACAATGAACCACGTCAGTTACATAATCCACAAACGCGTCCAGTCAGTGAGTGAGTGAGCTTTGGTTGACCAGTGACGACACATAACTCAAGCCTAAAGGCTAAAGCCGCAATTTTCCTTGGCCTTTCTTTCTTTCTTTCTGGTTAAACAAGACTGAAACATCACAGAAGTCAGAAGCCACACATTCATAGATACATACAACAACTCTCCACTGATACTGAATTTTGACCTCATAAAGACATCACCTTTTTTGTGTCAGCGTGAATTAGAAAGACAGGGAAAGAAAGACTGATACAGAGAGATACACGACGTCAAGGATCAACCAACACAAATATCATATCTCTCTACGTTATCTCTTTACTTTTCTCAGTCTTTTCTCTGTGTTCTAAGGAGAAAGACAGAGAGAGAGAGAGCTGCTTTCTCTTCTTCTTTTCTTCTTGGGTGAGCTCCAATGGCGAGCTGGGTTTTATCAGAATGTGGTATTAAACCTCTCTCCAGATTCTACCCTAAACCCACTACCTCTTTCATCTCTAACCCAACACCCACATTCAGATTCAATCCATCGCCTTCTTCTCTCAAGCCCCGAAATGGCTTCTTCCCTAAAGCCAGGAACTGGGCGTTAAATGTGGCCACGCCATTAACAACTCTCGAGCCTCCGTCCGAGGAGGAACACACGAAGAGATTCGACCCAGGTGCGCCCCCTCCCTTCAACTTGGCCGATATAAGAGCAGCCATACCCAAGCATTGTTGGGTTAAGAATCCATGGAAGTCAATGAGTTATGTTGTCAGAGATGTCGCTATCGTCTTCGGATTGGCTGCTGTAGCTGCTTTCTTCAACAATTGGCTTCTCTGGCCTCTCTACTGGTTCGCTCAAGGAACCATGTTCTGGGCTCTCTTTGTTCTTGGCCATGACTGGTAACAACTAATCCTCTCTGCTTACTTCCTGAGTAAGACACAACTCTGTGTTTGTGTCTGGACATAACTGTATTCTTGATGCATGGACCAACCAAAGTGGCAACTTGTTATTGGGTTTTAGTTGCAGAGATACTCAATACAATTTCCTTCTATAATGTTAACCAAATCATTCCTGTTGATTACTTTGCAGTGGACATGGTAGCTTCTCGAATGATCCGAGGTTGAACAGTGTGGCCGGTCATCTTCTTCATTCCTCAATTCTGGTCCCTTACCATGGCTGGTCAGTTTTGCTTCCAAACCCCTTTCTATAAAATACAAACCTTTTTCCTCTCACATTCTTCATGAAATATGGAACCTGTTTTCCTTGTAGGAGAATAAGCCACAGAACTCACCACCAGAACCATGGGCATGTTGAGAATGACGAATCTTGGCATCCTGTAAGTTGCCTTCTCCATAACCAAAAACACAGATGTTATCATAAGCTGGTCTCAGTTTATATCAGTGTGCTTAGATAGAGCTTAATGTTTCTGTAACTGCAGTTGCCTGAAAGCCTCTACAAGAACTTGGAAAAAACTACTCAAATTTTTAGGTTCAAATTGCCGTTCCCAATGCTCGCATACCCTTTCTACTTGGTAATCCTTCTCCATCTTACCATAACCAATCCACCTGGTTTCACCTCTGATACATTGTCTTCTTGATGCAGTGGGGAAGAAGTCCAGGGAAAAATGGTTCTCATTTTGATCCAGACAGTGACTTGTTTCTTCCCAAAGAGAAGAAAGATGTTCTGACATCAACCGCATGTTGGACTGCAATGGCTGCTTTGCTTGTTTGTCTCAATTTTGTTATGGGCCCAATTCAAATGCTCAAACTTTATGGCATTCCTTACTGGGTATCTGATGCTGTAACGATTCTTGTATTCCTCTGTTTTCTATTATGTGGAAGGTATTTACTGGGATTTCAATCACAATTGTTGCAGATATTTGTAATGTGGTTGGACTTCGTGACTTACTTGCATCACCATGGCCATGAAGACAAGCTCCCCTGGTACCGTGGAAAGGTGTGCACAATCTACTTCAACATTTTTTAATCGCTTCTCACTTTAAGATTGAGATATTCTCAAAGCTTCAATGTACTTTTCCCAAACACAGGAGTGGAGTTACCTGAGAGGAGGGCTCACAACATTGGATCGTGATTATGGATGGATCAATAACATCCACCATGACATTGGAACTCATGTGATACATCATCTTTTCCCACAGATCCCACATTATCATCTAGTAGAAGCAGTAAGTGTTTCCTTGATGATGTTAACTAAAGACTATTCTGGCATGGACTTGCTTTGATATGATGATAAAGTGCATAACTTTCCATTTTTTCCTCTTTCCCCTTTTTCTAGACAGAAGCAGCTAAACCAGTACTAGGAAAGTACTACAGAGAACCGAAAAATTCTGGACCTTTGCCAATTCACTTACTGGGAAGCCTCATAAAAAGTATGAAACAAGACCATTTCGTAAGCGATACAGGAGACGTTGTGTACTATGAGGCAGATCCAAAACTACACTGAACAAGGCAGACAAGTTGAAAATTCATCTTGGCTCATTCTTTCATGTTCTTATTGTTTTGGTGCAAAACCTTTTCGAGATTAAAAAGCATTAATGTAAAACTCTCGATCTATTGAAAAATATATGATCAGACAGATATATTTCATACCAGGATCTTGTTCTTGAGAGCCCACTGACATTATTAGTAGCCAAACCATCACGTAGAATTTGAATCTATTATTTTTATCAGCCAATTACAATTCCAAACACAATGACATGGAAACAACAGTTTGATATGGTTACAAGAAAAAATACCTTGGCTTAGATGCTAGCCATTAATACTGTACAGAGCGAACTGCAATAATAAAGGAACTTATCTTAGACTGATCCTTCTGGATGCCGTCAGTACCGCAAATACCGCTGCTAACGTCAATTCCATCAGGTTGAAGGATAGAAAGAGCTTCTGAAACGTTTTTTGGATTGATTCCTCCAGCTAAGAGCCACCCATTTCTGCTTCTGATGGAGGGTAACTTGAACTGAGACCAGTTAAATCCTTTTCCACTGCAACAAATTGATATAAATTGATATGACCGTTACACAAGAGAAACATGCTATTAAGGAGGCAGGTAATCTAAACATGGGCTTTCCCAACGATGCCGTGGTCATTAGTTTAACAAATTTTCTTATATACTAGACCTAAGTATCATTATCTTTTGGAAATGCCTGAACCTATCATATTCTTGAGAATTAATCACTAGTTGAAGACGAGAACGTTGGTTTCAAGTGGAAGAGTGATTGTTTTAACTTGTTTCTCTAAGGCGTTCATTATCGTAGCAACATGCGAGAATAGGAAACATATTGAAAAAGTTGTTCAAAGTACCTCCCACCCGTTGCACTATCCACAAGAATCCAATCAGCGAGATGACTATCCTGTTCAGGAACTTCATTCAGGAGCTTTCCATCCTCACTTGCATTAAGGACATATATGACTCTCCTTTCGCGTACTAATCCCGAGAAAGCAGCACGCGAACCATTACCATGAAGCTGTAAGGAACCATAGTCACCAACACTTTACAAAGTTGCAAAAATCACCTCAATGAGAGTAAAAACGAAAAACGATAAGAATGCAGAAAACCTGCACAAGCTCAAGGTCAGAGGCATCAGCAGCTCTCAGTATGGTGCTCTCATCATCCTCAACAAAAACACCAACAGGTTTGGCCCCACCTTCTCTCGCCACTTTGGAGATATCCTTTGCAACAGAAAGAGAAATGGATCTTTTTGAATGCGGCCAGATGATCATCCCGATGAAATCAGCACCAGCTTCAACTGCCATAGCAGCATCTCGGGCTGATGTGATGCCGCACATCTTAACCAGAGGTCTGACCTTTTCTCTTTCATCATCATTTGGAGCAACATTCTCAGTGTTGGATAAACTGCAGCTGAATTTCTTGTTCTGCGCATACCGAACTCTGGAAAAAGACACCTTTCTATTGCTGGAACCTGAACACATCCAGTAGGCAACAAGAGATTGATCCCATGTCGCAATGGAAATGGCAATTTCAGTCCGGAAACAGAGGAATACACACACAAGTTACAATGAAAATGTCTGCCTAAGAAAACTAATAGTCAATTAAAAAAGAAAACTAACCGGATTTGTAGGTTCTGGAGAGACTCGGAGCTTGGAGGTGGAGATTTGTGGATATTCCTGAGGAAAAGAATAAAGCTTTGTTTCACAACTGATCTTAGAACAAAGGGTTAACTATTCGCAAGTAAAAATCTTGACTTCACAGACGAAAATCCTCTTCAGGATGACAAGCAAGAAATTTTTTTTCTCAACTCAACATGGTTGGTCACTAAAGCAGATTGAGAGCAGAGAACAAGGTAGCTGCATTAGGAGCCCACCAAGCTGGTCAACGGAAAGAACAAAAAAGTACCTGTCGACATTTTTTGATTAGACTGTCGGAAATCTCAGATTTTCTTCCGTCGATGAAATGAGAAGAGGAGAGTCAGCGCTCAGCGGAGACGGCGGGCGTACGGCCGAACAGAACCAGAGAACCAACTATTGTACCAACTTTTTGATGAGGTGTAATTAAACCGAACCAAACCAAGTTACTGAATTTTTGTTTGGATTTGGTAGAACCGAAGAAACCTTTTGCTTTCGGTTTAGTTAATATGTGATTAGGGTTAAAGTCATATTTGGAGATTAATAATGTTTGTTAGAACTTAGATTATATATATCGAATCCGAAACGCTTCTGGGTCACTTGATTTTAATAATTATTCCATAATAATTAAGTAAATGAAGATAAATATTCATAAACCAAGTAAGTAAATAGTTGAACAACATAAATATTGTATTGTTTGTTAGGCCCGTTTCAAAATAAAAAAAAACATAAATATTGTTTGTTCCAATCAATTTTTATTTTTCAAAATGTTACATTTTTGTTATTAAACTTTTTATCTGTATAAATAATAATGTCTAGTGATACAATAATATAAAGGATATGAAGAATATAAATGAATGATAAAGCTTGAAGCCTAAAACTAACTGTTTAGCAGTCAAAATTGTGAACATGTGCTTGCATAATTTAGAATTGGATCAGTTCGTTTTTTTTTACCAATATCACTTAATTAAGAAGCAGATTTCCGGATTATACGTAGTAATTTTCATTTTTAATCATACAAGTTTAATTCGTTTAGTTTACTATTGAAGGTTTTGCCTCTCTACTAGAGTGCTAGTGTTGTTCTAATCAGCAAATTGCATTGTAGATTAATTAGAAACAAAATTGCAATGCGTTTCTTAAGATTCTCCTTAATTATATCGTGTTTTTATATAATAACAATAAACAAGTTGACAAAAAAAATATATATATATACAGTATATATAGTGTGAACGCCTTGTTATTCCAGGACACATGATAAAGACATGCGAAGACAACATTTTACCGACATCTCGAAGCAACACGGCGGTTCCTGCATCAAAGTGATCAGCCTATCCCTACACAACTTGTCCCCCGTTTACTTTTAGCACGTGCTAAATGTGATTCTTGGCTCAAACTTACCAAACTATTCCTTTTCTTTTACATTCTCTCTTTCATTATAGTTGATTTTTTTAGATTTTTTTTCTTGTTTCATAATATTTGGTTTCCTACATCTAATTAATGCACATCTCTTCTTTAAATTGAATGAATCATATTAATACATATTGCTTTACAAAACTTATTAATTGTAAACATTAATTAAAAGAGAGGAGATGAAAAGCCCAGATTGAAGTAAAAACCAGTAATATTAATAAAAGTAATGAAATTAGTTGTAAAAGTAATGTAATTAAACAAAATAAACAGCAAATAATTGAGTATTTATAGTTTTCTTAATCTGTGTGTAAATATTCAGAAAATCAACTATAATGAAACAAATGAAGTAATTTTTTTTATTGCAAATTATTCCAACAGCTAAAAACACACACACAGTTTTTCTCAAAAAATAATATAGTTTAAAATGAAAGCAGACGTAACTTCGTTCCTTCGTCCTTGTTAGGCGCAAACTCATCTCATTAACTCATTGAACTCCCTTTTTTTGGCTCAAACTCATCTCTTTATCTTTTCTTTTAGGCGCAACCTCATCTTCTTGACCAGCAAAAACAAAACACAACTCTCTCTTCTTTTTGTCTCTTCCTTTGTATCCATATTTTTTTCTTTAAACTAATGCTTTATACTTTTTCGGTTTCGTCCTCAATAAATCAACCAACATTTAGTTGTAGGCAATATAAATTAATTAATAATTTTTTAATGCTGCACTTTTTTGGGGTAATGAGAGAATAGCATTTCTAGAGATTTCTAGTCATTCACCACTTTCAAAACAAAACCAAAAAAAAATTCATAAATGTTTCTTCGCTTTATTGAAAAACCTGTTCGATGTGACGGATTTGTGTGCAAGTGTGAGAGCGTACGGATTGTCCACCAATATTCGTTAATGCTGATGAATTATGATTGCGTTGATTAGTTATGTATGTTACATGATGTATACGCATTTAATTTCATATAATTAAGTTGTGCATATATTTAGACGTTACCACACTTAAAATTGATTGTATACATGATGTAGGAGTGACATATCAACCAATAACGAATGATAGATGTAAACATAATAAAGTATGAACACTTGGTTAACCAACCAGTCCGACGGTCGTCGATCTCAAATTACCCAGTCGAACATGACTAAAATCCCAAAGCTCCAAACAATACCATGAAAGCATGATATGCTGCATTATCAAAAATTTTATCGATTTTTCTTTTGAATAATTTTGGGTGATTCGCGTCAGCATTACCTTGGAGGTCTAGATCTTTATTGATCTATGATATCAGAATTTTTTTAACTTAATTTGGTAAATTTTAAAATGAGCTCTTACTTAGTTATGAGATCAAGTTATTGTAAAATATTATCCGAAGATTTAGAACTAGTTTTTATATGTGTACTATTTGTTTGATTGATTAATGTGTAAATTTGTAATGTATCACTTTTGCCAAATATGGAGGGTCAATTATTCTTTGCTAACAACATTTCAATGGAAGCATGCATGTGATTCTGTACTCTTAACGTGGGGTTGCCTATATATTTAAGAATAAAAGATTAGCAATATATAAATAAAAGCAGCTCTAAGAGATTATTTCAAAATCTCAAGATTTATATCATGGCTTCTATTTTACACAATTTTATTAATTTGTTACACAGAGTAGATAACAGAAAATTCTTTCTCATCGTCTTCTTCCTTGCGATTATATGCTCATATCATCATCACATCATTATACGACATCAAATTATGTCATCATATCGTTACATGTGACCATCAAATTCTCATCGAGATCATCATATATTACCAGATCATCATTTTTAATGATTGTTAACCTAAATGTTAAAACTAATTACATTACGATAATTCCATCCTAGAGTTTTAGTCTTAAATGTTACAAAAACTTATTACGAGAATACCATCCAAAAGTTCTAATTATTATGGGGAAGCTAAATCTGATGCAAAAGTATAACATTTTGATGATAAAAAAATTATAGACATAGATACAAATTTTTGTAAGAAATCTGTTTTTATATATATTGACAAATATGATTCTTTTTGCAAGCATGTCATGTTACAACTACAATTACAATTCAGGATGACTAATGAGACACTCTTCGGAAAAGACTTTGATTAAAAACAAACTTGGAAAAAAAAACATTTGTATTGTTATTTGCAAGAATAAACTTCTAAAAAAACAAGTACCAACAAGCAAAATTCTAGAAAGACATAGATAAAACATTCCATTGACCTTTTGGATTTTATTGAATCATTATCACATTCACATGTATGTACTATGTATTATTGACAGATAACATTTGACCTATGAAACAATAATTAGTATAATCGATTGTATATAGGATCTCCGTAGTCTGTCTTTGGGTAAGAACTCTAGAAATTACAAATCTTTCATTCAACGTTTTCTCTTTTGAAAGCTTTAAGTCATTGACGACGTCATCCTACGTATTAGCCAACGAGATTTTTTTTTACGTCAAATAATCTTTGTAATAATTTTTTTTTTTAATTTGGTTCGCTTACTGTAGCAAAACAAAAAAAGACAAATTATTGTACGGGTTGTAAGTTTTTTATGATACTTATCTATGGCTCTTAGATCATCATGGATGACGTCGGAAAAAAAAATCATGATGGATAAAAAATGTTTAGATATTTATAAACTTTGAAAAACTTTTGCGGCTTTTACAATCATACTTGTCATTTGTTTTTGATAATCAAACAGACGTTCCTATTTTTATTATCACACATATAACTTTATTTCAGTTAAAAAGTATGTTAACCTAGTGACTAACGAATTAGTTTTTTGTGACTTAGGTTAGCATTCTTTTTTTTTTTGATAAACGTTAGCATTCTTTGAAGTTTGAAATAGGTGATTTAATTTTAGGCTGTGTGATAATATTATCATTTAGATTTTAGGGGTGTTCAATTTGGTCTAACTGGACCAATTAAACCCGAAGTATAACAAAATAGAATAATTAATGTTATCATCTCATACACATTAATCCCGTTGCAAGGGTTTGACACGTGGCGTCTATTGAGCAAAATGATTTAATTAGTCTCTTAAGAGATATAATATTTAGTCTTTTGTCTTTGTCGACATTGAAGTCATCTAAAACTATTACACAAAGATTGCCTCAAACTCAAACTAATGCATAGTTTCACATGTCGATATGTCCCAAAGATAAAAGAAACCAATATTTATCACACGTTTCATTAATATATAAAGACGTTGCTTTCATCGTCTCGAGCCGATTTTTGGAATCTCCTCCACCACCATTTTACCCATCTTTTAAATTCCTTTCTTCAGCCAAAATTTTTATTATCTCTTTCAAACCAATTCAACTTTCTCTAAAACGCCTCACATGAACAAGAGCAGTAAATCAAAACAAAGAATATGAACAAGAACAAGAAGGACGTGAAGGTCGAGACAAAGAAGGGTTCGATTGATGAGTGGCCTGAGCCAATCGTCCGAGTCCAGTCCTTAGCTGAGAGCAACCTCTCCTCTCTTCCCGACCGCTACATCAAACCGGCGTCTCAACGCCCCACAACCACCGAAGACGCTCCGGCCTCGACCAACATCCCAATCATAGACCTTGAAGGACTATTCTCGGAAGAAGGGTCGTCAGATGACGTCATCATGGCTCGGATATCGGAGGCTTGCCGTGAGTGGGGATTCTTCCAGGTGGTGAACCACGGTGTGAGGCCGGAGCTGATGGACGCGGCTAGAGAGAGTTGGAGAGAGTTTTTCCATTTGCCGGTCCATGCGAAAGAGAGTTACTCGAACTCACCAAGGACCTACGAAGGCTATGGAAGCAGATTAGGTGTTGAGAAAGGAGCCATTCTTGATTGGAGTGATTATTACTATCTCCATCTTCTTCCTCCTCCTTTGAAAGACTTCAACAAGTGGCCTTCTTTTCCTCCCAACATTAGGTCCCTCCTCTCTTCTTTAATTTCATCTCTCCTCTTTCTCTCTTTGTTTTTTTTTTTCTTTTTCTTTTTTAAAATCCTTTTTATGAATTCTCATGAGTTTTTTTTGTTTGTGTTGTTTGGGGAGTGTAAGAAGAAGAATACCCTTTGCTAAAAAGAAAATATTTTTTTCCTTAAAAAATGTAGGGACAATTGGTACAATATTGGGAAATTATCCCTTTTTGATTAATTTTTGATGTTTTAGTTTTTGGGAAGTGTGGGAAGACTCGTTTGCCAATGAAAAAGGGTTGATTTTCTTCCTTCTGACGAGGAGAAAATCATAGAATTTTGTGATTTTTAACGTTGGAAATACAAAAAGCTGCAAACAAAAGAATAAAGTGCAATCTTGGCAATATAAAGATTCTTAGATTTTTTTTTTCCTTTCCAAAAAATAGAGAAGTAATTGATGAATACGGCAAGGAACTAGTGAAGCTAAGCGGGAGAATCATGAGGGTATTATCGTCAAACTTGGGATTAAAAGAGGATAAGTTTCAAGACGCGTTTGGAGGTGAAAACATTGGGGCATGTTTGAGGGTTAATTATTACCCAAAATGCCCTCGACCGGAGCTGGCTCTCGGTCTCTCTCCCCACTCCGATCCTGGCGGTATGACCATTCTCTTACCGGACGATCAAGTGTTCGGTCTCCAGGTCCGGAAAGATGACACGTGGATCACCGTCAAGCCTCATCCCCATGCGTTCATCGTCAATATTGGTGATCAAATACAGGTAAATTAATTAATTCTCTTTTCGATTTCCTATTTTTTTTTAAGAATTCTCTTTTTAGTTTTTAAATGGATTTATTCTTATTTTTTCTATATGGATGCCATACATCTCATTCGAGCCGTAAAACATTTAAAAATCCGAGTTATTCATCCTATAGAATACCACAATATTGGTTTTAAATTCGTTATTTCACTGGTGTATTTTTTATGAACCACGAGCAACCATATGTGTAACTAGAATTAAATATGTAAAATATTATAAAAAATGATAAAACTAGCTGTAATTCGTGTATTTATTTCATTTGCGAAATATATTTGTATGATCCATTGTGAACATTATCCAACGTGATCATTGAAATAAACATATCTACTAACTAAAGTTATATTTACCACAAAAAAAAACTAAAGTTATATCTTTTTCGATCTTCTATTTATTTATTTCCATGTTGTTAATAAGTTTATGATTATATTCATAATAAAATAGCACGTTAAGAAAATAAAACATAGTATTGTTTAAAAAACATAGAAAACAAAGTAAAAAAAAAAATACAATTTTACTAGTCACGCATATATATATTAATGATTGGGTTTTTAACTATAAAAACTGTAATAAAAATTGTGTACACTTAATATTCAAAAACAAATAGATAATTCCGGTTGTCAATAAAAAATCTTCCATTAAGAAAAGGACGAATGCCAAAGTAGTTATTTGACAACCAATGAAGAGGATATATATCTAAGCTAAAGTTCCACGTTTTAGACATGTTTTAAAATGCAAGTAAACAGTTATTACTTGGTGCCAAAATACCTTTTTGAATTTTCTACAAAAATATTGTAACTATTATGCCATAGTTCCGAGTTTCCGACAGTAGAAATTACGTCCTTTTAGATCTATCCTATCAACCGGTTTTTATGGACTGTTTTTGTATAAAACGACAATTAAATTCACAATTAAAGTAATGAGGAATTGTCATTTTTTTTTGTTAAATTACGAAACAAACAGTATACTAGTAGACAATAATCCTCTATTGCGCACATGTGTATGTTTGGCCGTTTGCCCACGTTGCCTAGAAGGAATATTAATTTGTACAATGTATAACATGATATTTTAAACAAAAACCGCACATGTATATATGCACTAGATATTTTCTGACTTCGATGAAATTTAATGTGAACTCTAACTGAGACATAAAATTTTAAGAAATATGACCACAAACATAAATTTTCCAAGTTAAGAGTTTTTACTGCTCATCATCTTAATTGACATTAATGTTTGTGCTTTGTCCAAATTCAATCTATTTTACAACCCGGTTTGAATCTTGCGATGATAAAAATGCAGATACTAAGCAACTCAACATACAAGAGTGTGGAGCATAGAGTGATCGTAAACTCGGAGAAAGAGAGAGTCTCACTTGCCTTCTTCTACAATCCTAAAAGCGATATTCCAATCCAACCATTACAAGAACTTGTATCCAATCATAATCCTCCTTTATATCCTCCCATGACCTTTGATCAATATAGACTCTTTATCAGAACTCAAGGTCCACGAGGCAAATCCCATGTTGAATCTCATGTTTCTCCACGTTAATTAATTGTTTTTTTTTCTTAAAGAAAGTTTACTGTTTTCGTGAATTTACATCTGATTTGTACATGTGTACAAATTTTTTTTTTCATCTACGCCGGATCTGATTTACCTTCAAGCAAGTAACTATTGAATGATGTATACAGATATCTCTATTTTTTATACAATAATACAATCAGATATCAATTATTTTACAAGCAAATTTTGAAGCACTGAAATTTTGAGGATTAGTGGAGAAGAAGAAGATTATGTTGGATAATATTCTAGCAACAAAACCACGTCTACTCTATTGTAAGCCTCTCTCATTCCCATATCGATTTTCTTTGGATTAATCATTAGATTCATTAGTCAAACATTTAAATATAAATAGTGTATTACATCTATAGAAAAAAAGAAGATTATATACAGTATTAAATGACAATTATAAGCATGTGCATTTTCAAGTGGTGGTTTGGCACAAAGTGTCGAGTTGGTCTTGTGTTAACATATATCTTATTTAGAAAAAGTGAATTAATTACTAAAATGTATTACAGAAATGCAAGTTGCATTTCAGTTCACACTATCGACGGTTGCGTCTTTTTTATGAATAATCAAACATTTATGCCTTTCTTTCTAAACGAAAACAAAATCGAATAATAATAGTACAGAATTTATTACTATACGTTCAGTTTGATTTACAATACTGATCCCCAGTCCCCACCGAGATTTTTGGTTATTTGTTCTTATAACTACTTACAACTAAATTTTAACTAAAATTCAGATTAATTAATGTATTATGAAAATTATGGAAAAATTGATAGTAGATGCCACAAAAACCTGTCCAGAGATTTATTCAACAAAGGGCGACAATCAATAAAAAAGTACGAAATGTGTCACTATTTACTATTTTTGGTTGTTGGTAAATATTAACATAGTGACAATCGGTGGCCAATACGTTGCCAATTGTTACAAATGAAATTCGTCATAGTTGTGAAAAATTTATAAATATTACCGCACGTTGGATATAATATTAAAATGTAAATCGCCAGTAATAATTTAGATTGTAGATGTTGAAAATGACTAAGTAAAACCACTTAAAGTTAAAATTACCATAGAGATTACGAAGATCAAAATCTTACATAAGAATTCTTTAATATCCTAAACATGATTACACATTCAAAAGATGAAAGTAGAGTCACTACATATACAAACAACACAAGGCGTATTTTGATCAAAAGCTTTCTAAACGGCTCATGTCTCTCTTTGGCTCCCTCCCTCTCCCACTACTAATTTATAAACCCTCTTTTCTTAGGGAATCTAACACCGATAATAGTTATGTGTTCATAAATTAAAAAAAAAAAGGATGTTTTTGCAATAACAGAAGAAAAAGAAAAGAGAGTAAGATATATGGATGATGAAACCAGTGCAAAGGAGAAAGATGACTCACTCACTGTCTTCCTTTCTTAGAGCAGCAAGAAGGGCATTTGTACTGCTTGATGCCTTCTGCTTTGGCCGGTGTTATCTTCACACACTTCCCATGGTACCAACGTTCACACACATCGCAGCATATCCAGAACTCGTCGTTTGTGTAGTTTCCTCCACAGCTCCCACAGAGCGTGTCTCCATGCTCGTCTTCCTCGTCTTCGTAGCTCTCTTCCATCAATTTCGGTGTGCTCTTCGTCTGCCCTTCAATTGATCTCTACACCAAATACAGAATCTATTAGAATGAAGAAGATTGGTAAAGCATTTTTCTTTCTTTGAGTGGCAAATCCTGTTTCAGCTTATTATAGCCACAAAGAGAATTAGTGTTGGGATGATGAAAAAGTAGAGAGTTCATTTTGGTACCTTTACACCATTTTTGGATTTGCTTCCGAGATCCATGCTTGGTTTATCTTTGGTGGGCTTCCTACCAGTCACTACTTCAAAGAGAGTTGGGAGATCGTTGATCAGACTGAATAGGCGTTTCCTGTGCTCATTGAAATGGACCATACAATATAAGCTTAAATATTACTATCAACAATAGCCATTTGATCTAAAATCTTCCAATCTGTAACTTGTGTATAGAGTTTTTAGTAATTTTCTTCACTTGAACAACCACATGCTTTTTTGTGCATTCAATAATTTTATTCTAAAACTGAGCCATTGCAAGCAGAACTATGACAGAGAAACCACTAAAAGTGACAGCGAATCACTCACTCAGTTAAGGGTTATGATCCTATAACAGGACCCCATTGCTAGTAACTATAGATGGGACTTTATAATGCCAGACACAAGTTATCTGGAGAGCCAACAATATAAACTTAATCATCCGATTCATGATAACAGCATTACGAATGTTGTAAGAACAAATAGCAATGATTAGTCTTTATATTTGATCAACTCACAGTAACAGATAATTCAAGAATACACAGCAGCTCCCCAACATGGTTTTGTTCAACAATGCCATAAGTAAGTTTTTTTTTCACAAACTTTTAACCACTCATCATCACTCATCAGCTATTGTAGTAGTATCTGATCCGACGCTTTCGTCATTGTTTTGTTCAAACACGAAAGTGGGAAACAAAGCAAGAAACAAAAAGGAAGTTGCTTACCTCTCGTTGCGATTAAGGCGAGCACCAAAGTAGGAAGAAACAGAGAGTAACCAACAATCACTGTGGACAGCAACTAAGGAGAGCCAATCTTTACGCTGCATACCATCTCTTGCGAAGTTGATTCCAAGCGCTGGCTCGGGAAGCTCAGGAGGCACTTCCTCCGCTGGGAGATTCACTTCCCATGTCCCATTCGGGTGTCCGTACAAACACAGATTCTCCATTTCTAACAACACAAAAGCACAATGTTCAACACAAATTGGACCGGAAAGTCCATATCTATCAAAAACAAGTAAAAAGGGCATCTTTTTATTCAGCTTATCCATGAAAATTTTGTGGGAAAACAAACACAGATCCGAAAATAACGATTGAAAAAAAGATAAAGAAGAAGAAGCTAGAAGCTCACTTACCCGGATCGCATAAAGAATAGAACTTGTCAACATCTGGTAAAAATGGAAAGAACAAAAGAAGAAATTACGTAAATTAAAAGCCAAAATGAATTGTAAGAAATCTAGGAAGATAAAGGAGAAAATGAGAGGTTTGTGTCTAACCTACGGAGAGAGCTTTAAGAAAACCAGAGCGACGACCGCTAAAATCCTTGAAGATCTCTTCGACGGTGCGAGGGTTAGAGGACTCGGCAGCCATAGATGTAGTGGAAAAGATGAAAAAATGCAGAGATACGAAAGAAGACGTAGAACAGGTGGTGTGTTAGAGATTGATTAAGGTCCGCATCAATATGGTTTTCAAAAACCGATGCGCCCGGACATGGAGAGAGAGAGAGAGACTTGTAAGAAGAATAGCAACTTTTTTTTTTTCTCTTCTGGTCTCGAGTTTGGTTGAGTCAGCGATAGATTAAGACTGAAGGGCACTTATTAGGCCTATTTTATGGGCCTGGCCCATCCTAATCTGAAGTGTCTTCTTAACCTGAAGTCGACGTTTACGTTAATTATACTATTTTTCTTATAACAACAACAACCATAATTCTTCGGTTTGGTTTTTTAATTCAATTTTCAATACACATGTACTAAAAAATATATGTATATATATGAAACCATAACGTTTTTAGAGTTCTTATAACTTTTTCTGTATTAAGTAGAAGAGTATACTACTAATTCTTGAATAGTTAGGGTTTGAGTAGCAAAATTAAAGTGTGTCTCTTCTTCTTTGCTTTGTAGGTTTTATCTTTATATCCAACAATCAGCATCCCTTAAAAAGATAAGGAAGCAAGTACTGTATGTAGATATTTAAAAAGAAAGAAAAGAAAGAAAAAAAAAGAAAAAAAGCAATTCATCAGTTACTTCTAAACTTTATCCTACATAAGTTAGGAGCAAGTCCTTGTGAATAAAATACCCTGAGATTATTTTTCTTTCTATATCTGATTGAATTCAACTAAAACTCGTAAAAATCAACAACGACAGCTATCGACCTCTGGTAAAACTCTATTGGATTCTTGCTTTTTATTTTGTTTGTGATTTCGAGTAACGCACTTGCCAACTTTTCGATATTTTTAAAGCTGTTTCTGGTTTCTTCTGTCTCTGTTTTAATGCATCTCGAAGCAGCAACTTCCTCAGTACTAGCCCTAGAATTAAGCTCTACTACTCCCAATTCTCGATGACTGACTCGAGTCTGGACTCCTCCGACACGCAAACGCCGAGAATCGCCACCGGAAACCCACCTCCTCCTATCAAGAACGGATACGTCAGCATCGGTGTTCCCGCCACCGCCAGTGACGCTTCTCTGTCTCCGGCCAACAAAATCAGGAGAATAACGGTGCTTCCACTAGTTTTCTTGATATTCTACGAGGTCTCAGGCGGTCCTTTCGGGATTGAAGACAGCGTGAAAGCAGCAGGACCATTGTTAGCAATCTTGGGATTCATCGTCTTCCCTTTTATATGGAGCATCCCCGAAGCACTCATCACCGCCGAGATGGGAACAATGTTCCCGGAGAACGGCGGTTACGTCGTGTGGGTCTCCTCCGCATTAGGACCTTACTGGGGATTTCAACAAGGTTGGGTTAAATGGCTAAGCGGCGTCATCGACAACGCTCTGTATCCCATTCTCTTCCTCGACTATCTCAAATCCGGTATCCCGATCCTCGGCGGCGGAATCCCGCGTATCGCCGCGATTCTTGCGTTGACTGTTGCCTTGACTTACCTCAACTACAGGGGATTGAGCATCGTGGGTGTAGCAGCTGTTCTTCTCGGGGTTTTCTCCATCCTTCCGTTTGTGGTGATGACTTTCATGTCGATTCCAAAGGTTCAGCCTTTGAGATGGCTTGTGGTTAGCAAGAAGATGAAAGGTGTTGATTGGAACTTGTATCTCAACACTCTCTTCTGGAATCTCAACTATTGGGATTCCATCAGCACGCTTTCTGGGGAAGTTGATAACCCGAAGAGGACGTTACCGAGAGCTCTGTTTTACGCTCTGTTTCTTGTTGTTCTCTCTTACATCTTCCCGGTTCTGACCGGTACGGGAGCTATAAGTCTTGATCAGAAGCTATGGACGGACGGTTACTTTGCTGATATCGGTAAAGTGATTGGAGGAGCTTGGTTGGGATGGTGGATTCAAGCTGCAGCAGCGACATCGAACATGGGGATGTTCTTGGCCGAAATGAGCAGTGATTCGTTTCAGCTTCTTGGAATGGCTGAGCGAGGGATGCTCCCTGAGGTCTTTGCGAAGAGATCACGCTACGGAACACCATGGGTCGGGATACTGTTCTCGGCCTCTGGTGTGGTTCTTTTGTCATGGCTAAGCTTTCAAGAGATTGTGGCTGCAGAGAGTCTCTTGTACTGTTTCGGAATGGTTTTGGAGTTTATAGCGTTTGTGAGGCTAAGGGTGAAACATCCGGCTGCATCACGGCCTTTCAAGATACCTGTTGGGGTTTTGGGATCGATCCTCATGTGTATTCCTCCAACCATACTCATCGGTGTCATTGCGGCGTTTTCGAACCTGAAAGTAGCTGCGGTTAGCCTTGCGGCTGTTGTGATTGGGCTTGTGTTGCGACCGTGTCTGAAGCATGTGGAGAAAAAGGGATGGCTCAAGTTCTCTGTCAGCTCTCACCTACCAGACCTGATGGCCTAAGCAAAATCAGTTTTGTCTGAAGATGATAGATATGATGCTAATGCTTTTACCTTTGATCTATTTCGAATTAGAGCTTAAAGCTGCTTATTCAACACTACTTAATATTTTTCAATTCACCCGAAAATGTATAGAAGTTTTCTCTCTTTTTTTTTCGTTTTCTAATTGCATTATACACTAATTTACACCGCACACAGTTGTGATGGATACATGAGGGACATTTGTGTCTACTCAGATTTCGTAGGACATAAATTACTTGCAGCCTTGATTTGTGAAACTATCTATAGTTTCTTCTTAATCTCTCGCTAGTGTAATTTTTAAATACAATTACATTATACTGCAGTTTAAAAGTATCAAAAATGCTAAAAGCAAGAGAACAAATCAGTAAAACCAACCAACTGACTGTAAATCTCTCTCTATCTCTTATTTGAAGTAGTTTCGGTGAATAAACCAAAAGAAAATATCAAATGTGTCAATGCTAACTGTGTTGTAACTGGACAGTTTCAAAGCTTGAGAAGCAACAACGATTAGATTCGCGGGTATCTTCTAGACTTTTGTCTTTGTTCTTCGACCTCATTCATCCAATCGGAAAGCCACAAGAGTCCCTTATAACCGTAGTATGAAACAGCGACCAGAACAGCAATTAACATCACCAACATCACTACCTTCTTTGTGGCAACAGCAAGTTTCTGCACAGGAGATACCAAAAAAAAAACAGGTGGTATCTTAAGGGAGAAGATATGACGATTTGCGACATGTATCTTCTCCAGATTTCAACAAGAGACAGAAATTACCAGCAGCTTTGAGGTCTCCTTAATGTCCTGTCCCCGTTCACGCCTTCTCCTTCGCTTTGTTGCATTTTTCCCACTAGGCTCCTCCTTCTCCTAAGAGGATAATTAAGAAGATCGTTTTGTGAGAGTTGCTTTGAGAGTGAGATTAATTTTGAGACCTGTTTATTGTTTCTGCTTACCTCCATCTCTTTGACATTGCGTTGTTGTAACACCGATTCTGCCATCTGTAGTTTGCTCTTACAATTGGAATCGCAGGGGAGGAGGCCGACACCAAACTGGTTCTTTGGTACATCTTTAGGATCAGAACCTGTGGCCCGATGGGCTGCTTGAACATCTTGGCATAACCATTCCTTCTTCAAAGTTAGGCACTTGCACCGAACAATCACCTTGATCCATTACAAAAATTGAGACAAGTAAGATCCCAACTGTAACAGAGACAGCATCCCAAAGGAATATTAACTAGACGGAAATCTATACAACGCAGTTGCATACCTTTTTCCCACACTTTTCTGGCGATGGGCACTGCCCAGGATGACATATCTCCGGACACAGATGCGTACAGTTTGGCAATTTTCTGCAACAGCAATATCCTCTAGTTTCAAAACTCTGGTTTTCTAATAATGTTGTTCAGTAAAAAAAAAGAAGAGCTTGGGAACAAGTGGAACAACCACAAGGACACCATCAGTTGTTCAAACTGGAAAAGTAAAACACATTATTACAGCACCAGCGTGTTAGTTACCTGTGACAAGGTCCACGGCATGAGCGGGCCTTCGTTTGGTCCTTCTCGGACAATGTATTGTAGTAAATGCACTCGAATGCATGCACCATCGCGCCACAGTGGCATGATCTCTTTACTAGAGTTTTGCAAGGTGGACAATCTTCGGGATGGCATCGTCGAGGACACGGATGTTGGCATCGTGGTGTTCTCTCCTGTACATTAATATAAAAGATAAGGAAGTCTTTCCTGTGACTAACTGACTCCATGAAGAGCTTTTAACAGCTTCTTGAGAGTAAACATGAACTTTTTAACATTAACAAATATAAGCTTCAAGCTACCCGCAGCATAAGGAAAGATAATCGAGTAAGTGGTGAGATAGAAAACATAACAGAAGTACCTTTTGACAGCGGAGATCACACTTTTCACAGGACTCACTTCTTTTATCCAATGATGAACTTCTTATATCCAAGGGATGACAGGTAAAGGAACAGTAATGGTTCCCACATGGAAGAGGATTTCCACATAAATTATCGCATGCAAATTGAGTTCTATCAGAGCAGACCATCTAAACCAACAAAAACATATTAGATGTCGGAAAAAAACTATAAAACATGATCTCAAAGTCAACAAATGGCAGTTAACAAGTTTGACACTCGACATACAGTTGAAATAACTAATATAAAAGAGAAATGAGACTCACCATTTTCTCTGCTGCCAGATGGTGGCCTACACAGGGTCTCCAGACAAGCTCTGGACAACGAGGGCAGGGAGAACCTGGTGTAGATTCAGCATGAAAATTCAACATCTTCTTTGTTGGTTTAATCATAAATTCTCGGTTAGGTGGAGGTCTAGGACCATGACACCTATGTCAGAAGAAGCACACAAAAACCAATGTTTATAAGAAGGGAAAATATCAGAAAGCAGGAAAAAAATGGATGAGAAAGACACCAGCATGAGAAACCTTAGTTTGCACTTGTGCCCACATGGATATTCTTCATCACAAAGGAGTCGACATGGAGGACAAGCACCATAGTGGCATTTATGTGGCTGCATAAAAACATAACATAATTTCCGTAAAATTCAAACTTGGAAATAGCCACAAAAGTGAAATTGTGAAAGCCTTATACTGATTCGTGTGCTACCTTTTGGTTTTGCCCATGCCTGCACAATGGGGTTATGTGACATAATTTACGGCATCTAGGAGGTTTCTGATTTGTTTCAGTGCCACAGGGTACCTGAACTACAGCAAACACCCAACTTCATTGTTAATACAGGTTCAACATACAGAAAAACATATTCATCTTCAAATCCTAACTCCCACCTCGAAATGCGTCTCACCACAAGCACATGATATTGTTACCATTATTGGACAAGGAGCACATAAACCTCTGCAATAAACACATCAATAGGTAATGTCATCCCAACTGTATGAGTTAATATCTTACATTACACAATATTTAATCAGTCATAACGTTAGTTTCAAATTAGAAACGGACAAAGAAAGTCCAAGGCAAGCTACTAGAGAACATACTGGTGACAAGGAGACTGGCATTTATGATTCCTACAAGGAAGCTTTTTTCCACAAATCTGAAAACTTAAACAATAAGATTAGAAACCAAGTGTGAACGATGATGCTAGATTTGACACAAGAATGAATGACACAGGACGTACCTCTGAACATGGAGGACATTCACCATCACAACAACGGCGTCTACATGCATGACGTGCACAATCCCTCATTCTCTGGCATTTCCTCTCACACGCCAACTCTTGATGGCAAGGAACCTACTCTAAATTAAGTTCCCAAAATCTTTTACATCAGCAATTCAATTAACTAAATAACACGAAGATAGTCCAAAAAAGGGTCCCTTTCACCTGTTTTTTAGTTCCTCCGCATCTGCAAGACTTAGTAACCACAATCCTGCAAGTCTCAAGGCACGGACCGCGGTGACACCTCTCTGGACACCTATGGTAGCCACAACCAAGAACTTTATCACATGTGCCGCCACACAAAGGCGCCGCAACATCACAAGACAAGCCTTGGTAGAATTTCTTGCCGCAAGGACAACTCCTCTTTCCCTGATATGGACACAACCCACATTCTCCAGAATGACAGCCTCTCTCGCATACATGTTTGCCGCAATTCAGCATATTTTCACAGGAGGCCTCACACCTAAACACTCTCTCGCAGCAATCCTTTTCTTCCTTCAGTTTACCACAGCAGCACCTGTAAACCGCGCGCTCCCTGCACGGTGGGCACTCACCATCATGGCAAATCTCTCTGCACTTATGGATATCACAATCTAACACTCTGTTGCAGACTTTTCCGCAAGAGAATAGCTTGTGCCCACACCGACGAACGTCTTCGACACCGCCGCAGAAGCAATTAGCTTTCACGAGCTTGGGGCAAGAGGCACAAGGGCCAGGATGGCACAATAGCAAGCAGCAGTGACCACAATTGTTGCTCAGCGGCCGCTCGCAGACCTCGCCGCAAGAATGAGGAAGGATCCATGGGTTATCCGCCGGAGGATCCTCCTCCTTTCCGCAGTAACAAAGGTACCGCCTCGGGATCTCGGTCTTTTGATACGACGATCTACATTTCGGACAGTTCCAGACCGCGTCCGGTTCGGTCGGAGTGGAAGACTGTCGAGTGACTGCACGTGCGGCTTGTAGATCTAAGCACTGCCGAGCCCATGATTGGATGCAGAAAAGGTGAAAGACGGCGAAGCATAAGGAAGTGCAGGACCAGGTGGGATCGGTGCGTTTGATGCGTTCGAGACAGATAAGGCAAGAGACAGCACCAGAGGAAGACGAGGAGAGAAACGATTGGATCTTGGCGAGGTCAATGGAGGACGGAGACGAAGATGAGTGGCAATCGAGGTAAGCTTTGAAGATGGAGTTGGATAGATCATTGTGGCGGTGCTGATGGTTATCTGAATCGGATCCCGAATCCGAATCCGAATCGGATATGATCTGTTGTTGTGGTGGTGGAGGTGGCTGTGGCGGTGATTTCCACCGGAAATCGGTACTAGCGGGTCCGGCCATATCAGACATCTTACTTCCTCACCTCCTTCTTAAAAGGCGATTGATGACTTCAGCTTTTGACATGAGAGGTCACGTGATGTTCTCGTGCGCATTATAAATTTGTAATGACCAAAAGTTTCGGTTTAATTTGGGAGTAACCGAATCGATCAATTCCCGCGTATCTTATCGAAGTAATTGGATTAGGAAGAAACCGATTAACCAGCATCACGTTTCTACAAAATAATTATAACTTCTTTTTTTTTTATCAAACAAATTAAGTCAATTAACATCACGTATCAAACAATCATTAAAAAATTTATTTACTTTCTCTATTAAATATCTTCTATGTTATTTTCTTTATTTTATATTTTCACTCGAAAAGATCTAACCAATAATATTGAATATATTAAAAAACTAAAAACAAATTGTAATGGGTAAATCTTACAAAGAAAAGGTTTCTAAGTTTTTCTAAAATATTAAGGCCCTAAGCCCACGGCTCTGCTCTCAAGGCTTGATGTATTCCCGGATGAAGTCTTGGACCTGAACGGTTTCTCCATTGAGTCCAGATGCCTCAGCGACAATGACTTTGTTATAGCAATGCGAGAAGGAGAACACTTCTCCTTCGATTCCAATGGTGAAGTCATTGGCTATATCAGCTGTAGATATTGCACTCCTTGAAGCCCTCAGTTTCTCACTGCAAAAACCGGAAAAAGAACTAATTAACAAGTAGATGATGATTGCGTTTACGCGGAAGATAGGCTTTATATATAATATCGGTTTGTTAAGAAGATTGCATATCCTACATTTCTTTCTCCATCTGCTTCCTGATGAACTCCTTGGTGTGTGCAGTGAGTTTATCTGTCTTGTTACAGCAAAGGAGGACTGGTATCTTCTTCTTGACAACGTTGGCATTGGTCAGAATGTCGTATAGATACCTATCACCGTACAAAACCATGGCAATGCCTCATTAGTTAAGATTGTGCTTTCCAAGAGGTAAACATCTCTCTTGGGTGTGTGTCAGTGTGTGTGTGTATGTTAGAGAGAGAGAGAGAGTTTGAAAATACTCTGAAGCTGCACGACAATTTGGGAGGAACTCCAAGGCGTCCACTACAAACACAATGGCAGCTGCTTGGGGCAAGAATTCTTCCAGCTTGGGTCGAAGCCGAGAGTGCCCAGGAACATCAACAAGATGTACAGGCTTGATTTTTCCTTTCTGTCACGTAGAGAAAATACGGGACGCGGATTGGTAGTGTGTTAATACATGCATCACAATCAATTGCATGTCTTGTTTAGAACAGGCCAAAGTAAGAATCTTTACCTTAGCTTTTTCAGAGTGAAGAATGAAAGTGCCTTCATTCGGTTCCATTGATGTTACAGTGCCCTGATGGGATGATCCATCTCGGAGCTGCCAATCAAACAATTATCATGTTATGACTGCCCAACAATTAACTAGTCATTCACGCTGACTTGGACAGAAGTGACTTTCAAACAAAAAAAAAAACTACAATCGGAGGAAGTCATAAACAATTTCCATATGAGGAAAGGAACGTGAAGCCAAAGTACTCACTTGATAGAAGAGCACAGTCTTTCCACTTCCACTCAGCCCAGAAAGGAGTACAGTGTTGGATTTGGTACGTCTGAACAAGCGAACTGCATAAGCCAGCAAGAATGAAAAGTTTAACAACAGCAAAAATCAAGTTATTTATGTAATATTGCATAGACCTCAGTAACTACAATGATAGTTTTTATCCAATACATAAACAAATTCACATCGAAAGAGCTGATACTCTGGCTCAATCACAAGTCTAAAATGATACCTTGAGAACATTAAGCTCCTCAATTGTAGACAGAAGCAGGCAAAAGAAAAACTATAGAAGACGTTTAGAAGAATAGTCTAGATGTACTTATCAATGCCAACCGATGAGGAGATCTTGCATAAACTTCAAAAACTAATGCCTAACAGTCAAAGATCAAGAGACAGGAAAGAAATGTGGTGTCGACAACATACTGGATAACAAGAACAAAATGGTTGTCAACAACAGAACGCCAATAGCAACATAGAGCTGAGTCGGTGGTATCTTCTGAAGATATTCAATTCCTTGATGCGACCACTGCTCCGCCAGAATTTTCAGATCTTCCAAGTTCTCCATGTCCTTCTCTCGAATTTCGCCTTCTTCTACCAATCTATAACACTGTGAAATGCAACGGAGAATATTTTGTAAATCAAACCAAAATATTCATAAGCATAGCAGAATGACCAGGATCATCCATCTTTCTCACATTTTGAGAGCAAGGAACAAATATGAATTTTTTTCCAATCCCAACCCGTGGACCCATACAACACCATGTCAAATTATGATTTATGAACAGAAAAATGCTAAACCTAAATTTAATTCCCTGCTTCAACCGGATCTAAAGTTACCCAAGAGAAAGAGACAGAAACGCACCGATGGGAGAGGCAGAAGAAAAATGCAGCGAAGATCACAGTGAGGGGGATGGTGGAAACGACGGTGGTAGCGGAGAAGGCCACGGCGACGATGATTTAGGGTTCAGATTCAATTTTACATTATTTAAAACGAGTCCTTCATTTCAAATGTATTTAAATGGGCTGAGTAAAAGCCCATCTCCTTGAGTTGAGACTTGGCTTGAAGTTAAGAAGCCACCCGACGTCGTTTCATCTGTATCTGCTTCATTGCTTCCTCTGCTTCGCTGGAGTCTACACTCCTCCGTCTCTTCCCGCTCTGCCGCATCTCCGGCCGACCAACACGGATACAGTGTGTGTGTGAAAAAGAGACTATGAAATTTAACTTCGAAGAACCAGAGGATACGCCGGAATCACGGCGATCTCCGACACCCAAAGAGGCGGTTCGGTGGGTTCCTCTCCAGAGCCACCCGGTTTTCTCTTCTGTTCCCTCCTCCCAAGATGAACCCGCCGTGTCGCAGCGTTTTCCGAGGAATTATATGGCTTGGGACGGAGACTCTAGGCTATACTTCTGGGATTCCAAACGATATCTTCTTCACCGATTGTCTCTGCGCTTGGGTGAACCTGAACCAACCTCCGTCCTCGCCGCAGTCCCGTCCAAGGTCTTTAATCTCTCCTTGCATTCGCCGTTTGTGGAAAACGGATCTTTTGAGAGCTAATATCCTAAAACAATTTCTTACTGATGAATGAATGATATTATAGGTGATGCAACCAGATCTCCAGCTGACATTTTCTGTTACCAAAATCTCCATCAATAAGTCTGGATCAGCTGTACTTCTTGCTGGCTCAGACGGGATATGTGTGATGTACCTATTCGGACGTGCTTCTGTGATAGAAGACAATGTTATTTGCAGGTAAACATTACGCATTAAGCCTCTACTAAGATGCATCTATATCCATGACTTACTAGATTACGCTGTTCCTTCTGCTTATACATTTTCATTACTTCATGATCTATGGGTTGCAGGGTAGTTTCTATTGGCTCAGAAATCTATTCTAGTGGTGACAGTGCCATACACTTGCTACAAGCATCGTGGCACCCCGATAGTGACACGCATTTGGGAATTTTATCCTCAGACGCAGTTTTCAGGTAACAATTTTTTTTTTTTTTGGAATGATAGTGAAGGTGTATAGACATGGCAATGTATGTATTGATGAATATCATTTTGGAAAGATGTTCGAGTATGAATTTTGTAATAAAGGTTGTTGATTCTTAACTTCTTGGCATGCAATGCCATACTGTGTTACTTGCTGGTTATATCATCTCTGTCTCATTATAAAAGGTAATTTCCATTGACACGCTGCTACAAATGCTTTTTGCTAGGCTTTTTGATTTGTCTTCAGATGCTGAGATACCAGAGCAAGAATACTATCTACAGCCTGTTGAACCAGGAAAATCTAGAACAGCTTCGTCAATCTATCCTGCTGATTTCAGTTTCGGAGGAGATCATCTGTGGGATAGATTTACTGTAAGTTCAGTTCATATGTTTGTTCTACTTGTTCGATAACGAATGGAGACGTCACTATTTTTTAGTTATCTTGTCAATTACATATATAGTTAGTTCTTGACCGAATCCTTTGTGCAGGTCTTTATATTATTCACTGATGGTTCAATTTATATCCTGTGCCCAGTTGTACCATTTGGAAGGTAGGCAAATTATGGCTATTTCTGCTTGTCATTCCTCTTTCTGGTTTTTGTGGTTTATGATTGATTATCATTAAACTGTATTAGATCATAAATCTACGCTCTCTAGCACATTTAAAGCTTTTAAGGGTTTAGATTCTGCTGGGTCTCATGCTTCCTTTGGTTTATCTATAGTTTGCTCACGCTGACGCCTTGTATACGACTGCATTACTTCCACTACCTATCCACTCTCATGCCGAACCTTTAAAAATTATGGAAGATGTTTTAGTACTTTGTCTTGTCTTGTGTGTAACGGTTCTGGAGGTTGACTGAGTATGCTTCGTATGTATATTGCAACAGTATTTACAAATGGGAATCGATATTGGAGATTTACAATGATGCTAATACGTTTGGGGTTAAGTCACCCAACTCAATAGCTGTTAGCAACTCCAATCTGGCAATTGATTGGTTGGAAGCTGTATTTCCAGATCTGACTGAACAAGGAACTAGAGTTGATAATATAATGGTAGTGAATGCTCATCCTTATGCTATGATTGACTCGTCAGTGGCTTTACAGGTAAGGATTCCCCTCTCTTTTGGGTTTGTTCCGTGGGGATTTTAAGTGCTCCTCATCATAGATTTTTAGATAATTCACCTTGCCTTGATTTGGAAAATAGATGGGGACAAAAAGGCTGACACCTATTTCCTAAGTGTTCTTTGTGCATCTACCGCTTGCCTTGGAATGCTGATCCCTAGTATTCGTTTGGTACAGGGCCCTTTATACAAAGCATCTAGTGGTGAAGGAGATGAAGATTTTGCCGTTCGGGAGGCAGAATGTAAAGGCCGGGCAGTGAGTCTATTATATAATCTTGTCAGTAAAGATTCGATTCTGGTAACTGCCTGGAGTGGTGGCCAATTACAAGTTGATGCTCTGGTCGATGAAATCCAGCCAGTTTGGATTTCTGGTAGCGCATCTCGTCTCCGCATGAACTCCCACAACAAAATTCAAGGAGTTGCAATGATTTGTGAGTCAAACGTAGGTGAGCTTCCAGTTGCAACTTCAAACCTGCCCCTTGATCACACTGCATGGTTAGGGCATCCACCACCACTGTTAAGACTGGCAATGGTTGATTTGGCTCTACCCACAAAGCGTGAAAGTGGTTCTCTCGTTACCTTGTTCGCTGACTCCCTTTTGCCTGAAAGAATATACTCCCTCCACGATGGTGGCATCGATTCAACCGTTTTACACTCTCTTCCCTTCACAAGTCAGGCCACGGGAAGAGATGAAGCTCTCAAAACACCATCTGTTCATACCGTGCTAAGTACATGCCAAGAAGAATCTGCAGTATCTTGTCTGTTAGGCTTTGTACCAATGTCAGATTCGTTTGGGTATGCATGGATCATTGCAGTCTTATCCTCAGGAGAATGCATAGTGGCAGAGATGAAAACTTGGGATCTCTTGCTTCCAGTTCATGTCAGTACAGATAAGACAGAGTCCTCCACTGCAGTAGAGAAGAAAGAGCAAGATCCCCCGTGCATCATAAGCAAGGAGATCCTTGCAGGTCCCAAAATAAGAATTGCTCCCCATACATTACCTAATCAACGGTCAACTCCAGCCAATTCCGTAGAAGGCCGATCAATGCTGCATAACTATGTCAAGCTTTTCCATGAAAACTACGTCGAGTATGCGCACAAGGTGAGAAAGAAAACCCAACACAAAGCGTCACTGTGTTTTCTACTCCTTTTTTTTTTATCACAGTGATTACTAATGAGATTTTCGTCGTGTTTTTTTTCTTTGGCAGGTCTACTTTGAGCTGCAGCATCATGGTCCTAACCTGAAGAGAATAATAGATGACCAACACCAGCGGCTTGCTGAGGCAAATCAGAAAATGACTAAAGTTGAGAAGAACCAATCCGTGTTGGAGAAAAGGATTGACAAAACAATTCAAAGACATGATATTCTTGAGAAACGCCTGCAACGTCTCCGTAGCTTGCCTGGTACACACAAGAAACCATTGACGAAAGCAGAACGGGATTTTAAGTCTGAGCTCGGTAAATCAAATATTTTCTATAATTTTTTTTTTCCTTTAATGATACACCGAAACCCATCTCATCATCTTTTCAAATGAAAAATTGCAGATCAATTTGCGGGAGTTGAGGTGGATGCGCTTCAATCAACCATTGAAACCCTTAGAGCAAGAGTGAGAAAGTCAGCTCCAAAATCTCCCAGGAGCACAGTCGTTGCGGGAACTCAGAAAAAGCAATATTCAAAGAAAAACTACATTCAAGATACAGAAATGTCACAGCTTCAGTCCACACTTTCCAAGCTATCCCTCATGAACAGCGATAACTCCAAAAAGGTCAAGATTGTAGAATCGGCACTGAAGTCGCAAGAAAGTAGTTTGATGTAGTCACTATAACACTGGGATGTAAGTGTCATTTTCTAGACTGATTAGATTCTGTTCAAGCTTGAATCTCTAGTTGCATTAGATTTTTCCAACTCTCTCCTTGTAAGTTTTGTCTGTTCATCAAGTTACGGGATTACTTAACTTAAAGTAACTATCTTCTCAAACTATTCCTTGAACTCAAAAAGACGACGTTACGAAGCTACTTAACACTCTGTACCATCGAAACATAAGAGATTTATGCAAACATAAGGTAAACAAAAGTTTATATATATATACAGAAGCCAACGCATTATAAAGTAAATGGTACTTTTGTTGTCCAACTCTAGACCGAAAAGGAGCAAAAAGAAGAAATTTAATCCTGAAAAATGTTGTTATTCTATAAAATAAATTCCACAATATGTATGCTTGTCAACATCTTGCTAACTTTTCACTCGAAGATAGTTTTAAAAAGGTAAAATATTCTATAGATCTACCTATACTTAAATTAGATATAAGAGAACATATTTTTGGTTCCTCATTTTTCTGGATATATTAACAAATTTACTAAATGAACTTTTCCATGCCTTGCGCGGACTAATATAATTTTCCATTTGATTGTTTGAAAATCTAATAGTTGTTTAGATCTTTTTGTTTTTATTTTTTATTATTGATTATATTATTTATTAGATTTCCTTACATTTTAATGTTTGAAGACGTGATTGTGATAATTGTGTAGAAGATAGTAGATAAAAATATATTAATATCCAAATAATATAGTTTAAATAGTTTTAAAATTTTTTAATCATGAAATTATGGATTGAATTTTCATAAAAAAATAATCAACAAGAACTTATTTATCAAAAAACATTGATGGATGTTTTAAACAATAATAACCAACTTTAATTCAAAATTGGTTATAGTGGTAAATTACTTTATTTAATAGATTTCACATATAACCTATTAACGAATATTGATTTAAAATTTTATTTTTGAGGATAGATCCAATCAAAACTTTGGTTAGTTATAAATTAATAAATGAATATATACCTATTATATCAAAATAGTTTTTTTAAAATGTAAACATTTTATTCATAAATTGTTTGAAGTTCACACACGGTGCAGATCTTTTAGCTAATTTTTTTTAATAATTTAAAATAAGAAATTAAAAATATTTTTTTAATAATATTACAAAATTTTCGCGGCCAAACGAACTTTCGCGCTAAAACAAACGCCTATTTGAAAGATACAAAGGCAGTCTCGTTTATTCTTACGTTAAGGCCAAAAAGGCTGCTTTTGGTATATATTACTCGTCTCTAACGCAGCAACGGCATCGTTTTCAAGAGAAAGAGTGTAGTTAGCAATAATCATGCTCTTATCCTCTCAAAGCTACCACCGACCCAACTCCATATCACTTTGATCACCGCTATTGATTCTACTGGTAAATTTTCCGACTTTAATTTCTCTATGTTTTTAGTGTGTTTGTTTACCGTTTCTTTTTTTTTCTTTCTCATTTTGTTGTGAATCTATAAAGTCGTCATCTTCCTGACGGATTAATCGTCGTTCATGTCGCTACTCACCCAAAATGAATGAGATCTCTCGAAAACCAACCCAGAAAAAAGTGGATCTAAACATTTCCGACTCATGAAACATTGATAATCACGTTTCTATTTTATTTGATGATCTGCTTGAAAAAAGTTTCCAACTTTTTGGTTTGTCTCTTTGTAGTTAAAAATAGAAACTTGCAAGTTTCTTTCTTTCTCTAATTCCGGCGCGAAATCAAAATTTTCCGGTGGGGGAAGGGAGTGTGAAGAGTCAAGAGAGAAGTAAAAATGGATGAAGAAAACAGAGAGGAAAGCAGCAGCAATCAAACTTCATGGATTCCTCACACACCTCTCAAGCCAACTGGTCCGATCTACACAAATCGGTATCAGGTGGCGGAAGGGTAATTGTTTTTTTGTTTGTTTTAAATTTCAAAGATGATTAGTGTTGGGTAATTGCTTAAAGAAGTGATCGCATGCAGGAGATTCGTTGGGAACAAAGACATGAGTGGTCTTGAACAATTTTCCTTCAGAGAGTTGCTGGCTTTGACCACCACTGAATCATCAGTGTTTTCCTCCGGACAGAGACAGACGAGGATTGGTAAAAGTAAGAGAGGGGTTTGATTCTGGAATTGCTTTGTTGAAATTTGAGGAAGCTGTATAAGTGATCAATGAGAATTTTACTGAGAAATCTGTTATCTGATTCTCTTTTGCAGGGAAAATGATTTGTGGAGAAATGTTGCAAAAATGTGATGAAGCAGTGGAGATCCTAGGCACAGTGTGTAACAATGTTGCTGAACAGATCAAGACTCGGGAAAAGCCAAAGAGGAAGAAGCACAGGCCAAAAGTTGTTAAAGAAGCTATACCGAAGAGAGATCCCAAAACGCCGAGGAAACCTGCTGTTGAAGGTCAAGAAACCAAAACGCATAAGAGGAAACATGTGAGGAAGAAAGAAGAAGTTGATAAGGATCAAGAATCGACGCCAGTTGAAGAATCAGCTCCTGCCAAGAAAGTTTGTAGACGTGCCTTGGACTTTGAGGACGAGAGTTTCAAACCAGAAAACGGAGAAAACCAGTTGAACAGCAGCGATACTAAACACATAGAATCAGCCGGCAGAGGAAAGCAGACAGATTCCGGAAATCAAGAATCAAAAGATTGGCTTGTTCCATTCCCTAGCACGCCCAAAAGAAATCAGAGCCAAAGTAAAAGAATGGGAAAGGAACAAAAGAACAGTGGCGCAGAAAAAGGTAAAGGAACGTTTAGAGGAAGGCAGAGTTTTGAGTCAAATGTTCGGCTGGATAAGATAGACAAACCGATAAAGAAAGAAACTAGAGCCCAAGCTCGATGCCGAAACTTGTCGTCTATCATTAAAGTTACAGACGTTTCAGAGAAGCTACAAGCAGGACGTTATAATAAACCACTGAATAATAATAACGTTCTTGTTGAGAGGTGGGTGACCTGGAGCAAAAAGAAGCGAACCACTAAGTCTGAGATATCACAAACCAACCAGATAACTCTTCACCCGAATATTGGCCGGTTTTCACCTTCATTTGCTGGTAAAGAATACATATACACAATTGTAAATTCGCTTTCTTTCTTGAACTTACTGAAATGCAGACTATTTTGTTGATAATTACTGTATGATGTTATTTCCCGCAGGTCTTCCTCCAGAAGAAATTTGGAAACAACTTCACTCGGTTGAAGCAATATGTGACCAGTTGGGTGTATTAGAAATCAACAGGGAGAATAAAATGAATAGCACGGGAAACAAGATTGTACTCTTCACCGGTGGTGCTGGAGCGATCGTGCCTTCAAATCCTGTCAAAAAGGGGCGTGCACGAGCAAAGGTTGATCTAGACAACGAGACGCATACTGTGTGGAAACTGCTAATGGACAATATTGATAGCCAAGGGGTTGATGGATCAGACGAGCAGAAGGCGAAATGGTGGGAGGCGGAACGAAATGTGTTTCGAGGACGAGCCGACTCATTTATAGCACGAATGCATCTTGTACAAGGTACACCACACTTGTCCTTTTTTTTTTTGCGGTTTCTGTTCTCACTACAACATTTTTTTTTTTTTTTTAAATTTAGTATTGTGTCTTAGTTATAATCTTCGGTTTTGTAACAGGGAATCGACGTTTTACTCCCTGGAAAGGGTCTGTCGTCGATTCTGTCGTTGGAGTGTTTCTGACTCAGAACGTCTCTGACCACCTATCAAGGTATAATTCTATGTCGAAACTAAATTTAAGACAGCAACAGAACGCAAAGCTAACTTCTCTAAATTTTTTGTTATGTTTTCTTGTAGTTCTGCTTTCATGTCACTTGCTGCAGAGTTCCCTGCCCCGGCAGTACCCACCAGTAACTTTGACGTAGGATCAAGCTCCATGCCTTCTATCCGAATAACTTACTTGGACTCAGAGGAATCGATGTCAAACCCACACGTCCATAACCATGACACACAGCCTGAGGAGGAGAAGGATTATGCAAACAGGAATGACACCTCTAGAAGAAGCAGTGATATTCCCAGCTCAGCTCATGAATCAGTTGGGAAAACCACGGACTCAATGATGCACATTGATTCAGATCAAAAACGCTCAAGTTTAGAAGTTGATAAGACAGATCAAACGTACCTTGTCCAAGAATTTTTTCCATCGGAAGATTCTGCATCGGAAGACAGACTGGGTTCTGATGATCCTCAAAATACAGAGAGAGCAGGATCAAGCTCAGAGATCAACTCAAAAGGAGAGCATTCTATTTCCTATATGAAGCTCCTACAGTCGCTAGGGTCTGCTCAGGTACAAGGCAAAGGAAGAGATATTACCACATCTGATACAGTCTCAGTAGAAGAGTCCAATCAGAAGAATCAGTATGACAATTCAAGGCAAGAATTTGGGGTTTCAAGCAATCATGGAAGCTTACAAGTATCACCAAATACGTCTCCTGGTGATTATAGCTCACAAGTTAAGGATTTCGAATCACTGAAAGGGCACACAAAGTCTTCTGATGACAGTAATGAACCCTTTTGTTGTTTGGAGGATGTTTTGAAATGTCAGAGACCTGAGTGGCCTGAAAGCTCTAGCAGCGTTCCGTCGACAAAACACAAAGAAGGGCTTGTAACAGAGACTTTGATTCCAGATGGAAGCACGAGTTGTATTCATGTCCAAGGAGGCACAGAAAAAACACCAGGACATGAATCGTGCAAAGATCTCAATCCAATGGATAAGGCTTCATTAAAAGCAAAAGGAAAAAAGGCCTCAGTAAAAGCAAAAGGAAAAAAGGTTTTAAATGAGGAGAAAGAAGGGTTTGATTGGGATAGTTTAAGAAGAGAAGCAGAAGGTAGAGCAGGAAAAAGAGAAAAAACAACAAGGACGATGGACACTGTGGACTGGGAGGCAGTAAGAAAAGCTGATGTTAGTGAAGTTGCTGAGACAATCAAGAGCCGTGGAATGAACCATATGCTCGCGGAACGTATACAGGTACAATTTTATCAATATGTGGCCAGGTTTAGCGAATAACCTCCATTTTTAAGTATTTAACTCTGAACATGAATATGTTGCAGGCCTTCCTTAATCGTCTGGTAAAAGATCATGGAAGCATTGATCTGGAATGGTTGAGAGACGTTCCACCTGACCAAGCAAAGTGAGTTTCAAAGAAAAGTATTTTATTTCTTCTGTGTTAAACCACAACATATAAAAATTACTACTTGGGCAGTTTCTCGTCAATACTGCATTGCGTATTTCTCATATATTATACAATCATGCAGAGAATATCTTTTGAGCTTTCGAGGATTGGGACTAAAAAGTGTGGAATGTGTGCGGCTTCTTACGCTGCACCAAGTTGCCTTTCCAGTAAGCCGAATCTTTATTTTTTTCTTCTTCTTCTTCTGTGAAGTCAATTATATGATGTAATGAACTTACGATAAAACTTATTGACAGGTTGATACGAATGTTGGGCGCATAGCCGTTAGACTTGGATGGGTACCTCTTCAGCCGCTCCCGGAGTCACTTCAGTTGCATCTTCTAGAAATGTAAGCACTCTAAAATATGGTCTTAACTGGAAACTGTTTTTTAATTCCTGTTACATCTTGATTCCAAGGGTTTGGTTTAACTAGGTATCCGGTGCTTGAATCCATTCAAAAGTATCTATGGCCACGTTTATGCAAATTCGACCAAAAAACTTTGTAAGAGCTCTCATCATGTTTGTCATTATCTTATATTTGTTTTGCTCATTTTAATACACCCATTCATTATAGCTTAACGCCATATCATCTCACAGGTATGAATTGCACTATCAAATGATTACTTTTGGAAAGGTATTTCTACAAAAATATCACATATCTATGTATTTGTATGGATAAACCGGCATGAGGTTTTAATCTACTTAGACTATTTGTTTCAGGTCTTTTGCACAAAAAGCAAACCTAATTGCAATGCATGTCCGATGAGAGGTGAATGCAGACATTTTGCTAGTGCGTTTGCAAGGTGATATCCCTTAAACCTTTAGTACCATTACGAGAAAAAAAAACATTTATTCAGAATATAACTCCAGTAAAGTTTACTTGTTTTACAGTGGAAGACTTGCTTTACCCGGTCCAGAGAAAGGCATGAGGACACCGAATAAAAACCCTTTGGCTCTAGAGACATTGCAGAGAAAGCAAGGGTCACAAGTAGTAATGCATTCAGAACCAGCAAGCAAGACCACATGTTGTGAACCAATTATCGAAGAACCGTCTTCCCCGGAATGCGAACAAGTATCAATAGCTGACGTAGAGGATGCATTTTACGAGGATGATGAAGAGATTCCTACAATCAAGCTGAATCTGGATACATTCACCAATAACTTGAAGAAAGTTATAGAACACAGCAGAGAACTACAAGATGTAGACATGTCTAAAGCTCTAGTTGAAGCTGCAGCTACTCCAATGCCTAGGCTCAAGAATGTCGGTAGGCTGAGGACAGAACACCAAGTGTAAGTATCTTAATTGAAATAAAACAGGAATTACATGCTCTCATTCCACATAGAATTCAAACAAATGTTGTTGTTCAACTTGACGTTTTTTAACACTTGACTGTGGCTGTCTTGTTTTCATATATTTGCAGTTATGAACTTGAAGACTCGCATCCTCTTCTCGCTGAGGTATGTTAGATATGTTGTGCCTAATTTATAATATAGTTGAAACACACAACTTAGATCGGTGTTTGGCAGTTACAGATTTATCCGGCATACACAAACAGAGATTAATTGAAGGAAAAATGCTGTAGTTGTGTCTGTATTAAAAATCTAACTAGCTGTTTGCGTTTGTTATGGCAGCTGGAGAAGAGAGAACCTGATGATCCATGTTCTTATTTGCTAGCCATTTGGACACCAGGTATTATCAACTGATCTGCGAATCTATTAGTCATTTACTTAGATCGATATAAAAAAAGTTTCTATAATCACAGTGATTTTAAACTTGTTTCTCTTGTAACAGAAGCAAGATCACAGTTCGTGAGAGGCACAATCTTGGTAAGCAATTGCGTCCTACTCTGTTGCCGCTAACTACCTGTTTCTACAAATATTTGCAAATAACAAGTTAGTAAAATTTCATGCAGATACCCTGCAAAACGGCAATGAGGGGTAGCTTCCCACTCAATGGGACCTACTTTCAGACAAATGAGGTTATATTTCAATTCAATTATCTAATTATTCCATTTAATCATTTAGTTCAATATTGATAGTATTTTTGTTGATATAGGTTTTTGCGGATCATGCTTCTAGTTTAATCCCCATCAGTGTTCCAAGGGAATGGCTATGGAACTTACCTAGAAGAACGGTATATTTTGGAACATCAGTACAATCAATATTCAAAGGTATATGGCTTTCCTTTTAGTTTTTTTACTCTATTCTCTTGTGCACATTTAAAAACGAAGAAGATATTCTAACTATTTATGCTAATTTTCAGATATGCCAACCCAAACAGTTCAGCATGCTTTCTTGAAAGGTAGTTACAATTTGTTTATGCTACAGCCACATCTTCCTTTTATTTGATTAAAAATCTCAAAATGTAGTTTACTATTCTTTTTTTTTTTTTTTTGTCCGCCCTCTTTTGTTTATAGAAAACTTTTGAAACAAGTTCATAGATTGATGATGTTCACTAAAGTTTCAGATATAATGTATCTTTTAAATTTGTAGGGTATGTATGTGTGAGAGGATTCGACCGAAAGACGAGAGGAGCGAAACCCTTGATAGCCAGATTGCACTTTTCGGAAGGCGGGAAAGTGTAGTCCTTTTTTGTTCATGCGATTTTGGTTGTGTGATGATCTAGATTTTGATACATAATATACTCGTAGATATTGTGTTTAACAATCAGAAACGAGTTTTAAGCTTACTTAGAACCCAACTTTAGCCTTATAAGCTGAACCAAGAACTAGAATTTATAACAACGAATCCTGCGATATGCTACACACAAGCCAGACAATATTTTACGTGAAACGGTCGGTGTGATTTTTCGACCTCTCTTATTATAATAAGATCCATAACTGAAGAAATTGATATAAAGAAATTCAAGCAGTAGTAGCTTTGATATAGATAAGCGGAAGACAATGTAACTGCGATTTTCAGACAAGCGGAAGACAATGTGCCACACTGATAGCTTCTCGTAATAAGCTTTATATCATCTCATTTCAGGTAGTAGCTAGTGACCATTCATTTGCTTGATACATATATAAATAACAAATCAACAATTTTAGTATTTTTACGAAGTATTTCTTGGACTAAACTCATCATTTCTCTCTACAACTGTCTTAAGAGAGTTGCCCATAAATCCATTTATGACTATATCTTTTATCAAATCTTGACATAAATTTTGATTTTTTAGCAATAAGAAGAATCTCGAAGGTGAAGCAATCGAGTCTCCTCTGTTTCTCAAGCGTACCTTAAAGATAGGTCGGTTGTTACTTGAGCAGCAAGAAAACGTACCCGCCGAAGCAAATCCTAGAATCAGAACAGGCTTTAACGACACCCTTTTGTAGAAGATGAACTTCTGTAGTTTCTGTACGCATTTTTGTTTGTGGATACATCCCTCTGTAGTAACATTCCGCGCAAGCGAAAAATCAAATCTGAGTATCATGTTTGTGAGAGAATCTTGGAAAATCACCAGTAATCCTTGTACGAGCAGAACCCGTCTTTGAAATAATGGAATCGAGATGCATCTCTTACAACAAACCGGTGATCTTCAATCTTGCTAACCATCTTGATAAACACGTGACAATCTTCACAAACCCTCAGGTTCTTTATCACAAGGATTTCTGTGCCTGGTTCAGTGTTGCAGCAAGAGATTACAAAGATGCAGCAAGCAAAATTTTGCGATAGATGTTCGGCTTGCAGAAGATTGAAAGTGCTATGGACGATTTGAAACACAGAATGTCCCACTCTAGAGGATAAAAGCATCGGTGGTTAAAAAACATCTTTTTGCAGGGAATTTTCATCTAGTCAAAGTCCCTAGCAACATCTGTTATCTTTTAGTTCGTTTTGTTTTGCAGTTTGTAGACTTTATCATATGTCCCATTAGGCTGTAAATGTGCATCTTCTCAAACTATTCCTTGAGCTCGACGTATCCAAGCTAGCTATAATTATATTAGAGACATTAAAGCAGAAGAGATTTATGCAAACACAAAAGGTAAACAAAAGTTTTTTTTTTATATACAGAAGCCAAGGCATTATAAAGTAATGGTTCTTTTATTGTCAAACTCTAGACACAAAACGAGCAAAAAGAAGAAGTTAATCCTGAAAAATGCTGTTGTTCTATAAAATAAAATCTTCTGGTCTCTTCCTTCTTCTTCAAGTTGCGGATAAACGACCATCACGGCGCTTCACGATGATCGGGTACCGTTTCTGCATTCTTGTAGTTGGAAAGAAAATCAGCTTGTCTTGCTCTGCAGGAACCCAACTGCTCAGAAATCATCAAAACCAAATCAGTTTTAGCCCATTTAAATAGGAGAAGAGGCTGCTATTATATTACTGTACGTGTGTGAAGATATATACCTGAAGCCAGTCACTAGGCGATGAAGGAAAACAGAGAGTGCAACCCTAGCCAGCTCATAACCGGGACAAAGCCGTGGTCCTCCACCAAACGGTGTGAACACATTAGAAGGGCTTGTCGTTACCGAGTTGTTCTGCTCCGCAAAAAAATCATTATTCAATAACTCAAATTTAAGTGTGTTAAGTTCAAGAAATGACAATGGCTTTAATATCAAGAAATGCCAATGACTACCTGCCATCTCCAAGGATTGAAAGTGCGAGCGTCTTTGAAGTGGTTCGGGTCTAAATGAACCGCTCTAAATGATGAGAAAACCTTCCACCCTTTTGGAATCTTATAACCTGGTTTTTTCCGGTTTACAAAATGTGAGAACTTTCCTTGCCTTTGTTTTTTTTTTTTTTTAACACGGAATTGACTCATTTCTCATTTTTTAAATTTAAGATTTTTTTTCTTTTACCTTTGATCTCAACATCCGTCATAGCCCGTCTAAAAACACCACCGATGATGTTAGCTATCCGCAGAGTCTCGTTAACCACCTGAGTCCAAATAGATTTATACGAGATTAATGAGGAGTGATTAGAACGGATGAGACAAGAGCTCCAAGCTTTAGAGTAAGTACACTAGACTTACACATTGTGTGAATGGCATTGACTTGTAATCACTCCATTCAAGACTCTCCGAATCACTCTTCCTTGTCCTAATCTTTTCATGCTCTTCCTGTTTTCTCAACCAAAGGAAGAATACCAAATCAACCAATATTAAAAGATATAAGGTTTAAAAATAAACAAAGAGAAGGTTTAAGGCAAAATTATAATTAGGTCATAAGTCCAACAGTTTTGACCCGGTTCTTTGGTATATATTTGGTGCTATTCGGACCAAGCGACGACGCACTAAATCTAGTGACTATAAAACCATGCTTAGAAACAAAACTAGTGACATCAACTTATAATTAAAATAAAGTATTAGGACCAATGAAATGGGATGAGAGCTTGTCGGTCGTAGCACAAACATATTTATGAAAATACTTTTTATATTTAATGTAAAAGAGATATTTATTGGGGAATATTCGAACAAGCAAGATAAAGAAGATGAAGTTGTTGGCAAACAATTAAAAAGATAAGATGAAGTTTGGTAAAAGCGTAATTATGCGTGCGTTTCAGGAGACAAACTGGTCAATTCTGCGAGACTGTAACTCCTTATTTCAACAGTATTTCATATTTCTTAAATTTTAAAAAAAAAAAAAAACAGAGGTTATGATGTTGTCTAGGTTCGAGAATGACTACTTTGACATTTACGGTAATTTGTACCCTTTGCCTGTTTTTTCTTTTTTCTTTTGTTTCTTTTACACTTTTCACCTTCAAACCCACTTAATAATACGCCTAATATAGAAATGTGAAATTGATCGAAGAGAATAAATAGAATGTAAAACTTAGGTCCAAAATTTGATGCAAAATTTAAAAGGATCTATCATGGCTACCCTGTTAAACATAAGAATTTTTGTTTTTTCTCTAACAATTTCTCAATTATTTGTTGCTTAAATATCAACCATCTAGACAATCCAAATAGATTAAACCAGTCCAAATTAGATTGTCATATACTGTATCTATAATTTGAATAAATTATCAGGACGTCTAGAACGTCTTACGCGGCTAATGTCGCGTATTTTAAATTTTTAACTGTCTTTTTACCGAACCATTAATTAAACCAAGATCGAAGGCTATATTCAAAACACTATTCTAAAACAAAAAGTCATTATTTTATTTTTATTTTTTTTAACAATCAATTATTAGTACCAACCGACTAAATTGTACTGTTGCTAACTTGCTATGTAAACTAGTAGTTCATTGGAGATAAACCAGAGAAAGAGAAACCTAACCCCGTTCATTGATGTGTACGTGTTATTTGTTCTCTTTTAAAGAAATGGAAAATGATGATAATAATAGAAATATATGTATATATATATATATATATGTGTATTCCATTAATAAATAATTCAACAAATCGAGACACCCGTGTGAAATATAAATGATGGAGAAAATTAGAGGCCAACACTAAACATCATTATGCTTCCAATTTGTAGTCCTGACCCCTTTTTCCCCTCTTTTCATTCACATGAAAATTTATATTTTCCCAACTACTTCTTCACATCTCTTAATTACTTAATAAATTGAAATAAGCTTAAAGCGGAAGAACTATATAAGAGATAGCAACACATCTAACTGTTATAGAACTAGCAGACTTAATTATTTTTTTAATTGTTTTCTCTAATCCAGCTAACTTTCAAATTTTTTTCACTCTTTTCGTTAATTTTTAAAAGAAGACAATCATTTCAGTCATCTTATATATAGAAAAATCAAATCCTTTTTGTACCATAAACCCCCAAATAAAGCAGAGCATAATAAACATGCGCAGGTGGTCCTAAAATACCGGTTTGCATGCAGTAATAGATCGAATCTTAAATTTTTAATATCTTTTCCAAAACACTAAATCTCGATGAATCGCAATCAAACCAACCACATAACACCTAAATTTCATTCATACGTGTCTTGTTTTTGATTCGGTAATGCAATTTCTTCTTTTTAAAAATATAATCAAAACACTATTTTAAAATCTGAATTTTTCCCTAAAAGATAAAATTTTCAAAAGAAACCAAAACAACACATGAATGAGATTATATTACTAAACATAGAAAATACCTTGAGTTGAGCAAGAGCTAGAGGAGTTTCGGTAAGAAACTTAACGGCGAGAGTCATGATTGTGGAGGTTGTTTCATAACCGGCGACGAGTAAAGCCACCAAGAAATCAACAATTTCTTCATCGGAAAATCCATCATCCGCCGCAAGCAACGCCGCGAGCATATCTTTCTTTCTCTCCGCCCCTTCTTCCTCTTCCTCCCTCCTTTTCATCACCACCACCGTCAACGCCTCCGCCACCTTCCTCCGCGCCTTTTTAAAAACATACAAATTTATATAAATTAAGTCTAAAACATGATTAACTTAAAATAAAATAAAAAGCAGAGATAAAAAAAATAAAAATGAATACTTTGATGGCTTTGCGGTAAGTGGTGGAGAAGAGAGGGAGAGGGAGAGAGAAGAAGCCTTCGATGACAAGGAGATACTCTTTCCTCAAACTCTCACTCCACTCCCCTGGATCAAAGCTCATCAACTGCTTCACTGTTAGCTCGAACGTTATCTGCATCATCATCATAACCATACAAATACAGTTAAACACGATGCATGCGGTGACTCGCCCTGGCTCACTGAGTCACTAACTCGATCCGGTTTATCTTTTTTATCTTCTTTA